GGGGGGAGATGCACACCCACCTTTTTTCAGGTTAATAGTGTGTAGCTATCACATGGGAAAAGATTGCTTGAATAGCTGGGTAGCTCTGTGTGCATTATCCGACTTGCGGGACACAATCACGTAATCGATCTTCCTTTGATCATCACCAGAGTCTATTGTTACCCGTATGAATGGAGGTGTGGGGGAGAAACAGGAGAAGAGGAAGGAAGAGGAAGGGGGTGGAGTGTGGATGATGGGGGCTCGTTTTTCCCCTTTACCAACAATAACAACAACAATGTCTATCTTATCGTGGACTCTCTCATCCATCCCCAGAGTCTGGAGGGTCATCCGCGATAGCCGGTTTTACGTAGCAGGGAGAAGGGAAGAGTGCCAGATTGCCCGCCGTGTAAGTAGTGAGAGCATTACCATACGAAAAGGTGCTTACCTTACCTCTTACCAACCGTTCAACCGGGCACGCACTTCTCCAGGCCACACAGCCACTTCTGCAGTTCCAGTTTCTACTCCGTAATCTCTAATCGACTCTAGTCCGCCCCACACTCTTTTTCTCTCCTTTTTTTTATATATTCTTTTTTTCTTACTCTTTTCGTACCCTTTCCTGTTCTGAGTGTTTCCCTTCCCAGTTGGTCATAGTGGGATTTCTTTTCTCTAACACACCGTGCGTGGTCCGAAAACCAGACGGCAGAATCCCCGAAATAGGCAACATATGGGAGTCTGGAGGGCTAGTTTACTGCTGGAGTACGATAGACGAATACTGAAGAACATTGCTCATGGCAGTGAGACGGTCAGTAAGTCCATTGTGTTGAAATGCTATTCGCCCGATATGCAAAAGAAAAAGCAAAGTCAAACAGGTGTATCTCTGTCCCATCAGGTTGGTAGAGTGACCGGTTGAATTCCCTTTGAGGACAGCAGCCGATCAGGTTTGGTGGGAGAGCACGTTCTTATTTCCCTTTTCATCCATTGTCTCCAGAGCCTGCTTTTTTTGCCCCCCCGATATTTATCCCCACACAATGTACTTTTTTTTTTTTTTACTCTAACCATTTTCTTTTTATTCCACTTCGCCATTTTTTTTTCCCCTTCTTGTCCTCCGATTCCGATAAACCCACCCCTCTACGACTCTCCCTTCCCTCCTCCCCTCCCCCGAGCTCCGTTTCTTTCTTCTTCCCCTCCATTCCTCCTTCCTACTCTCCCGATTCTCCTTTCTTATATCACCTCCTCCCCAGATCCCTTTCTCCAGATTTCTGTCTCTTTCCCCTCTTCTTTGAGACTTATCATTCAACTTCGCCTCTCTCGGTTCGCTATTCCCAATCTCCGGGGTCCATTTCCGATTCCGATCTGCCACCATACTATCTATCATCATAGTCATCCACCAGCACTCCTCAACCCCATCACCACCACATTCCGCATCCCTGCCATTGAAAGACGATCACACCGTCCAGAACTGTCTTGAGTCGGATCAGCTCACGCTTATCAATTTTCTACCTACTTCGCGCCCTGTCGCGTCACAAGGACTGGATCATTCCTTGCGACCTTCCCTCCTCTGCTTTTCTTGGCAACGCTAGGCCTAGGTGGTTTATACTAGCGGGTGGTGATCGACTCGCCGATATAAGCTCTATAACCCCCCCCCCCCCCCCCTGGTCGCGACATACGGCCTATCGCCTCGGCTCCTCATCCCTGTCGCACGCGGCTTCAAATCCCGGCTCCAGTCCTACTTCTCACTACTCTCTCCGGTATCAAAGACAAGTTTCACATGCCGCCACCGGCCTCTTCAGTGGATTTTTCCAACCTGCTCAATCCTCAGAGCAGCGCGACTGAGTCTGCTCCGTCCTCTCCCGCCACTCCTGTGGATAGCTCCAAGGGCCCTTCCACTCCGTCCAGCGCTCAATCAACCTCGACGATGGCTTCGTCCGTGAGTCTTCTTCCCCCTCTGATGAAGGGTAGCCGTCCTGCGACCGAAGAAGTGCGCCAAGATCTCCCCCGGCCTTATAAGTGTCCTCTCTGTGATCGCGCCTTCCACCGTCTGGAGCACCAGACGAGACATATCCGCACCCACACGGGTGAGAAGCCCCATGCGTGTCAGTTCCCTGGCTGCACTAAGCGATTCAGTCGCTCCGACGAACTCACACGCCACTCGCGCATTCACAACAACCCGAACTCGAGGCGCAGCAACAAGGCTCAGCACCTGGCTGCGGCTGCCGCTGCCGCAGCTGGCCAGGACAATGCGATGCCCAACAGTGCAGGGGCCCTGATGCCCCCTCCCAGCAAGCCCATGACTCGCTCTGCGCCCGTGTCGCAAGTTGGCTCTCCCGACATTTCCCCCCCTCACTCTTTCTCCAACTATGCCAACCACATGCGCTCTAACTTGGGGCCCTATGCCCGCAACACCGAGCGGGCATCATCCGGCATGGATATCAACCTCCTCGCTACGGCCGCCTCTCAGGTGGAGCGCGACGATCACTTCAGTTTCCACGCGGGGCCCCGTAACCACCACCTATTCAGCAGCTCCCGCCACCACGGAAGCGGTCGCCTACCGTCGCTTTCGGCTTACGCAATCACGCACAACATGAGTCGCTCGCACTCGCACGAAGAAGACGACAGTTATTCGCATCGTGTCAAGCGTTCCAGACCCAACTCGCCCAACTCGACCGCCCCCTCTTCGCCCACCTTCTCGCATGATTCTCTCTCACCTACCCCCGATCACACGCCTTTGGCTACTCCCGCTCACTCTCCGCGGTTGAGACCCCTGGGAGCCAGCGATTTGCACCTTCCATCGATCCGTCACTTGTCGCTACATCACACCCCTGCTCTGGCTCCGATGGAGCCGCAGCCCGAGGGGCCCAGCTACTATAGCCCTAGCCAAAGTCATGGCCCGAGCATCACCGATATCATGTCCAAACCCGATGGAACACAGCGCAAGCTTCCTGTTCCCCAGGTACCGAAAGTGGCAGTCCAGGATATGTTGAATCCTGGCAGTGGGTTTTCCTCGGTCACCTCGTCCACCGCTAACTCGGTTGCCGGCGGTGATCTGGCCGAACGTGCCTTCTAGAATCGACCCCTGCGTCGATCATTTGGGTTTGTAAAATGGGATTCCAAAAAAGCATTATATCTTCATGCGTGCTACGACCGAATAGACTTGTGCATTTACAACGGTTCATGGGCATCATCGGTGTCAGTTGGTTGGGTGGCTTTTCTTTCTATTTCTCTTTTTATTGTTCTGGATTCATGGCTCTTTTACCTTTCTTTGTACTCTTTGCGAGGCGTCACTACCAATAGATGGATGGGATATCTTGTGAATCGTTTTTGTTCCCCCTGATTCTTTTTCTCCACTGTCTGATCTCTTGATCACATTCCCTCCTCCTCTCGGAACATCTCCATCTCCTATCTCGAAACATAACACGGGACCTTCTGTCTGGAAGGACGAAGAACCCCGACTACCATTCTTATTCTTGTTTCCGATTGCTTTACTTCTGTGGTGTCTCTAGACATGGCTTCTTATCTTTCTTCTTCATTTGCTATTGTTACTATAGACCTCGAGCAGGACGAGAGGGAATATACACTATACATCAGCCTTAATTGGAACCATTATTTCCGGCCCACTTAGTGTGTTTCTGTGTACTTCGGTAGGCTTCGTGCTAGTGCGATACAGGCTCTGACGGATTGGCCTAGATGAGAGGTCTGGCCCATGACGGCTGCTCCTGCCGACCGCATGATCCCGGTTCAGGTGAGGTTAAAATCAAGGTATAATATAGTACTGTATACTACGGACCGTGAACGGAGCATGTGCCTGGTTCAGGAAGAGGGGGGTTCAAGTCGGAGATAAGGTATGCGCTCGGGCCCGGGATGAGCAGGAAAACGTATCAAGTTATCACCCAGATAGTGAGTGATGCAATCCATTCTCTTCACCGGCATCCTCAATCAAACATGCACCGGAGCCCACTGCCCCGTGGCCCTGACAAGAATAAGCAAAACAAGCTTGGTCTAACTATTGACTTGTTTGTGATTGTTCATAGTAGAGCCCGGGAGGCTCAGGCCAATCGGTCGTCTCACTGACTTGTCCGACTTCCTCCTTCACCCCCGCTCTCACTTGCCGAAAGGAGCGACAAGTCTACTTACTGCCTATGTTCAAGATGTTGAATCATGCGATAACCTCCGTCGGCTGCTACGAACTATGTTGGGTGTGATGTAAAGAAGAACACTGCTTGAAGGTAAAATGCGTCAAGAAGATTTCCTTTCTCCCTTACTCCTCTTTGCTTCCCAATCTGAAGGTGTGCGCTTCACTTCGGTCGTAACCCCGCCTTGGGCGACCGCGCGCCGCCAACTATATGGCCGCGTTCCAACCTGACAGACTGCGTGTTCTTTGCGCTCTTGTCCTTGTCCAAGAAAAGACTTAACAAACATGTGGCGAACACAGGACTGTTTGTCGACCTCTTCTATCAGAATAGGATAGCATCTCCAGCGTTCCGTTCCGGAGCGTTTCACGCGCGCAGAGTCGGTGGCCGCTGAAGAGGCCCTGTTCCTGCTTGCTAGGCCATCCAGATCCTACTCTCATATTCGTGCTTCAAAGCACCGGAAATAAGGACCGAAAGTGCCTTCCGTTGAGAACGAACGAGACGTACTCCAGCAATTATGTCGGCCGTTCCGTCCTTATTAAATGATACCGCATCTTGCTCGGCGTCCTCCGACATGTCGCTTAACACGAGATGGGCATCGGACATCGCTGGCCATGCGCTCTTAGAAGATGACGGGACAGGGGCTCTCGTTGTGCCGGCTCGCGATGACCTTGGAGGAGGTCACCACTACCTCTACAGCTGCCTGTTCCACATCCTCGACTGCCACACCGCTTTCGACAATGCGCAAGACTGGCGAACGCACCTCCTCAGTCACTTTCGCACTCATGCCCCTCCCCCGACGGTCCGCTGCCCCTTGTGCCCCGGGGAAAGGTTCCACGACACCGCTGAGCTGGGAGCCTGGGACGCCATGCTCGACCACGTGGATACGGCCCACTATCAGCAGGGCCAGTCCCTCGCCGGCAGCCGACCCGACTTCGAGCTGATGCAGTACCTCTACGGACTGCGCATCATCAGCGTCGACCAGTTCAAAGTCATGCAGCTGCCGCCGCCGCCATCGAGTCCGGCTTACCATCAGTCGCACGACTCGGTCCGGGCAAATATCGGCTCGTCGGACGAGCCCTACTGCGCGCCGTATAGTCGACGACGAGAAGAACGAATGCGGGACCAGCATCGAGGGGTTAGTGTGGTTTGAATTTCGATGCGGAGCAGTGGGTTGGTTGATAATGCGACTGACTGGCGAAAACATGATCATGGTCTTCTCTTTTTATGTGATCTTCTTGGCAGGTCTACACGGTTATTGCTTTTCTTGTCGGCCTTTCATCCATACTCTTTCTTGGCTATCTCCGTCATATTTTATTTGCTGTGCCTTGTGGTCTTTCGATACAAGGGGTTTTCGGACAGTTCATTGAAGGCTGAACGAAATGCTGATTAGTCACGGTGTATCCTTTGTAGGGCAGAATGCCACTGGACTTGACCTACGCAATCTGGGCTCTTGGCAGTAGTCAGCAATGTCCAAATGCGAATAAGTTGTCACGTCGTGCGCAAACATCTGACATGGATCGCCTATGATGTAGGTGCATGTACTTACTGCTATTGCTCGAACGAATGTGAATCGACGACGCAGGCTGGCCACATACAGGGCAGGAAGAGCCCGCTCATGCTCTTGAGTCTGTATGAACTTGACTTTCTTACTGCCGAGTAGACAGTGGCGTCTGAGTTCTTTGCTAAATGTGCTGAATTAATGCGACGATGTATTGGCCAAGCTCGATACCTGTATACTTCAGGATGGAATGACGACTGCATCAGGAACAAACAGAGCAAACATCTCCGTTCCGCTCGCACCAACAACTTCGCCGATACGGCGCCGCATGCTCTCCAACCCACCCCAACGGCCCCGACACTAGATATAGCTATTCTCGCGCAGAATGAGAGCTTCATAGCCCGATTCTCTGAGTTTTTTTTACAACGAAAATTGACTCCCAAATCGCGCCCAGATCCCCGAAGTCGAGTCCCCCGCGCAATCGACGGCCCTCATCGACAAATATCTACCCAGATTCCACCCCCATCGCTCCACCCCCACCCCTCCCTCATATCATTTCAGAGAAAAACCCAAATCATGGAACGCCTCTCGATCAACGAACCCCCCGCCGGCGCCCCTCAAGGCAATGCGCCGCAGGGCTTCCCTCCGCAGAACAACAACACCCTCGGACCCATGACGCATGGGCCCCCGCAGTTGCCGCCGCAGATGTTCACCACCGCCGCTCAGCTGTTGGACTTGACCGATAGTATGTGATTGCGCTTCCGCGCGGTGACTCGCATTGGAGCGGGTGGGGGCGTTGGTGTACAGGGAACTGACAATCGGGCAGAGAAACTTGTTTTGGTCTTGCGTGACGGTCGGAAATTGATTGGTGTGTTGAGAAGTTGGGATCAGTTCGGTATGCCCGCCCCTCTGATGTTCTCTTTGGGGCAGCAATTGGCCCGGGATGAACTTGCTCGTTGCATATGGGATGATCTAACGGCGTTTTGAATTTCTCTTTTTTTGCAGCAAACCTCGTGCTGCAAGATACTATCGAGCGACTCTACTCCGGAAATCTTTATGCTGATATCCCGCGCGGGATATTCCTTGTCCGCGGCGAGAATGTGTTGCTCCTTGGGGAAATTGTACGGCGCTCTTCCATGCTCTATGCTTTGTTTTCTGCTCGGGTGGATGTTTCTCTTTTCTGGATGTGATAGCTAATTAGGGGTCGATCGCCGCAGGACCTGGACAAGGAAGACGACGTGCCCCCTCACCTCCAACGAGCGTCGTTCCAGGAAGTCTTTGAACTCAAGAAGCAAGAGGAGACCAAGCGCAAATCTAATGACAAGAAGCGCCACGGCAAGTTACAAACCCTGGGATTCGAGCCGGAGCACAGCGGGGAGATCTTGTTCTAGAATGCCGCAGGCCCTACCATTCCATCGCGTTCCACCGGGTAACGGTCTGCGTTCGCCATGATGGCCACCGCTAGACATGAGAGCAGAGGCATAGGTTCAATTCGAAAGGGCGGAACGGAGGCTCAGTCACCGGTAAGCTTGTGGTCTATCGAGACCCCGGTTGCCCTCCAGGGACCGTCGCAGGAGCCAGGTCGCTGGTCGTCGATCTCAGATATCGACGGCGATGTAACCTGGAACTGTAATAAAAGCAGAAGTGGCGGTGGCTCTGCGAAGGGCTATGAGAACTAGTGGTGCTCCAATCGAGCGAGATTTCCATGAATTCGAGGATTATATGGCTGAATGGTGGACGATGTGCGGACTAGACCGGACGAGAGCAGAGTTTTATCGTTCTCTGATTCCGGTCGACCAGCGTGGATGATGGTCATGTTTTGACGAGTCTCATGTCTTATTATAACTTCTATCAAATCTCATTTTCTTTTCCTTTTCCTTTTCTCTTGCCATTTTGACATCTATTTGCTCGAATTGTAGAACGGATTGTGGCGGTGGCTACGACGACAGGTCAGGACTGTAGACGCGATCTATGTGATCAATGGAGATACCGAGACTCAACACTGCTATAGAAAAGGTCATCATTGGTACAAGAAGACCGACCTGGTCGCTCTCCTCTCCGCTGGGAATTTGTTATCGCGCTCTATCGATAAACGGCGCCAAGAAATCGCCCGTACCTTTTTTTCACCTTTCCAAAGATCCCGCCGGACCACAAAAAAAATCTCCGCATCCACCGACTTCTTTCAACCCTCCCTCTCTCTCCAATCCAACCAGATCCTCTGACCGTCTTCTCAACTGCCTGTCGGTCGATCGTTTCACCATGGCGACCCTGGCGGAGAAGCTGGAGAAGATCAAGTCTCCCAAGCTGCAGAATCAGCAACATGTAAGTCCCCGTCAAATTCTCGTCTCTCCGCTTCACAATCTGGAGATACTTCAATCCCCCCCCTCTCCCCCGCGACAACGCTGTTAACAACTATTCTTCCTAGACGGCCGTGGTGCTTTCCGCAGTCGAAGACACACTCCGCGATCAGAAGGCCGATTTCTCTTCCACAGCTTACTTTGCCGCGCTGTTGGCGCTACTGGGCCAGTCCATCTCCGCTACCCAAGGCATTGTTAACAAGGACCTCGCTACTTCCGTCGTGTATCTACTCGACATCACCACCGCATACGTCCCCGCTTCGATCCTTCGCGCCAAGTTCTCCCACATCCTGACCAGTCTTGCGCCTGCTCTCTCCTTGCCCGAAGTCGAAGCCCCCCTCCTCCGTCCGTCGATCGGCTGTCTGGAGTCGCTCCTCGTTGCCCAAGATGTCGCGGCCTGGCAACTCCCCCACACTCAGATCAGTCCTCGTCGGGCCATGGCTGGCCTGTTGAGCCTGTCGGTCGATCACCGCCCCAAGGTCCGGAGGCGTGCTCAGGATGCTTTGATCAAGGTTCTCAAGAATCCCCCGCCCAGCCCCTCTCTGGATCACCCGGCTGCCGACATGTGTGCAGAGACTGCCATGCGCACCCTGGGCGATAGCATCGCGGCGGCCGCAAAGTCGAAGCGCGGTCGCAACGACCCCCAGAACCGGGACAGCCACGACCCGCTGGTCATCCACTCCCTGCAACTCGTCAAGACGATTGCCGTCGCTTCGGGCGGCTGGCCGAGCAAGAAGATCGAGCCGCTGTGCGAGCTCTTGATGAACGCCTCCCGGTCGACCAACGAGTATATTACGATGGGCGCTTTTGAGGTCTTCGAGGTCATCTTCTCCAGCATGGCCAACGACTTCTCGTCCTCGAAGCTTCCCCGCCTTTTGGAGGCGATCACCGATCTCAAACCCGCACAGAACGATTCGCAGTTGCTGCCTCCCTGGATTGCTGTCTTGTCGCGCGGCTACGATGTGTCCGCTCAGACGAGCCCCGAGGATACCTTCGAGAAGCTCCCTGCCTTGTTCAACATGATCTCCGGCTACCTCGCTTCTCCCTCGCGCAACATCCGCGTGTCCGCATCCGAGTGCTTGGTCTCTTTCCTTGCCAACTGTATCCCCAAGAACGTTATCATTGAGCCCTCCGTTTACGATGAGAAGACGCTCGAGAAGCTGGCTAAGGCCGCTATGGATCTTCTTTCTGTGAAGTATCAGGCCGCCTGGGCGGAAGTGTTCAACGTTTGCGCCGCCATGTTCGACAGCTTCAAGTGGCGCTCGAGCCCCTTCCTTGATGACATTGTCAAGACGATTGGCGAGCTCCGTAGCAACGAGTCTTTCCACGGAAAGAAGGAGGCGGACAATGTCCTGGGCAGTGCTATCGAGGCCATGGGTCCTGCTGCGGTTCTCGAGATCCTGCCTTTGAACATCATCGTCCAGAAGCCCGGTCAACCCGGTCGTGTCTGGTTCCTCCCCGTCCTTCGCGACAACGTCACCAACACTAACCTCGCCCACTTCCGCTCCGAATTCGTTCCTCTGAGTGAAGCTCTTTACCAGAAGGTCATGGCTTACAGCTCCGCTGAGAAGGATGTGGAGGTGAAGATCTTCGAGACCCTTGTCCAGCAAACTTGGGCCATCCTTCCGGGTTACTGTGAGCTTCCTCTGGATCTGATCGAGTCGTTCGACCAGAGCTTCGCAGAGCTGCTGTCCAACGTTCTTTACAAGCAAACGGAACTGCGCGTCGATATCTGTCGCGGTCTGCAGAACCTGGTGGAGTCTAACCAGGCTATTCTCTCCCTCGAAGAGGAGGGCGATGACTTGATTCTGCAGCGCAGAATCACCAAGGAAGCGGCTGCCAAGAACATTGCTCATTTGGCCGGGTTCGCCAGCAACTTGTTGGCAGTTTTGTTTAACGTGTACAGCCAGACTCTTCCCCACTATAGAGGTTTCATTCTTCAGTGCATTAACGCTTACCTGAGCATTACGCCTGAGAAGGTAGGATAATCGCGTCTCGATCGGATTTCGACTATGTTACTGACAACTTTGTAGGAGCTCAACGAGACGTTCGAGCGTGTCGCTTCTATGCTCGAATCCTCTGTGGTTTCTGAGCAGGAAGAAGCCAAGCAAGGCAACCAGCAGGCCAGCTCTGGCAACAAGATGCCCCCTACCTCGCACACGCTGATCGACCTAGTGATTGCTATGTCCATCTACCTGCCCCGTTCCAGCTTTGCCAGCTTGTTCGCCATGGCTGCAGCCATCCTCAACGGACAGACCGGAGACCAGCAGCTAATCAAGAAGGCTTACAAGCTCATCCCTCGTCTGGCTACGACCGATGGTGGTCAGGCCGCGCTTCAAGAACGGAGTGCTGAGCTCCAGACTCTTATCTTGTCTTCTGCCGACAAGACCCCTTCGTCTGCGCGCCGCGACCGCATGTTGGCTGTCCACGAGCTCATCACCTACCTGCCGACTTCTGACTTGCACTTCATTCCCGCCGTCCTCTCCGAGGTGGTCCTGGGCTGCAAAGAGAGCAACGAGAAAACTCGAACTGCATCCTTCGACCTGCTCGTTCACCTCGCAAAGAGGACCATTGACTCCGAACGTAACCCCCCCGGCACCGTGATCCGCAACTCCCTTGTGCCTCACATGCCCGACAACGCTCCCGATGCTCCGGCCACCATTGAGGAGTTCTTCACCATGGTTTCTGCTGGTCTGGCCGGTAGCTCGCCACACATGGTTGCCGCGTCTGTCACGGCTCTTTCCCGCCTGTTCTTCGACTTCCACACTCAGCTCCAAGCCGCCGTGAGCACCGATCTCGTACAGACCGTGGAGCTCTTCCTCACCAGCAACAACCGCGAGATCGTCCGGTCCGTCCTCGGATTCGTCAAGGTCGCGGTTGTGGTCCTCCCTGATGAGGATCTCCGTGCGCGTCTGAGCAACCTGGTTCCCAACCTCATGGTCTGGAGCAAGGAACACAAGGGCCGCCTCCGCAGCAAGGTCAAGGGCATCCTTGACCGCCTGATTCGCCGCTTCGGCGCCGCTCCCATCGAGGAGCTCGTCGGCGAGGCCGACCGCAAGCTGGTGGTCAACATCCGGAAGCTGCGCGAGCGCCGCAAGAAGAAGAGAAAGGAAGGTGAGCAAGGCGACGAGGACGAGGACGAGGAGGACAACGGTGGCGCTGCCGGTGGAGCGGATAACGGCAAGGGTGGCCGCACCTACAGCAACGCCTTCGACAAGGCCGTGTACGACTCGGACTTCTCGGACTCGGACGACGACGCCAGTGAGATCGATGTCGACGAGGAAGGCGGCACGCACGCGCGTGGTCGCCGCGGCGGCAACAACAACAACAGCCGCAAATCCAAGCAGAGCGAGCAGTACATCCGCGAGCAGTCCCCCGAGGACAACCCGCTTGATTTGCTGGCGCCCGACGCCCTGGCCAGCATCTCCACCACGAAACCCAGCGTGCGCTTCCTCAACACGGGCCCCGGCTCTCGCAAGAAGCGCAACGCCAAGTTCGGCCCCGATGGCCGTCTCCTCCTGGGTGACGACAACGACGGGGACGTCTCGACCGCCCTGGACGACAACACCAACAACGGCGGCGACAGCGGCATCAACGCCTACGTCCAGGCCGTCAGCGGACCCGACGCCGTCCGCCGCGGCCAACGCGGCAAGCTCAGGATGGCGCAGTCTTTCAAGAAGAAGTCTGATGGTGGCGACGAAATGGACCTCGACGAGGATGACACGGCTGCCGTGGCTGCCGCGACCAGCTCGCGGCCCGGTCCCGGCCGCCGCGGTCTCGGTGTCCCCAAATCACACGGCCCCAGCGGCGGTGGCCGCATTGAGAAGCGTCGGGATGGTCGCGGTGGTAGATCTGGTGGGCGCGGCGGTGGCTTCCGCGGTGGTGATGGTGGTCGCGGCGGTGGCTTCCGCGGTGGTGGTCGCGGTGGTGGCTTCCGCGGTGGTGGTGGTGGTGGTGGTGGTGGTGGTGGTGGTGGTGGTCGCGGCGGTGGCTTCCGCGGCGGTGGTGGTGGTGGTGGCGGTCGAGGCGGAGGTGGCTTCCGTGGGAACAGAAGATGAAGACGGGGGTGGAACTAGAGGGGGAAAAAAGTCCGATATGAATCAGGACCTTTGATGAAATGATTGCTTATTGATTATCCTATCTATATTCTGATATGCATTTACAACACCACATAACAAGTTCATCATCAAACAAAAGCATGTTCCATTTCTTTTTTTTTTTGGGAGGGGTTGTTCCCGTGAGATCGGAGTCATTGTGACAGATTGTGTCTAGGCCAATGATTCAAAATGTCTCTTTTTGATATTGCCCTTGCCCTTGTCTTTCCTTTGAGTTCTTGTTTTTCTTATGCGCAGGTATCTTATATACCCTTACCTTTTATTCATCTATTTGCTGTACTGTGATGTATGTGTTATAGTCCTATCGTGTATATGGCTCCCAATCTGGATTTCTTTCCATATTGATCAATCCGAGGTATAGATCGCTTCGAGATATTACCTATCTATCTATGTAGGGAGTAAAGGACAGGGAATACCCAGCGATAGCCATCCCTGATCAAACCCGGAGCCATCCATCCATCCATCCATCCATCCACCTACCTACCTACCTATAATGCTGTCTCTCTCTCTCTCTCTCTCTCTCTCTCTCGCGCGCGCGCGCGCGGTTTGGTTATACAGCTGGCGGCGTGAGTGGGTATAACTTTCTAGATAGTGGCGGGTGGTGGGTGGGTGGTGCCCCACGTCAGATCTGATCGCCGGTCTGAGGAGGGACAGATCAATCTAGCTTATTTCATCTGAATGTACGGATCTCTGACCTAGTCAAGAAGAACTTAGGATGATGATATGTTAACGAGAATCTCGGTTTAGTTATAGGTGGGTGCTCCCGGTGGATTATGTTTGTGTTTGCAGTGGGCGGTGAAGCCTTCCACTGCCAGATTGTTTTGTGGTGCAACAACGGGTTAAAGTTCATCGGGACAAACAATCAAACAAAAAGCAATTATAAAGCAGACGGCCACGGCCACGGCACCCACCTCTGGGGGCTTTCAGTCACAACAGAGTTTGACGCAACTCCTGCCGATTAATATAACTTGAAATCATTTTCTACTTCCATGTGGTGAACGAACACAAATGAATTGATCACCCTCACCAGCAGTGATTGGCTGGCTAGGTAAAATGTATGCGTGTCGATGAAGAGAAACTAACCCTATAAGACCTAAGACCCCAAATAGCGCCTGACACTCCCTCCACAAAATAATCAATCATTCCACATATCCCAAAACGTTGGTATCATGCATGCATCGAAAGAAACAGTCAAGACGAGATGACGCTTGATAGAACAGAGAGAAAAGAGAAAAGAATAAAAAAAAAAAAGAAAAGAAGAAAAGAAGGCAATCTACGAAGTCCCCCTCGAAACCTTAGGAAGACGACTTCCGGGCTTTGCCGAGCCATAAATGCCACCATCTGCTGACTCCGAGGACGGCGGCCCGACCGTCGTCTTTACGCTCCGTACCGTCGGGGTTGCCCATCACCATGGAAAATATCCAGAAGAATGCCGCGATCCAGGCGGGCAGCAGAATGGCAATGGAAAATAAAGGCGACAGTAACAGGACAGAGATCAGTCCGCCGATGGTGTACGATTCTAACGGCTCGTCCAGGGAGGATGCCTCCGGATCGTAGATCTGTTGAGTCGACGCCGACCGCTTTGAGGACCGTCGCAGATACACCAACCGCTCGTGGATGTGCAACTGGGGTACTAACAGGCCGCATAACTGGGCACGGAAAGAGGTGTTTCGCAGGTATCGGATGCAAGAACAGAGGCGGAGCGGCGACACGAGGAGAACGAAGAGAAGGCCGAAGATGGTATACAGGGATGCGACGAAGGAGAAGATGGGGACGGGGATGGAGAGTCGGAACTATGCGAGGGAAAAGCGGTCAGCCAAGGCTTGCGCAACGACGCAGCAAGTCATCAGAGAACACGGCGACGTACCAACATCAGGAGTGCATCGGGCTCTTCCTCCTCGGGGGTGATGTCCTCCACGATCGCTCGTTTATGCACCCGGGTGGCGCCGTTCAAGTGGTTGTCGCCGGACATATACGAGGAATGATCGGTCCAACTGCCCCGGCCACGCCCTTCTTTGCGCACCGCCTCGCTCGTCATCGAAGCCCGGGTTACCAAAGAGCCGTTCTCGAGATACGGCGCCGCGACGGCCGTGTCGGGCCTCATGATGGGTTCCGCAGAGGAAGGGTACCCGGTGTCCACGGACCCTGGGTGCGGGCTGGGGACACTCCGTCGCCGGGAAGGGTGGTGGTGATGATGTTGCGTATGGGAGTCTGAAGGCTGCGGGTGGAGCGTATCGTACCCAGAGTCCCGATCGGATGGAGGGGAGCTCTCCACTCCGTGGAGATGACGCTGGGAGGGCGACAATGGAGGCGAATCCGGAGTAATATGTGCGGCAGGAGGAGCGGCCGGGATAGAGTCCGGGAAATAGGCGGTGATGAGTGGGTTGTCACCCTGATGGTGGGCAGCAGAATGGGACATTTCTGGCGGCCTCATGGTGGGTGGAGTAAAAGGGAAAGGGAAGGGAAAGGAAGGGTGAACAGCAGGTCAGGTTGTTAGGTACCAGTTGGTTGACAGTAAACAAGGGCGCAAATCGAGGTTGGGAAGACCCCCTCAGAAATGCCGCGGCAGCAACACAAGGTGGTACAAAGGCATACACAGAACAGCAGGGATGAGTTCACCGCATGGCTTCCAGCGCAAGGGGGGGAAATAGGATAAGGGGACCTTTTTGTGCTTCCTTTGTTCTCTCTCTCTCTATCTCTTGCTCTTCTGATATGATTTGTGTGATAGAAGAGAGAGCCAGCAAGACTGAGTAGGCTTATCTATCAGTTTTGGTTTAAGGCGGAATGAGAGAAGTAGAGGAGAGACGGAGGAGGGGTTGGAGCAGGAGTGGGGGGGATAGGAGAGGGAGAAGAGGAACTGAGGGAGGGGGAGTTGAGGTTCTTTTGGATATCTGGCAGAATACAGGAAGTACACGCCGTTACAACAAGCAGGGAGAGGGAGGAAAAAGAGAGAGAGGGAGGAGGAGGAGAGCGGAAAGAGGAAGAGGAAGAAGAGGTCGACTTATAATGCGACTGCCATGGACGAAGAAGTTACAGAGCGGAACCTCCCAAGAAAAGACAAGAAAAGATGGGCATGTCGGATTTCCCAGGAGCGAACAGCGGAAAGGGAGGGAGGGAGGGAGTTTCTGGGTTGAAAGCAACTTCTCGTTTTTTTCGTTGCCAAGACGCCCAGCTGCCGAGCCCTTGGCATGGGCAACGTCAAAAGTGTGTTACGGCCAAAAGCATTGCGTGGTGTTTTGGCTTTCTCAGGTAGAGAGAGAGAGAGAGAAAGTAGATGGGAGCCAGAGGGAGGAAGATTGGGGATAGGGTGGGGGGGGGAGGGAGTGTTTTCAAAGACCGGATCGCAATTCAGCCGGATGCGGGCAGCGCGGAGAGTGTCAGGAAGATGGAGAAGAGGGAGGAGGAAGGAGGAGGAGGAGGAGGAGGAGGTAAGAGAGAAGCAGAGGACAAGGAAGTGGAAAGAGGGAGAGGAATGGAGATGGATAGGGGGGGAGAGGGAGAGGGAGAGGAGGAGGAGGAGAGAGGAAGACGCGAAGGACACCACAGGGTCCAGAACACGAAGCCATGGAGAAGAAAGGATGATATTATTGATCCTTCAACAGCTCAACTAGATTCATTTGTGTTTTGTCTTGAGTTATTCCTCTTGGCAGAAGATAATTCCCTCCAGGCTCCAATTATAATGCCGGACTAGGATGGGCTGCCAAGCCCGCCAAGGCTCTACGGGGGGAAAAGCGAGACCAGCCAGAGCCAGTCAGGGCTGACTTCTTCCGCATTCGGAGATGGTCGGTTGGCCTTGGCAAGTTGGCAAACCAATTGTGCTGAACCGCGCCCCCCCTCCCCTCTTTATTCTCTATCGGCCAACCTGACCTGATCAGCCCCATGGAATTCAATGCCGGAGCCCCGGCGCTTTTTTACCTCCCGACCGCCTGCAGCCTGGTTGTGTGAGATGGAATGCGATGCGATGAGATGAGATGAGATATAATGCCATGCCATGCCACGGGACAAGCGGAGATATTTTGGATTCAAACAAATTTCAGCATGACGTCCCGGATGCCACAGATTCCCCCAGACTCTCTGCTGGATCCGTGGAAATGCACAAACCAACAAACCAATAACACCGCCGAGCATTGGCAGTCTCCTAGTATACTGACTCCCCTCCCTTACTGTATGGTACTGAACAACTTCTAGCCGGATTGCCGACTTGGAGGGGGTCGTGTCCAGCTGGTCGATCGTCAATAAATTAGGTAACGCCGACACCTGGTGGCGGTCCACCAACTCTTATTTTCTCGCGCCGCGTCTGTCCTACAGTGATTAGTTATTACTGTCTTTATCGGGGATCGTCTTCCAATCCCGTCCACCGCAATCGCTCTTACTTATCCTCGGTCCTATAACAGCAATCAGGGTCTTCACAAATCTCACACTCACCTTGGGACCACAAGCAATCGCCGACCTCGATCGCGCAACCCTCTCGGAAGCACATTCTCAGCAGGAAAATGCAGGAAAAAAGGATCATGGCCTATCCACCACCGTCTTGCCTTGTCCGGGTCTTGGACCCTGGGCACTCGTGATTTTCCGAGAGAGGGGGCAGTCGTACAGTTTCACTGCTCATCACGGTCTGGGCAAACCTATCCCGTTGGTCCATCCAAACCCGCCAGGAGATCGAACCGAGTCTTGGCTACCATGCCCAGACGTTAGGCTGCGAAAACTATCCTGCTTGGCCAAGGGGGGAGGGGAAAGAAGAAAGAGGTCGATCCGTTTGCTGTTTGCGTGGCATCCATGCCCAGTGACACAAGATGATGTTCGGTGTACACCCGTGAAACCCAGGCCCGCAACAAGGGGCCCGGCCATCATGACTGTGTTTGTCATACCCGGCCGATAGATTGCTTCCTAGAACCTGATCGAGAACAACTACCAAGATCAACGTCCCAGCCCATGCATGTGAAGCTTGCGGGGGAATTGTGCTAGTCCCTCCCTCCCTTCCCTTCGAGCGGTCGGGTTTGGAACCACGGCGCATATCTTGTGTGACGGGTTGTTCTGCGGGAGGGACATGGGGGATTGTGGTCAATGAGTGAGTCTTGTGGTCGAAGAGATATTCTCCTGTCGGCGCAGCAATCAATAGTGCTGCTTGAAGCGCTGGTGCTTACTACCGGTAGGGGACTTGACTTCCATTCTTCGCTCTGGGTCATGACTTTGGTCGTCTTGATGTCCTTGTGCATTGTCCTGACTCTTTATGTACTCGGCATCATCCGTGACAAACTTTGATATAATCCGATTCTACCAGCTGTTATCTGATCTGGTAGAGTTTTCGCATGATTCAATATCGGTTTGTCTTAGGCTTTCCTTGGTTCACTAATAAGTTATCGTGCCCTACTTCGTACGAATGTAGTCTCGCTGAATATGACCATAATAGCATCGATGCATGCCCAGAATCCATCTGGAGTTTCCTAAGAGTATTCACATGTCCTTCCACTATGGTACTCGCGATATCACAGAGCTCGAGCTCCATCCATACCCGCGATCCGGGGTCCTAAGATCCATCACCATGATCCAGAACAATCAGACCCAGCATCAAACCCAGCATCAAACCCAGCATCAAACCCAGCATCAAACCCAGCATCAAACCCAGCATCAAACCCAGCATCCAGGCAGACAACAAACCCAGACCCAAAGCCCGCATGCCTATAATCCTCATCCAAATGATCTTCCTGCAAGGAGAAGTAACGCGCAGGAACCTACCGATCAAGACCACCTCGACTCCCTCCGCATCCTGAAAAACAAACCCATCAAACCTCAAGATGGAATGTGTATAACTCCCTTGTGGCTCTACTCTCGATAACACAAACCAAGACCCAGTTCCTGCCCACCAACTCATCATCTTCCTTTCCTTTGTTTTTAATTGGCGGCCATCTGCAGATGATGTCATCCCCGTGTCCTAAGGCAGCGCAGCGCAGCCGGAGCATCGGCGTCATCGGTGTTCAGGATTCCGAGTCGATCGGTCACCATGGGGCCTGTAGTGATGATGGGATGGCTTCGCTTGGTGAACTTGAGAGAAAATAACTCGACGAGCCTCTCGTGATTCGATACCTGGACCTGGGTTTGCGGCATGTCGACTGAGTCAGGTTGTGAGACTCGCGTCGAGTGCATCAAGGTATGTTGTGCGCGACGCGGATGCTGGGGCTGCCGGGTTTGATGGGCTTTTTGTTTGCGCTTGCTTGGGTTGAGAGGGGGGCTGCGGGGTGGTGTTAGAGGTACGTGATGGCATACTTTAATGGGGTATATTTGAACCAGGTTCGGTGCGCGGCCTTGGGGAGATGTTTCTCGGGGTCTTTGATTGAATGTGTACTGTATGTCGGGTTTCCCGTCGTATAGCTGCTCGTTGAATGTGATGGTGGTCTACCTGTGATATCTCTGTGGAGATGGATTCTACTTGATATGTGGCTTGCAGGTTAGGATTCGCAGTTCGAGATACTCTTTTGTGTTCGGACATGTATATGAACGCGATGCACATATTGAAGCCTGTGTTCTATCTTCGATGATCAGCTTAATGGTGTACATCCTCACCATCTCAGGTCTATTCTCTTCCCCGTCACATTCAGTCAGACTCTCCAAACCTCAGCATCGGCAAGCCATCCATACAATACTACGGCCCGTCCAGCTCTGTCGCTCTATCACCATCGGCGCTTTCAAAACATCTGCAATCCAACCAGACCGAAGAGATCTGCAATGCGGATCTGTGGCTCAAGCTGTACTCGGCTCGAGCAACATTCATACTCAGACCACCTCCAGACGACCTCTCCGATAGTACCCTGGTGATAGTCTGAAAGAGTGAGAGAGATAGAGGATAACCCGGACTTCATGACAGTGTCGTAACCCCCCTTTCGTCTCAGCAACCCTGACCCCAAAGAATCTCAATGCCATCCCCAACACAGGTTGGACTTCACAAACAAGCCAAACCAAACGGACTTCACCCCTAACCCCGAACGCCCATCATTCCATCTTGCTATACACTTTCACTATTCAAAGCAGAACTGATTTCGTCCACCATGCCTATTCCTACTTGTGGCCGGCTCCCTTCGGTTACCGGGAATAGGTAGTTCTATGGTACTCAAAGCACTCTGATTCTTTGCTGGGTTTACCTTTTCTATACCAACTCGCATATGTATCTGAAGTTATGGTAGGTAGCGAGGAGAAGCTGCTTCATTTTTGCTATCGCTGCGTTCCTGAGTACTACCGATACTCATGAAGATAAAGTAGGTATCGGATAGGATTACTCCGTATAGGTTGAGGCCACATTTCGGTGAGCAGCTCTTTTGTACAGGTTTGCAGGCTTTTTGCTGAGTCCTTTCTGTTCATGACGAGCGAACGCCGTGCTATGATAAAGCAAATTGAATTCGGGATCAGGAGCTTCGTATTGCTCTCGAGGCCGCTTGTTCCTGGAAGGATAACATGGTATACGGTTGATGGTCTGATGCTTTACTCAATGCTAGAGCCTAGATATCTGATTGACAGCATCGGTCTAGTGATTACACTTTACTTGAAGCTCGTGATGAGCCTCTATGAGTTAGATGATCAGCAGAAGAGCTCGCGCAAACGAATGTGTGGATCTGTCTTCTTCCACACGGACAGAATTTGCAGAACACACTGCTCTAACTTGACAGGCAGTACAGATAACTAGCTAGCAAGCGTATTAGAGTCTCTGGGCTCTGACACTGATCAATCGCGGACCCCGAGGCAGGTACTCGGATATAGCAAAGCTGATTGACTACATTACTTCGTACCATTCGCGAATCTCCTCCTGAGAAACCATCTCAAACACTTTAGATCAGATCTTCTGCCAACAATTCGAGATAACAATCTGGACAACTGAACCCAGCCATCCATCTCCACAACATGTTTCAGCCCAGAAGCTGCCTAACAATGCCCAGTAGTTGTGCAGAATTGGTTATCATGCTTATCAAAGCTTATGCACTGCATAGACGCATCCCCATGAAGCCAAGCCAATCACATCGCCGCTATTTTGCAGCATTCCTCGAAGGACAGGTGGGCAACGCCTTACGGAGTATGTAACTAAGCGAAGCGAACTTCAACATAGGGTATTAATTATCCGGCCCGGTCTAAATGGAAACTACGGAGGAACGACCCCGTTGCCTCAACGGGAATTTTCCCTCGGCAGTGGAGATGCTGCTGGCTGCTCGGTCGCTGCCTTAGGCCACCACACACTTTTTCCTACCGAATGCACGAACGTACAGGGGAGCAAGTGAATATTATATCTGAATAGATAAGTCAGTTTGCTATCACGGTTAGTTATTATGCAGTCCTAGAGAAACAAGATAAATAACCGGGCGGTAGTTAAGTCTCAGGAAATCTCCTAGCTCGGCTCTTCCTCGAAGAATCCGAGATGGAAGAAAAGAAGGGGAGCACTCGGGACTCCGGCCGCGCCAACAGCCCCCCCCCCCCTCCTTCCTTCACCTCCACCTTTTCCTTCGGCCGGCCCCGGTGTGGGTGTGGATGACGCGCGCGAGACACGCCCACTTTTCTTTTTTGGTCTTCCATCACGAGTTTGTGAGACATTGCCTGCTCGCTCCCTTCCCTACCGGTTGTTTAGCGTGCAGCGGAGCCACAAAATCACTTTCTGTGTTGTGTATATTATCGAGGTCTGACTTAGTAAGATACTATATTAGACAAGGTTACCTCACAGACAGACAGACAGACACAAACAGACTACAGGGTGGGTTGCATGATGCTGTGTAACCTTGATCCCTTACTATAATCCCTACCGGTAGTTAGTTGCTTAGCACCAGAACTTGGAACCCAGACATGCGGATTAGGGGCAACCAGAAAGCTAAAACAAATATATACACAGAAAAAGAAAACAAAACAAAACAAAGGCCCGTCCGCCCGCCCGCGCCCGCTCTATTGAAATTGAGACACGGGTAATCTATGTGTCGTTAGTTTGAGTTTGGTTGCTTTCCCGATGTTCGGTGGTGTTTCTCTCTACTGTATTTATCTACCGGCGGACTAGCTAATTAGCTTAAGATATTAACTAAGGTTAATGCTGTTAATTATATATGTAGGCATTTAGTAGCTGCTGTGTGATCATAATGGATAACTAACAGCCTGGTTTCCCCTGTGTGCGCTGGCTACACAGGCTCCTTCCTCATGCATGCACACATAACACAGACGCAGACACAGACACAGACACAGACACAGACACACCCCCGGGTCTGCACGCTGGCGAGATACCTACCTTGCTGTGTGGATTGTGGCTATCACCGGATCAGCCTTCTGTTCTTGGTGGTCGCACTTGTGGGACTGACACTGCAGGGCGTGGTGCTTTGGGGTATTCTCTTCTTTATAACTATCTGCCTATCTGTCTATCGTGTAGGCTGGGGAATAGGAAGTGAAGGCCACTCCTATTGATCTGGGTTTATTGTTGATTCAGGTTGTTATTGTTTGGCGGGATGGAATTGTGGGTTGGATGACTGCTTGGCTGCCCGCCCGGCGTGGGCCCAGGCTGACAGTGCCAGGCTGTTGTTGCCGAGTGTAGGGTGCAGTAGGGTTGTCTCCTCCGTATGTACCATGCAGGAGCAGTGGTGATAATTGCATCTAGAAAACAAAGCCGGTCTCCAGTTTCAGAGTATCGTATATGGGAGTTGTCTTGCCGCTGGCGATCTGGGTCAAGCTGTCAATCGCCAGGGGAACCTACTGCGAGTCTGCGATGATGGGGCTGATGGCACTGGGTCACGTTATATATAGCCCGTCCCGTCTTCATACTCTGAGCTCTGTGCACACCGCAATCCCGAAATTGTTTACATTCCAAGATTATCAGAAATCTGCACGATAAGGATAAGATAGGATCAATCTTGAAGAGGTACGAAAGGAACTTACCTACTATGTACTCGTACTTTTTCTTACGATCTTCTGTCCCCTTTGTCCCTTAAGTAACCCACATACCGACCGATCGCCGATGCAATGTATGCACCTGTTCTCGTGTTTGAGAGATACATTGCTGGGCGGCAACTAACCCGTAACAGTATGTGGGCTGGCCACGCAAGAAGACGAAGTATGAGGACTGAAGAGAAAAGAAAAATGAACGGAATGGGGTGGTGGGTGGATTCTTCTGGTCTGGCTGGCAGCTTCCGGTCGGTCGGGTAGACTACAGTACTGATTCAGGGCAGGAAGCAGTGAAGCACGGATGCGTGAGGGAAACAGAAGCAGCCCAGGGCGAGGGCACGCATGCTCCGCTCCGTCTCTCAGCCCCTCCACTAGACTACGGGATCTGTCAACCAGCCCAAAAACAAAATCAATCATGGATTGTCTGACATGCTACCGGTTCCAGCAGATGGCTTGGAAAATTCGATCCGTTTGAGATTCACGCTCCCGTATCACCCCGCAGATGTCTCGTCTCAGATACAATACCGATATTTTTTTTTTTGTCGTGTTGGCAATGGAGTTCGCGATCTTTGGGCCGGGATCGATCATGGAAATAATTCGATTAGGGTGCGTGCCGACCACTAGATCAAAGGGCGATTACTCGGATCCGGTAAAAGGGGCCTAACGTAATGGTCACGAAGGGGGCGTTGTTGGTGTGTCCTTGTCCACTGTCCACTGTCCAGGTCTAGAAATCCGGACCATACCGTAGGAAGTTAGGTAGATCCAGACAATTACTTTGCCGGGTGGGTGGCCCCGAGTTTGACTGAGCTGGAACTGTAATTATGGTGGGGGAAGATACTAAGGAAAAGACCCTGCGGTGAGTTGAACAACAAACAAAAGTCCCAAAGCCAAGGTGTGAGTGCCTAGGTCAGGAATCGGTGCCCAGTCATGAAAGGTGCCGTGCTAGGTGGCTTTTTGCGTACTGAGATGGGAAAAGATGGGTGGTGAAGTCATCAGGGAAGAAAGGGCCAGATGTTATTTTCCCAAAGTGAGAGAATAACTAAAATGGGAACTCGTCCGGAAAGAGAAAAGGGTAGAAAACGGAAAAGAAGAGGGGGAGAAAAGAGGACGGAAGGGGGGTAAAAAGCGAAAAGCGCAAAGCAGAAAAAAGGATCGGCCCACCCAGGTGATGTATCAAGATCATCGACATCAACAGAAAAGCCGACGGATCAGCATCGGGTAAGGCCCACTCGAAGGGAATCCGTTAGGAATCCATGGCTGGTGCCGCAGGCATCCATACTTACTTACCTAAGTTACCGTACTCATGCCTCATGTGGGAGGGATCCCGGCGCTTAGCTAAGCCCGTTGCGTTGCTTGCAGTCCCCAGCGGCTGAAAGCCTCTTAGCAGGCCATGACGGAAGGGGCAAGGGAACCAAACCGAGTCAAAGCCTGGGGACGGGAGACAATCCATTCTACTCGTACGAAGTAGATGATGTCCGTACCACACCCCTACAGATGCCACTTTCTTACCTTGGTACAGCGTCCATATTCGCCTCCTGAAAGTGACGCCTCCCCATGCAGACAGCTGCAAGTCAATACGGACTTTGCCAATCTGTCAGACGGCTGAGCATAAGCGGGACTTATGCAGTCAAAGATAGACTAACAGTGGCTGGCCCTCTAGGTCTGACAGCTGGGAAAGAGGGACGAGGAAGGAGGGGAACAATGGGGGGGAGATGAGGACGGTTGGACGGTTCGACGATTTGACTTGCCAACAGATTGGATGATAGACCGATCATCGTTGCCGGAGTACGGAGTACTCGGGTCGAGCCATGGGGGACGGGATGGAGAAAGCGTGGTTGAAGATTGGACCGCAAGGTAAGTGAGTGTGTGCAAGTGCATGTATTGTCCGTCGTAACCCTTTGAGGGCTGATGGCACTTGGGACTTGGGTCATTGGGGCCGGGCGGGCTACAGACAACTGCAGCATTTGGGTTTTGCAGGTGGTCCGAGTGCGGAGTAACGCCTCATGCCTGACTAGGCTGCCCGGGAGCTTAGGTGGTTGAGCTTATGCGGTTATGGCCATACGCCAGTCATGCCCGCAGAGTGCCCGTAGGTCGGTTGCCGCCCCACCACCAAACGCGGGCAGAAATTATGGGCAGCGTTCCGTTGATAATAATGCAGTGTTCTATTTTCTTTTCCTTTTTTCCTTTTTGACTTTTTACTAAGTAGGTAAAATAGGTATTTCTTTATTCCCAAGAAATCCCACCCAGTGGCACGGGGAAGTGAGGTCGAGTGGGTCCAGCAGCCCATGGTCCACCTGCAGTCTTTCGGCGAGTCACAGCCGGGGGTTCGTGCTAGACCTCCCACTCCTCATCCCTGGAGCTGCATTTTTGGCTCCGGCGCTTGCATCCTCGTCAAACACTGCCCTGTTTCGGGGCGGTTCGACTCCATACCCACTAAATTTTCTCCCACTGACTCCGCCCGTCCCCATGCACAATCCACCCCCGTTCCCTCTTATTATCTTATACGGTTAGTCTAATGAAAGCAGTTACATTGAGCCTATTTAGTCCAGTGACTTTGCTGAATCTGCTCCTGGTCTAACTTCCTAAGTACTCAGAGCCCTAGTTGCTCAGTTGTTCAACTGCTAGATAAGTCACTATCACATTCGCCCCGCCTGCCATCCTCTGACACTAAGCCTTTCCTTTTTTCGTTGCCGTTGGTGATACAATTCTTAGTATAGAGTTCAGCCGTCATCGGGAGTAGCTCGCTAGCTTCTCACAAGCAATGAGCTGTGAATGCGTCGTAGTTAAATCTACAGGCTACAAAAGTAATTGTGAGTTGTGATCTGTAATGGTGTAGAGTATCTGTGAAGCTCTTGCCTTGCGGCCTCAGGCATCAAGATATTTTATCTCGGTTGTACGCGAGCACATACATAAGCACAAAGTACTGTAAAACGAACAGTATCAACCATGGTGACTAACTACCTACTGTGCCGTCCTTTCTGCATGCTGCTGCTGCTGCTGTAGCTGCTGCTGGGTCGAATGCAACCCCCCCCCCCCAGTCTCAACCTGAAGTTCGGCGCCCGGAAAATATTAACTGTAAATACCCGCGGACACGACTCCAGATTTGTCTCCACCCACTAGGCCGTTCCTGGAGGTCGAGCTGCCTGTCTTTGGCTTGGCGCCGGACGACCGCCATCTCAGTTTTCCGTGCTTTCCTTGGGTTTCGCTGACTGCTCCAGAGCTGCACAACCACTAGCGTCTCTTGGCATTTCTCGCTCTCTACCACCAGCCCCTCGACCTTCCCTCTTCCTCTTCCTCTTCTTCTTCTTCTTCCTCTCTCTCTCCCTCTTCTCTTCTTCTCTCTTTCTCCTCCTTTTCCGTTTTGTTTTTGGCTCGCCCTCCCCCCCTCCCTGCCAATTAAACCCACCTTTGTTTTATTCCCCTGATTCCTCAATCCTCTTCTCGACCCCCCTTCCCGCCAATTTTCTCCACCATCCCTTGCTTGTGTCATTTGGCTTCATCATCCCAGGTGTTCAGTGCTGCCGTTCGATCCTTTTTACCTTGCCGTGTTCTTGTGTAAACCTTCCCACCCGCGCTTCAACCCCCAAACACCCTCAGCGATCCAGCTGCAATTCTGACTCGATCCATTGTTGCAAGCACTTTAGCGCTTGCATATCCCGCTTATTCTTCGAGCCTGACAGCGCCCCGGCCCATTCCGCATCTGCCCATCACGTCCTCCCGTCTTCGCGAGGTGGGTTCGATCTTGTGTGAAATCGTCTCGGGATCCCGTCGCGTTTCGACTCAAGGTGGTTGGGTCTAGTTTGCGCGACCACCTATATCTGGATTGTACGACCTCGCAGTAGCACAAGTGCTCGTTGCATCATCGTGTCGCAAAGTGCATGGGAGCATAAACCTTGAGGATCCGCATCACTCGGTTGTGTCGCGTCTCGCCTGAATCCTGTATCAACACCATGGCCCACACACAGCCATCGCCCACGGGGGGTGTGACCCCTCACCATGGTCATCTCGCAGCTCATCCGCAGGTCAATGGCCACCTACCCTTGCAATCCCAGAGCCAGAAGGGCCCTCCCTTGACTACCGCGCAGAAGATTGCTGCCTTGAACGAACAAGTCTGGCTACAAATCGGTACGTAGATGTATAAGCGCGTTCATGTTGTAGGATTAGGGTGTTGGTCGTCTGCGCTGAACCGCCGCTAACTGTCTGCCTGAAGGAAGTCTCACCGAACTGATTGGCGACCTCGATGGTGCCATGAATGCCTACGAACAAGCATTGCGACACAATCAGTGGTCTATCCCTGCCATGAATGCCATTTCTTGTATATTGCGCACCAAGGAACAGTTTCCCAAGGCGATTGAGTACCTGCAAAATATCCTCAAGCTGGACCCGACCAGTGGTGAAACATGGGGTAGTCTGGGTATGTTGAGCTTGTCCGATGTATCCTATCCATCGCTAACTCATGGCGCTCAGGTCACTGCCATCTGATGATGGACAATCTGCAGGAGGCATACACCTCCTACCAGCAAGCGCTCTACCACCTACGTGATCCCAAGGTCAGTAACGTGTTGATCGGTGTCGGTCATGAGAACAGCAATTCTGATACATGGAACAGGAGCCCAAGCTGTGGTATGGAATCGGTATCCTCTATGATCGCTATGGCTCCCTGGATCACGCCGAAGAAGCCTTTTCTCAAGTCATGCGCATGGCGCCTGACTTTGAGAAGGCCAACGAAATCTACTTCAGGCTCGGTATAATATACAAGCAGCAGCAGAAGTTCAACCAAAGTCTCGAGGTATGTCAGTTGCAGATAACGTGCTATTGCCGTGGCCTCTTCGAGTCTTGTACTAACAAGCCAAATCCAGTGCTTCAAATACATTGTGACCGACCCTCCCCGCCCCTTGACCGAGGAGGATATTTGGTTCCAAATCGGCCATGTTCATGAACAACAGAAAGACGTAAGTTCCTTGCACCTAGACAGCAAAGGCAGCCAAAGCTAACTCGGCTACAGTTCGATGCTGCGCAGCAAGCCTATAGACGAGTTCTCGATCGTGACCCCAATCACGCCAAGGTTCTACAACAGCTTGGTTGGCTCTACCACCAGCAAAGCAATAACTACGCTAGTCAGGAGAAGGCGATTGAGTACTTGGAGAAGTCCGTCAGCGCAGGTGAGTAACCCCTGTTTTTGTCTAGCCACAACACGACGCTGACGATGCATGGAATAGACAATACCGACGCGCAAAGTTGGTATCTGTTGGGTCGCTGCTACATGTCTCAGGCCAAGTACCCCAAGGCGTACGAAGCCTATCAACAGGCTGTCTACCGCGACGGACGCAATCCGACTTTCTGGTGCTCCATTGGTGTCCTGTATTATCAGATCAACCAGTACCGTGATGCGCTGGATGCTTACTCCCGTGCGATCCGCTTGAACCCTTACATCTCGGAAGTGTGGTACGATCTGGGGACTCTGGTAAGTGGTAACGTCTCGAGTTCTATCAGATTGAGTACTAACTTTGCCCTTAGTATGAGTCGTGCAACAACCAGATTGCGGATGCACTTGATGCCTACGGTCGCGCCGCTGACCTGGATCCGACCAACGTTCACATCAAAGCCCGCTTGCAACTGCTCCAGAGCCAGCTCTCAGGTTCTGGTCAAAGCAACGGCCCGGCTCCTCAGCCTCAGGATGTCCACCCGCAGGCCTATCAAGCACCTGGTGTTGGAGCCCCCCCGGCGCCTCAATGGGGTGCACCAGCCCCCACTGGTGGACCACCCCCGCAGGCTCCTGCGCCTCCGAGACAGATTGCTGACTGGAACCGTGGCATCAACGAAGTCCAGTCCCACGTTCAAGCCCAAGCCGCCAACGGATTCGATCACCGTGACGCTCTCCGTGCTCCTAGCTCCCTTCAGCAACCGAGCCCGCGGCAGGAGCCAGGCAGAGTGTTTCCCGATTCCGTGCGTGCCCAGCCGACCGTTCGCTCGCCCAAGACTACACTGCCCGGCGGTCCAAGCGCTTACGGACCTGGTCACACCCTTCCTCAGCTCGCTACTACTGTTCCTGCTGCTGATCGCACTCCTGGCGCTTCTGCTGCCTTCTCTTCCGCGACACGTGGCCCATTGCCACCGGCCCCCGCTCCTCCGGCCCCGAGTGTTGCGAACGGCGCTCCCACTCCGGGCGGCACTCTCCCTCCTTATCACCCCCCCTTCACCCCGCCTACTGAGATCAGACCCCTCCGTGACGAGCGGCCGACATCGCCTGGCTCTACCTACCCACACCAACAGTACCACCATGGCCCCAGCGTGCCGCCTAGTGGCAGTGGCATTGCAGGTGGCGCGCCCCCGCCGGCTTCCGCCATTAGCGCCGCAGAAGCGGCTGCCCGGGAGCGCGAGGACCGTCCTGGCTCTGCTATGAAGCGTGGCAGAGAATGGGACCCCGAGCCCGGCCCTGCCAAGAAGATTGCCAGCGAGGAGAACCGCGCTCGTTTGGAAGAACAGATGACCCGTCGCGTCACTCCTCCCAATCGCATGCCTTCTCCCGGGGAGATGCAGCGACGTAGCTCGTCCGAGGCTCGCCGTGAAGACCAACGCCGAGTCAACGAGAACTACCACCCGTCTGAGGCGGCTCACCACCCTCCCACGCTGCCGTCTATCCAGCACATGCCTCCCCACCCGTCCGGCGGTCCCAGTCTGCCCCCTATGTCGGAAAGCTCGGCCACGGTCTCTAACGGACCCCAGTCCGGACCTCCGTCGGCTTCTGTGCCGGTTAAGGAGGAGCCTGCTCGCAGCGAACAGCCCCCGGCCCACGAGCCCGCTGCCCGGAAAATGGACGTGGATGAGAACTACGATGACGACGGCGATGATGAGAAGAGAGCCTCCGCTGCAGTCAAGGGTAGCCCCTCGGGTAGCGCCAACAACAGCAGCAACGGTGTTCTGAGCGGTGCATCCCAACCTGCGCAAACCAAATCCGAGTCTACTCCTGCAGTTTAGAGTCCGGTGGTGTGACTTCCTTTGGATGATCCATCACGGAATGTCTCGACAGTTGTCACATGACGCCAGCACAAGAGCAACTGTTCGCAATGAATAATTCTACTATGAGATGTCTCTCTGCCCTCGTTACCCTTCATTTCCCATCTTTCCTTGGTTTCGTCTATATATTTTTTTTTCTATTTCTGTTGGCCAATCCGTTCGCCCGCTGTTTTATCACGAGAGCTTGTTTGTATTGTAGTCTTGGCAATTCATGGGTCGGTTTTTATGGTCAACGCTTTCTGTATCGAGTCTACTATCTTAGCCCTTCAATAACGCATTCTCCTATTCCAACATGTTAGGTTTCTAGAGTCAGTGACTGTAGCCGTTGCCAAACGTTGAACCGTTCAATACTACGAGGATGTGGGATGAGGCGATATCCATATAAGTCACGAGGATACCGAGTGGTTCTGGTTCTGGAAAGCCTGGAATTCGGATAATAAGTGTCCTTGGTGCCAAGGCTCACCGTGCGTTTCAAGCGTGGAGAACTAGCGCTGGGATGGATTTGGGGCTGAGGGAGGATGCGACGTCGTACAGGAGGACACAGGTATGCTGGGCGTGCGACCGTCTGGCCCACCCAAGCAGGTTCTGTTGCAATTGACACATCCGGGCAGATCATCAGCGGACGGTCATGCTTTAGATGGAAAGAAACCCCCTAAAGGGGAAAAGAGGGGGAATGCAGTGGGTGGTTGAGGTCCGGTCCCACCGGCTGGAGAGAAGAAAAGGATGTGTGTGCCCTTTCAGTTGTTTCGTGTGGCGGTGGAAGGAAGGAATTTCTCACTAGGTTTGGTCCGGAACCGCTGTCTGCCTGAGGCAGACAGAAACTGGAGCCGGCTTATCGCTTAACCCCATTGGGAAGCCGTCGCCAAGAGTTCGCTTAGATCAGCCCACAATTCGTTAAGCGTGCAAAATACGACTTCCGCCAAATTCAGAGATAGACACTCTCACTCACCACTTCGACGACTAACGACAACAGGGTCAAGATGTAAGTCGCCCTCACCGGTGATGCGTTCACGTTCAATCTCGAGATGAATCCGAATCGCTGATGGATTTGAATTTTTCAGGAGTCACCGGAAGTACGAAGCGCCTCGGCACGGTTCGTCAACCTTTGCTGCTTTTCACCATTCGCTCGACGTTGGAAGATGAAGTTTTTTTTGTCTGGACTGGGTACTGACATGGGTCGATACAGGCTCCCTTGCCTACTTGCCCCGCAAGCGCGCTGCCAGACACCGTGGAAAGGTCAAGAGGTCAGTCATCTAGATGAAGGGAAAAAATTTTTCTTGGTGCAATCGCGATTTCGAAGGCAGTATACTGATTTTTTTTTTTTGCTTCGCGACAGCTTCCCCAAGGATGACCCCAAGAAGCCCGTCCACTTGACCGCCACCATGGGTTACAAGGCCGGTATGACCACTGTTGTCCGTGACCTCGACCGCCCTGGTGCCAAGATGCACAAGAAGGAGATTGTTGAGGCTGCTACCGTTATCGAGACTCCTCCTGTACGTGAACCGACTCCGGCTGCAGGAGAGACGCATTCTCTCTCTTCCGGGCGCATGCCCTCGTTACTTAAGCACCCACTTACATATCATATTCCTATAGCTTGTCGCTGTCGGTGTTGTCGGTTACATCGAGACTCCCCGTGGTCTCCGCTCTCTCACCACCGTCTGGGCTGAGCACTTGAGCGACGAGGTCAAGCGTCGCTTCTACAAGAACTGGTACAAGAGCAAGAAGAAGGCTTTCACCAAGTACGCCAAGAAGCACGCCGAGGAGAGCGGTGCTTCCATCACCCGCGAGCTCGAGCGCGTCAAGAAGTACTGCACTGTCGTCCGTGTCCTCGCCCACACTCAGATCCGCAAGACCCCCATCAAGCAGAAGAAGGCCCACCTTATGGAGATCCAGGTCAACGGTGGCTCCGTTGCCGACAAGGTTGACTTCGCCCGCAACCTCTTCGAGAAGCCCATCGAGATCGACAGCATCTTCGAGAAGGACGAGATGATCGATGTCATTGCCGTCACCAAGGGTCACGGTTTCCAGGGTGTCACCAGCCGTTGGGGCACCAAGAAGCTTCCCCGTAAGACTCACAAGGGTCTGCGTAAGGTCGCTTGTATCGGTGCCTGGCACCCTAGCCACGTCCAGTGGACTGTGGCCCGTGCTGGTCAGATGGGTTACCACCACCGTACCTCTTGCAACCACAAGGTCTTCCGTGTTGGCAAGGGCTCCGATGAGGGTAACGCCTCCACCGAGTTCGATATCTCCAAGAAGCAGATCACTCCGTAAGTGCCCTATAGTGCCTTGCCTGGTTACCACAACTTAACTAATATCATCTCCAGTCTTGGTGGTTTCGTCCGCTACGGTGAGGTCAAGAACGACTTCCTGCTCCTCAAGGGTTCCGTCCCCGGTGTTAAGAAGCGTGTCATGACCCTCCGTAAGACCCTCTACCCCCAGACCAACCGCCGTGCCACCGAGAAGGTCGAGCTCAAGTGGATCGACACCTCGTCCAAGTTCGGTCACGGTGCTTTCCAGACCCCCGAGGAGAAGCGCGCCTTCCTGGGTACCCTCAAGAAGGACCTTGTTACCTCTGCTTAGGGTGTTTAGGGAGATTTCGGTTTGGAGTAGTGCGAATTATATTTTCTTTCAATAAAAAGCGAATACCTTTCAAGTCTGCTCCTATGACTGGAAAGTTAGTCCGGCCTTTTCCTCTGGTCTAGTTTACGTAGTCGGACGTCAATTTATGACAAGTTAATTTATGCCCAATGATTGAATTTATGTTTGCAGTAGGGAGTTAAAGTAGAACTATAATTCTGTTGAAGTTTCACGGTCAAGGAGAAAGGCATTTCTGATGCATACAGAGCATAATGCACGGTTGGTTTGTGCGTGAAAAACTTGCCATCCGCAGGATCAACCGCATCCTGACCACGGCAAACAAACACTAGTACCACCTACTCCAGTTCCTTCTAGAACCCGGTTCGAAATGTTTTCTTGTCTCTTCAGAGAGAATCTCTTCTTTCTGGGCTAGTCCTCTCCAACCCGTCACGGTCAGATGATGAGCGCCGCACTGCGACGGGGGCCGCACAGCCGCAGCAGCCATTGCGTCATTGATCGCATCTCGCGTTGGGCTTCATCTTCACTTCCATCTCCCGCCCTGCCCACGCTTTTCTCTACTCACATCTTCTTACACCAACGAACCCAAATCCGTGCATCACGACTACAGACCTCGCAATACCACCACCAGTGCCTGTCCCGAGTCCATCACCCGAGCAGCACCCTCATCCCATCTCGCAAAATCACCCGCATCACCACCACCACAACGACAAAAATCACCACCCGCACCATGTCCTCCGACGACGCCTACATGTCCTTCCTCAACAAAGCCAACGCCGACCTCGACAGCGCCAAATCCACCGCCCAACCCTCTACCTCCGCAGCTGCACACACCGAAACCGTCCACACAGGCGTCCGCATCCCCGCCCCGCTCACCTCCATCGACGCCTACTACATCTCCGAAACAGACGAGCCCTTCGAGCCGGTCGCGTTGAAATGGGACGGCGCCAACCGGGGGATTTGGCCTGATGCTTGTACGTTCACTATACCCTAACCCTCTGGCCGTCATCTAGACACAGGGAGTTTCCCCTGCTCAACCCCGATAGTTATGAAACGATATAACTAACAACCGAAACAAAGCCCACCTCTCCAACCTGATCTCCGGTAGCGGCAGTGACATCCCCCCAGACTCCATCGAAACCCTCTCGCCTGCGTCCTTCGATCCGAAAAATCAGTACGCTTCTGTCCTTCGCGCTGTGCGCGCGGCCGCTAGCCAGGCAGCTGGGGGCGGGGAGCCTGCGGTGCAGGAGGCGGATGTTGATGTTAAGGTTTATCGGGTTGAGGTTGGGAGTACCCGGGTGCAGTACTATATTTTGGCGTTGGATGTTGATGGGGGGTTGTTGGTTGGTGTTAGGGCTTTGGCTGTTGAGTCTTAGGTTTTTTTTCTGTTTTTCCTTTGAGAATGGCTAGGGAAAGGGGTGTCTATAGGTTGCTATGGTATGAGTAATGAGATTGATTTTTTTGTTCGCTGTTTCTCGGAGGTGTTGGTGTGGGAGTTGATGTCTACTTCTTGGCGTCAGTTTGTATGAATATGTTGCCGTGCTGGGAATGAGCTAGCATATATATATTCCGGCTGACCTTCACATAAACAATCAGATCTCGTAAGAGAGAGACTGGGATCTAGGATTGATGGTGAGGACTGATACTGCTCTATGCGTTTCTAAGGCAGCATTAGACCTAGAGCGTGTGGCAAGCAAGCACATATATATGGACAACGCATCAATTATATGTAAACCCCAATCGGGGTTTGATGTAACGGCAAGTTGTGCGGAAAAGTCATAATAGATGAGAGAGGACATTGTCTTGGGATAGTGTGAGGTACAAAGTTGGGATGAGATTTCTGAGTAGTGGGATTATTTATTTTCAACCAAGGCAATGTCATCAATCTGGATCTCAAACTGGGACTACCGGCCCACGGTCAAACCTTGACTTCCGCATCATGGATTGAGTCAGATGTACTGTACTGTACTATAGAAAATGTGTTTGATGATAATATGGCCTAATACTCATAGGGGAGGGGACCAGATTGTTAGTTCCAAGCCAAAAACCGACTCAATTCAATCCACTAAGAATTACGGATAAGATTGAGGTACTCTTGCTCCTTCCATGATTCCGTGAAATTCCCCTAAAGTTCAATATCTCAGTCATCACCATATCTGATAACTACTCAAAAGTCTCAGACTGAATCAGTCTAACCATCTGCTTCCGAACTCCAGCATCCGACTTAGTCAAAGTATGCTAACCACCGAACCAAAAACCAGCCGCAAACACACCAAGACCTAGTTGACTGCCCCAATTTCATTTTTCTTGTGGCTTGTGGAGGGTCCCTGGTTCGGTGGAGTCGCCAGGCGTTCGTCGGTCATCGATTTTGCATCAGGGACCTGGTGCTGGACAACTGTTCCCGATATGTAGATCAGTTCTTATCTGTCATTGTGAGATATGACCTATCAAGAGATAAGCATCGGGCGTCGTCATCGAGAAGGATGGACGCGATCATCATTGAACTTATTCTTTTCTTTCTGGAAGATGGCTCCACGGCAGGGTGGGAGATCTTATTTAGTCTGTCTCTGTTTGGATGCATTTCGGATCGGGGAGTGAGGCGTTACGTTTTGAGGTCTATGGGGCGCGGATACTGTGTACTGCTGGTTGCTTTGATAAAACTATAGGTGGATAGGTGTATGGTGATAATGGTGCTACACCTTTTGATAGACATAGATGCAGTGATGGCAGGCGGTCGCACGAGCCACCAGCCACTCATTACTTGGGACGAATTTCAACTCCCAGGGGATAGTCGGACGGACGGTGCACTATGTGTATTGTACATTGTAGTTTGCGGTGCTGTCTGTGCGTGTGCTTCGAGTCTAGCTGCTTTTTGGGGGTTCGAAAAGGGGAAGGTTACAGGGGACTGACTACGTACAAAGGCTAACTACGGGATGCTTGGCTGGGGAGTGGAAGGGGTGGTACTGTAGCCTGGACAGCTCTTCTGATGGGAGCACTCAAGGGTATATATATGTATGTCAATTGATAGCATCTCTCCCCTCAAGAAGGCAACCCGACCCTAGGAATACCTAGGGAATGTGGTTGTTGCAGGCGAAAGAGAAGAATGCACGTACGGAACGGGAAGTGCTGGACGCGACGAAGCAAGCCCTTGCCCTGATTGACGATCGACGTGATTTACTACTAGTAGTTAGTGGCCGTTCCAGATTCCGTGGGTCGAACCCGTCATTCCCGACAGAACTCCTTCTCGCCGGCAACCAGATTCTTCTTCACATTCACACCTTGTTTGGTTTGATTGTTGATAGTTCAATAGAAAGGAGGCATGGATGGATGAATGGATGACTCAAGTACTGTACAGTACCATCTAACTATTATTGCTGGTTGACAAACATAGGCACAAATTCATCCCCTCCCCAAACAAGAGGCTGCACGCTAGCCATGCACAAGTGGTTCTCCATCACATGGTGCCTGGCAGCAAAGTCGATCAGGTCCAAGTATAACTCTCCATTCTCGCCAGCAGGCGCCACTCGTTCTTACATTGCCTTCGTCCAAGCGTCGCAAGCACCCTACTCCGGACAACCGTCTCCACTGCTGGGCCCAATGGGTGCACAGGGCTCAGGATTGAAGCATTCCTGAGCCAAGCCTGTCCCTTGATCTGCGGATGCCTGCACTTCCATCATGTCTCTGTGTTTGGATCAAACTCTCCCCTCGGGCAGTCAAGTTCAGTCGAGACTGTGTGCTCCTGCAGGGCCATGGTCCCGTAATATTAGCTGACCATGTATGTAACAATTACCTGGAAGTCCGAGGCGCCAGCCTAGAATTGACCTTGGAATCTTTTTCTCTATTCTGGTCTTGTCTTGCTCGTCTTTTCTCTTTTGGTCCTTTTCTCTTCTCCTCTGCTTCTTCTTCTTCTTCTTCACTTCAGCTTCTTCTCTTCGCGCTATTCCCACCACCACCATCATCACCCCCTTCTTTGGGCGACGGGCCGCATTGCTTCCAACCAACCTCCATTCGCGCCCTCCCCCCCCGGCCGGTTTTTCTCTCCCTGCTCCATTCTTCTGTGTTTCCCCTCCATCGCTCGTTTCTCCTTCCTTTCCTTGCACACTGTCCGCGTCTGACAGTCCTCCATCTAATCTTCATAATCTCTTTCTCTACTGCTGAGTGACACCGTCAATCCTTTTCCTTCCAGCGCGCGTATCTTCATGTCGTCGCAGCCATAGGGGCCTTGTCTGTGAGCATCGGGGCCACTGTTTCGTCTGGGTTGGTTTCAGTCTCTTTTCCAATCCACCACGCGTCAATCGTCCCTCGTTACCTTGCCCTTGCCTCGACTACAGTCATTACCGCGGCCCCATATCGTAATTGGAAGCATTCAGCGACGACCTTCGTGGAGCATCGTGTCTCTCGGTTGATGGAGATCTAGTCTCTGCTCTACGCGCGGGACCCCAACATAAGAGAGAGGCCGAGTTACCAGTGCACAAAGCCGGTCGATTCTCAATCGCAAGGAGTCGGGTACCTAGCAGTTCTGGAACAACAGGTCCTGACGTGGAACAACACAGACCAGTGCCGGACTGTCTGCTAGCGGGTGGTATAGTTGGGAATTGATAGCAATTGGAAAGCGGGAAGGGCACCATCATTGCGAGACCTGGCACCGACATCAACAGCACACACACGCACCCAAGATGTCCTTCAAATCCTCGGGACGTGGCACCCCTCACATCCAGCTGAACTCAGGACGGCAGGACCCCTTCGCCGACTCGGACGACCCCTATGCATCGGTGCCGCATCAACAAATTGGACGGGCGTTGACGCCGGGGATGGTGCAGTCGCCGTCCGATGGCACACTGCAAACGATGTGGGGGTCACCGACCCCGCAGGAATCGACCGAGTTTCTGATCCCGCCACGACCGCATCGCGGCCACCGGGAGGAGATGGACAGCATGCGGTCTCCGGATATGTTGTCGACCCGGTCGTCGCGGCGGACAAGCTGGAGCTCCGAGGGGGCCAGCTCAGACACCCGCGGGTTCGTCTACACCCCGTTCGAGGGCCAACGGTCTTTGTCACGCGTCGCAAGCGATGATGTGGATGTGAATACCCAGACGGTATCGGAGAAGTACAATATTATGCCCACGGAGGGCCTGCTGCTGTTTCGCGGGGTGCCTGAGGACGATGACTACCTGCACGAGCCGGACCCGAACGACAAGGATCAGGAGTGCGACATTTGGAACAGGCGCGGGATTGCTAATGTGGGGGGGTTGATCCTGATCACTATAGGCTTCTTGGTGTTGTTTGTCGGCTACCCTGTCATGTATGGATGCAATCTAGTTTGACGGGGGGGCGCAACCCCCCCAGTCTATCTTTTTTTCTTGTTGTCTGTATGGAGAATGAATGCTGATTATCTTTTCTTCTTTCCAGGTCGGCGGTAGAGAGCTTCAGAAAACCATCCAGACCGACTTGTCAAGACCTGGATCCCCTCTGTCTTGATGTCCCAGAGCAGCCCATGTTGACCAATATTCGAAGCGGGCTGATAGACCCGGAGACGCCCAAGTCGGCCATGAGCAAGAAGACGGCGGATGGCAAGGAATGGCAGCTAGTGGTAAGCATTGCGATGATTCCCCAATGGAGGGGGACAGCCAGCATACCGGGGCTTGGCCTGAGGAATTGTGGCTGATTTTCTGCGTTATGCAGTTTTCGGATGAATTCAACACTCCGGGCCGAACATTCTACGATGATGATGATGCTTTCTTTCAAGCAGTGGACTTATGGTATGGTGTCACGCAAGACTTGGAGGTAAGTCTCTTCTGTTGGCTCTAGTATCTGATATCCCTTACTAACCCGACTTCCAGTGGTATGACCCAGATGCAGTTACGACGAGAGATGGAGTCCTGGAGATTCGTTTTGATGCCTTCGCCAACCACGAAGTAAAGTACCGCTCCGGCATGATGCAAAGCTGGAACAAGCTGTGCTTCTCCGGTGGACGCTTGGAGGCCAGTGTCTCGTTGCCCGGCACTGGCGATGTATCCGGCTTCTGGCCCGGCTTCTGGGCGATGGGAAACCTCGGCCGCCCTGGCTATGCTGCCACAACTGAAGGCCTGTGGCCGTACAGCTACCACGACGAATGCGACGCCGGTATCACCCCCAACCAAAGCTCCTCGGACGGTATCAGCTGGCTGCCGGGCATGCGTCTCCCCGCATGCACGTGCGATGGCGCAGACCATCCCTCCCCAGGGAAATCGCGTGGAGCACCCGAGATCGACGTGATGGAGGCCAACGTCATTGCCCTGAACGGCAACCCAAACGCGTATATCGGCTCGGTGTCTCAAAGTTTGCAGATGGCGCCGTTCGACATCTGGTATATGCCCGACTACGGTGAGTCCCCCCTCCCCCCTTCGTCAACATATCCATCCCATCTTCCCAGCCCCTAACCATTCCACAGATTTCACAGCCGTCTACGACCCAAAGATCACGGAGATCAACGCCTACCGCGGAGGACCCTACCAGCAGGCGATGTCGGGGCTCACGAACCTCAATAACGACTGGTACAACGGCTCAGAGTACCAGGTCTACGCCTTCGAGTACCACCCGGGCGCCACGGGGAACATCACCTGGTTCGTGGGCCAGGACAAGACGTGGACCTTCGACGGCCGCGCCGTCGGCCCCAACGGCAACGTGGGCCAGCGACTGATCCCGGTTGAGCCCATGTCCATCATCATGAATCTGGGAATGGCGTGGAACTTCGCCCCGATTAACGAGAGCATCATGAGCTATTTGCCTGGCTTCATGCGCTTCGACTATATCCGCATCTACCAGGACCCGGACGAGATCAGCGTCACCTGTGATCCGCCAGGCTACGAGACCACCGATTACATCGCCAGACATCCCGAGGCTTATCGAAACGTGAACCACACCACTTGGTATGTTCTTCCCGGCTCCTACCTTTTCTTTATGTGCATGTCTAACAATCTTCAGGGACCGCGCCGGATACGAATGGCCCAAAAACACCTTGATGCATGGTTGTTAGAAAGCCGTGTTAATTGCGTGCGACATTTCCAAGTACAAGACAACAAATTTAACATTTCTCTCACCAATTTTTCCCGCCTTGGTTTGGTCGGCGGGCAATTCGTTGAGGCCTTCCCCCTCCCACGAGTCATTTTAGCGACATCGTTGTTTTTTCGTTCTCCCTGGCGTTGAGGGCGTCTTGAGGATGTGCATGTGTGTGAGTGAGTGAGTGTGGGTGGTATAGTCGGAGGGGCGGCTTGGGTTTCCCCTTTGCATCATCTTCCTCTTTCTTTGCGACTTAGACGTTTCATTCCCACTACCCTTTCTCTTCTTTTCTTGCCCGTCCCCTACCTTTATTGCTGTTGAGTTGAGTTCTTACATTCTGTCACCTACCCCCTACCAATCTTGCATGCTGGCATACTTCTAATTTCTGATTCTTTTGTTTGTGTGGGGGGGAGTGAGATGTGGATATTATCTTAGAATGCGGTCCCTCGGATGGATTGCGCGAAAGATCGGATGGACCATAGAGCATGTACTGTACGTCCTGCGAGAATCATTCTAGAACCATAAGCATACACTCCTCGAAAGACTGCACCACGCCCTCACCCCAGTCTGCCTACACCAATATCTAGATCCAGTATTCCTGCTCAATCAATCAGTCTTACGAAGTAATCCCCAATCCCCAAGCCAAACCCGCACCCACCCCTCATTTACAGGAGGGAATCCCACCAAGCCGCGGAACCCCGCCGCCTCGTGCACCGCGTCTCCAAACTCACCCGCGGTGCATCCCCATCCCCAAGAAGCGACTTATAAAAACCCAGAAGCCGAACCCCAGGCAACGGAACCGACTCACCCGCCGCCACCGCGTCCTCCAGCTCGCGTATCCAGCTCGACAAACTGGCTAATTCGCATTCTGCATCCAACCCATAAGATGGCAAGTACACTCTTCGCAAGCCCGTTCTCCCCGCTCCATTTGGCAGAGGTATCCGGATTCACGATGTGGAAGTACCTCGTCTGGCCCCTCTCTGGCCCTATCCCCTCGTCGTGGTAATTGTCATCGTCAGCAACAATAAGATCACCCAGTAACTCCGCAAGAATCTCAACGGGAATCCAATCGAGCGTATCTTGCGTGCCCAGGGAGTCTGGGAGGAGGTGCATGCTCTGTGCGCTGGCGAGGAGGGAGGAGAACCAAGTCGCGTTTCGGCCTGGTTTTTTCTTTTCCCTTTTTCCCGTCGATGGGGATGGTGATGGTGACGGTGAAGGTGCTAACTGGTGGTGATGCCTCACGCACCGTGCAGCCGCCGCCAACAGGACCAGCAACCTGCCCAAGCCGACAGATCGAGGCGCGCTCGCCTGCTCGGTGTAGCAGTATGCTCGCGAGGAGCTTGCTCTCTCCGTAGGCGTAGTGGAGCGGGGTGAGGTGGGTTTCTGGGACGGTCTTTCGGGTTTGGGTTTCCTGGGTCCTGTTTTCTACGGTGGCGATGGACGAGAGGAAGATTATGATAGGGTGGTGCGTTGCGGTCTGCGTGAAGTGGGCTAAGGCGCCGAGGTCTTGGAGTTGGGCTTCGAAGAACGCCAGCGGTTGGTGGAAGTCCACTGGCCATTGGGTGTGGAGGATTGTGGTTGTTGAGGTGCTTAGTTCGCTGTAGGTCTCGGGGTCGAGGCCTAATGTGTTGTTTGGGGTGGAGAGGTTGCCTTTTACGTGGTTTACTTCTGCGCCTGCGCCTGCGTCGGGTGGTGTGGGTTTGGACTGCGATTCCTGGGGCACGGCGCGACGGTCTAGACAGGTGATTTTCTGGATTTCTGGTCGCTGGCGGAGGTGATGTAGTAGGTGTGAGCCGATGAAGCCTGTGCTTCCGCTTAGGAGGATGTGTTCCCTGGGGTTTTCGTTTTGGGGGTGGCTTGTGCGTGGTGGGTTCTCTGTTTCGCTTTCGCTTGCTGGGAGGAGGGTCGTGTATCTGTTTGTTTACTATGGTAGCGGCGATAGAGAGAACGCTAGGAGGTTGCCTGTGTATACTTCTACAGCAGCGCCGACATGACCTCCAATCGATCCTTCCGATCATCGTCCTTATCACGGAATACGTAAGAGGCAAGCTTGCTCGCCGACGAGGCCGAGTATCCGGCATGTGGTTTTAGTCGACCTTCATCAAAATCACAGTCGGGCTGGTTCTGAACCGCCCGCCGCACACTGGTCGCCAGGATCTCGACCTGCTGCGAGCTCATCCCAGCGTCGAAGAAGTCGGTATCGGGATCCAGACGCTCGGTATCCGTCAACCGAGCCACAAATGCCACCAGGGAGTCGACGAACGTCTCGTCGGAGGATAGATCGTAGGACGCTTCCTGCTGGTCATTGTCCACTCCGTTTGCGGACGCTTCATACAGGGCGCTGATCTCTTTCTGGTACGCCTGGATGCTCTTCTTACGCTGCGCGGTCCCCTTCGTAGTCCTCACGAAGGGCTTCGCGCTCTCCGCGATGATGATCTTGTCTGCGAGTATGCGGGCGAAATCCGGGCACTTCCCGTAGGTATCTTCCAAAATATTAGGGACATCCTCTCTAATACCCTCCCGCGTCTTGTCAACGGAGTCCGCTAGCTCGACGAGAAGGCCCGGCGTCGGGAAGCCCGACCCGAAGACCAAGGCGCCGTTGACATTCGGATGCGAGCCGACGGCATCCTCGAACTCGCCAGCGGGTTGAGATTCTCGCCCGTGGACAACACCACGATATCATCCCGCCGGCCCCGATACACCCGGCCCTCGGCGACGACCGGGTGCCGGGCGAAGAGATCCTTGGTCTCGAACTGCTGCAGGCCGGGCAAGGTCCGGAAGACGGCCTGGAAGTCGGCTGCGGCGTCACTGGTGCGGGTGAGCACCATTTCGAACTCGTGTGCATCGTCGTCGGGCCCGGTGCGCCGCCATTCGATGCCGTTCAGCTCGTCGCTGAACAAGTAGCAGTCCCAGTGCTGCGAGTCGGCCTGGAACTGCACGAAGGAGCCGCACTCCGTGTTGCCCGTGTCGTTAATCAGCTGGATCTTTTCGGATAGGATCTCTGCTGTTTGCGGCTTGAGGGAGCCTGACGAGTATGATCCGCCATTGTTTCTCGTTGCAATCGTTGTATCTAGATAGATCTATATCCTACCTCCAGGGTGACCAAATGCCTGGTATCTATAAGCATTCACCCCTGTCCAAAAATGGAAGTATTACGCCGATCGGCCGGATTTCGGGCAACAACGCAGCCTGTGTAATGGTGGGCGAATTCTAATGATAATCAAGGATTGAATTTAACTCTGAAGCGGTAAAGGTTGAGAAAGATTGCAAAGAATGACGTCCAGTGGGAGTCTGTGCCTGGGTCCAGTGTATTAACCGGTTGCTGCCGAGAAGAAGTAGAAAGCAACATAACTATGAGGAGGCACAGCATACTCGCGCTGCTTCTTGCCTTTCTGTGAGTGGAGAATTAGCCGACATGACAGACCCGGTGCAAGTGGATGTGTTGATTATTGGTGCCGGTCCAGCTGGGTAAGAATTCAGTACCTGACTCAAAGAAAAGCTAACATGACATAGATTGATGACTGCAGCATGGATGGCCAGGACTGGCACTAGAGCATTGATCATAGATCAAAAGCCATGTCGAACATTGATTGGGCACGCCGATGGACTCGAAAGTCGAACTCTTGAAATCCTCGCCAGCTTCGGGCTGGCCAATGTGCTCTTGTCGAAACAAACCCGACTATTGAAGTCTGTACCTGGGTAAGTAATGGTGTCGACAGGTGATTAATTGTAGAATTTTCTGATACACCTCACTAGGGTGTCTCATCGCAAGGAGGAATTCAGCGTCATAATGTCCGAACCAACTGCAATTCGGGGCTCTCGGTATTCGATGAATGTACCTTGGGCCAGGGCCAGGCGCGGGTCGAGAAGTATCTGCTGAAGATTGTCGAGCAACACAATAACGTGCATGTGATGTGGTCGACGTGCCCACAGTTCATGAAGGAGGACCATAGCGTTATATCCGATTTTGTTCCTTCTTCCTATCCTGTTCACGTGTTGCTGGAAACATCCAATGAGTCAACAAACGGAAGTCACTCCGTGGAAAGGTCAAATAGAGTATCCAGATCGATGAAGGCTGTGAGAACACTGGTGCAAGCCAAGTTCCTTGTGGGATGCGACGGGGCGCATAGCTGGTTGCGAAAGCAAACATACTGCATATGTCGGTGACCTCACCGATGTCGATTCGCTTGAGTGATTTCTTTCGGGATTTTCCTTGTTATAAGATGAAGGGACGTATGTCCACGAGAAATGAGACTGATCTTGCGGAAATTATAATATCAGTTGTATGTAAAACATTGCACAGTACGCAAAGATGTGAGGACAATAGAACACTCTCCATGGGATCTGTTTTGACACCATTGATTACTTGAGATAAAGTACTAGCAGACTAACCATTGAACAATCTCCCCCCTCACTGCTATCTGGGAACAGTTGCGGGTGTTTAGATGGGTACTGATTTCACGCAGTACGACACTTCGATGGCATCCTGCGGCCTCATTAATTAGATCCACCAAAACAGAAATAGTAGCTGACCGGTAAGCCCGTAGGCTGCAGACCTTCATGAATAGCCGTCCCATACACCAGAGCTGGATTGCCCAGAGAGATATGGTCATCCTTGAAGCAATTTCTGAAAGGTTTACAAGCCTCCTCCTTCGAAGCGGTCGAAGCCCGCATGTACTCAGAGTATGGTGGATTCCCGGGTTGATACATGTCGTCAGCGATCACAATGGTGCCAGGCGCGACCAATCCCAGTTCCTCGCCTAGCTTCAGGTCGTTGAGATAGGACGGCTTTGAATGATCCAGAAATAACATGCCTATGTCCTTGGTAGTCTCCGCGAGCTGTCGCAGTGATTCTCGGCATGGTCCTTCCCGGATCTCCACCGTGTCATCCAGCCCAGCAAAAGCAATCAGGGCTCTCTCAGTTGTCGCAAACTTGGGAGTCAATTCCAGGCTTATGTACCGTTGACCTCCCGCCCTTCGCAGTGCATTGCCGAACATGATAGCAGAGTACCCGATATACCCGCCGATTTCGACAATAGTCTCGGGCTTCCGATTCATGATGATATCGGTGACAATCTTGCCTTTCTCCTCTCCGACATTCATTAAGAAGTTTTGGGTCTGGCCGAACTCATCGATGGCGGCGAGCACTGCTTCTGGGGAGCCTTAGATTTCGCCTCGTGAGGTGATAAAGGCTAATAGCTGATCCTCTCTGCCATCATTGCATTGGTGAAGGCAAGTCCACTTAGCTCTGGGATACTATGGTAGACAAATCAAGCCCCAACATACGAAGATGTCCTCCTCAGGCTTGTAGAACACCGGTTTCGAATTCATCGATGTCACAATTGAATGGTGCAGTGAGGGCGGACTTCGTACATGATCGAACTTCAGTAAGCACTATGACAGTGAGGTACTCTTAAATGGGTTTAATCACGAGCGAGCTCCTCTGGATTTGTTCTCTACAACAACGAGGAGTGCTATCAGACAGGTTCAAAGTCGCGAGAAATCCCTTATGTAAGGGATTTTTCCTTACTTGAACTGTCAGGTGCCCATTTTAACTTGGGATTTACCTGGATAGAGTTGGAGTGACGACCGTGTAACTGAAACTGCCGGTCTAGACTCAGGATTTAAACTGGACGCATGTTCAATACTGCGAAAAGCAAGGAATTACTACCAAGTGACAATTGAGGTGACCTGGCTAAGTTGCCTTTCAAGAATGTACTTACTACCCTTGCAGGAGTGGAAGTAGGTATTGAACTGCATGAATTATTGTTGATTATTGTTCGGTTAGCGACCCGAGCCTAAAGGCGGTCGATGACGTGCATTGCTTGCACCCGGAGCGAACAAGTGCAAACCGCAACTTAACGAACATCACTGCCATCTCCGCCGCCCGTTCTTCTTCCACCCCCACATTCATCCAAACTACTGCGCACTCAACCGAGAAACTCCGGTTCCTCCTCGCACGTGCATAACAACCGATCACCCTGCTGGACAGGATCGGAAACTATAGACCCTGCCGGTTCGCGCTGGTAGTATCCACCCACCTTGGACCGCATAATCCACGCCGCGCTTCATATATCAGGTGGCTCTATACTCGGCCCGGAGAAACGGATCAGAACAGGCATCGACTCTGACAGGGAAAACCGCATCTACCCGTTTTGCCAACTCCTGAATCCTGCTCGGAAGGAGATAGCGCCGAGGTCTCGAACATCACGTCTTATCGCAGGTCGTTGTACCCACAGAAACACGACAGAGAGCACATACACAGCTATCACGCTCGCGACCTCCTCCCAAGAAGAGCCATTTTCATTCGGTCCGGCTCTATCATGTTCAACCCCAACATCCACGGGCCCCCTCCCGGGCACGACCAGCATGACCCCATCATTCTCGACGAAGACGACCCAGACCAGTTCGACCAGCGCTACGACTCGGACACCGACTCGGACAACGGCCGAGACCGCACGCCGGCGCATGTCATAGCGCAGCACCAATTATCCCAACTTCAAGGGCTTGACCTTGATAGTATGTTACCCCTGCCACCGCGCCTGTCCCTTGATCCCTGTCCATATCTCCTTTTCTTTCTTTTCCCGACTCAAATATTGTTCATACACATACTAAAAGCACCAAAGGAGCATTCCCGTTTCCTTCTGACCAACCCGCCAGCAACAGTAGCAGTGTACCCGAAAGCATCAGCACCACGAGTACAGTAAACGACAGCAACTGCAACATCTCCTTCTACCAAGCCTCCCTGGAGCAGGACAAAAAGCTCCGGAGTCGACTACGCGAAGAACGCCACGCCGCCCTCTGCGTCCTGATGGACAGGGAGCTACTTACTATCCAGGCTCTAGCGGCGCAGGAGGTATGCTCATCATTCTATTCCTATCTCATCTCCTTTCCCAATGCCCAAGGCTAACAGCCCTGAAAAAGACCATCCCCCAAACCCGCCGCCGCTTCCTCGCCAAACTCCTCAGCCCGGAGGACCCCGAAAACGCCGCAACGCTCCGAGGCGAGCGATTCATCATCCAGCATCCGATGCTTGGGGGATCCAGGTCCGGCTCCGCGTCGCCTGCGGGAAGGCGGATGGGGGTGGGGGTGCTGGATGGGATCGGCATCGGAGTCGTTGGCGGGCCCGGATCGACCACCGGCTTGATTGTGCAGCGGCAGGTCGAGGATGTCTGCGAGGCGGACGATGCGGGGTGGAGGCGGCCCCCAGCGGAGCGGGGCGGTGGAACGAACCGGGGGTCGCCGGCGGGGTCGTTGTCGTCGTCGTCCGGGCGGGTTAAAGGGAGTAGTAGTGTTGCGGCAACAGCGGGGTCTACGCCGGAGAGGAAGGGGAGGCCAATCAAGGGTCGGTCCCAGCGCGAGAGGGAACGGGAGAGGGTGAGGAGGGGTTTGGCTGGTGCTGGTGCTGGTCTTGGGTCCTCTATATTCTGAGATTTTCCCTCCTCTCCCGTGGGATTGTAATATACTAGGCAGACCTCAACCCATACCACCTTGCTCTGTAAGTCTGGAAAATCACAGGAGAGAGATATCCTATTCCCGAAAAGTAAAAAAAAAAGAGAAAAGGTGCATAGAAAAGTGCCCTCATATACATTTGCTGGCCGTAAACCCGTACGTACCCCATGATTCCCATCAGTCCATAAAATAAATACTATACATGCAACAAATACGGAATTGAAGGAACATTAAAATCAAGCCAAGAACAAACGAACACGCAAACAATATAAAGATGGTGGTGGTGACCATCGAAAACTCGTACCCACAATCCGGCTGGTTTCCAACATGGCAAGGAGGGGGTATCTAGTAAACCAAAACCGTTCTTTCCTTTTGACGGTGTCGCGTTTCATCCTTCTCTCCGCAGAAGGTTGAGATTATAGTAGTTTCATCGAAGTTTTGTTATTTTGGTAGGCTTTTTTTTTTGTTTCGTTCTCTCTTTCGCACATGAGTATGGGCTTTCCAAATCGAAGGAAAGCCATAGTCTGCTCGGCAGCAGACCGGAACGCCATGCCTGGCAAGCATATCCCCAAAGATCCGTGGTGGCTGGCTCGGTGCAGCGCATTTCGCCGATAAGAGGATCCATCATGAGGGGCTTTCTTTGTGGTAGACAGCAAGTTGCTTATCTCCGCTTCTCAGCGTTCAGCAAACTCGCGGCATCACCCACTTGCTTTCGCTCGGAGACTTCCCGAGTGCGCATCCGCGCACGGACACGTTCGATATTCATAGGCGCCAATCCTTGGGATGGTGACGGTGATGGATCCGGTTCCGAATAGAAAGGATGCAGTCTGTGGGAAGTAGAGAACCGGACACGACCATCCCTCATGACTGGTAATTGTCATTGTAGGGGTTCCGAGCTCGAGGAGAGTCGGTTCAAGTGGAGGTAGACGTCTGTCCCGTACCTGTACCATTTGTTAGTCGTGGGTTTCTTGTTTCGTGGGGTCACGAGGATCTGCCCTTACCCCTCCATGCTGATCAGCTTCAAATCGCCACCAAAGTACCGAGCATACAGGCGACTGATCGGAAGACCGTAGCCAAACCCGGCCATGGGAGCCTTGAAATCGCTTTTATCGAAATCGGGGTCCAGGCTTGGGGTTTGCTCGACGGTAGTATACATGTACGTCCATACCAAGGGGATAGCAGAACGAGGGATGCCACCACCTTCATCGGAGATCTTGATTGTGATGTCTTCCTTGCCCTCTGCGATAATGACCTTGGTAACCGGGAACGTATCCTTGTCCACACCATTGGCTTCTACCACCGCACGCAAGGAGTTCTTCAAGGTCTCGAAGAGCATATGCGACAAATGTCCCGGCACATACATAAAGTTCAGGTCCTCTTTGCACACGAGCTGCACCTTGGGGGCGTCAAACAGTCCATAATAATCCTGACAGACGAAGCGGGCGTTGTCGATCGCCTCAAGGGCTATCTCCCGCACATTCGTCTTGGTGCAGATTATTCCGACATAGTGTGGATGTTTTACATGAGTCTGTTCGGTCAATGCGATATGCTGTCCGATCAACATCCGTATGCCAATCCTTGACATGTAGAAGCGATCGAGGAAGGATTGAACAGTCGAGTCGATTTGTAGGCGCTGGCGCTTCCGTTTCCATTCGAGAATACCCTGAGCCACGGTAGTCACGACGCTGTCATGCCTTCGCTTTATTTCCTTGAGAGTCTGTGCAAATCGTTCGTTGTAGTCGTTCAGCTCCGGTGGCCAATTTCCTTGGTCATCGGATGGTGCGTAATATCGTCGAGCGGCCGCAGCCTTGCCATTTCCATTGCCATTGGACGTTGAGGACGGGGAGGAACGGTATTGTCCTTCGCGGATGCTGGGGTTTTGTGTGACTTCAGAGAGGATTCTCGAGGACCCGCCGTTAAGCTTTCCCGGGCGCAGCAGACGGGCCTTGACTTCCTGGGTGAGGGTGGGTCGCGGCAGCGTAATGATTTCCTACCGGGGACGTCAGCTATAACTCCGGCGGACACAACCCCGAGGGCGGTGGGTGAGTCATACCTCGAACGACTGCGCGTACCAATCTTGGACTTTTTTGATTGAGGGCATTTCACTGAGTCCATCGGGGAGTTCTCCAAGGTCTTGGACACGATGGGCGAGACGAATTGGTAGTTCTTCTGAGAGGAATTGTGAAGCGCGGAACAGAGTGCCTATATGCGGGTAGCGATCACGAGATTAGCCGATGCCGGTCATGTCTTCCATGCTGTGTGGGTAGAAAGACATCGGAGAGAGCGCAGGAACATAAGAACATACCAACTGAAGGTCTGTCTCCAAATTGGACCATTTGTCGCAGAGAGACACCGGTCGCTGGGAAGCTAGCATAGTGTCTGATGGTGTCCATCAGTCTCTCCGACGGCTTCCACATAATGTCAAGAGTGTCAGGCCGGACGGCCTGGGATTGCGCTTCTCAGAACCAATCTGATGAGGGGGGAAACACTCGCAAGGTGATAGCTAGCAAGTAGCATTGAATGTCAGTCAGATCAAAGTTGAAAAGAATGCAGAAGACTGTAAGGGGGAACTACCGAGGTTGGGGAATCCCCTCCGTTCCGGAGCTCGCCTGCGAAACGGCGGGCGGTAAGAAGCCCCGGAGTGGGATCTCGGTGTGGAAAGGTGACTGTGAGGATGACAGGCACAAGAACCAACGGAAAAATAGAAGAGGGCTTGGAACTGAAGATCCCTTAAATTGAGCACACGAGCAGTCTGGGGAAAGAAGGAAGAAAAGAAAGAGGAAGAGGGAAGGAGGGAGGGGGAAAGACGGAGGAAAGAGGAGGAGGGAAAGGAAAGATGCGGGCGGAGGGAACTGGACTGGGCTGGACACTGAGTGACTGCACCACTACTACTACTACTACAGCTGGCAGCACTGCACCACTCCTTCGGGGAAAGTGGTTGCGGAGACTCACTGCAATTCCCGGGGGGAGCTGGTCACGTGCCATAGTGGGGGAAAAGACCGTTTCCGATCCCGTGATGGGCCGAGGAATTGCAATCAGCCGATCCGTCCACGGTTACTTACCCTTTACACTTTAACTTACTGACTGGAAGTACTGCCAGGTGCTGAGACTCCCTGCAATCTATTTGCTGCTTCTCCTTCAAGTAGCTGCATATCATCAGACCATGTCTGACAGCTGAGATGCAAACTATATTCACAAACTACCTAATTTTGCTATTCTCACCACCACCACCACCACCACCACCACCCACACTACACACCACGTGCCAAGACCTGCCACTTACCACGGAGGAAGTGCCGGTGCAATGAGCTGCACGTTGCAACGTCCCGGATCTCCCCTTCGCCCGAGGATGGTTCGACGCGGCACGACGCAGATACTCCGACTGGCCAGCCGTCTGACTCTCTCCGGGGTGAGAAGGACTCGTAGTCCATCCGATGTCTGGTCGACTCTTCCTTCTAATCCGCGATCCTGGTGACTGGTTCTCTCCGTCACAATCCGTCGAGGTACCCGATTAGGCTTCTTACGTCCGGGGTTCTTGTCCATCCTACCCGCGGGTCTTTAAGGTTCAAGACAAGCTTGTGTACATCTCGTGTGCCCCGGATTCTTAGCACGAAAATGTCACCACTGCCAGCCGGTTTTCCCTTTACCCCCCCCTTGTCGCCCCCTAACTCTCTATGAGTCACATGTTCCGATACAAACAGCAACCATCTAGAATCCTGGATGCAATACTTTCCCGTGGTCTGAGGCAATCCGCTCGATTTGGGAATTGACATGGAAGGGAACAACGGTTGCTTAACCGTAGTCTCGTGTATCCCCTCCGACTGTAAATCGCTACCGACGAGGGAAAATATTTGTCCGTATACTTTTGTGATCGCTGACCGCTGCGATGGTCTCACCAAAGAGGTTGTCGCGCGAGGGACAGACCCATTGTCCTTCCCGGATGGTGGACATGGAACGGAGAAAAGCAACGAGAAACACGCGAGAGATTTATTTAAACATCCGCTGCGGCAACGGTGATCATCGTGGCCTGCTTTCTCTCCCTACCTAGTTTACAACACATCCAATGGAGCCAATCATACTCAGCCCTGGTTCTGATAATGATGATAGGACCAGCGTCAGGGTAGGTACACATATACGACATCACAGTCAGTCGCATAGGGCTGAAGGGAAGAAAAAGAAACAAAGAAGGAATGAGCCGATGCCCAACCACACCTCTGATCTTCCATTCAGGCTGGGTCTTGCTCATCATATCGTCGTCATGCTCGACGACGCTGGCAGTGATGCCTTAGACCCATCGAACAAAAGTCCCTAGAGTGAGCAGGGCTACGAAGAGAACCCTGCGATGTCTCGAACCTCTCCCTTCCCTCCTCCCCCCCTTAACATGGGTCTGACAACGACCGACTCTAGACTCGTCACTCCCGGAACAACCTCATATAACTACAATTGGAAGTCAAGAAAGACCGTGATTCTTCGCTTTTCTTCCACCCGAAACTTTTTTCTATAGTGGAGTCTCATTAGGTCTCGTTAACTTTTGACACCTGTCTGGCCCACCAACCACAGTACCAATTGTCTGTTGAGAGTATTCCGCCAGGTCATATAAGTGGCTGTCACCGCACCGTGCGGTGGACTGACTGTTCGGGCCCTCGAACAAAAAAAAAAGGAGCACCGGGGGAAGCCATTTCCTTTATCTTTTTAATCGCTGCTCTGCCTCGACAGTCGACATTTTTGCGAGAATCTCCCGACTGTCCGAAGCACGACCGTCACAGATCTGCCTATTCCCAGAGCGCTGCGCGCATCGCGTCGATTGTTGTGTTTATTATACAAGGTAAGTGAGAGGCTCTCTTTGATATGCCGGATCAATTTCCTACTCCGAGGCGCCGTTTATTTGTGTGTGGGTGGAATGGATTTATTATTATTTACTGTACCGTTATAATAAGTTAGCCCGTTTGTGGACACGGACGGATCGAAGGACCCATCGACCAGTTCGTTGACTTGCAGAGGATCTTTTCCCAGACTATTTCCTTTTCATTTTCCACTTTAGTTGTTCATTTTATCTTCCGACGGCCTTGTGGGCGTTTGTCTTGTTCTTTTTTAACTTGGAAAAAAAAATGGGGTTAGGCTATGATGCAAAAGTGCGCCGCACGCCATCGAACCCTCTTTTTTTTTCTGCCCTTAACATTTTGCTAACACTTTTTATCTCTATTTTCTGTTGTTCCTCTACTTTAATTCTCTGAGATCCGCCTTGGCGTTTTGGATTTTTCTTTCTTTTTGCACGCCATCTTCCTCTAAAATAATGTTTTGATCTCAATTTTTTCTTTGCAATTGTGATTGTTAATGTTGTACCTTTGTTTTGAATTGGGTCGTGCACTCACTAATCATCAACAAAGACCCGATAGGGAGGATCCGCAACTTCTCCAGCATTGCCTTTTCCGCACTCATGCTACCATTGATGCCGCAATTCAGCCCATAACTGGCTCGGATCCAGTCTATTAGCCCCTCCCATGATTACTACTATCTTTCCCTTTTAAGCCGATTTCTGCCCGGTTCATCCACTGTGCGCGCCTGTGGCTAAGACCTTGGAGGCTTCGTATTGGTTAATTCGCAGGGGCAAATTGAAGACTGGAAAGACCCCCAAAGGAAAAGCAACTCAGCGAGAAAGAATAGAGGGCACGAAAGCGCACGTGGGCAGTCAAGGAGTGCGACGACTATCTTACAGGCAGCCATTGAGGAACAGAACCAAGGGCAAGGAAAGAGAGACAGAACGGAGGAAAGGAAACGTCAGTCCAGAAAAAGAAGAGAGACTGTGACAAGAGTCACAGAAACAATAAGCCACCAGGAGAAAGACGAAGAAAGGACAGGCGCCTGACGTCCTGGCCGTTTGTGCCCCTCTCTGGTCTCAGGTCTCATCAGCATCGCCGTCATTCTGTGCCGCGCCTGGATTCGTCTCCAGTACTTTTACTATCAACCTCACCCCTCCTTCCGGATACCCCTCGGGCTGTTTGGCGGGGCCCATCTCCTTCTTCTGCGGGCCTCTTTGATCTGCTCGGCCTTTGTCTTGCCACGCAGTCTTTCGTTACCCTAAAGCAAACGGAACCCCCCCAGAAAGTTGTTGTCCTTCCCAGCAGATGCATCTTCCCTAAACCCTCCTTTCCTTGTACTACCATCCTTCCCCAGCTGCAAGTTCATGTAAAGAAGATCCCCTTTCCCCTCCTCAAATATGCCTCGTCGCCGTGCCTCTCATAGCGAACCAATGGGCTTATCATCCGCGATGAATGAGGCGTTTGCCTATCCTTTCTCTGGAACGCAACAGAACAATGCTCCACCACGACGGGGTCCGATCGAGGGACCCAACGGACGAAGGTTGATTCGTAGGGTCACCTGGCGATCCTCCACATACAAAATGATGGCCTGTCTGTGGGTTTTGGGTGTCTTCTATATTGTCTGGCTCATCCGAGACATCTTCTATTTGCCTTTCACCCCTTCGCAGAAGGGCCCCATCCACCCTGGATCTCAGACTGAGTAAGTTCGGGCCCTGCCGTCCCTTCCCTTTGCTTCCCGCGAGTCAGTCGATGGCCAGAGATACTTATTCGGCCCGCCTTGGTACATAGTTTGTTGGCTCATTATGTGGGTCGTCGAGAGTGCGGCATCTCTTCCTTGTCCCTCTACCATACTCCATCAACCAGTGATGGACGTGCGTCCAGTCGAGCGTACTGTTCAACCCGGAGTGCTCTGTTGAGTGCCATGAGCAACGGTGGGCGTCATGGGTTTGATGCTGCGTACAGCTCTCAAGGCAAGTGACAAGCACTACACTGTTCCTGCTGTCGAGCACCTTCTCGAGAGATCCCCTTCGGACAGCGATTTGCCCTTCGTAACACTTCGACTGACTCGTGCCGTTTAGACTGTGCCTACCAGTGGTATTCCAGCTCTGAAGTGTGTGACATTTTGCAAAGATTTGATGGGATCGTGTTCGTGGGCGATGATGCCCTAGCCGATGCCTACGCGGGATTCAACATCCTTCTGCGCGAGGATCTCGCGACCGGCTCTCTTAGAGACTGGGAAATGGACAAGGACTTTAGCCAAAGATGCCGATGCGAATCCCAGTTCACTCAAGCTGCGTGTTTGCCACTACGAATCACTTCAAGCAATGAAGTTTACGCCCAAAGCGGCAATCCAGCCGTTCGGTCCCCATACTCGTGCCCGTCCCGTGAGTGACCCCATGGTTTTGTCACGTCAAAGTTCTCTCAAGAGTTCAACATTTGACCAGTGAGGATTCAATCTAGGAGTCTCCCATGCTTTCCTCCCCACAGATGGCTCCCCGGCCTCCAAGAATGTCCACGACCACTTCCGCCGCCTGACCAGAAAAGTGGCAGACCGAAGCAAGCCTGTACCCGTGATTCTGAGTCTCTCGCTTTCGACGTCGTATTCTTTACCAGCAGCTCAGAAGAGCATGGACGAGTGGCTGTCCATGTCCAAGACTACCAAACAAAACACCCCCTTCCTTTGGATCGGTCCCACCGCTCCTGGTCTCCAGAAGGACTCTGAGGACAATATCCACGCATCCAGCTGGCAGTATTCACAAGACACCATCCAGGAAGCCCGAGCCCGAGGCATGGATGCTCTGGGTCTGTACAACATAACCCTTCAAGCCGACAGTTGGGATGGAAAGCACTATGGTGAGCAAGTAGCTCTGGTGCAAGCAATGATGGTAAGCTCCCTCTCTTGGCCCTTCATCTTCATTCTCCTTGATTGTGCATTCCAACCAGTCTAACGAATATAGATAATCAATTGGTTATCCACTCTCTGAAGGGTTGTCTTCATGCGAGGTGGATATTCCTGGCACTGGATTGGCCGAGGAGACGAACTAAAGAATATTTAACGAGGATGACATTGTATGAATATAAGCACAATCTCTCTGAGCATGGCATGGTATGTTTTCTTCTTCCCTTCATGGTTGTCTTCAATACACGGCCCATTTATAACTCGATCCCTTTTTTTCCTGTATCTTCGTGCTGTATCTAGAAAACTGCAGTCTCCACATCTTCATGACCTACTGTGATAATCAATCTCCCATTCATGCTTATGCTAACATAACTCTCGAACAGAATTAAAATGCCAACCCGAGAACTCCAGCCTACCTGCCGTTCAATCCACACTACCAAAACATATACTCATGGGTTTTCGGAATTGTCTCCGCATTATCGCTGTTTACCAGACCTACCCACGTACATTCTATCCATCTAACAACCAGGACCAATCTCGACTCCATTTTCCCGCCTCACCAAACAGTTTCTTTTCCATTTCTCGGACCAAGCGAGGCTTATTCATTTTTCATTTTTCTTTTGGTGTAAAAGTTCTCATGCGCTCATCCTCCATGTATGCTTGTTCTGCTTTGTGTTTTTTGTGGCTTTTTGTTTCTGATATTGTGGGTGGGTAAGAATTATAGATAGACTAACTATGACATTATGACTTGGATGGAAGCAGTGCCTAATTGGATTGAATGTTGCATTCACATTGCACTCCAGGCCCTCCACTAGGCTGCCCGCGGGGCAGACTCGTCTGGGCTCAGGGGCTCTTAACTTATTGTAATTCCCGTTCGGAAGATTTACCTTGTACCTAGTGACACAAGGACTCTCTCGTATCTAGTTTGCCCCTAGTTCCATTCCATGTTTGTTTGGTGCCAGTATCCTAGTCGCTTCGGGTTGTCCTCACCCCACGACCCGTTTTGACTTAACTTACAAGAAAGCTAAAGACAACTACACCGTCGAAGGTAAACGCCCCCACTACCACTCCGATTCATCGTGGAACGCAATTCTAGCCAAATGTACCATAGTCATCTCATATCATAATTAAGTCTTTAAAAACCGTATATACATGACTTTTCCAACCCCGACCCCAACCAACCTTGAACCCCAAATTTAGTTTCTGATCTGCTACAAGACTGACTAGCCCCCAGATACTCTCAAACTTCCAAGCTATCTACGAAAGCTTTTTTTGGCTTGTTCTGCACACACCCGCATATTACTGCGATAGGAGAAAGACAGACAAGGATCCTCCAGTCTATACATACAGAGCAGCGGTCTCGGCCTTAGCGAGGTGGGCCTCGTAGGGCTGGAGGGCCTTCTTCACCTCGGTGGAGGTGAACTTCTCGACCTGCTGCGGGGCACGGCCGACGAAGGTGCTGGGGTCGAGGAGCTTGTCGAGCTCGTCCAGGATCGGGGCGAAGAAGGCGGTGCGGCGGACGCGCTCGAGGAGGTCGTTGTCCTTACCGTGCTTCTTGACCATGTCGGAGGCTTGGTGGGAGAGGACGCCTGCGTTGTGGGAAGATTATGAGTTAGGGGTTAGGGAGCTGTTAGGAAGGAGGGAGAAACGTACGGATTTCCTCGTGCGCATCCTGGCGGGAAAGACCCTTCTTCACGCAGGCCATGATGATCTGAGTGGTTGTTAGTACTGTTCTTTGAGAAGCTTGTTGAAGAAAGGGTTGTGATGGGATGGTCGTTATCGGGCGATGCTTACGTTCTCACTGTTGGGTTTGTTAGTCATTGGTATCAATGATGCGAAGCGAAGCTTGATGACTTACGTGGCCATGAAAGGAAGTTCGTCGTTGACACGACGCTTGATGACTTCGGGGTAGACGACAAAGCCGGAGGTGACGTTGTCTAGTAGGGTTGGTGAGTCAGTGCTCAAGTTATATTGTTCAACATGGTAATGTCGACTTACTCAGAAGAATGAGACAGGCGTCAGCGGAGAGGTAGAGCTCGGGGATGCTGATACGGCGGATAGCGCTGTCGTCCTGTTTGCTGACTGTCAAAATATTGCTCATCCCAAGCAGGAGCGAGGTGTCTCACCAGCGAACGCTCGAACCACTGGGCAGAGTAGGTATCCAAACCGTCCTTGGGGAGGTTCTGAAGGTGTCTTCCGAGGGAGCACAGACGCTCAGACCGCATGGGGTTACGCTTGTAAGCCTGTGAGCGAATCGCGATGTTAGTCTATATTTCGTATCTGGTGATCGCATGATACAACTCACCATGGCGCTGCTGCCAATCTGATCCTTCTCGAAGGGCTCCTCGACCTCCTTGAGCATGGCCAAGTGGCGGATGTCGATACCGATGCGCTCGCAAGTGGCGCCGAAAGAGCCCAGGGCATTGCCAACATCGACATCGATCTTACGGGAGTAAGTCTGACTGGAGATGATGAAAGCGGAGTCGAAACCGGCCTTCTTGGTAACCAGCTCGTCCAACTGCTCAACCTTGTCGTGGTCTCCGTTGAAGATCTGGAGGAAAGAGGCCTGAGTACCGGTGGTACCCTTCACACCACGGAAGCGCAGATCATCGCGGGCTCTCTCGAGGTTGCGCAGATCCATGAGCAGATCCTGGATCCACAGGCAAGCTCTCTTACCAACGGTGACCAGCTGAGCAGGCTGACCGTGGGTGAAGCCCAGGCAGGGCAGATCCTTGTACTGCTTGGCGAAAGCAGACAGCTTGTCAATGACAACGGCAAGCTTGGGGATCAGAATATCCAGACCGTCGCGGAGGAAGATCAAGTCCGCGTTATCCGTGCAGTAGCACGAGGTGGCACCCCAGTGGATGATACCAGCGGCAGCGGGGGCAACCTGGCCGTAGGCGTGGACGTGGGCCATGACGTCGTGTCTCCGGCGCTTCTCCTCCTCCGCGGCAACCTTGAACTCATCATCCTGAATGACCAGGTGAGCCTTCATCTGCTCAATGGCATCGTCGGTAATGTCCAAACCGAGTTCTGGGGGAATGGGCCTTCTGATTAGTCGGCAGCTCGCAGACTGCGATATGGAGAGATAGCTGTGCACAACGACGAGGAAAAATCACCTTTTTCCGACTCAGCAAGCCACAGCCACAGCTGTCTCCAGGTAGAGAAGCGGTTCCGGGGAGAGAAGAGGTACTTCATCTCATTGCCTGAATACCCGAACAACGATTAGTCCGATATCGCTCTGGCTAGCAGATATCGTCAAGGACGTTTTGGGAGGAACTTACTCGCGTAACGCGAGTTGAGAGGGGTCTGATAGACATCGTTGCTGGAAGACATCCTGTCAGAAATGAACTGGAATGATTTTCACAGGGATTGGAATGCAAAGAAGGAGGGTAGAGGGGGAAGGAAGCTGGAGAAGTTTGCGTGAAGCCAGGAAATTTTGCAGCGGGCTAGAATGACTCTTAGCGGGGTCTCCGCTTATCAGTCACGTTATCACCTCCGGAGGGGTTAATACTTAATCATCACATGACCCGCCCGGCGTGGGGGAGAAAAACGCACGACCCCTTTTTTTGTTCTTGCTTGTTTGGATACTACTGGAGAACTACCCGAGACTATGACCAACTGCTAGGTATATGCACAACATTATCTAATTAAGATGAGACATTACAAGAAGATGCGTATATTTGCCGAACCACCTTCTTTCACAGTTGGACTCGAGATATGATTAGCATCTATACTGCCAATCTCCGGCATTCGGTATGACCCCACTGTGCCAGATGCTGATGCTGCCCGCATCTATACCAACGCTGCCAACTGCGCAGATAGGCTTCCTTTGTCGTATTTGACATACTTGCCTCTGCCCTTGTCAATTTCATGATAGCGATCCCAGAACCGCGCGTAGAGAGGCTCTAGGACTGCCTGCACTTCCCTAGCCAGAACTCCGCGCACCTCGCGTTCCATGTATAAACTCTTGTGGCGAGTCACCAAGTCATCGAAGCTGGCGTTGAACGCCTTGAATTTGTCCTTAATGGCGTCCTTATCTTTAGAAGACAGCGATTTGACGATAGCACTGGAATCCACCACGCCTCCAGACGTTGGCCGACCCGATCCACGGGAGGTGTACTGCACATCCAAAAGATAGTGAGACGTTTCCTTCCAAGCATCCAGGTATGTCGAGGTGGCCCGTTTGCGGAATGAATCGATCCGGGCAATGCTATCTCCAGATCCGAGGTATTTCGCTAGTTCTGGGCTTGACCGGATAGAGCGATCCACGGTGCAAAAGACATTTGATAAGAATACCCCCTGGACTGCCTTGGAGCGGTGAAGCGCTCGGCCTCGGGCCTCAAGCGCGATCATTAGAGCTTCAATCATGTCCAAAATGAAATGCGACAAAAGCGTCGAGCTATCCGGACTGACATCCAAGGGCGTGGTGGCTGCGTTAGCCGTCGAGTGCCAGTTCCCGTCACCCAGAGAGGTCAGAATCGATGCAAGAGGCCCGGAGTATCCAGTCAGGGTGGTGAGCGAGCTCATCACCTCGCCAACAAGAGGCACAGAGCCGCCGTCTGGCGGGAGCATAGAGATACTTCCAGCCTTGCGCTTCGTCTCTTCGAGGAGCTCCGAAAGGGATGACTTGGCTGTTTCACGAACAGGCCGGAGAGCTTCGATGAACAAGCTCTTGAGTTCCCCAGTCTTCGAATCGACGCGATAAGACATTGCAGTAACGATCTCAATGATTTCAAAGGCCAAGAAGCAATCCGTCATTAAGTTGGCGCGGATATAGTGGTTGAGCTCCCGGAGCGTCTGCGAATACTCTGTCAAGGCCGAGCGACACGTCGCTTGCAAAGCCAAACCGCGCTCTCCGCCAGTAAAAATCCTGACGATCATATCATGTTCGGTATATATGAAACTTTCCAATGCGTTTGAGTAAATTCCGATACCGTTGGTACCTTGTCGATAAGGACCATCCGCAGCCCTGCGCTTGACGGTATTTAACGAGGCTATGGCAAGATTCTGCAAGCTCGCTGTGATGTACGGTCCACGTATATCGGAGTAGATCTTGAGCGCGGGGTTACCGCCGTCTCGCTGGGGCCCATAGCTTGCCGCGGACGCGATAGTGGCGCATACGGGTCCTAATTCCGTAACAACATCGTCTGGGAGAGAAGGAAACGGGAGCTCTAAGGAGACGGAAGTAAATAGCTTGTCAGCTCCCTTCATTGTCGAGTTACTCGGACAATGACCTACCTTTTGTTAAGTAGTGTAATGGCTCGATGGCGCCGACATTCTCGCCTAGCTTCTTGCGGAGCAAGTCTTGAAGTTGTGAATTACCGAGGCTCAGTAAAGAATTAAAGTCTGTGATCGCTTTCTGATTTGACCTCAAATTCGTCGAGTTCAGGTCCGCTAGCGCCTTTTCCACACGCCTCACAGCCGAAAGATATTGCGACACTCCGACACTTTGGGGGCTTTACGAGGTCAGCAACATGGAAGCCAATGGTCGCGATGAGAACGAAGGGGTGCATACTCAGAACGTATAATGCCTTCTTCTTGACCTTTGGCATTCAGTGGTTGCCGCAGGCGCTCAATGGCTTCGTTGACTTTTTCGATGTTGCTGTTGGTGATCTGAAGGGATTGGGTGTTGCTGTAGATAGGCCCGATGGCATGCTTGACCACGTTTCCGCCGGTTTCCAAACGCACCAGGGAGCCCTGAATTTTCTTCGTAAGGAGCTTCAGCTTCTCAAGATTGGCGTAGAGGACCTCGACCTCCGCACTCTCCTCAGCGTATGCGGCGTTTCTGGGAGCGACCATGGCGAAGGAGGATTCGATCGGCCGGTCCCACCGGTCAACATCAGACAATCAGGGATTCGTAAATGAAGTCGACTGGGCGAGAACAGGGAGACGTCATTCCTCGCTCATGCGATGCGCACGGGGAAGAACAGAATGAGAAGAAGGGGAAAAAGAAATAGGCGCACGTCAGAATTAATGGCTAGCCAACGAGGCACCTGGCCTCATGGAACAAGCATGTCAGTAATGAGATAGTGAAGTAGTCCGAGGTCCCTGCCTTCCCTTCCTTTCTTTCTCCGTACAACGGCGCAATTGCCTTCTGCGTGACTCCGCAATTCACACTAACCCCAATACAGTAATCTCGGCCCGTCCTACGCCCCGGAGCTTAAAACCGCAGAGAAAGGAACAAGTCACGTGATATGACGTAATGGCTACATTTCCTGAGTTCCAGCCTCGATTCTCCCCCGTTGGAATGCAGGAGGGATTTTGTTTAAGTAGTACCTGATCGTCGCGGTCTGGCCCTCCCCCCCGTTATGGACTTCATTGTTGCATGCCGCCCGTCACTGCCCCTCTCATCCTACGGGGTACCCATATCACCATGGGTGCTGCGAAGGCATCGCGCTTACACTGGACGATTCCCCCTACCTTTCTGATCGCCCTAGGCGGCGGGGTGCTTTACGTCGCTGGCGGTCGATCCCTCTCGAATAAGCAACATCTGCTGCAGGCCGAACCCAAATTCTTCTTTTCGACTAGTTCTTCTGTCTTCGCGGACAAAGACTCGAAGAAGACCTCTTCGCTCAGCGATTACCTGCCGGGACATGGCTCGAAACACGACACCCACCATGGGGATGCGGGGTCGATCTGGACAAACATCATGGGCAAGTTCGAGGGGGTCAAATTATCCGTGGGTACCCCGGACTGGATTGAACTAGAGAATCTCAAAAACTACATAATACCCGATTGGACCCGACTACTGCCCGCATCCGTGCAGAAGCTCCAGCGGGAGCTATCGATGGCTCCGGGCTCCCTGGCCGACGAGATCTGGAAAGAAGCTCACGATCCGGACATCAACCCTGAGATACTGCGAAAAGCAAGTGTTCGTGTTGGGGATACTCTGTGTGATGAGGAATTGGTGTATAGAGAAAGACGGCAAAAATACGCCGTCAGGGCCCTTGCGTCCTATTTGAATATCAGGGAAGAGGACATCCATCCCGACGATGTACCGATCATAGCTATGTGTGGCTCGGGAGGAGGACTACGTGCGCTTGTCGCCGGTACGGGTTCGTATCTCGCCACTCAGGAGGCCGGGCTCTGGGATTGCGTGACTTATACTGCAGGAGTGAGTGGAAGCTGCTGGCTACAGACTTTGTACCATTCGTCCATTACTGGGCGTAATTTCAACAAACAGGTTGACCACCTGAAAAACAGGCTAGGAATTCATCTAGCATTTCCCCCTGCAGCACTTAAGCTGCTGACCACTGCGCCCACCAACAAATATCTCTTGAGTGGATTGGTCGAGAAGCTCAAGGGTGATCCCGGTGCAGACTTTGGCCTGGTCGATATATACGGCATGCTACTGGCTGCACGATTGCTGGTCCCGAAGGGCGAGCTCGGAGTCTGTGATCGAGATCTCAAACTATCTAACCAACGATACAACCTCACCAATGGAGCCCACCCTCTTCCTATCTATACTGCTGTTCGCCATGAGATTCCCACGGAGATTCAAGATGAGCATGGCAAACAACCTAAGCCCGAAGACATCATCAAAGAGTCGAAGAATGAAGCCTGGTTCCAATGGTTTGAGTTCACACCATATGAGTTCTTCTGCGAGGAACTTGGAGCAGGCATACCCACATGGGCTCTAGGCAGACACTTCTACGGTGGCGCCAACGTCAAGCGCGAACAGATCTCGCCAATTCCCGAGCTCCGCGTTCCAGGTCTGATGGGCATCTGGGGTAGCGCTTTCTGTGCTACGCTGTCCCACTATTACAAGGAGATTCGACCCGTTGTGCGAGGCATCACGGGACTCGGTGGCATTGATTCCTTGATTCAAGGGAAGACGAAGGACTTGATCCGGGTCCACCCTATTGATCCAGCTGCAATCCCGAACTACGTCTTAGGAATGAAAGACCAATTGCCAGCTTCATGCCCTGATTCGATCTTCCAGAGCCGTCACCTCCGTCTCATGGATGCAGGCATGAGCAACAACCTCCCCATTTACCCACTGCTTAGACCAGGTCGAGACGTCGACGTGATCATCGCCTTCGACGCCTCAGCCGACATCAAGCGCGAGAACTGGCTCTCCGTCGTGGACGGCTACGCTCGCCAACGCGGTATCAAGGGCTGGCCCGTCGGGGCCGGCTGGCCGCGCGAGAGCGAAGAGCCCAAGATCACCGAGGAGACCCTCCGCGAGCCGCAGAAAATCTCCGAAGACGAGATCAACAAGAAGATGGCGGAAGCCAAAGACAAGAGTACCCACCACCACCACCAAAAGCCCTCATCGTCTCCTTCTACTCCCGACAGCACCAACCAACCGGGGCTCGCCCAGGGCGAGCAACCTACCCCGAAGCCAGCCCCGAGCCCCAGCACAACCGACCTGGACTACTGCAACGTCTGGGTCGGCACAAAGCAAGAAATGGTGTCGGACCGCGAGCCGCCGCCGTCGAAACGGCTCTTCCAGCCGCGCCACGCGAGCGACCACTCCGAATCCGACTTCCACCTCATGCGGCCCGATGCAGGCATCGCCGTCGTCTACTTCCCGCTCCTCCCCAACCCGTCCGCCCCGCAACTCCCGGCCTCCTCCGCAATGAACCCCTCGCGCACCTTCGCCCGCCCCTCGGAGAACACCACCTCCGCCGCCAAGGTCTCCGACCCCGCCAAACCCCTGACCCCGCACCCGGGCTCCATCAACCCGGACGTGGACGACTTCCTGTCCACCTGGAATTTCGCCTACACCCCCGAGCAGATCGACTCCGTCGTCGGCCTCGCCAAGGCCAATTTCGCCCAGGGCGAGGACCAGGTCAAGCGCGTAGTCCGCGCCGTGTACGAACGCAAGCGGTCAGACCGGTTACGTCGCGAGGAGGAGGAACACCGTCGCCGGATGGCGGGGTTTGTTCCCGTTTAATGGCTACACCTTCCACGAAACCCATATCTCAAGAAGGTCTGTTACACTCGTTATCGAAGCAAGATATGAGTGAGTATACACACACAAGCGGGTTCCTTTCCCAGTTCCACCTGCCGGGACCTTTTGGAAGTCATTCGCACGACAGAGAATTGTTAATCATTCACAATATTTTCCGGTGTTGGCATGCATACGAACCTAAGGCATACATTTCATTTTTCCATATATTCCTTTACCCCCAAAAACAACTTGTTTAAGATGTGATGTACATAAGCTTCCATATATTAGCTTTAGAGACCCCTTGAACTCAATTGATCCTGCGTCCTGCGCTACTGCGGTTATTACGTGCAGGGCAGACGAGCATGTTTCCTCCATCTTCCCAACGCCCAAACTGAAAATATAGCGTGTACTCTATCTATGTACAAAATCTTCTCTTTCCCTGTATGATTAGGACAACGAGATATCCACCAAAAAGTAGGATGTAAGCCCCTAGGGAGGCACCTGCATGTACTTCTCTGGTTCTCCGAGTGGTCCCCAAAGGATACAACTCCGGAAGCTGGATATCAACAAACCCCGATTCAAAGCTAGACAGCAAAACCATGCAACGGGGGAATCTTTGTATTTCGAGAAAGAACGAAACGAAATTCAGGTCTTCGTCTTGGCCTTCCCCTCCGCCTCTCGCACCTCATCCTCACTCCCCGCCAAACTGGTGTCCTTGCTCTCGTCCGTCTGCTTGCGCAGGCCCAGGTGCTTGCCCCAGTCTTGCAGCGAGGCGGCGGCGGTGGCCGTGAGCTCCGCGGTGATCGAGTGGTCAGATGTCGTGGAGGATTTGTGGCCGTGTCCGTGTCCGTGCTTGTGGCTTTTATGGGTGAGGGATCTCGTGCTGTTGTTCGGTGCCACCGATGGGTCTAGATTCTCCTGCTGCTCGGAGTCTGTGGCCTTGATGTGCCAGTCTGGGGGCTGGGTTTCCGGGGCAGGCTCCCCGGGTTTGGGCTCAGAGATGGGTTGACCTTCTTCGGTGGTGGTGGTGTTCTTGTGTTGTTCAAGGCTATCGCCGCTGTCCCCGACGCCAGGTTGCTGCGAAGGCGCGTACCGCCAGACGACCTTGACGCGGTCGAGGGCCCTCACGCCCTTGCGGGTGGTGCCCTTGATGCCGTCTAAGCCATCCCATTCGCAGGAGAAGACCCCGGAGTCGTGCTGGTGGCCACCCTCGAAGTAGGCGTTGAACCAGACGTGGGCGATGGAGGTGACCATCGCCCAGCCGGTGTAGGCGGCCTTGCTGCGGCGTTCAAAGTCAATGTTGACATCTGAGGCGGGGACGATGATGGGTTGTCGGGGGCGGAAGATGGCGTTGGATATGTGTTTGATCGGGCTGCTATGGGTTTTGTTGGGGGGCGCTGAGGGGGTGGATGTCGAATCGGTCGTGACCGAGGAGGCTGGGTTTTCGGGGGTGGAGGACCCGGTAGGCGATGGCTTCAAGGACTTTTCGGCGCTATTGGGGCTGCTGCTGCCACTACTGCTTTCCTTCTGTTTCTGTAGCGGGTTCGTGCTTTCGTTCTTGCTCTCTGAAGATGAGACGTCCACGTCGTCAACGATCGTGCGCTCGGTCTTGTGAAAGCGATGGAATCGCTTGATCCTCTTCCCATGGTCGACATAGCCCTCCACTGCGACTTTTACTCCGTCCCGAAGACCCCAGACATGCACCTCGAGGATCTCGACCGGTCGTTCGATGTACTTCTTCCCCAATTGATTGGTCCACCGATCCACGTATCCCACCCAGCGCAGCTGGCTGGGAATGCTCACACCAGCACCGAACCCGACCCTCATCCGGCGCTCCGTGAATCGCTGCAATGCGTCCTCTGCCTTCCATCCTTCCTGGCTGATCAGGTAGCTGCAGGCGACGGTCCCACTGCGGCCTTTGCCTGCCTTGCAGTGAACGACGGCAACCCTGTCGGGCTTATTGCTAGTCAACTTGTTCGCGGACTCTGGATCATCGAGTCTGTGAATATAGTTGCGCATACTCCCCGTAATAGCTGGTAGTAGAGCGAAAGGGGGCGGGTGGTGGTCCGGCCATGGGTAATGATGGATTCGACCATATACTTCCGAATCGGGGTACCCTGTTCCCTCCGCACGGAATTCCCAGATACACCAGTCGCTACCGTGTTTGGAATCGAGGAAATGCACGAGTGCATCGAGGGGGTTTCTGTATGCGCGTTGCGGGTAGTTGGAAGATGGGCCGGATGTTGCGATTACTGCGGTTGCGCGGAAGGGGGTCGGTTGTTAGTGCGGTGAGGTTTAGATTTTCAGGGCCAGGTAGCATACGATTGTCCGTCACATAGCATAGGTCCAGGCCTGCTTCAGGATGCTGCTGTCGAGGACCGGCGACAATTTGTCGTAGGATCGACGCCTGCACCGGGAAATTATGTCATGTCAGGTCCCGTGTTGACAGGTAGAAGGGATGGGAAAGCTCTATTGACTTGGGACGTACCATGGGGGCTAAGATATTCTTTGTGCTCTCTGAAAGAAGTTGCCTGGCTAAATGGTTTATCTCTGGTGGTTTAGAAGAGGATATAATGTGCGCCACCGACCTGGTCATTAGCAGCGCGATAGTCTATGGCGTAGGGAGTGAACCACGCACGGGCTTCAACCCGGTGATCTTCTCCAAGTTCTCTCGACCCAGAGATGAACGGATTTGCGAATGATGACGGCTTCCATCCACCCAGTCGAAACAGCAATGATTGCCACAGTGAAAGTAACAGAGACTGTGCAATTTGAACGTGGAGGAAGAAATGGTGGAAGGAGAGAACCGACGACTGCGGGTGATGAGGGCGATGATGTCACCGGCACCCTTTCTTTATCCGGCCGCCCATCAAACAATCGGTGAATGTAAACAGTCTGTTGATAACTCCAATCAAGAACATTATAGACAAACAAATAAGCTGGGATTTGAACTTGATTTGCATTACTCTTGGTCATAAATATTTGTCCTGCATTAGCCACTTTTGCCCATCATGTAACCAGACATTATTAGGTACCCTTCCCCCCGGTCATAGTGTAAAGTCATTCTGGCCCAATATATACTATCAACAATAAAAGAAAACAGACATGGCCATCATAGTATGATACAAAAGCATTGCCGTAACCTACCCCTCCATTCGAATTTCCCTCCTGGGATATTCCCTTTTGGTATAGCACCGGCCCGGCGGTTAAAGTCGGTTCATCCTCCGACCTGTTCAGGCGACACCATACTCCTCAGTGACAGGGATAGTGAATCGCGGGGTCGACGAGGTGACATTAGTCTCTCCGAAAGCAAAGAACTCGGCTTCACCCCCAGACCGGAGCCACACGTGTTCGACCCGGACATTCCACAGCGGATACGGCTCGGCCTTGACGCGAGACTTGACCAGATGGTCCTGGCAGGAGATGAGGTCATCCGAGCTGTCCGTAGTACCGGAGCAGGTGGTGTTGAAGCCCGGTGTGTTCTTGGTCGCAATTCCGAGGATGTTGAAGTTGTACACACAGCCTCCTGGCGAGCAGCCGGTGGTAAAATTGGACACATGCCAGGTCAGTGCCGCGCTGTCACGGCGACTGGGATAGGAGATAGGAGAGGCAGAGGTGAGGCTCAGGGTGGAGAGAGCAAGACCGAAAAGGGTGGTGAGTTGCATGGTGATGGGGATAATCGTAGGTCGGGTGACTAAGGTTTGGTAAGGTAGGATTGAGTTCTTGTGCCTTGCGACCACGAGGTATGTATGTAATGTATGTGTGTATGCAGGCGTGGGGATGAACTGATGTATATGCTTGACAGGAAAGAGACAGGCACTCAACAGAGAAGATTAAGTATTATCAGTAAGTACTGAGGAGATATAAAGACAATTAGAGGAGGAAAGGAGAAGACGGATGAAATTGTGATGGAAAAAGGGGAGAGAGAAAGAATGCAGCGAGCAGCGACGGTGACTTGATATAACCCCGGTTCGGCTGTAGCGACGGCGGCGTTGGCACCAGGCAGGACTGCAGGAAGAGCGCAGACGGATGGATCCTCGCCTCCGTCTGGAGTCGATACTTTTCTTAGAACTTGCAAAAGCGATCCTGATGCAGCGGGAGAGCAATTCGACCCCAACAGTGGAGCGAAAGTTGAAACGAATCACTGGCGACAGGCTCAACTCATTGGCCAGAGGGTGGGTGATCGCGCGGAATATGAGCGAAGATCCGTTTTGTTGCCCATTTGCAGCGAAGCAAAAGAAGAACAGTCTTATCAAATGTGTGACAGACCATGGTTACACAACTGACGGTGAGAAAAGGTTTGTGCTCAACGGGCTGGATGGAGATTCGATGCGATGTTTTGGAGTTTGTTGTTGATGCCGTTGTTGAACCCTACATTGTATTGTCCCAACTGTTCACTGTGATTGCATTGCGGTAGTGGTTAGCCGATCTCAATCTGGGATTGACATAATTATAGAAATTTGACCAACCTACTAAGCACTTGATGATATTCTTAGGTATGATTGAACCATGACACGGATAATCATCAAACAGCTGGTCCAGGCGGGAAATCCGGGCGCAATCAACGGCGGTTTGACGATGAGGCGCTCGCTGTCTCACATGCAAGCTTAAATCTCTTCCGCCTCGGGGAACTTCCCATTTTGTTAGATAATTTCCCTATGATTCCTGTCTCATGCACCCTGCCGTTGCTTACTTGCATTCCCCCGTTTTCTCACCCGAATACCGGAACTGTGCGGCTGTCATCGCGACGGGACTCAGTCACAGTCATTCACCCCCTCCCCCCCCCGGGAGAACCGGAGAAGATCTCTTCCTGGTCTCTCTTTATGGTAGTTGTTCAACACTTCACTGGTTTGCAATAGCCGAGATTGGCTTCCATTGGGGCCAAATAACAAGCCCCCTATACAATTGTAGCATATCAACCTAGAATACATGAAATTGAACTTTACGATTCACGTCGTGCATGGTGTTGGCAATGGCCAAGACTCAACCGGACTGCGAGTCTTCTCCACTGCTATCAGGCAAATTCTCAGGGACAAGACCTCCAGGCTCGTAATCCTCCCAACCTTCCTCTTCCATTGCTTGTTGAATGGCCTTCGCTCTCCTTCTTCTCTTACGCGCTTCCTTCGCCCTCATCCGTCGTATTTCCTTGTAAACTTCCCTCTTCCTCTCGGCGATTTTTGACTGCAGAAAAGAGGGTTCAAACTTCATGGTGGGATAACGAGGGGATTCCCGCCAGGGCACTTCGGATGAAACTTTACTGAGCGCTCGGTCATGCTCGCCAGCAGAACTCATTCCGTCGACCAAACATTGGATAGAGCCATCCTGGATGCGGGGATGATACCTCAATTGCCTTGCATACTGGTCCCGGGAGTGAGAGCAGATCTCCCGAATGGCGGCGCGGGTCTCATCGCTTGGAGAAAATCCCCGATAGAGGAGGTCCTGGAAATACATATATGCGGATTCATAATTGCCCGTGTCCAGACACATCATAACCAAATGCTCGAAAGTGACCCCATCAGGGACCACGCCCAGTTTTGCCATCTCGTGGACCACGAACATGCCGGCGTCGCTGTTTTCGCCTCGTCGACACATGTTGATGAGGACGTTGAATAGAGAGACATCTGCCTTGTTCGGACACAGGGTATACAGTTCGTTGTAGAGCGCGACACCGTCTTCCACGGCCAACGGGTCACTAAGTGCTTCATGCTCGCACTTTTCGAAGACCACTAAAGCGCAGAGGAGCGGCACTGGAAGCTTAGTAGCTTTGAGTTTTTTGAGCATGGCCCACACATCCCGAGGGTTAACATTCTTCTCAATCATGTGCTTGAGTACTAAACGCGTTGAGTCGTGTCGCAGCGAGATGCCTGCTTTGTGCATCCTGCAAAGAACTTCCAAACCAGCGTATAGGTCTCCAGACACTACATGAGCTGCCACCATACATTCGTAATTCTGCAGGGTGACGTTGAACTCAGATTCCGCCATGTATTGAATCACAGATGAAGCAAGATCAACATCTCCTATGTGAGCTGCAACCCCCAGGACCTTGTTGCAGATGGCATGTGAAGGGCGCAGGTATCGCAGTTCTACCTTGTGCTTCCAGATGAACCAGATTGTTTCGGTGTGGGCGGCCATACTTGCCATTTCCAAAACATACGAGCACAGCTCCGGTGTGATTTCGCGGTGTTGCTCCGTCCGAGAGCGCATCAGCCGGAGCACCTCATCCCATTCTTGAAGTTCACAGAGATAATAGACGAGCATGTTGAATAACCAGCTCTCGACTACCACTCCTTTCCGCTCCATCTGACCGATATGATCCAATGCCAACTCGAACTGGTGTTCTCGAAGCAAGCCAGCCACCACGTAATGCCATCCAGTAGGGCTGAGCGAGAGCCAACGCTCTCGAAGGGCCCGCAGGACATCTTGACGCAGCAAATAGTCGGGGTGAACGGCCGATACCTGAGCGTAGAACGAGTCCATATCAGCACGAGTTTCCAGATGGGACGACTCTGGGGACTGCTGGGACTGCTGGAACTTACCTGGAGAGCAGCATGTAGCGTACCTGAGTCGGCCGCTATCCCATTGGATTCCATCTCCGCGAGCAGCCTGCGGACTGTTTTAGTCGAACCACGCACCGCATCCGAGTGGGCGAGAATGAGAGCTCTGTAGTGCCGCGTGTCCGGATGTACCTGGCGGTCGTGAATGAGGATGCGTAGGATCTGTGCTGTATTTTGAATCCGCGGGTTCTTGGCCGTTATCTCCTGCAACCTGGTCTCCAGGGCCTGCGTGGACTTGCGCGAAAGAGTCTCTGGTGCATCGCCGAACTCAAATGTCGTCACTTGGTCATACGAGGTGAAGGGGATCGACTGGTCAGGGAGCAATCGGATTATACTATCTTCGTGAGTCACGTCCCTCTGATCGGGTTCGCGACTGGAATCAATTGTGGCGGGTTCTTCTGGGCCAAACGTCGGTCGAGCTGGCATGGACTTTTTCAGCGGCAACGAGGAAAATCTTCGTTTAGCATGTTGGCTCGCCCCTAGAGTTACTCTAGCCCCGCTGAGCGTGTTGATATTAAATGATGGGCATAGGCAGAGCCATAGCCCATCAAGAACTAGTGTCGTTCGTGGCATGTCGAGTGGCTGCGGAGACGTTTGCACTCGGTCTCTCAGGATTGAGGAACAAGTTACGGGAGTAACACGTGATCTCGGATGCTAATCATGCTATGGGATATTGATAAGTGGCGACGATAGCCACACATCAAGGATAACCTTATGGATTCGTATTTAACTTAGTGCAGATATCAAATCTCATAATCCGTCCAATCATGAAATGAGAAGAAGGAAAAAGAAGCCCAGACGACACAATTCTCATTTAACAAGTACAACCAGATGACGCCAAGGCCATGCTCGACTTCCTAACCAGCCAAACGAACTTTCCCCAGCGAACTACCTGCTTTAAACACTTTCAATCAACCCCGGGGTATCTTTCATGTCTCTTCTCATTCTTTTCGTGAACAAAAAATAGGATCAAAGTCTCTAATTGCCGCCCCGACCGCGACCGCGACCACGACCCCGACCACCACCACGACCTCTATCGCCTCGACCACCTTCGCGGGGACCACGGTTGCGGTTCGGCGGCTGGTTCTGCTGTTGTTCCTTCACCATTTCCACAATTTCTTCGGGAATTCGTAGGTATTTGATCTAAGGGGGAAGCCAGGTTAGAGTCGGAGAAAGCTGGGATCCAGGAAACCGCTTCGCTCCCCGCGTTATGAACTCACGTTGTTTCCTCTGACGTAGACTTCTGGTAGTCGAAAGAATTTGTCTCCCTCCGGACTCGTCTGGACAACTTCTTTGAGTATGAGGTTCATCCAGTTGTCGCAGTTGGCAAGGTGTCCGTTGAGCGTCTCGCCGTTCTTGAGTTCCACGAGCATGGGGTGACCCTGCGCGGCCGTCAGAAGACCTAGAGGCAACTATATCCTGGATCAGCAAGAGTCTATAGCCTAGAGAATATAATAAGTGCAGAGTGAAGAGGTATACCATTTCTGAGGACTATTGGATAAGGTGGGATGTTGTCTTGGTAGGTGGGGAGAGACGCAGATGCGCAGTCGCTAATTCAATGCGTCGAGGATTATCAAAAATAGGCGCGGGCCAGATGCGAGCGAGCAGTATAAGGTAAGAGTCGCAGATTAATGTCAATGAAAGACTTGAATAGGGATGTGATAACGAGCGCGCAACCGACCTTGGAAGAGGGCTCCGCATGAGCTTCACCTGTGGCGGTGATCGCAGCAGCAGCAGCGCCGGGGCGATCCGGAAAAACATGGCCCCGTGATTGGCCCGGCCATGCGTTCGTTTCTCCTTAGCTGAACTGCCAGTGTGAGTGTGTGTGTCAGTGACCCTGGCTTAGTTCGATCCACGGGCAGGGCATTGTCTGTGTTTGTCCTTATTTAGTCTATCACCCCCAGGACTACATTTTAAAGATGCATCCCTTTTTCAGCTGCGATGCTTATGCTCCCTGAGAAGGCTCATGGGATAGCTTTTTCAACCTCCCTTCACTTTTCTCCTCCCATACTTATATCTATAGTCTCTCCCGGATCGGATATATATACACCATCATGGGTGAAAGACGGCACCTCTCCACTCCGGGCTATGCAATCCCCTGGTGGTCAGCATTGATACTCTTTCTCACCACAGACCTCGTAGTTGAGGGCACCCCCATTGATCTCCAGCGACCCGACGACTCTTTCCCAATGCATCCCAGTTAGTAGTCCATCCTGCGACGACAACACCGTTCAAAAAAATCCTAAGCCACTGTATAGACAACCATACCGGGTCCAAAACGACCCGGTCGCTATGCCTGAACGAAGACACCGACCGGAGTTGCAGCTTGCTCAGGAAGATCTCGGAGTACAAGAACCAGGTCTCCATCACGAAGCTGGTCGTGCTCGCGTGTATACTGGCCGTATGCGCTCTGGCTTACCGAATCTGTCTCAAGACGATGTACTGCCAACGCCGCCGGGTGGACAGGGCAGCACAGCGCGAAGAGAGGAAAGCGCGCCGGGCCTACAAGGCTGCAGCGCGCCGACTGCGGTGGCACCGCTGGTGGGAGCGGAAGCCCACCGAGCCATCGGCCCCAGAGCGCGACAATGAGCTCTTCGTCATCGACGTACCGGGAGAACCCCGTCAGATGCAGGTAGGCTCTTCAGATGCATCATCGTCTCTGCCTGGAGCGATGCAAGATGAACTACTAGGCCTACGGGAGACACTCGCATGCGTCGGGGAGTTGATCGGGGTCGAGCAGCAGAACTCGGTCAAGCCAGATGGTCCTGAGGTAGCAAGCCTGCATGGAAAGCGGCGCATGTCCTCGGAGACTATCGCTACGTCAACGGTCGGGCTATCCACCATTACGTTCACTGCGACCAGCAGTCGATTGAGCCATGAGCCTAGGTCCTCTGGGACGGTAGAATCATTGGACACGATGGACTCAGCCCCTCCTCCTAGCTACAGATCCTGATCTGCAAATGCACCTACAATAGTATGGAATGAAAGATCATATACTGGGCCATGGCTCATTGCCAAAACAGTTTTGGATGGATCATAAAGCTTATTAGTACATTGACCTTGTCACGAACGCATCGACCAAGGATACATTGTGTGCGCATGCAGTTGGCTCTCTACACCTTTGGCCGCTTATTCAGCAAATCCCCGTCCTCCTCCTCTTCATCATCCTCGTCATCTGCCACTGTGAGTTTGCGCTTGTTGCGCGGCTCTCTAGAGCCTTGACCCGGCTCATTCAGGACAACAGTCGACTCTGCGGTCGCTGCGTCGCCCATCGCTTCCTCCTTAGCTTTCAGTGCCTCTTCGCGGGCGTTGAAGGCCTTCAGCAGTGCTTCATAGCCTTCCTCGACATTGGTGACGGTCTCCTCCAGCTTCTCAACGCGGTCACTCAGATCCAATTGGATCAAGAGATCCCGAGAGCGTTTGTAGAGACGCTGCTTGGTGAGCATGCGCCACCAGTAGTACCGCCTATCATTGGGGTCTTCTGCATTATGCTTCTTGATCAACAGGCGAGCCATATTGGTACCACCAGCTAACCGGCTCTTCAGAGGGATCTGGCCCAGGAGATACATCTCCAAGATATGAGCAAACTGGGTGGAGTCAATCTTGAACGACGAGCGGATCTCATGAAGCAGCTTGGTCGGAATCAGGGCTGATGTAGGCACGCGCCGAGGACGAGGCCTCTTCGCCGTTACTCCGTATGGATCCGGATTTATGTTCAGATTGTGCTTGACAAACTCGGGGCGCAGGATGTGATAGTCGGCAGTGTCGCGGAGGGCATCAAAGGCTTCATTCGGGTCCTCAACGGTCAGTTCGGAGATCGTGGGATCATTGAGACAGGCGCCGTGGATAGTTGTGTACAAATGGATGCCATGGCCCGAGCCTTGATGAGGAGGAAGTATAAGGAATTGCGCAATTCGCAACCGCGCCGGAAGCTGAGCGGGCCTTATCACCTCAGACGCGGGGAACGGGCTATCTTGGACTGTAGGCTTTTGTGTCGTGTCTCTCTGGTAGAACCACCAGCGATATGTTGTCGCATATCCGACAATAGAATATTGTGAAGCAGTGGGCACCGGTCGCGTCACCTTCTCGTAACTGTAGTGTCGTTAGCATGATGAGCGTAGCTGGGTACCAGTACGACGGATGTTGAGTAGTGAAGCATACACAAAGTAGACCGTCCATCTTTCAAGTGTCCAGTCAGGGTCATCCGTGACTATCGGTGTCCCAGCTTCGATGAAAAGTGAAACGAAGACTTGTGCGCGATCCAACAATCGTCTCACTTCGGGATCCGCTAACGACCCTGCCCAGACCTCATATGTTCTCTGTTCGGTGACGTAGCTGTGAACGAGTTTGCCTGGGGGTACAAAGTCCTTGGCGTCCTTGTCCTCCAAAACAGCCTTCTCGTAATCGGGGAGTACAGCGAAAGCCTCTAAGAGATCACATTTGAATTAGTTAACAGCGATGAATTATGAGCAGCTACGGCGCCCACCAGTCCGGGAGGTGTGACATGTAGTTTACCTTCAGGAATCCATGGCTTCAGAGTCTTCAGTAGATCAACAGGGACGACATCGCCCACAGGCTTGAACTTCTCGTCATAAGATATGTGAAGATGCGGGCGTAGATCGTGGGCAGCAAATCGCATGCGGATGATCAGGCCTTTGTAGCCGAAGATCTGCTCCTCATCGCCGAAGATGGGATATGTGAATTGAGGTTGGAAGTTGGAGAGGGTCTTGAGTTTGGCATCGTCGGCAGGTTGGACTAGAGACAGGTGGAGAGCGTCATTGGCGTCGCAAGTCCCTGTATGAAGCCGTTTTTTGTTAGTAGGGTGAAAAGTGAGGCAAAGGGGCAACAGGGTCATTCATTACAGTCGCCTTCGTTCGCCATGATGCCAAGCACGTAGTTGAGGGATATCCGAAGCGAAATGAAGTCAGGAGATGGGTGAAGAAAGATAGACTTTCGGTCGTCATCAATCACCTTTGAAAGCGGCGCGTGTTGCCCGAATCGATCGCGTTGCGCGGCGGAGCTGGGTATAACCGGGTTGGGCTTAGCGCATCGAGCGCCAAAGTGGGCTCAATCACATCGTAACTACTTGTACAGAGTACTCAATATTCATAGGTAGCTGGTTATCTGAGAGACCAAGAATCTAGTATGTCGGATGCTACAAATTACTCGACCTAGTCATTTACTCGAGCAATAGGTGGTTTGATTCCACAACCTCTTATCTCACAATGGTATGACTTGTGATTGTGCCTGGCGGCCGCTTCCACTACGATGAAGTATAGTCCGTAGCGTTGGCGGAAACCACCTCAAAAGGATTCATCAGCAGATTATGCGTGAGTCTGACTGCTTGCAGACTGCATGAACCATACTACCGACGGAGGCAACTATACCTCATAGTCAGTGAAGATACTCGAACATCATGTCTCTTTCCCACGACCCTCAGCAAATCGCCTTGACAGGCCTCGGGACCATAGGCATATCCATGGCGGCTCTGCATCTCTCGCGTGATAACACGATAATCACTGTTTTTAATACCAGACCCAGCTTAGAAGACTATTTGAGAAAAACTCTTCCAGATATCTGACCCAGCATACATGCGGTGGATCTTTCCAGCACTGGTTCTTGAGCTTCCACCCCTGCGGTAGAGTAACTCATTGCCGACGGTCGTTTGCGACTCCTTTCATCATTGGAGAGCGCATGCGCCTCAGTCACTATCGTCCAGGAGCAAGGACCCGAGAGCCTCAAGTTCAAGCAGACCCTCTGGGCTTAAGTCGACGCGGCGGCTCCAGGCTCTGCACACCTCTGGACCAGTACATTGCTCAACAACTCAAGATGCGCAATAAGGCCCGGTTGTTGGTCGTTCACCCTTTCGACCAACCTCACCTGATGCCACTTTTTGGAGATAGCCCCCGCTCCAGAGACTTCACCCGAGCGTGTGGAGTTTGCGCGCGAGTATTTCTCCGTGCCTGGTCCACGACACCGGCCCGTGGTCATTCGGAAAGGGATCCCGGGCTTCGTGGACAACCGACTGGAATTTGCACTACTAAGAGAAGCATGATACTTAGTGCAGGAAGACGTGGTAGACGCAAAAGATCTAGATACTATTTTGTTGGCCAGCTCAGGGCCTAGGTGGGCCGGCAATGGTGTCTTCGAGAGCTATCAATAGGGAGGTGGAGAAGGGGGCATTGCAGCTTTCCTGGACAAGCTGGGTGGGACGATGCAAGACATGGGATGGATTGGGTCAGGTTAAAGTGCGAGGGGAAGCAAAAGCCGGGTGGAAGGAGAAAGTAATCTCTCAAGTCAATCAGGCGTATGGATCGTTGACCGTCGGACACGCTCGCGAGAAGGAAGCACGCTTGAAGGATCTGCTTCAAATTCAGAGCAAAACGTACGGAGATAATGGAGCAGAAGCATGAACCATGAAGCATAGGTTGCTGGATGACGTACTTGTCATGGATTGATGATTAGATTATGCCCAACCTGCCAGTATATAAAAATCATCTATGATAGTCAGCTTAGGTAGGTGTCTTACATAGGCTACGGAGTAAGCAGGCAGTATATCCAATTCCGTCATTGCATCCCTGGGCGGTGGGTCTTCCCGTGTCTGTGACTGGGGCGTGCCTTTCTTTTTCCCACTTGCGGCAGCGGATCGCAATAACTTATCAACTCCGTCGACTAGGCCTAACCCAGGGCTTGTCCACCTCCGCCACGTTTTCAGTTCTCTCGTTGATTCCGACCGCCTTGGATAGACACTTTCACACCCTCCGAATCTCACCTCTTCTCCTCTCCCCTCCAACCATCTTCAAGCCCCTGCACAACCCCCTGTCGGGCTTATACGCACATCGCAGCGCCACCGACGTAGGATCAGGGGCGTGCCGAGAATATAATTTTCGCGATTGGCATCATGATTGAAGCCTTCTAGAGCGGAGACGAAACCATGGAGGGACTTTTCACTTTGCTCGCTCTGAGCATTGTGATGGCGATTACGTGAGTTTCGCTCAACTCACAAGGCAATTGTCCAGAAGAACGAACTCCCTCGCTAATCGCTGCGCCCGTTTTGCTCCTACAGGTCTTTTGTCGTGGGCTCATTACCACTTGCTTTCACGCTCTCCCCTTCTCAGCTGAGGTTGATATCCTCCATTGGCATGGGAGTATTAGTCGGAACTTCTTTGATCGTGATTATCCCAGAAGGAGTGGAAACATTATACAGCGCAAGCTTGCCTGCTGGTCGAAACGGCATCAGCACCCGGTCGACAGCGACAGCATTCAGCTGGCACCCTCAAAAACCACGTGCCGTTCAGGTTTTCCAGGCGAGGGAACCATTGGGTTTGGGAGATACAGCTGCGGTGTCTCCGTCTATCTTAGACGACCTAGCGACTACTCCTACATTGCATATCACTCGCGATGGACACGATGAACTATCTGAACGAAAAGAAGAGTCATCCGGCGACACCGAACACAAGAGTCATGACGAAGAAAGCTCGCCTCACGCTTGGATCGGTATCGCGTTGATCAGCGGATTTATCTTGATGTATCTCATTGACAAGCTACCTGTGCTAGCATCGCCAGGTAAACAGGAAAGGATTCCTTACCACATATCGCTGGACAATCTTGGATCGGGCTTGCGACGTAATTCGTCCCCATCTCGAGAAGGTGGTCTTTTGGATGCTGGAAACGTCCCCAAGAGTAGCCATAGCTTCGCTACCACCACTGGCCTTGTCATTCATGCCGCTGCTGATGGGATTGCCCTGGGTGCATCCAGTTCCGACACTGGGCTGAGCTTTATCATTTTCCTTGCAATTATGGTTCATAAAGCGCCGGCTTCTTTCGGCCTCACTTCCGTGCTGCTAAAGCAAGGACTTTCTAGTCGCACTGCTAGAGCTCATTTGTTGGTTTTCAGTTTGGCCGCCCCCTTGGGAGCGCTGATGACTTTCTTATTTGTGCAAGTCATGGGCTCGGGTTCCAGCGGCGACGAAATTAGTACCCGTTGGAGAACAGGCGTACTGCTACTGTTCTCGGCCGGTACCTTCTTGTAAGCGGCCCCCTCCCCTCCGATGCGGCCTTCGGTCTGGACGAGAATTGACTGTTGTGCAGATATGTCGCCATGCATACGATGCAGGAAAACAGCCCCAACACCTCCCCACGTGAATCGCCTGCGAATGGGTATGGGGATCCCAGAGATATCCCCGCGAAGCACGACAAGTCTATGAGAGACCTAATCGCTTCCGTCGTCGGCATGATCTTGCCCTTGTTTTTGCAATTAGGCCATGCTCACTAATTCCCTGCCATGTTACCTAATCTTATTTTGGATTTCACCCTTGTTGTACTTTATCAACGCCACGAGTGCCATCGAACGTCAAAGAACGTCGATATTGAAGCACTCTTACACTCGCAATACCTTTCGGAAGCCGTGTTGCTTTTATAGACTGTGTCGTTACTAGGATCTACATCCTTCTCCGAAGCTAATCTCTTTGTGATATTAATATTGGCATAGAAACGGTGTTGCGATATGTTTGCTGCTTTCTTTTTTGACTTACGCATGGGTCTCATCACTTTGTATACAAGTCTCTTCCAAGGCCGTTGTCATTATTGCGCTGGATATGGGCACAGCTACGTAAAGTGGCCAGGAACTACGGAGGGGAAGGAGGGGAGACAGCCTCCGGAAAATGGAAATCCACGTTCAGCCCGGCCCTTTCCCCGCAAAACACCGAGCCTGATGCAACCACTCAGCAAGCTTGGATTATGCTCGCAATTCCCACTTCCACGGTTGTGTTGCACTGATCCTGCCGAGCTCCATCCACGGCCTCGGAGGAACTATATCTTTAATCGGTGCCCTATATTTCAGGCCCAGGGCCACGGAGTTGTGTCCTTTGGACAGGAGGAAGCGAGGAGAGGATGGATTTGTAATCGGACAGGGATTACTTAGTTATGACTATCTCCACCCTGACTCTGGAATTAGTTCGCCTTGTTTTGGGGGCCTGTAGACTCAGCGCACCAGCAGCGATCTGCTGAAGCTTCATCTTGATTTCACTTGCATTTCTGACGACAGATGGGCGCAAGGCGGACCCTTGCAGACCATCGGGGCCGTTTAACAGTGGGTGGCGGTAGGTACTTGGTTGCTGTTCCCTTGAGAATGCCCAGTTTGTGTGGTTAATTGCTCGCATAATCCGTTGGTTGCTGGTGTGTGGGAGTGTGTGAGAGTGTGAGTGTTTGTGTGGCATGCATAGAAGAAGGGTGGAGAAGGCAGGGGTTCACATCCTACAGATGAGTGGAAAGAAGAGGAGAACGGGTAGATAGATCAATGATGGGATGAATAGAACAAGGGCGGACCGGATCCGATTGCACAAGCAGGGGCAAATGAGAGGGAAGGAGGAAGAGGAGACGAGACCTCAGGGAGAAGAAGGAGAGAGAGGCAGGGGAGCGGGATTCCGGGCACTGGTCATGAGGAGGGGAGAAGAGAGGGGGGGAAGGGAGGGGGGGAAAGGATGCATGTCCGAAGTAAAAAGTTGAGAGTATACGTATCGCCTGCAGTGGATGTATGTAGTTGAGCAGTAAGGTAAGTAAGTGGTCACTTTTACGCCCCGGCCGCTAAGAACTGCGGGCTTTTTTGAGGCTTGGCAGCTTCGGGCCCTCCCTGAGCTACACTAAACCGTTCAGGGACTATGGAGTACTGCAGTGCACCTGACCTTCTCTCTCTCTCTCTCTCTCTCTCTCTTACGACATCGCATGATTCCAGCCAGTCCAGCCAGTAGTAACCAGTCAACCAGTCAGCCAGCCAACATCTCTCTCTCCACACACTCTCTCTTTTGCTCGTCTTGCTCTTTGCTCATTCTCTCGTACAGTAGACTGACTCTGCTTTTAGTGCTGCAAGCACACCCACCAGTCTTGTTGCTCTGTCCCTGTTCAAGGTTCTGTCTGCCCTGTCCTGTGCTGCTGCTTCTGTCTCTCTACTAGACTCCTATCGTCCTTTCCCCCCTCTCCTCTGTCTCTTTTCCTTTCTCGCTTCTTGTATCTTGTCTCTGCCTGGATCTATCTATCTATCTGTCTGTCTGTCTGTCTGTCTCTCTCCAGCCTGTCGAGTGTCTAGTCTGGTCTAGTCTCATCTACGCCCCTCCACACCACCCACTCTCCCGTTACTGACTTGCAGACCCAGTTTCTGTCTGGATGGCGTCGTCGGCGGGAAAAGGACAAGCGTAGTAATCTTGTCTCTCCCCCCCATTCAACGCTCTTCTGCGACTGTTGCCGCTGTCTCTGCGCGGGATATCGGATCTCCAATCCTCATTTTAAACTTTTTCTTTTCTGGTTCTATTTCCTTTCTGTTATTTTTATCCATCTTATTACCCTGCCCTTTATAATACAATCGCGCCCGTCACTACTCCGTACTCAATATCTGTTGGCCCTGCCACACCTTCCCCTATTCCCTGTCGACTCCGTATCGCCAGCCTTCTCTCCTCTCCTCCCTACTCAAGATCGCTGCCGCCGGAGATCGTCCACTCCCCCGTCTTATCTCTTGCTCCCTCTTTCGCTTCCTCTTCCGCTCCTCCCTTCTACTCCATTCCCTCAGCTCTGCCTCACCCATCCCTGAACCACTCACGTTGTCCCTCGTTTTCCCTCTCTTTTGCCTGTTTCTTTTTTTCTTCTTCTTTTTTCTTAAAACTCCGCCATCTCATTTTCTTACGTTATCATTCTGCGAATGCGTCACGGCCTTGGGAGGTCAGTTAACGGTTATCATAATCAGCGTGCGGCGATCAAGTTCGGTAGCCTACGAAAGATCTTGGATGATATAACCACTTTTCAGCGCGGCGAACCATGAGCACTCAAGACATAGAAGAGAGCGGGATGATGAGTCCGCGCAGTGTATCGGACGAGATGGAAACGGCGCATGACCGGTCATGTGTAGCCAAAGACTCAGTTCCCTCTGTCGCCAGTGCTCATTCCAGATCGCTTTCCTCAACCAAGCCTGGTCCCTCGATTCCAACAAGTCTCCTGCCTTCGGCGCCTGAATCACCCCCCACTCCAGCTCCGAGTCCGACCCCCCATCGACGATCCCTGAGTTGGCAGACAGCCGAAGAGGAGGAGGAAGAAGTCTTGCTGAACACTCGGATACACTTCACCAGTCTTACCAATGCCAAAAAGCGGAAGTTTCTGGAAGGAGTTCTTGGGCTATGTGATCCTATGACACTTAGCTTCGTTTGGAGTATGATAAATCCTCGGTTAAGGAAAGACCCCTTTAATGTCTTTCCCAACGAATTATGTCTGCGGGTATTGAGCCATCTTTTTGACCCTCTCGGCCTAGCCGCTGGAATCATGCTGACGCGTATGCTCCGATCTGAATAGGTTCTGTCGTTTATCGATGATCCGAAGTCACTAGCAAGAGCATCACAAGTTTCCAAACGATGGCGCGAACTCTTGAACGATGACATCACCTGGAAGAACCTGTGCGCGAAGCATCCTTATGCCTCTCAGAGGCCTACGGATGACGATCGAGAATACCTAGACCCCTTCAACGGGCAGTCTCTGCATGCTGTATCCAGTACTCATTCTCTGAGCGGGTTGCAGAGGAAGTCAACAGCGTCTAGTCCCCATTCTCGAGACAGCTTTCCGCCGCTCCCACGCTCCTTGTCTGGAGACTGGCTCTCCTCGTCGAGCTACTCCTCGCGGAAACGGCGAGTTCGACCCATGACCTACAGGTCGCATTTCAAACAGAAATACCAGGTGCAATCAGCGTGGAATAGAGGCGGGCGCTGCACGCAAAGACATATGAGCCCGGACCAGGGAGTTGTCACGAGTCTTCATTTAACGCCAAAGTATATCGTGGTTGCGCTTGATAATGCCAAAATCCATGTGTACGACACCAACGGAGACAACCAGAAAACACTTCAAGGTCACGTCATGGGTGTCTGGGCGATGGTTCCATGGGATGACATTCTTGTGAGCGGTGGCTGCGATCGAGAAGTCCGGGTGTGGAATATGGCCACAGGGTAAGCTGATCCCAATCACGTTTCAAAACGTTCCATGCAGGTTCCAAGCCATTCGATACTAATAGGCTGTTGGCACTAGGGCTGGAATATACCTCTTACGTGGACACACATCCACAGTGCGCTGTTTGAAGATGTCTGACAAGAACACGGCTATCTCCGGCTCACGAGACACGACGCTGCGCATCTGGGATCTGACCACAGGCACATGCAAGAATGTATTGATCGGACATCAAGCAAGTGTTCGCTGCCTGGCCATACATGGCGATATCGTTGTTTCCGGCAGCTACGATACTACCGCACGGATTTGGAGCATTTCTGAGGGTCGGTGCCTGAGGACTTTATCCGGCCATTTCAGCCAGATTTATGCGGTCGCCTATGATGGCAAACGCATTGCAACGGGTAGCTTGGACACCACCGTACGCATGTGGGACCCTCAAACCGGTCAATGCAATGGCATTCTGCAGGGTCATACCTCTCTAGTAGGACAATTACAGATGCGTGGTGATATTCTGGTTACCGGCGGCTCCGATGGCGCGATACGGATCTGGTCGCTGATCACGAATACACCCATTCATCGAGTGGCAGCGCATGACAACAGTGTTACCAGCCTGCAATTTGACAGCTCCCGTATTGTCACCGGTGGCAGTGATGGCCGCGTGAAAATTTGGAGTCTGGAGACTGCTCAACTACTGCGAGAATTGTCCACCCCAGCCGAGGCTGTCTGGAGAGTTGCCTTTGAGGCGGAGAAGGCCGTTATCATGGCTAATAGGTCAGGGCGAACGGTTATGGAGGTAAGCATCCTACCAGGTCCACTTGATATGAACGAGTTCTAATAGCATCCGTAGGTGTGGGACTTCTCAGCGCCACCTGAAGATAGCGAGGATGAAGCCGCGATTGAGAGTACTGCCAGCACACCGGGGCCCTTGCCGACCCCTGTCGATAGCCGCCACCGGGAACGCTTTTCGGATCCTACAATGTCGACAAATAATGACAACGATCAGTCAATGGCGGATGCCCCCTTGTCTTGATGGCAATGTGACGCGTTCTTGCAGTATCATGCGCACGCCTTTTTCTCAATTTTGAATATTTTAAGCGCCACCGCCTCTGTTCCTTGAGCTCAGCGCCTGATGCCGGTGGCCAGGCTCATTGCACTGTAAGTCCACGACTGCTACCGGGACAGGGTCAAATCCGTCCGATCATACATCGATATATATGCATTCTGGGTGTTAGATGGGGATACTCTGTTTGACTTGTGGTTTTTATTCTTTTCAACCCGCTGGAAACGTGGTGTGGAGTTAAACAAGTGGCAATTGGGATTCTTCTTGTGCTGCTGGAGTATCAAAGGGGGAATAGCCCCGACGGTGTTCCATGATTTCTATATGCACTTTTTGTTCTAGTTTCTTCTTACTAGGATTAGACGATACCCGTCTTGGGACGATTGTATCCAAATTTACCGAAGATTTTGGTGTTGATTTTTGGTGTATCAACTGAGGACGATGGTTCTCACCGTGGGAATTATGCAGCCACTCCTTCGTACGGTATGGTTTCCCGACTATCGAGTCCTAGATATGCTCTGCTGTATTGGCTAGACTCTTGACGCCCTGCGATGTGCACATTCAAAAGAAGATGATTTTGCCTCGATGGTCCATTTGATGTGGTCACCTGACTCATCTAGAGACAGGGACATCCGTTGAAAGGATGGCTACGACTCCTCCACGCATCATCATCATCATCATCATCATCAACATCATACACCCGCGCTCATCGTACTAATCTCAACCCCGCAACAAGGATGCTTGATCTGCAGGCTACATGACCAGACGACTCTCATTTATTGATTGTGCATGTAGCATTGACGCGTGAAGCCTCCGGTTGCACCTGCGATTCACATGTGCCGTGCCCCTCAAAAGTGTAGCCGAGTATGGTATACGGGGGCAAACCTAGTACAGGCTGCCACCTGTGTCGCAAACGGAAGATTAAGGTAGGACGACAGCTGTCCAAAATCCACCGATGTCCCCTCGGTCGGTGGTATAAGCTATCCTGTGGCTTTTCCATGTTCACTATCTGGTTGGTCGCGGTCATAGCTAAGCAGCTCCTAGTGTGACGAGGGACATCCTGGATGCCGCAACTGTGCCGTCTACGGCCAGCCGTGCCCAGGCTATCGGCCAAACACGATTTTCAAGATCGAGACGGGTAGAGTGAAAGAGTCTAGAAAGGAGATTACGCCGTCCCCCGCTCGTGGTACTCAGAGGACAGGTCTCGAAGGCCAGCAACGTACATCATCTCTGACAGTCCATCAAGTCCCGGATATCCCCTGGGAGGAACGGGCGGTCTGCTACTTCTTCGATCAGTATACCGCTTGCGACAAACCTGATGGGGGAAGTCATTTAGGATTTATTCCCAGATTGTATGCAGGCTGGCGGGGCCCAGACGCCGCGGAGCCCGCATCGTCGTGTCTGCGTCTCGCGGTTGATGCTGCAGCCTTGCTCACATTGGGCAATCAGGTCAAGGCATCGTCGCTGGTCACACAGGCGAGACACCGGGTTGCCCTCGCCGTGCAGGGCCTACGTCAAGCGTTGGACTCACCCGTCGAAAGGGTGAAGGACGATACCTTCGCGGCTGTGGTTATTCTGGCTCTCTTCGAGGATATCTCAGGCGAGCGCAATGGGCTGGCCAGCTCCCATACCGTGGGCTTTGAGGCCCTCATGAAGTTGAGAGGCGCTAGTCTACTCAATGAGCAGGGGCTGGACCTGTTCAAATTTGCGTACGTTCATACGGTAGGTTCACACTCCGTGCATCTATCTGGATATATGCTCGTGGGGCTGACCGCTATGCAACATGCAGCGTATCGAGGCCCTACTATTACGGCAGAAGCAGCGCTTCAGCACTCATGATATTGTCACGCGCCTTGACCCTGCCGATCCTCTACAGCGCCTGATGATGATAGTGAACCAGCTTGATCCAGTATTGCTCGAGAATCCCCTGACAACAGACGCCGCCGATCCCGCCGTTATCACCACACTCGCCTCGAGGATCGAACTGTGTCGGAGCCTCGACTCCGAACTGGCTGACTGGAGCCAGAACCTGCCCACGAGCTGGCTCCCTCACGCTTGCCGGTCGCACACCGGCGAAGATGTGCTGACCTATCAAGGGCAATTCTCGGCGTCGATGTGGTCCTACTACCATGCGCTTCGCGTCCTGCTCCAGCTGACGATGCTCGACTTCCTCCGGACCCTTGCCTCGATAGTCAGCTCGAACGGCATTCAGCGAGAAGCGAGCCGGCAAGAGGCGGACGGATCCCAGTTGATCCGCAGCATGATCAGCGATACGTGTCGTAGTATCCCGTACTGCTTTGGGGAGATCGATCAACTGGGCCACCCGTCCGCCTCGCAGGGGAAGTCTCAACTCCGCGCCTTCTACGTCTACTATATGATCTGGCCCCTCTGGTACATCCTGACATGCGGATACGCGACGCCAGCCCAGGCCCAGCATATCCGCCGGGTGCTGACGGAAAAGGGTTCCGAGGTCGGGATCAAGTTGGCCCTCGTGCTGGCTGGGGAGAGTGGTGGGGGGTCCACGGTGATGCCCTCGATGCTTGGGTCTTTTGCACCGGGTAGCGGAGGGCGCTCGGCATTGACCTGGCCATAAGATATTGATTGTCGCTTTGGTTCCAGTTCATCCCAGTTGAAATCAGCAGAATATTTTCTCGTTGGAAAGGGCTGCTGGACGTATATATGATTTTTTATATATGTACACTCTTCTGTATATAATGTGCATGATGTCGATATGAGCCTAGCGAAATAGCAAATGAGATTTCTCCTCTATCACCAATCAATCACGATAAGAATGCCACGAGTATGGGGACAGGGGAAATTCCCATTCCGGCAAGCCACGGATGTACTGACGTCATCGATCCTAGCTAGATACGCAAATCAACAAAGATTCACCAGCAGATTCCCACAAGACACCGCAAAAGAGCAGAAGATGGGCAATAGCAGCCCAGTGCAAGCCAAGTCAATCATTCCAAGTCAGATCTCACAGATTATCCCTCGCTCGGCTGTTCGGATGGTTCCCAGGGTGCAGGACGAGCTGTCGCCATGCCGGTTTAGCCGATTTGATTTGCAGCCGTGCCTGAGACTGACTTCATAATGGCTGCTGCACTGACGACATGTTGCGACCTTGTCGCGTGTAAGTTATATTTAGGAGGCCCCGGTTTTGGCCCTGGCGTTGCCTGGCTTATAAGTAACTTTGATCTTTCCCAATTGCAATTGCGATAGAAATTGTTTGCTCAATTGATACCCTTCTCTGGTTTCTTGCTTGATTATCTCCTCTCCTTCCCCCACTTTCTCTCTGGAGTTGGTTTTGGTGCTGTTGTAGATACGACGAACGTTACGCTCGCTCGCTCGCTTGCTTGCTCACCCTTCACTCACATTCGACATAATCTAGATAATGGCTACACAAGAACGCAATCTTCCCTTTGGGAAGATCGAGCCTAACTCGGCTAAGTACTTCGCGAGCTGTACGCTGGGAGGCATTGTCGGTAGGTTTCCTTTTTTTACTTTCCGCCAATGTGTTCGATAGAAAGCTAACTCGACATCTTGGTCGCAGCTTGTGGTACGTGATGATCATCATTTCGAAGCAGCCCGAGATCACTGAGAATCACAAGACTAAGCAAGTTACAGGCCCAACCCACACGGCGGTGACACCGCTGGACCTAGTGAAATGCCGTCGACAAGTCGACCCGAAGATCTACACGTCGAACCTGTCCGCGTGGCGATCGATCATGGCCAAGGAAGGGGTGCGCGGGGTCTTTTTCGGATGGACGCCGACGTTCCTGGGGTACTCGCTGCAGGGCGCCGGCAAGTACGGGTTCTACGAGTACTTCAAGTACCTGTACGGTGACCGGCTGTTCCCCAACGCCAACCGCACGGTGGTGTTCCTGGGCGCCAGCGCATCGGCCGAGTTCTTCGCCGACATGATGCTGTGCCCGCTGGAGGCGATCAAGGTGCGCATGCAGACCACCCTGCCGCCGTACGCGCACAGCCTGCGCGACGGCTGGCGCAAGGTCGCCGCCAAGGAGGGCGTCGCCGGCCTCTACAAGGGCCTGTATCCCCTCTGGGCCCGCCAGATCCCCTACACCATGACCAAGTTCGCCACCTTCGAAGAAACCGTCAGCATGATCTATAAGACTATCGGAAAGCCCAAGGAGCAGTGCTCCGGCCTCCAGCAGACCGGCGTCAGCTTCCTCGGTGGCTACATCGCTGGTATCTTCTGCGCCATCGTCAGTCATCCTGCTGATGTTATGGTTAGTAAGTTGAATGCGGATCGGAAGGGTGAGTTATCTCCCCCCCACCTCTGTCAGCCATCGTAGAGGATTGGTGAGATGATAATTATCGGGTGACCTCTGACGTGCTATAGCTGGCGAGGGCGCGATGACGGCCGTGTCGCGGATCTATCGCAACATCGGGTTCTCGGGCTTGTGGAACGGATTGCCTGTCAGAATTGTCATGCTCGGTACTTTGACTGGATTCCAGTGGTTGATGTGAGTATCGCCTTTTCTTCTTGTACAAATGAGCGGTGATGCTGATGCTGGGATTAGCTATGATTCGTTCAAGGTGTTCCTTGGATTGCCGACCACCGGTGGACATTAATGCGTCGAAGGTGTAATGTGCTTCTAATGACTAGCGTTGCTTTGTTTGTATCTTCATGACACTTAGGAGTTCGTGGAATTTTACTTGTGTAGACGAAGTCGATTGTTGCAACAGTAGTGACACTATGGAGATAGAAACAGATATAGAGATAGCACAACGCTGACCGCTTTGGACCGTGGGCCGGCAGAATCGCCGCGGCGATCTCGACTTCCTTCATCTGCTTCGTCCTCAGCTCTGTCCTCGTCCTTTTCCAGCTCGATCTCATCTGTCAGCGTGGTTTGCTTTCAATTGATTCAATTTTTTGCGTAATTCGGGTGATTGATCTCCTTATGACGATCACTTTATCACCAACAACATCCCATTGATACTTTTTCGCGCCATCAGAACAGCGCGGATCGAGACCATCGGCTTCGCATCGCCGGGGACACATACAGCGGCTCCCGGAACCCCTTGACCAGACTTTTCGATCGTCGTAACGACAGCCTGCAATTGAAGCGACACCAACTCCCGCAGCTTACCTATCTCGTATAAAACCACCAGAGACTCACTCCCCTTCTCCTACCAACCCTCCGACCTCCTTCTACCTCCATCCCCATAGTATCCGAGCGGAAGACCCCCAACAATAAATCAATCAACCAAGCCCACAATGGAAGACCCAACAGCAACCAGCACCGCCCGCCCCTCCACCACCACAACAACCACAACGGCCAACCCGCCCAGCGTCGAGAACGCCTACAAGCGCAAATGCCTTGCGCTGAAGAAGCGCCTCAACGAGATCGAGGACGAGAACGAGCTGATGCGCGTCCGCAACCGCCGCGGCTGGCAGTACATCCAGAAGATGCGCCTGGAGTCGTGCATCCTGCTCGAGCGCCTGGCCAAGGTCACCGGCATGACCGAGGAGGCGTCCTCGCAGGCCGGGGCCGCCGCTGCCAACCCGGAGCTGCGGGCCCGCGCCGCCGCCCTAATGGGCAATGCCTCGGCGTTGAATGGGCTGTCTGCGGCGGCGGCGGCGGAGGGGAAAGTTGGTGGTGCGGGTGCAGCGTCGGCGTCGTATATGGACGATGAGACGGAGGGGAGTTCGGATGAGCAGCCTCCTACTGTGAGTTTTATCCTCTCTTTGGTTTTTTTACTTGGGTTGGGGAAGGGGGGATGGGAGGTTTCGATCGAGCCCTCATGCGATCTACCGAGCATCATGCCCCAGGGTGTCCGTTAAGAATCAACTAACACATCCAAAACCCAGCCCCAAGAACGTCCCCTCCGCGTCAAACGATCCCGTAAATCCAACCTCCCCGACGGCACCGCCGGCGCCGACGACGACGAAGGCACCACTACCGCCGCAGCAACAGCAGCCTCCGGCGCCGGCGGCGCCGCGGGTGGCACTGACCCCGCCGAAAACAACAACAACAGCACCAGCAACAGCACCAGCAGCACCAGCGCCCTGCCCCGTCTGGCCCCCGCCCCATCCCAGGACGACCTAACCACCTCCTTCCGGCTCCACGGCCAACACCCGGAATCCGACGAGCGCGGCACAAGTCAGAACCCGGACTCGGGCTCAAGGGACACCCGCGCCGCCAACGACGAGGACGACGACGAAGATGATGACGACGATGAGGCAGCAGCCGACGACGCGGAGGATGTCGAGAACGAGGGCGGCGATGCGTCGGTAGAGCCCGAGTCTACGCCGATGGATCTGGATGCCAAGGAGCCGAAGGAGGAGAATTAGTTTTTTGTTTGTTTGTTTGTTTGTTTTCTCTGTGTTTCAGGTAACCCCTCTTGATTTTCCCCTTGTATAATCATCAGAAGGGGTAGGGAGGGGATATGGTTTTCAAATACCAGATAAATGTAAACCGGGAGTGGAGACCATGATTATCTTCTTTTGTTTCTACTGCGCTGCTGCTGGTGTTTATCGCGGATTGTTCTTGGGCTGGGAATGGGTACTTTTTTCTCTTCTTTTATTTTCTTTTCTTTTCTACTTTTTTTTGGTGTCGCACTTAGTGAAGTAAAATATTTCTTTCTTGGTTGTGTGGTTGGGTTGTCTTGTTGACTGGTCTCGTCTGTGGACTAAATTTATACTCGTGGTAGACTCATACAAGCGTTTCGGAGTCTATGTTGTCTCAGCGGTGAGATATCTCCTTTATGAATTAGAGGGATCTATATACTAGTACAACCACTGACCTTGACCCTTATCATTGGGGTACTGCAATGATAGCCTGGCTCAGGCTGGATACTTCGTATACGCAGGATAATATATATAGGCTTCAACGGGATGACTATAAGCGGTACTTGGTAGAAACCCCGGCCAAGACAAACCCAACATAATTCTTGGATGCACACGAAAGCATATGATATAAAGTCACATTATCACTAAATACGGACGCTGGTTAGGGCTATGCATAAGACTGACTAGGATCCCGATATGGTGCAAGACTGACAACCCCTCCCTAGAACCTAGCTAGAGATTATTTCAACACACCTCTTAAACCCCCGAGCGCCCCTTCAGACTAATCACAAAAAAAGAAACTCCATCTGGTACACGGAAATGCAGATCACGATTTCCCATGGGATTTCAATGAGATGAGCGAAACGACAAAAGAATAATCAAGTCTTTTCGTTGTGACAATAAGAGAAAGCCCGAAGGAAAAGGATTCGAATCCCATACGCCTAGAAAGCAACAATACGAAGCGAAAGTAGCACGCGCTTTATTCCACGCCGGCGTAGAGGTCGACTACGATATTAATGGCCGCGACGAGAATTTCGGCGGCAATGAGAACAATAACTAGAGAAATCGGTAGTATTAGCAAGGACTTTCAAGGGTGAAACGAAACAGCAGCGTGCGGGAGACATACCGATCCATTCAAGATACTCACCATGGCGGTGAGTTAATTGATCCTTCAGGACGGCGAGCAAGTCTGCGATGACGTCTAGTCGTTCCGTCAAGAGACTCACTCGCTGGTCCATTTCGAGGTAACTTCGCACGGCCTGATACACAGGCTCCAGCTGGGGCTCTGCCCACATCAGTTCCGGACTGTCGAGCACGGAGCCTTGAAGATGAATGTTGATGCGCAGGATGAAGAGTTCTCCAACCTGCATGTTGATCTGGCGACGAGTAAGATTGACGCTGCCGGTCTGCGCAATCTGGGCTGGGAGGGGAGCGGTGTTGGAGATGGTCTCGGAGACGAGATCTTCAAAGAGAGAGGTCTTGACCGACTGGGCCAGCGCATGGGAGATGGCGAGCTTAATCATGTAATTCCGAGGGTCACGAAGGGAGATGAAGTCGTTGTAGATCCGGGCTTGGTATTCACGAGCATAGTAGAAGTTGAAGTTTTCGACCTGCGTGTCTTCGGGGCTGAGAATGGAGGTAGCAAACTTGGAGATATCAGAAAGGAATCGTGACTCGTGCGCGGGGGACATGCCCCAGATGACGACTGTGCCGTAGTCGAAGAGGAACACCTCCGGGGTGTGGATATTGGTATCAAAATCAGGAGCAACTTCTGTCTGGGCTGCAGAGGTAGTGGAATCGACCACAGCGCTCTCGTGATCATTTTGTTGATGGTGAGATTCCGAGTCTCTTAGGTCGATGAGGTCTTCCCGTCGAGTGTTCGTGTTGTCTTGCACTTCAACCACACTATCGGAGTACCGGCGTTCTCCAGAAGGGCGTATCGGAGGTTGAACTTCCGGCGAATGTAACCCATTGTTTGTGAGATTCCACGTGCCTCGCTGCTTTGCCTCGTAATCGTAGTCGTACGAAGAGTATACACACTCATCGTAGAGCTTGGGGTTGGCCCCGCGGGTCTTTGCTCTGGACTTGAGAAACCGCACCACCCCTTCCAGACGATACGAATTGGCGGTACAGTAGGCTGTGACGCGGGGCAGTCGTTCTCGGTCCGCCTTTCCTAGACTTGCGGCATGACTGCGCGCGGTCGGTTCTTTGATACGTGCGATTTGCGAGTAGACATCGGACGGAAAGTCGCCGTCGGTGAGTTCTTCTTCAGTCACCGGGTCGGGCAGTAATTTAAGCTTCTGTGCGTTCTTCGTCGTTCTCTGCGGGCCGACCTTGGGCGCAGCAACCATTGGAGGCCCGGCGGTGCTGTAAGGTGCCCCGTGGCTGTTACGGCGACGGAGCTTGCTATTGAGGGCCGACAGGCCCGTCGGTCGGTGTTGGCCAGCGCTCTGGGAATTGGATGCAGGGTAAGAACCAGAATGTAGCGGTCTGAAGGTTGGGTCGGCGGCGGTGGTATCGTGATATGTGCTGACAGTGGCCAATGGATTAAACGTCACCGTCCGAGGAGCTCGGTTTCCTCGCGGTGACGTATTGGTGGAGGAAGGCGGCTGATGTTGGGGAAGGAGGGGGGAGGATTCGGTGATGGAAACCATGGTGGGTGAATAGGGAGAAACGCAGAATACTGCGCAGAGCAGAGATTCTTGAATCAAACTGAGTTAAGGGGGCAGGCACGGTCACCGAGGATGGTGGGGAGGCCGTGGTTGGGGAGGATTAGGAGAAAGAGAAAATGAAGGCTCGATTGCGGACGGGATGGAAGAGGCGGAGAGCTTCCAAGCTTCTTTCTTTCTTCCTCTTCCTTCCTTCCACCGCACGTGCGCCCGCCCAACGCTGCCATTTCCTGTCCTCCAACGCCTCACCACCAACGCAGACCTGCGCAGCCTTGGGGTCGAAAGAAGAATTGACTGAGGTGTAGCATCGGATATTTTCTCAAAGCTTATCAAAAAGCAATTATGGATCGGATTGAGTCGAAAAAGAAAGCATAGATTGCGGGGTGGGGTTTGCGCTTCCTCCTCAACTTGAAGCTTGACGTGCAGATCAGGATAATCCGACACTTTTCGGATGGCATACTTGAAATTATATGTTTAAGAACATTCATAGCCTCTGACATGCATGATTCCGATACTTTCATTCCCAGCTGGACTATGCTAGGAACATAAAGCGCCCAAGGTGATCGCCAGAGATCAGAAGTGAAGTCACCGACATATGGACAGGAAAATGAACATAGGATATACTTTTGTCATCATTACAACCTCTACTACGAGACGGAGTTAAGCGCGCCAAAGACCTGCTATTTGCGCACAAAACTCGAGGAACCGCCAGCCGCTCGTCTCAACCCGTTCACCCTGGCCGTACTGCGAGCTCCATTCAGCCAAGCTTGTCTCGCATTTTGACTGACCTTGGCGGACTTGGGCGGAAGCGTCGTCTTCGACTTCTTCCGTGATACATCTCCATCCAGCACACGGATAGTGACGTCGCCCATCTGCAAGTCCTTCGGGGCTTTCTCTTTCTTGTCCAAAAATCTCAATTTGGTGGGCTTGGGTCGCACAATGCCGATTTCTTCAGCGGGAGGGGTCGGAGGCCGCACGTCGGGGGCCGCATCCAGGATATCATCGGGCAGGAGAGCAGGGAGCGCAGACCTCCGGGCACTTTCGGTCGTGGTACCCTGAAGGGTTTCGGTGCTTTCTGACAGCTGATCCTCGGCCTCTCGTTTCTTGTTGGCGGACTTCGCCTGCAGTTTGCGCATACCGTCCAGTTGTTTCCTCTTTTCTCGCTTCAATTGCTCTTCTCTGTATCATAGTTAGAATCAATTCCAGGTGATGTACAGGCGGGGGGGGGGGAGGTGGAAAATACGAACATTTGCTTGGCCCTTTCCTGTCTCTTCGCCTCCATCCGCATCTTCGACAATTGCGCGGAGTTATCGACAGTCTCAGGAGCCTCATCATCATCGCTGCTATCCTCCTCGTCCTCGTCCACACCCTGCGGCGTCTCCGCAACCTCCTCCTCCAACTGCGGCACTTCAGGTTCCTCGCTATCGAATCGGAAATGCTTCTTCTTCGCCTTGGGGACAACAGCGACCGGCGTCGTCTCCTCTTCAACCTCACTATCGTCCTCCATCACCTTCGACTTTTTGTTGCTAGTAGCCGTAGCCATATCGTCCTCCGGTTCCTGCACGGCCTCCAAGTTATCCCGCTTTCTCCGCTTGTTGTTCTTATTGTTTGATTTTTGAGAGTTGGCTTCCGAATTGACGGGCTGTTGCTCGGATTTGCGCTTGCCGTTGGTTTCGATCGAGCGAGCAGCAGCACCACCCTTAACTTCAGGCTCCGCGGACTGCTCGGCGGTAAATTTCCGGCGTCTAGTGGCTGTGACCATTTTCGGCGTCAGATCGGCGCTAACGCTGTTCGATTCGCTGTCACGGGATTTGAGAAACGTGCTCTTCAAGTCGGTGTCCGGTCGAGTAAATAAGCCCTTTGCCGCCGTGACGAGCTGCGAAAACATTTAAGGTAGGACCCCGTCAGAGAAAGAAAAGGAAAAAATCCCCCCCGGATTTACAGTACTTTGGGCATGGAGAAATGTTATTGCGCTTAGAATTATCGCAAGCAAAATTGATCGGAGGCCATGTTTTTCCGCGAAAAGCGGGCGACCGGTCGATAGTATATGTGGGTCTCGTCTATGAGCTTGCAGGCAGGATGGGATCTATGAAGCACTTCGATTATTGGTGAAATTGGGACTGCTTGACAATAGTATAGAATGTTTTCTTGTGGATATCCTGACTATCTCGAGTCTCTGATGTAAGATGTTTAGGAGCTATAAGCAATCTTCACAAAAAGTGCGACTAATTAACGCCAAACCATGCTGTATGTAGTATGTATGCATATGTCTCCAAACCCCAAAACTCCTTTGAACCATACCCACGAATATAGAGCACACCTTCGACCAAATCACAGAATATGCGACTGGCAACCGTGGCAAAAGCCCGCACCAACGCCACAAGTCTCCAGGTCCATCACCATCACCTCGCCCCAACCATCTGATTGCGCTCCATCAGCTCCTCCTTCGCGGCCAAAAAGTCATCCTCCCCAATATCACTCGCCTCATCCCAGAACCTGCCATGCTCATCGCCATCATCCCCGCTCACCGTCCACATACTCTCACGAAGCCGCTTGTTGCGCTCGCGGTCCTCCTCGATCCGCTGCTCGATCTGCCGCTTATCGACCCTGCCCCTGGTGCTCCGCGGCGTCGCGCCCTTAGCCCGCGCCTCGCCTTCCGCCCCATCCTCCGCCTCAAGATCTAAATGCGCCGGGTGCGTCTCGCGCTCCTTCAGCCCGGCGTCGATCTCCGACACCGTCGCCGCGGAGAGAATCTCCTTCGTCTGCAGCCCGTTCAGGACCCGGCGGACGTGCTTGACGTTCGCGGCGCCGGAGCCGTCGGGCGGCGCGACGGTGTCGACGATGCGGATGATGTCGCGTTGGATCATGCGGACGTACGGCGCGTGGTCCTCTTTCGTGGCCATCTCGCAGAACTGCTCGATGAAGTACATGATGTTCGCGCGGTTGTTCATGTTGTTCTAGATTGATCATCGGGATGAGCGGCAAATTCGTAGTGAGTGGGAGAAAAGGGTGACTAGTCACGTACTCGTTCTAATTGCTCCAGAATACACGAGTGCAGATCCTCGTCCATGTCGCGGTACTTGAGCGCATAGTGCGCGGCTTTCTGGGACGAGGCGATCGAGGCGTTGAGGTGCTGCAGCTGCGCCGTGAAGCGCATCCGCACTTCGAAGGGATCGACCATCATTGTTTCGGATCGAGGGAGGTTTATACACCTCGTAAATTATGGGTTGGAAGGGTTCGACCTAGGTGTGGCAGATGTTGCTTGGGCCGGTTCCTGTACGGAGCACCGCTCTATATGTAGAATCGAGCTCGGCTGGCCGGCCGTCTACCAGATTATGCGATAACGCGCGCGGTCAGCGGAGCCGTCCTGGTTCTGCCGTTGACCACCGCTTCCAGGCTGTATGCGTATACTTCCCCGGTGGTTGGAGAAACCGCCACGCAATAGGTAATGGCCATTGCGATCCTGCCAGCAAGAACAATCCATAGATGACGCTTTCTCTTTGTATCGATTCTTAGCATCTCGTGAACTCAACACCCTTGTTGTCTACTCATTGTACAGCAGTGCTTCATTAAAGAATTTCCAGCAGCTCGAGATGTCCGTTGTCCAGATCTAGGATGTCTCCAAGAATGTCCTGATGCAGTTGAGATCACCTCTGAGTATGAATGAAGTCTATTCAAAGCTCATCTCGTAGGCGCCGCTTCTCACTCTATAGGTCGATGAGCATCACCTAACCTCCGTCCTTGACCATGCCGCCGAGAACCGGACCTCCCTAAGTAGATAAGCAATAGTTTGCGCAGGCGGATAAAGGTGAGTGGAAGCCCGCGGCCCCCGTCTCACCCACTAGTACCGTAATTTGACTGTAGGGATATACAAAGTGGAGGTACTATCGACTTAAACAGGCACTGGCGGTCATTACAGACGACATAAATTAGGTATATAGATTTTGTGACTTGGGGAAAAACGGAGTCAGTTAACGCCATCAGGCCACAGTAGAGCTAATCAGACCATCCGCGTATCCATAAGTCCAAGATTACAGCAACATGTGCAAAGAAGTATTCAAAATGTAAATGAGTAAATGAAGCCCGCCCTCTTTCGGAAAGCAAAAATATACCACATAATGAGTTTGCTCCCCCACATCAGAGAGACTGCCGTCGCTCGATGGAGCTAGCAAGGCTGGTCCCGTCATCACCATCAAGCAAGCCGACCTCCTCCGCGGCGCTGGGTTGCGTGAAGGTTCGCTCAAGCAGGGCTTCGTCTTTATGGAATCCTGGTCCGCTGACGATTGACCAGACGTCCTTCTTGGTGAGCAGGCCCTGTAAGACGCCTTTGTCGGCGAACAGAACATACCGGAGACCAAGTCTCTGAAACATTCGTAGGACAATGAGGAAGGTGGTGTTACTGTTGAGCGTGATCGGCGTCTGGTCCATCCAAGGCCGGAGATCAAGGGTTTCGCCTGGGTCTGCAAACGGTTGATGGGTAAAGAAGACCTGCGTTGTGCCGGATAACTCATGATCCGAAGGCGACGCCGAGTACTTCAAGCCATAAGACAGCTCGTTCCGAGAGATATAACCCAGTAGGACAGGATTCGCCATGTCCGTAACAACCGGGTATCCACGGTACGAGGTGGTCATAAGAAGATTGCGAAGAGTGTCAATCGTATGCCCAACGGCAGTGATGACTGTAAGGTCGTCAACGGTGGTCATAACTTTGTGAGCATACACATCGGGCGGAGCAGAGTCATCGCGATGGTCGAGGAACGGGTACTCCTTCAGTTGAATCCACGACTCGTAGATACCACGCTTTCCGAAAATATCCCCGCACCATTTGGACAGCATGACTGCAATCATGATGGGGATGACATAGGTTAGAGCACCAGTGAGCTCAAACATGATTACCACGATCGACACGGTCATTCGAGTGGCACCACCAAGGGCTGAAGCTGCTCCGATGATAGCGTATATCCCTGGGGTCACGCATGGTATATCCGGCTCACAACTACCGAACAAGAAGAATTTAGGAAAAGCCTGTTGCCACATCCGGAAAACGATGCCAAGAGCTCGTCCATAGAGAGCCCCAATGGCGATCGATGGGAGAATTATGCCTGCAGGAATGTCCAATCCGAAGGTTATCGATGCAAGGAAAAAGCCAAGGATAGCAGCCGAAAGCAAAAGAGCCACTGTACTGGCCGATACAGCACCAGTCTTACAGAAGCCGAACGGATCGTCTGTTGCGGTGCCACATTCGGCAAATAGCGAATGCACGAGCTCCGAATTTTGAGCCTTCATGAAGAGATTTGGGAAGTTGATGAGAGAGTTGAGAAGAGCCACGACTGACACCTCCAGGATCGGCCGGGGGATACTTCGTGAGCGCCGCCAGTCCGCAATTTTCATGTTCAGTCGGATGAAGAAAGCTCCGTAGAGACCTCCCACGATACCAAGTATAACAAAGGGAATTATCTCGAAGCGATGCCACCCACGGGTGTACTTGACCTGATAGAGAACAATGTTGCCCGTGCGAAACGGGTCGAGGGCATGCAGAGTCACGGAAGCTACCATGGCACATACGAAACTCTGCCACATGGTCTTATCTGGAAAGTAGTAGGATAGTTGCTATTGTTAAGGTCAACATTAGCCGGCACTTTCACCTCCATGCTATAAGCTCACCTCTAAGCTGAACAAAACACCTCCAATTGGTGCTCCAAAGGCGACAGAGATACCGGCCGCCGCCGCCGCAGAGAGAACCTCTCGTTTCCTCGCTGCATAATTAGCATATATATTTACCAAGGCCTCATGAAATACATACCCTCATTGTGGTTGAGACTATGAAATGGCTTCATCATCAAACTCGCACAACAACAGGCCACATGAACGAGAGGCCCCTCTTTGCCGAGCCACATACCAGATGCGACAGACAAGCACTGCAGAATATCAGCAAGGGCTCTAGGTTGGGACCTCGTTGTATACGTACCAGACCCAATGATTTGATTGCAAGTGTCCACGGCCCCATAAAGTGTCTGATAACAAAGCCACCGAGTACGGTCTTGATCTCGGGGATACCACTATGTTTCGCATAAATGGCATATGTCCTTACCAGAATACATGCGCAAACGGCGAAGAACACCTGTGCCTCGAATTAGCCTCTTATCGCAGTGTCCAAAAATACGGGTTAAGTACCGAGTAAAGAATATACAAGACATAGTCGACTGTATAACCTCCGTCACGTGAAGTCACCCCAAAGGCGGTCCTCCACGGTGTCCAATCTAAGCAGTTATTGATGTCTAGCAAGATTGCGATATTAGCCTCAGTGGTCCAGGATCTATCGATATCGACAAAGACCAACTCACCGTCATGTCCCCAGCAGCAGAAGCTCCGATTCAGATAGAATCTGCCTCCCCCTGCCCCATTCTTGCAGTAGCCGGTTTTAAGGTCTGCTAGCCAGTCACTTGAGACATCAATGCAGGCAGCAATGATACCAACCAGGATTCCTGTAGCAATCAACACAATCCAGACATTGCTCGCATCTAGTATCTTGCGCGTATATCCAACAAGTCCCTGCCCGTTGGCGTAGAGTAGTCGTTTCCTCTGACGCTCTTTTGTGTATTCAAAAATCCAATCAATCGCCGTGAGGTCATCATATCCTACTCGTCGCCCTGGCCCTTCCACATACCAATCGAGGAAGCCCGAGTCCTTATGATTCGCATTTCCATTGCTGCTAGGAAAGTCGCGCGGCGGAGGCGACCGACTGTGAGGGGGCTGCCTGTTGCGATTGGGAGAACCGAAGCCGGTATCTCTTGTTGATGTTGATTCGCCTGGGAAGAGGCGCGAGATACTGAACCTGGATCGCTGCTTCTGTTTGCGTTTGAATGATATTCTACGCGATGAGGATTAGCTCATGTGAACGAAGTACAGTCTCCCTGGTACCCACGGTTCATCTAGTCCCCCGCTTAGAGAAGCACGAGAGCTCTGTGGATAAGTGTGGCTATTCGGCGGTTCACTCCGGGAGCTTGGATCGTCGCTATACGATTGCGAAGGTGATGCTCGAGCCTCTGTACCTGGCTCAAGGTGTGGCAAAGACATTGCGAATCATAGAGTACACCAAAATGGGCGCGCTTTTAGTTCACATTGCAATAGGTCATGACGTTGGCACTTTCTCCTGCGATATCCGTGCTTTGATTAGTTCCCGATAAGTGGCTCTATTGTCGCACTTTTGGTCTCACCTCCGTGGCCGGTGAGAGGGCGGTGAGAGCCACCTGTGTGGGGCCAAGGCGGAACTCCAGCGGCAGAAAATGATCGCCGAGAAAAAAAAAGTGCTGCAATCAAACGAAGTCTGTATCCTCCCCTCCTCTATCTAAATCACATAACCAGAGTTCCTTTGGTGGTAGGGCTCAGCATGGATGCTAGACCTGCCTACGAGGGGACTCTCGACGAGTCCCGCTTATTTGCGAAGCTTCCGAATGAGATTGCGGAACTCATTCACACAGCTTCTGGGACTCAGTACCTGAATGCGCTTGCGGTTGGCGCATTGAGGTCCGGATGCACAGAAGGCTTCTTTTGCCTCTACGAACCGATCTTTGTCGATTTGGCAGCACGGTGGCTTTTATCAGACTCCCAACTGGATCAAGCGGATGTCCTTTCCGCATTTTCTCGAGTTTTACCATTTGCGCCAAATCTCCGACCATTTGCAAGCCAATATGCCATTGCTCGGGCTGGACCTTTATCGGCTTTGGCTGCGTGTGATGAGCTAACCCTTTCACAAATAAACGATGCCACCATTCGAAGTCTTTTGTTAGCGATCTTTAGGCTTCTTTCTTACGATGCGGAAGTCTTCTCGCAAGCCGTATCGCCGTCTCAGCTCCAATCGCTCTTCCGACACCGTGACCGATCCGTTAAATACCTTTCCATACGATGCTTTGCCCTTTACATGCGTGCAGCGGACGCTGCTTTGGAGGACTTAATTAGACGCCATTTTGCAGATGAGATTATTGAGGGCGAATGGGAGGGTACCACAATCGACTATCGGTGTCTTGGTTTGTGGGAAGAACGTCGATGGAACACTCTAGACAAGCAGGTCCAGCTTGCCAGGTCGAACAGGTCTACTTCCGATTCCCTTTCGCAGATTGAGAAGCTGCGAGAGTATTTCACCTCTAGAACCGCCGAAGTCTGCGGGGGTTTGATCCCGCGGCAGAACAATACCTCTCCTCAACCGTCCTCGATCGTGAAAACGCCGACCGCCGTGAGAAACCTGCGGAAAATTGCGACCGCACTGAGCTCTGCTAGTCCTATGTTGCTAGTAGGTCTGCCAAACTCGGGGAAGACAACGCTGATAAACGACGTCGCTGCGACAATGGGTCAGGCGGAGACGATGGTCACGCTACATTTGAATGAACAGACCGATGCAAAGAGTCTACTGGGAATGTATTCAACCTCACCAGCTACGGGCTCTTTCGCCTGGCAACCTGGCGTCCTGACGAAGGCGGCGAGGGAAGGCCGTTGGATTTTGATCGAAGATCTAGATCGTGCACCTTCCGAAGTCATCGGCCTTATTCTTCCCATAATCGAGCGAGGGGAGTTGACCATAGCCAGCAGGAAGGAACGCATAAAGTGCGCAGAAGGATTCAAGATCATTGCGACTATGAAGTCCTCATACAACATTGCAGGTGAAGAAATTGCTCCAAGTACCACTATTCTAGGAAGCAGGTTGTGGCAACGAGTGCAAATTGACTCCCTCACAATCGATGAGATTCGAGAGGTTATCACGCAGAAATACCCTCTCTTGGAATCTCGGGTCGCCACCGTCATGGATGTTTACCAGAGACTTTGCGCCTCGTTCCATGGAAGCTTGGCTATCAAAAGCTCTCAGGGACGAACTCCGGGTCTTCGTGATCTGATCAAGCTCTGTAGCCGAATGCATAGACGGCTTCAACGCTTGGGAGCAAAGACTGGTTACGAAGCAACACCGGAGGGTGCCGAGGACGAGATATTCCTTGATGTCGTGGATGTATTCCTGAAATACATCCCCGAGAAGACACTGGCAGATTCCCTCGCTTCAGTTGTTGCTGAGGCCCTGCAAATCTCTCCACAGCGCGCGCGCTTCTGTCTTCATGAGAGAACGCCCACATATTCAGACCAAGGCAACAATCTCACTCTTGGAAGAGAAACATGTCGCAAGATCAAGGTCCCGGCCGGATCTCTTACGAAAACTGCCGCTGCATCATCTCGCTTCGCTTCCACGAGAGCTGCTTTGGGATTGATGGAGCAAGTTGCTGCTGCTGTACAGATGGCTGAGCCTGTTCTTCTTGTCGGAGAGACGGGTATCGGTAAGACCACTGTCATTCAACAGCTTGCTACATTGATGCGACAAAAGCTCACAGTGGTCAATCTGTCTCAGCAGAGTGAAAGCACTGATCTGCTCGGCGGTTTCAAGCCAGTCAACATTCGCACAATGGCTGTACCGATGCATGATGAGTTTGCTTCCCTATTTGAATTGACATTCTCGGCAAAGAAGAATCAAAAGTTCCTTCATTCAGTCACCAAGAGTGTTACCGCAGGAAACTGGCCTCGTCTAGTAAACCTTTGGCATGAAGCTGTCCGGTTGGCTGATGGAGTTTTTAAGCCCGGCCAGGGCTCTCAAGGTGCCGAAGAACAACCGGCGAAGAAGAGAAAGTTAGACTCACCAAAGTATCAACTTTTGCGGCAAAGATGGGACAGATTCGCAGCACAGCTCAACGATTTCGAGTCGCAGGTATCTCAAGGAGACGCAAAGTTTGCATTTGCGTTTGTTCAAGGAAAAATCGTTCGAGCACTACGTAACGGCGAATGGGTTCTTCTTGACGAGGTTAATCTGGCATCACCAGACACTCTTGAGAACATTGCCAGTCTTTTGCACCATGGTAGCGAGGGCTCACCATCAGTCTTGCTCTCCGAAGCGGGTGACGTGGAACGCGTCTTTGGACATCCCGATTTCCGTATCTTTGGGGCAATGAATCCTGCAACTGATGCGGGCAAGAAGGACCTACCTCCTGGTCTGCGCTCGAGATTTACAGAATTCTATGTCCAATCACCGGACAGCGATTTGGATGACTTGCTCTCTTTAATCCAGAAGTACCTTGGTGATCTGGCGTTGACTGATGCCCGAGCAGTTCCGGACCTTGGACAACTCTACATGGAAGCTAAGAGACTGGGGAACGAGAACAAGCTCACCGATGGTGCTGGACAACGCCCGCACTTCAGTATCAGAACACTCGTTAGAGCGCTCGTATACGTCACCGATCATGCACATATCTATGGCTTGCGCCGAGCAATCTATGAGGGATTCTCGATGAGTTTTCTGACCGTTCTTAGCCAAGAGTCGGAGAGATTATTAGCACCTTTGCTCGAGAAGCACATCTTCAGCAACGTCAAGAATTCCAGAGCACTCCTGGGCCAGACACCCAAACCACCTAATGATGGAAATGACTACGTGCAATTCAAACATTATTGGATGCGTCGTGGTCACTTAACGCCCGAAGAACAACCTCACTACATCATCACACCTTTCATCGAGAAGAACTTGAAGAATTTAGTGAGAGCAAGCTCTACGCGCAGATTTCCCGTGTTACTGCAGGGTCCAACCTCTGCTGGTAAAACTAGTATGATTGAATTTCTTGCCAAGGTTTCAGGAAACCAGTTCGTGCGTATCAACAACCACGAACATACCGATCTTCAAGAGTACCTAGGAACTTATGTCTCCAGCGACGATGGTACACTTCGCTATCAGGAGGGTGTATTGGTAGAGGCTCTCAGAAACGGTTACTGGATTGTTCTTGATGAGTTGAACCTGGCGCCTTCCGACGTCCTGGAAGCATTGAACCGGTTGTTGGACGATAATCGTGAGCTCTTCATCCCAGAAACTCAAGAAGTGGTACGCCCGCATCCCAACTTCATGTTGTTTGCCACACAGAATCCCGCCGGTCTCTACGGTGGTCGCAAGGTGCTGTCCCGCGCTTTCCGGAATCGGTTCTTGGAGCTACATTTCGACGACATTCCAGAAAGCGAACTGGAATATATCTTGAAAGAGCGCTCACAAATTGCCCCGTCCTTCTGTACTCGGATAGTGTCGGTATACCGGAAACTCTCCTTGTTACGGCAAGCAAATCGACTATTTGAACAGAAGAACAGCTTTGCAACTCTTCGCGATCTATTCCGATGGGCGCTTCGCCGAGCTGACGATCGAGAGCAATTGGCGATTAATGGATTTATGCTGCTCGCAGAGCGAGTGCGCAATCCTCAGGAGAGGGCCGCAGTCAAGAGCGTGATCGAGGAGGTCATGAAGGTCCGCATCGATGAAGATGTCATTTATAGTGCCTCGGAGATGGACAAACGCGTCCCTAGTCTCGCACAGCTCGCACCAGGAATTGTGTGGACCAAGGCAATGCGAAGACTTTTCGTCCTTGTTTCGACCGCCCTCGAGAACAACGAACCTATTCTGCTTGTGGGTGAGACTGGATGTGGTAAAACTCAGCTATGCCAAGCAGTTGCAGAAATTTGCCGAAAGCAGCTCTATATCATTAATGCACATGTGAACCTGGAGACGGGTGACCTTATAGGTGCTCAGAGACCAGTTAGAAATAGGGCAGCCATCGAAAGTCAGCTACACAGTGACCTACATACTATATTCTCGCAGGATGCTGGTGCTCAATTGGCGTCCATCGACGACTTAAAACAAGCCTTCGGTGCGCTTAGCGCAGACCAGCTGCAAGCGCTGGATCCTGAGATGAGAGTGCGGGTTGAAAAGAATCTCGCTCGGTTGAATGCCTTGTTTGAATGGTCTGATGGAAGTCTGATCACGGCTATGAAAACGGGACAATTCTTCCTCCTCGATGAAATTTCCCTCGCCGACGACTCCGTCTTGGAGAGGTTGAACAGTGTTTTGGAGCCTCATCGCTCCATTCTTCTTGCGGAAAAAGGTCCTATTGACTCCATGGTAGTTGCCCATGAGGGTTTCCAGTTCCTGTCCACTATGAATCCTGGAGGTGACTACGGAAAGCGCGAGCTTTCTGCCGCTCTTCGCAACCGTATGACTGAAATCTGGGCTCCTCAGCTTTCCGAAGACGAGGATATCCTACCTATCCTCCGGATGAAGCTTGAGTTGGAAACGGAGCACGTTCCTAGAGCAATGCTGCAGTTTGCCAAGTGGTTCAAGACGACATTCCAGAACTCCACGACTTCGTCGCTTTCCATTCGTGATCTCCTCGGTTGGGTCGAATTCGTCAACAGGTGTCAGAGTTCGGATCCCATATTCGCAATAGTGCAGGGTGCTGCAATGGTGTTCATCGATACCTTGGGCGCTAACCCTGCAGCAATCCTCGCAACGGCACTGCATAATCTCGAAGGCAACCGGCAGTTGTGTCTGGACAAACTGCAAGAGCTTTTCGACGTTGATGCTTTCAGCATCTACTCGCAGGAGTCGACTATTGACACGGAAGGCACCTTCCTACGTGTTGGACCTTTCAACCTCCTTATGAATGAACAAGGAAGACCTGACCCTGAATTCATCATGGATGCGCCTACTACTATTGGCAACTCAGTGAGAATTGCTCGAGGATTGCAACTCGCCAAGCCCATCCTTCTGGAGGGCAGCCCAGGTGTTGGGAAGACAACCTTGGTGACTGCGCTCGCTAAGGCTCTCGGAAAGCCACTCACTCGGATTAATCTCTCCGAACAAACGGATTTGACGGATCTTTTTGGTTCTGATGTTCCAGTGGAAGGAGGCGACGTTGGTCAGTTTGCTTGGCGTGACGCACCGTTCCTGCAAGCAATGCAACGTGGTGACTGGGTTCTTCTCGATGAGATGAACTTGGCATCTCAATCTGTTCTTGAGGGATTGAACGCCTGCTTGGATCACCGTCAGATGGTCTATGTTGCTGAACTTGATCAAACCTTCAAAAGACACCCCAACTTTGTCCTCTTCGCTGCACAGAACCCCCATCATCAGGGTGGTGGTCGAAAGGGTCTTCCCGCTTCTTTTGTCAACCGGTTTACTGTGGTGTATGCCGATAGCTTCACTGATACTGACTTAAGGCGAATCTGCGCCAAGCTCTTCCCTGGAAGTCCTGTCAGCCAGACCGACAAGCTCGTTGAGTTTGTCTCTCTGCTAAACAAGGCTATCCAAGAGCGAAGACTGGGCGCTTTGGGCGGTCCTTGGGAGGTTAACCTGCGAGACATCCAGAGGTGGCTTCAATTAGCCGATCGAGGAAACCTGCAGGTTCCTGCCGTCCATTTCTTGGATGTTATCATTTCTCAGCGATTCAGAAGTGAGGAAGACCGTAGCGTGGTGTCACAGCTGTTTAAACAGGTGTTTGGAGAGGCTTTGACGGCCCCGAAAAGCTACTACCATAACCTTACACCAGGCTACATGCAGGTTGGGCTTGGCTTCATGCAGCGAGACTCTCTCTTGCAACAAACTTCGGATCCACAAATGCAGATTCTTCCGGGAGACTTGTCGATTCTGGAATCGCTGATGTTGTGTGTCGAACAATCCTGGCCGAGCATTTTGGTGGGATCGTCTGGCTGCGGCAAGACAACCCTTATCAGAAAGCTCGCGGCGCTGAACGGTGCTAGTTTGGTCGAATTGGCGCTGAGCGCTGATACAGACACTATGGACCTCGTCGGTGGATTTGAGCAGATAGATTATAAGAGGGAAGTATCGTCTTTACTGCAGGAAGTTTCGCGGTATCTCCAGCGCGAACTTATTTCTGCTTATGCCTCGAGCGACAATGCCAACATGTCATTGACCCCATTGCAGCTCTATGAGAGTCTACAGAGCCCGGAGGCCTCGCTAGGGAGTGTGGTCGTTTCACTTGTGAAGCTATATGAGTCTTTCCCTCAATCAGCTCTCGAGGATTATGTCACTCGGGCTCAGCGCTTGTTGAGCATCTCTGAAAAGGTTGACAAAATGAAAGTCGGATTCGAGTGGACAGAGGGTGTCTTGACACAAGCAGTTCAGAACGGACAATGGGTTGTCCTTGACAACGCCAACCTCTGCAATCCATCAGTCCTTGACAGACTGAATTCGTTGACAGAACCCAACGGAACCCTCATTCTCAACGAACAACGTACAGAAGATGGAAGCGCTCGCATTATACGGCCGCACCCCAACTTTAGGCTCTTCTTGACCATGGACGCCCGCCATGGAGAGCTCTCTCGGGCGATGCGGAATCGTTGTGTTGAGATCTCATTCTTGCCTCAGGAAGATCTAAGCTTCAGTGTCTCATCTGTGCCTGCTTACACCTGCCAGTCCTCATTGTACCGTTTGCGGTCCCTGTGGAACCTTGACCTTGTCATGGCTCCTCAAGGTGATGAATCTGTTCCTCTGCTGCATGAAGCATGCTTGGATCATCTCTCGATTGCCGATTTATCATACCTCCAGCGCGTACAGGGGCTACTCCCCTTATATTCCTCGATCAATGCGGACGATCCACTTCTGGCAGCTCTGCAGAGATACTTCTCCGTCGTACACGACAATTCGTCATGCAAACCCTTCGACTGCATTAAAGCGGAATTTACAATTGGGTTTGCCTCGATTGCTGCGCAGGGCATCTACCAACCGCTCCATCCCCTCGTGAACGAGCCTCTTGCATCAATCATGCACCAAAATGTCCCTCTCGCCTGGCTCGTGGTCCTGGCACATCTACAAGAGTCCAAGCTTGACTTGCAGTGCCTGAGGCAAGGCTTGTTGCGAGCAAATGAATCGGGAAAGCTCCTCAAGCCCAGTCAGATGACTCGCTTGGAGCGGTCTCTTGCCTCTGGACGCATTCCTTCCTTGATGAAAGATGCAACTCAGCCAGTTGGCTCTTTCTTATCCGACTGCGGCCAAGCAGTTTACGATTTTATCCAGAGCCTAGACCACAATGTCTTGCAGGTCTCCGATATGGTTCCCGCACTTCGTGCGATTATCAACTTCTGCTCTGACGTTTACCAATTAACAATGGCAATTGAGATCGACCAGGGCGAGTTCCAGATCTACCTCCAGCTTGGAAGAGAGTTGTCTGCCTCATTGCTTGATGCAGGGGCCCCATTAAGACCGCTGGGCCTGGCATTTTCTCAAGCTCTTAGCCGTTTCCATGAGAACTGGGCGCTGACCACGGGGTTAAGCATGCAGAGGCTTTGGGAGTCGTGGAGACCAGCCACCTCTGCGACTCAGGACCAATTGAAGACTCTCTTGGAGCTAGAGAAAGTTGCCCTTGAATTTACCCAAGTTGCTACCAAGACACATCTGGACTTGTCTCAGTTGAGTCAGGTGCGCAAATCGTTGATTGCTGGTCAAGAAGCCATTCTGTCAAGCGGTATCGAGGGATACCCAATTCAGGTAAGCAATTTAGTACAGATTTCAGCAGCCTTTCATTGCTAATGGATTTTAGGATCTACGACAAACCGTTATCGATCTCGCAGCCTCTGTGCCAGATGCTGATGCACTGCAAAAGCCTTACTTTTCTACTGAATTCGAGGTGTTGTGTCAATACCATGATCTTTCTTCACTCCGTAATGGCCAGACCATTGATGATCAAGTTGTGCAATCAATTTTGCCGCTACTCGCTGGACGTCCTGCCAGACCCCTTGATAACTCGAGTTTGAAGACTCAAATTCCTGCCATCTTGAACAAGCTCTCTTTGTTCTCAGGAAGTGAACCTTCGTCGGCTTTCGGCTCAGCTGCCAGTGGAACCTTGGCTCTGTCGCTCTTGGAAAGATTGACTTTCGTTGGTACCACAAGCCTAGGTCAGATGAATGCTTTGGAGATGGAGAAGAAGACACTATCGAGGGCTTTGGCTCTAACAAGTGGCGAGCTTGCCATGGATCAAGTCATGTTCCTTCGACAGGCAATGGCAAGATTGACCGCTGAGCTTGTCCTGCTTCACAAGGACTTCTTCGAACCGCAATCTCTGGAGCAGGTTGTTTCCCTCCTCCATGGGGTTCAGTCCGAGGGATCACACAAGAGCTCTTCTCTGCCGCGAATCCAAATTGCCTCCACCTTGCCAGAAGATCACTACTTTAGAGGCTTTGCTCAAGGACAGCTTCCACGGGTACTCTCCTCCTTGATGACTGAGCAGGTGGATAGCACGGGTGCTGGAATCGTTCAACTGGCTGTCATCTTCCTACAGCTTTTTGTTCCAGATAAGCCATTCGATCCCTCGCTCGGCTTGGTTGTACAAAGAAAGAGGCATTCCCAGCGCTCAATGGAGCTCACGGCAAGAAGCAAGGCTATCTCGTCATTCGAGGCTGGCTTCTCAGGACAATCGTCGAACTTGCGGCAGGAAATCATACAGGAGGAATTGCGCAATCTTGGTTCCGCACCTCCTCCTCCTTCTGTCACCAGACCTCAAAATTCCGAGCTTAATATCCTCCATGGTGAATTCTCAAGTCTTGTGAGATCAGTCCTCGAGCGACACCCGGAAAACCTCAGTTTCGCGGGAGACGAGAGCGACGCGGAGTCTCAGCGGATGGTTGAGCTTATCCGTGAAAATATTCGCCAGCTCAGTAGACGCCTCACTACGAACTACCGCTCCTACGATGATATCACAATTCTGGTGGTCCGGTTCTTGCAGCTTCTCGACTTGGGTCTTTTCCTTTCTTCAAGCAGGTCCCGTCAAACAAGTGACGTGCAAATCATCAAGGTCATCAGGGAGACCACTCCATTCCTGGGCGGCGTCGTCCACCCGATCTCCGGAAGCAGCCAGCAAGAATCTCACTTCGAATCTAGCTTGAACACTGATCTGTGGTTCCATGAATTGTCGGCGCTCAGAGTGGCTGAGAACGCGGACAAGGGACTGGTCTCTACCCGGAACGGTCGCGACACTCTTCGTCGTCTGTTCGAACAGTTCCATGCACTGTGGAAAGTCAAGCTGCGAGAGGACCAAGAGGAAGAAGCTCGGAAGAACGAACTGTACCATTACAAGGGGTCTTGGGAGGATGCCGAGGAAGTCGACGAGAACGAGCTACGTCAACTCTTCCCAACGTATGATGAGAACGCAGAGGAAGAAGGCAAGGTATCTAGCCGCGTCGATCCCAAAGCAATCTCCGTCCGACTTGCCTCTCTGCACGCTCAGCTCTTCAATTCCGAGAACCAAGCAGAAGTATTATCAGCATACGTCAAGCAATCGTCCCTGTTGTTGGGAACCCTGTGGTCCGATAATAGCTCGTCGGTCATGGAGGGACAGCCCAAAGAGCAACTTTCTGGTATTCTTCTTCTCCTTGAGGATGCTCTGAAATCAGGCGAAGTAGCGTCTGGCAGGAATTATAACTTCTATGTGGATTCAAACTTGGTCGAGGCTAAGAAGCTTGTTGACCTGACCTTGTCGACCAAGGCCAGGTTCAGCCAAATCCAGAAATCCTGGCCAGACCACGCAGTCCTTGCAGATGTCATTCAATGCTGCAGAGAGATCCTCCAGTTCAAGCACACCGAGCCTGTCGCCAAATTTCTTACCAAGGTAGAGAAGCTTCATGGCCTTGTCTACGAATGGCAATTAGTTGCAAGCAGGGAATACTCCGCAGCTTCTCTGTATGATGAGATAACCGGTACCATCATTGGCTGGCGGCGCCTCGAATTGACTACCTGGGCGAAGCTCTTGGATCTGGAGAACGACAAATGTACCCAGGATGTTAGCTCGTGGTGGTTCATCACTTACGAGGCTCTGATTCGGGCTCCCATCCAGATCGCTGAATCTGGTGATATGGAATTGAAGGACCACATCCAAGAAGTCACTGCCACTCTGGAACAGTTCTTCCGCTCCACTACTGTTGGCCAGTACAGCGAGCGTCTCCGATTGATCAAGAACTTCCAGTCTTTGCTGTCGCTCTATGTGGAAGATCTTCCGTCGCTCAGTCAACTGACGTCTGCTCTGGAAAACTTCCTACAGCGCTACAGACAGTTTGAGCCTCCCGTGCTTAAGCTGTTGGCAGAGAAGAGACAGGCACTCGAGAAGAACATCAAGGAACAGATTCAGCTGGCCAGCTGGAAAGATACCAACATTGTCGCGCTCCGAGAAAGTGCCAAGCGGTCACACGTCAAGCTCTTCAAGTTGGTCCGAAAGTATAGAGAGGCTTTGGCCCAGCCGGCCCAACCCATCTTGGAGCAAGATATGCCGGAGGATAGTGAGGATACAGCTGCTCCTCAACATGGTCTGGTGCTTCCTTCGTTCGTCTTTCCCGAAGCCTTAGCGATGTGTCAAACCGAGGAGAAGGCCTGGATTGATAGACCACCTCGTTTCAAGAACCCCGACAACACTGCTAGCAGCATGATGCAGGTGTATGGCTCGATCTCTAAGGAGTTTGATGTCGCCGAAGATCTCGACATTTTCGTCAAATATGTCGTCGAAAGCATTAAGGAGTTCAAATCGCAGACCCCGAAGACCTTGACGGAAGAAAACAAAGATGATGTCCAGCACCTCAAGGTTCAGAAGCGTCGTTTCTATGCTGACACACTGCACCGGATCTATGAAATGGGTGTGAAGCGCAACGTTAACACCAGTCTGATCGAAGCCCAGGCATCTGTTCCTCAAGTCCTTGCCACTATCCCGGCATTCGAGGCTGGAATCGCCGACGCACAGTTGCTCAGAAAGGCAGACTCGTACTTCCACAGGTTCCTGGATTTGCTGCCTCGTGTCCGTTTAGCGGCGCGCGACTACTCAGAGGATCTCAGTAATGTCGAGATTTCTAGGAGCTCCGGATCTGTTGAGCACCTCTTGCACCTCGTCCGGAAGCAAAGAACTTCGATCTCCCCGGCACTGTCTGACTTGAAGTCGCTTGATTCACTGCTTGCTAAGGTCGCCAACCTTTGGACTGCTGACCCATTCTCTATCTTCAAGGCTCATTCTGGTTTCTCAAACGGAAGAGATGACATCACAAGGGCTGTAGCATGGTTAGCTCCTATCATCGGCTTGGCCATCACCGTCGTGGGACTTCACGCCAAGTTCTCAGGCGTTAACTCCACAAGCGTGATCGAGAGCCTGCAGGCTTGGAAGGACACATTTGACCGCCTGAAAAACACCCTCAGCCACCTTCCCGAGTTGCCGGATGGAATTTCTTCCCGTGTGCACAAGACCACCGTTGAAGAGGCTCACACGGCCTTCGCAAGACTGAACTTTGACCTCGCCACGTGGACCGAGGAGCGCCCAGACCTGTCCTTTGTTCTTGGCCAGATCATCCCGTGGTCCAAGGTCAACGCCGTCGCGTACGAGTCCGACAGCCAGGACCTTGCCTTGTCCATTGAGGAATACGATGCAAGCCTTATCACCGCCGCTGACAAGATCCTCGTCAGCATCCAGAAACTGAACGAAGCTCCGTCGCAGATCACCGCCCCTGGCGCGTTGTCCCGCAGCGATGATTTCTTCGTCCGAGCCCTCAGGGTGCTGCGCATCGCCGACATCTCGACTTCCCTCGAGTCTGTCCTTGACAGACTGCAGCATCTTCAGACTCGCTCGCCTTCCAGTCTTCCGTTCGCCATTGCCTTGACAGCGACCTTGTTGCCGATCATGAACAAGTTCGCACTTATCTGCAGAGACGTGGTTGACCGCTACCTGACGGTACACAGAGAGACGTGTAAGATGTCCTACATTCTCGCCAAGACGTTCACGCAGATTGCATCGGAAGGTTTCTGTAGCCCGTCCGAGCCGTCCACGGAGGAAAGCAAGTCCGGCCAGCTGGAAAGCGGCACCGGTCTCGGCGAGGGGGAGGGAGCCGAAGACATCAGCAAGGATGTAGGCGACGACGAGGACTTGACGGAACTCGCCCAAGAAGACAAGCTGAAGACCGAGGACGACATTGAGAACTCCGAAGACGCGGTCAACATGGATCAGGAGGAGATGCAAGGCGAGGAGGGCGAGAGGAAGGAAGGAGACGAAGAAGACGACAATGAAAGCGGGTCCGACGAAGAGGATGATATTGACGAAGAGGTGGGCGATGTTGATGATCTTGATGCGTCGGCTGTTGATGAGAAGATGTGGGACGGCGAGCACGACGATAAGCAAAAGGAGACTGAGACTCAGGAGGGCAAAGGTGCGGCCGAGAACGACGAGCAGACGGCCGCGCCTGACCAACAACCGGGTCCGGAAGGTGAAAAGGGCGAGAACAAGGAGGGTGAAGAGGAGGAAGAGGAAGAAGATGACGAAGAGGGTGAAGAGGCCCCAGATGAGGAGGGTGAGGCTGTGGGCCGCGAGGATATGGATGTCACCGATCCACATGCAAAGGAAGAAGAGGCGCTTGATCTTCCTGAGGAGATGCAGCTGGATGGCGAGGAGAAAGGAAACGAAGAGCCCGAGGAAGACGACGGCCTCGATGATGATCTGATGGACAAAGACCTCCCTGTGGAAGAAGAGCAGCAAATGGAGGGAGATGGTGGTGTCGAAGACGAGACCATGGAACAGGACGGTGAGGAGCAGGAGATTGATCAGACTGAGGAGGCTGGTCCGGATGAAGAGCTAGGCGACGCGGACCAGGCCGAGGGTAACGAAGAGGAGAATGAGGCCGGTGAGGAGGCAGAGGAAGAAGAAAAGCAAGAAGATGACTTCCTTGCCCAGCGCGATGAGAACGAGGCAGCCGGCGAGGAGGTCGCCCCTAGCGAAGCTGTCAATGGTGGACTTGGCGCCGAACAAGACCAGAACCAGGAGAAAGGCTCGTCCGGTAACGCACAACAGGAAAGCGGCTCAACCGACCCCTCCGACGAGAAGGAGCAGAAGACTGGTGCTGCGCAAGAAGGAGATGATAATCAAAGACATAACGATGAAGGTGGCGCAAACGATTCTAATCCCGAGGATCCCCAACTCCAGGCGTTCAAGAAACTGGGCGATGTGCTCGAGCAATGGCATCGTCGCCAGAAAGAGATCATGGATGCTTCCAAACAAGAAGACGACGAGGCCGAGTCTCGACTGCCCGAGGATACCGATATGGCGGATGCCGACTTCGAACATCTCGCCGATCAAGACGATGTTGCCGACACCCAGGCCCTTGGTCAAGCCAACGAAGAACAAGCCAAGGGCCTCGACCAGAACAAGGGCGTTGAGTCAGATGTCAAGCCTGATGAGAACAACGAACTCCTTCCAGATGTCACCGACGACAATATCCAGGATCTCCCTGAGAACCGTCTGGAGGACGAGATGCAACTCGACCAGGGAGGTGTCCCCAATGAGTCACAGGCGGCCGGTGCCTTCATTCCTGGAAGCCTTCAGAACCAGGAGCAGGCAGATGCCACTGCAGGCCAGGAGGCAGCCGACGAGGAACTCGATGAGGTCGACGCGCACCTGGCTGCAATCCACCTATCCTCCACCCTGCCCCCGCTCACGCCACGGGACGAAGCTCAGCGACTCTGGTCATACTACGAGTCCGCGACGACCGATCTCTCCCTGTCGCTGACGGAACAGCTCCGCCTCATCCTGGCGCCCACGCTCGCGACCAAGCTCCGCGGCGACTTCCGTACGGGCAAGCGGCTCAACATCAAGCGGATCATCCCGTACATCGCCTCACAGTACAAGCGGGACAAGATCTGGATGCGGCGGTCGATCCCGTCGAAGCGCAACTATCAGATCATGCTGGCGGTCGACGACAGTAAATCCATGCTGGAGAGCGGCAGCGGGCAGCTGGCATTCGAGACGCTGGCGCTCGTGGCCAAAAGTCTGAGCATGCTCGAGGCGGGCGACCTGTGCGTGCTTGGCTTCGGCAGCGAGGACCACGTGCGGGTGGCGCACGAGTTCGGCAAGCCGTTCTCCTCTGAGGCCGGCACGCAGGTCTTCCAGCACTTCAGCTACCAGCAGACGGGCACCAACGTGCGCAAGCTGATCGCCGACTCTATCGCCTTGTTCCGCGAGGCCCGCTGGAAGCAGTCGCCCGGCGGCGGCAACGCTGACCTTTGGCAGCTCGAACTGATTATCTCCGACGGCATCTGCGAGGACCACGACACCATCCGGCGCCTGGTGCGCCAGGCCCAGGAGGAGCGCATCATGATCGTCTTCATCATTGTCGACGCCGTTAAGGGCAGTTCCATCCTCGACCTCAGCCAGGCCAGCTTCGAGCCCGACCTCGAGAGCGGCAGCGGCGAGATGAAGCTGAAGATGAAGAGATACCTGGAGGGATTCCCGTTCCCGTACTATCTGGTGGTGCGCGATGTGCGCGAGCTCCCTGCCGTTCTGGCGACGGCGTTGAAGCAGTGGTTTGCTGAGGTGGTGGATGTTTCTTCTTAAGGTGTTGGGTTCAATTAAAGGGTTGCATAAAAGTTTTGGGTTACTAGGATTGTCTGTATATACGTTGCACATATTTCAAGAATAGATTTCATATGAGAATTGACTGATTCCAGGATTATAATATAGTGGGGAACATTGTTCATACACCCGGATTTAGATTTGCAAGTCCACCATACAAGAATAGTGCAGACGGCAACTGCCGATCACTTGAACTCGTTCATTCTCCCATGAATAAAAGGAACCCCCAATCTAGTTCTCAATGCTCCTTGAACACCTGTAAGAGAATATTACCGCACAAAATGGTATCCAGCATGAGCTATCCCCACTGCCTCCTCTCCCTATCACCTACCCAGCCCACCTAAAAAAAAAGCCTCCATCCCCTCCCCAACCCAACCGTCCAAAGATGAACATAATAAACTACCATCCATACTTCGACCCGGCCTCCTTCTTATTCCTCCGGCCCGTCGCGAAACTCTCCTCCAGCGCCTCCCGCTGCGTACTCGCCGCACTAACCAGCTGCTGCAGCGTATGCTTACCGGGCGCGATCGCCCGGACAGGGTTATGCTGCGCGGCCGCGAGGTCCGTCTCCTGGGCCATCTGCTGGTTGGCGGCGTACTCGCGGTCGGTGTTGAAGTGGAGGACGCGCGGGGCGGCGGCCGCCGCCGTCGCGGTGGAGGGGTCAGCAGCGGCGCGGCCGAAGAGCTGGCGCCGCTGGGCGCGGCTGAGGTTCAGGTCGTCTGCGATGGCGCTGAGGGTGTTTTCTGAGGTGGTGGTGCTAGAAGATATTTGTTGGTGGTATGATTGTTCGGGAGCGGGTTCGGGGCCGGCGGGTGCTGCTACTGCGTCTTGGGATGTGTAGACTAGGGGTTCGTAGGGGGTTGGTGCTGCCGGTGGTGGTGGCGGCGCTGTGGTCTCTTCCGTGGTCGACGATAGCGAAAAGAGACTGATCTTCGGTTTGGGTGGTGCAGGTGCTGGCGGCGGCGTCGTCGTCGTCGTCGTCGTCGTCGTCGTCGTCGTCGTCGCAGTAGCACCACCACCACCACCACCACCACCACCACTTCCTCCCTCCTTCTTCCCCACCCCAGAATCCGCAAAAACAGCAATCGGCCCCCTCCTCTTCGTCTTCCCTTGCCCCCTCCCAACAGACAAAGGCTTAAACATCATGGGATTCCCCACCAATTTCACCTCCTGCGGCGGTTGTTGCTGCGGTTGTTGCTGCGGTTGTTGCTGCTGCTTTGGCGCCGAATCCTTACTCCTCCCCTCCTCCCCATCCACAATATCATCACCATCACCTCCATCATCATTATGATCGTGCTCCCCACCCAGCCGCCCAAAAGCCATCTCACTCCGCAACTCCGCATCAGCCTGCCGATCAAACCCCGGCGCCGCGCCCGTTTTCAAACTAAACACCTTCCTTGTTGTCTTCGTCGTAGCTGAAGTCGCATCACCAGACTTATTGGACCCAGAAACCGAGGACGGTTTCTTGGGAGCAGGAAGCAGCGCATTGAAGCCGGAGAATGCGCCTGCGCCTGCGCCTGTACCGCCAATCCGAGGCCTTTTGCGCGCGGGACCATCCCCGTCGCCATCTTCCGGTGCTTCGGGCTTAAGATCTGGGAGGGCGACGCGGATTTTGCGGGGGTTGGTGCTGTCGAGTTGGAAGGTTGAAGGGGCTTTTGTTTTGGGGGGGTTGGTTGAGGTGGGTGCTGGTGCGGTGGTTGATGTTGATCTTGAAGTGGGCTTCGTTGGGATTGTGGCGGAGGTGGTGGTTGTTGAGGGTTCCGAGTCCGAGGCTTCGGAGTCGGAGTAGGCGACTAGGGCCATTGAGAGATTTATTGGGTTTTTGGGTTTTGCTTGGTGTTGAGGTTGGTATGATTGACGATAAATCCTTGGAGGGTGGAAGGAAATTTTGAGGTTGCGGTGCGGTGCGGTGCGGTGTTTGCGGCTGCCAGTGCTGGGTTGGTTAGATGTTGAATTGTTATCGGACTGGAGGGAGGAAGGGAAGGGAAGGAAAGCTTGGTGCCTGACGGCTCAGGCTACTATTTGCCGCGTGGGCGGTGAGGGGGTTGGAAACTGTTCTTTGTGTGTGAGGTTGACTCAGGGTGGTGTGGTTACTACTTATAATTGGGGTGGTTTTGGGGCTGTGTTCCTACTGCTGGACTGTAAAACTGTAGAGCACAAGCAGACAAACCGAGCCGTGTATTCCAAGCCTGGATGGGATCTATTTCCATCTACAATGCATTTATTGAGTGCGGTGACATCATGCTCATTTCATATGACAGCCTGATAAGATAACAGCCGTAGCCCTAAGTCTACGTGTTGTCCAATGATACTGAAAGGGGCACTGGGCGCAATTGAGGACGAGAAGGAATAATGCTTGGAACATGCGGCTTCAATTTCTACATGCACTATATGAGTTGGCGCTGTGCTCGAACCTCCCGTCAAGGCTCGGACGGGGAGATATCGAGGGTTTCTAGCAGGTCGGAATCGTTTATCGTACTCATCATACATAGTAGGGACAATCTTCTAGGGGCACAGTCTCCGTTGTACAGGACGATCATGCTTGAGCCTTATTGACCAGACACCTCCGCTACGAGCACCGCGAGAACACGGCTTTGCGGGCTAGCCAACAACTGACGATGACTTTCGGAATAGACTTATCCTCGGTGTGCTCGAAACAAAGAGTCCAGTCGCCAGGTGCAGGGGCATCCATTCCCCGCGGACAAGTCAGAGCCCAAACCGTTCCATGCTGACACTCACCCAGATAGCGCATGAAATGCACCGGACCCTGTCCCAAGAAGCCATCAAAATACCCATACAGCAGCCCGCCGCTTTCGACGCAATGGAATGTAGAATCCAATGCGTCGCATACGTACTTCCCAACCAAGGCCTTGCCGGCCAGTCGGGTTGGACAACTCACTAGCCGGCGGGCAGTGACATGTCGATTAGCCTGTGGCCAGTCAAGATGAAGATGGTCGCCATCGAGTGTTGCTGTGGTAGTACGAGACTCCGCTCGATCTGGTCGCACAGGGACCAGAACGTCGGGCTCGCCCGCGTAGGTGATCACTACACCACCGGTGTCGAGACGGGCTTTCACCTCAATGGCCAGACAGGCCTCTTGATCCCAGTAGTATCCCGCCCAGTCTTGTGAGGCCAATTCCACGCTACAGGGGGCCGGCTGCGGTTCTTCCTCGCCGTTCAGAAGCCTTGCCAGGATATGCTGCGCGGCGTCCTCAGCGTCCGCCTCGTGGTTGAACATGACCACCACTGAGAGCTTCCGAGAGGGGACATGACTTCGATTCAGACGGAAGCCGCGCACCGCACCACTATGACCGACCGTGGGCACGCCCGCCACCACGACGTGCTCGAGGCCGTAGCTGTAGGCTGCAGGGACCCCGTCCACGAATTTGGGCGGCCTTGCCATGTCGCGGTAGATGCTCGTCTCGTCTGCCCAACTGTGATGGAGGAACTTTTCGTAAGCGATCATGTCCGTCAGCGAGGCCACGACCCCTGCGTCACCGGACCACTGGATGCGGTTGACGGCGGCAATGAAGCCGCGCGCCTCGTCCCCTTCGTAGCCCACGCATGGCCCGGGCAGAGAGGCATTGTCCGAATGTAAGCGCGCAGATGTCATCTTCGCCGGGGTGAAGACGTGCTCGTTGAGCAATTCTGCCAGTGACTTATCCTCACGGGAGTAGCTGCTGGCAAAGCGCTCGATCACCCGCGCCAGAATGTGGAAGTTGGTATTGGCGTACGCGTATTGCCACCCCGGTGGGAAATGTGGTGCACCCAGGCGCTCGAGCATCTTCTCGCCAGCTTCGGGCAGTGGAAAGAGGCCCTCCGGTCGAGCTCCCCACAGGGTGGTCAGGGCCCAATAGTCTCGCAGGCCGGATTGATTGTCGCAGAGCTGACGGAGGGTGGGCCTGTCCGAGGAGGAACCAATATCACCGGGCCAGACTTCGCGAAAGTGGGATTCTAGGTCCGACTGCACTTGAGCCTCACTGCCGAGCTTAGGAAGCAGCTGCCGCTCCAGCGTCCTGAGGCACATGCAGACCATTTGTTTCGTTATGGAGCAGATAGGCATTGGCGTTTCCGGGGTCATCGGAATGCGCTGGTCGATGTCAGCGTATCCCCAGACATGTTGACTGAGCAGTTTTCCGTCTTCCAGGACTGCAACTGCACCACCAGGGCCTCTGTAGATACTAGGGAGTTGGTTGAGCACATTCTGTACAACTTGCTGGGTTAGGCACATGCTGGTTCGTGAGTTGTGTTGTGGGAGGGGAAATCGGAGACATGACAATGTTTAGTTTACCCCAGCGGAGGGAGTGTCAGCCAGAGGGTCTTTTGATCACAATCAGACCCCGCCCTGGGTTGTTGCCCGCGCTAAAGCTCCTTTAGACACCGATGCTGGACACCATGGATAAGTTTTCTTGCTTCGTCACTGACGATTGGTACGTATTGAATTCCGGGACGTTATCAACGGACCGTGGACTAGACCCAAAATAGTGCCCGCGGATGGCACCTGTGACCGTGGACGTCAGGTCTTTATTCTCACAGAAGTTCATTCAATAAATTTTGTAGCATATCAAGCACAAGCATCATTGGTCTAGTGGTAGAATTCATCGTTGCCATCGATGAGGCCCGTGTTCGATTCACGGATGATGCAATCGATATCTCTTTTTGCATGTATCCACAGTTACCATCCGGCGCGCTGGAAGAACCTCTTTTGATTTCCCTTTTACCACTCCTCTAGCATGAATATTGAGACCATTAATAGTACTCAGCATCGCCCTGCTATCGACGGTGGCATAGCTTTACGCAACTTATTCCAGGACATGGCATATCACCCACATGTACGCATTCGAATAGTCATAGATCTAAGTGGCTGCTGCCTGTCGAAGCCTAGGTAATGATGATCCTCCAGCAAATGGGCAGTTGGTTCCCTGTATCCCATTCTGAATCTCCAAGCTACAACCCGGCAAAGCATGGAGGAGACACGGCCACGACGGACGATGTCTGCAGTATAGGGTCTCTCTGCTGGCACCACCTCCGAATCGCTTATCCTTTCTTTTGGAGGCTGATTGCACCCCCACACTTCCTCACCACATTGCAGTCCCTACTCAAGAGAAAGTCCATCCGGGGCCTGCAAGCCGAGACCGAGCATCCCTCTGGGCGCCGTTGAAAAAGATCGAGGCAGTCAACTCACTGCATCCAGGGCAAAGTTTCCGACATCAAGGCTGTGGCCTCCCGTGGTTAGTCTGAATTCTCAGAGGGTAAGGCCGATGTGGCTGAAGATGGAACGAAGTGTGCCCCTTTGGGCCAGACGATGCCTCTCTCGTCCGTGACGGCATACGGCTCGGAATACGGAGTCTCGCTGTCTCGTACACCCAAGGTCACACAAGATCTGTTTGCTCAATACGATCATGCAAGACGACTCTTTGACCCCACGGAGACCATTACTCCGGAGACATAGAGCGGAATGACAAGCAAGTGGTGAATTTCTGCCGCTCTGAAGAGCGCAGGTTGGAGGAGGAAGACTGCAGATCTAACCACCATGTCAGTTCCCCTCCTCAAGAAGCTCTTGTTGGATCCAGTCGTCGTCAGTCAAAAGTACGATCCGTGGAGAATATGGCGCACTTCCACTAAGCGAAACTCCTCCCGGAAAAAAACAAAGCCCACGCCATATCCAATTCGTGCCAGCTCATTACCTCATACTGGCGTGTAAGCCATATACGAGGCACAGCAATAGTCCTGATCACGATGGCGACGCACGGCCACGGAACCGCTCGATCAACCTTCCTGCCTGAAGTTCAATTTGGACGGGCAGCTGGAAAGGCCTTTCCCCGTCCGATTTATCGGGGACCTGCATATTGCAGATCCCCCGGGGGATAACGTAGGCCACCCGAGCATGTGCCATTGGAGTACAGTACACTCATCCTGCTATCGGGTATCGTATCATCTTCGGCCTCAAACAGTCAATCCGGCGACCTATCCTCCCGTCACCGTCACCGCCACTCCCCTTCTCCTCTCTCTCTTTCATCTCATAGTACTGACTGGCAGTACAACACCCATAGAATGTCTCAGTTGCCTAGACACGGTCGGTGTCCAAATTGAGCAAAGGCAACGGAACAGCAACGAAGAATTCATTGGCAAGCAGGTGAACCGCGTTGGACACACTTTTGTCCGGAAGCTGAGAGACGAGATGGGCTTTCAGCTGTCTAGAGCACGGCTACGCGCAGTGAAAGAGGCCTGCGCGATTGAGAGCTCTCGACTCAGACAAGTGACTGGGAGAAGGGGTGGAATGGCCTTCATCTGACCCTCTCGGCTGAGGGGAAAGACAGCGATTGAGAGACCATCCGTGTGATGATGAGACTTGCAAGCTCAGGGAGCATCTCAAGTATATAGTCAGCTACCTTTCCTCTGAAATTTTCAGTTGAAGATGCACCACAACTTTCTTCCATTTCGAGTCTAGTATCACAAAATTCAGAACAAGCATTGTATGGCCGCTGTCTCTCAAACAGCCCTTCGGCCCTTTCCCACTATACCACTCCCCTTCCTCCTCCCCTTCCCCCTTTACCATTTCTCCTTTGCCATTCCCCTCTCTCCCATCAACTCTTCCCCATCCACTCTCCCCTCGTGCTCGTCTCCAGGGGCCCCTGACACATAGAAGGATCAGCTAACAACCCCCCTGAGGAGCATAGCTCGTCCACGTTTCCAGAATGACACGAAAGATCACATTCGTGTGGCCGGCTCATCCCGAATTCGGCTCGGGCGATAAAGAGGAGTACAAGGCAGCTATCTACCACGCTGTGGCAAAACTAGACCCAAAAGTCGTCCGTGTCGCCTTTCGGTAAGCGAGTCAAAATTCCTCTCTCCCCCCCCGCGGCCCCCGGCCCGCCTTCCCCCGGGCTCTTGAGACGCAAACTTATAGCTCACATGGAAACAGGGCAGTCTGGGAATGTTGCTCCCCAAGTTTCTCTCTTTGGGGGCTGGCAATTGGTATCAAGACCAGCGCGCAATGTGCGGATGGCACCCACTCGATGTTCGATTTCCGTCTACGACACACGGCCCAGGGTTGAAGCGGTATGGCGGAGCCTTAAGGGGAAAAACATCGATGATGACTCCTACGTGGAAGACTACAGGGGACCATCTTGGCCTTCAGAGGTTGAAAAGGAGGAGGAGGAGCTGGTGGGATTCAAGGACAATGAAGATGTTGGCTTCGCTGACTAGGACTAGCTGTGAGGGATACACGTTTGGATCGGGATCTTTCGGTCAATCAATATGACTGTAGGAACAATTTATGCAGCGGTTCTCGGTGTTGGATGGTTGCAATACCTGCTACCAAGATCTGTAGGGCTAACGGCCTAAAGACCACCATGAAGCTTGTCAGGCAGGGATGGGGATAGTAGAGCCAAGGGGTTGGCAATGTAATGCCGTGGACCTTTTTTCTTTGAGAACAACAGAGGATCTTCTTTGTTCGCAAATATGGATTGGTTTTCGAATGGTTGTCGATTGAGATTCACGATCCCGAAAAAGCTGACCCTACCTTTCTTAAGGTACAGTGCAGTACCCAAAGACATGAAAGTGGCTGCTGTTCTTTGTTGCCACAGCACGCCAGTCTGCCATGGCCAGACATAAAAAGCCCCAGATCCCAACCACCGTCAGCAACTCTGGGCTGTTGCCTTCTTACGCAAAATTATACAGTCTGACACAGTTGCTTACCCTGGTCCTTTCAATAAGCTCATTCTTCTTCTACATCCCCCTTCTCCTCCTTCCCACAGTTGAATGAGAGAAGAATATCCATGACAGCGACTGACAAAATGACCGACAGTCCTCCGAGTTGCGTGGAAGAACATCTCCCAAAATACAAATTCGACGGGGAGCGTACCCGGGAATGGGAAGCCGAAAGATTGGGTCCTCACGAAATGCCAGATTGGTACTGTCCGGGTGGCTTGCATCCTGTTCGCCTCGGCGACAAGTTCCTTGATGGGCGCTACGAAGTTGTCCACAAGCTAGGATTTGGCCATACCGCTACGGTTTGGCTTGCCAGAGACCATTCCGAGGGAAGACATGTCGCCATCAAGATTCACATGGCGTCGGATTCGACAGAAAAAGAGACGCGCGAAAGCAATGCCCTTCGTGCCTTGAGCTCGGGCAAAGAGGACCATCCCGGCCGAGCTACCGTCATGACATACCTGAATGAATTCACCATCAGCGGACCAAACGGCTCCCATCGTTGCCTCGTCATGGAGTTTGCGGGGCGTCCGTCGTGTTTTCCGGGGTGATCACAGTTGAAGTTCAGCTATGCGCCTGATATCGCGCGGGCGATGGTTGCCCAGGTTCTGCTAGGAGTGGACTATATCCACTCTTGTGGAGTGGGGCATGGTGGTATGTGACTGACGCCCTTCCGACCGATCTATCCTTTCTCTCTCTCGGAGGGAGCTAATTGATTGGCAGATGTGTGTACGATGAATCTGCTCTTCAGGTATGAAAATGTGGCCCAGATGACCACAGAGGAGCTGCACAGCCTCTGGGGACGGCCAAGATTGTTGCCGTTTGAACGGTTAGATGGATCCCCCCTGGGGCCAGAAGAACCCTCATACATCATCTCGGAGGCCCGTCCGCAACTCCCTGGGACGGGGACCGGCCCGACAGACATTAATGTTAACTTCGTGGTTGTTGACGACGCCCGCATTGCCATTGCCGATTTCGGAGAGGCCTTTCTCGAGACCGAGGGGCGCGAAGACTTGATCTGTAATCCTGCTTGGCGCGCACCGGAATCCATCTTCCACGAACGAGTCAGTACTGCATGCGACGTATGGGCTGCTGCATGCCTTATTTGGGAGCTTCTTGCCGCCACTTCCAAGAAATTGTTTTGTACTGAGCCGTTACCGAATGAAGACAAGATACTGGCAGGCATGGTTGGCGTCCTTGGAGATTTTCCCGAGCGCTGGTGGCGCCAGTGGGAGGGAAGAAGCGCACTACCCTTATGAATTATATAGATGTGGAGCCACTGAGTGAACGGGTGCGCATGTTGAATGATGGAGAAGACCCGTCGACTTGGGACTACAGTCCCGAGGAAGTCCAGGCCCTGGAGAAGCTGTTGAGGGGAATGCTGATTTATGAACCGTCTGAACGCATCACGATGCGCGATGCGCTGAAGTCGGAGTGGATGGAGAAATGGGCATGGGCTGTCCTGAAGAAACTAAGGATTGTTGAGCCTGATGTTGGGATGGAGAGAGTTGTTGGATGAGGTACTGTGGTTACAGTAGTTACATAGATGGATGCGAGAAGCGATTCCGAGGTTTTTTTCCGAGCCGAGCTCCATCAGTGTAGTCCGTACTCGTAGTTATACTTCCCATCAACAATCACTTCAAGTTCGATCTCATTTTCTCCTTACACAACACAACGACTGATTAAGTGTCTGCAATTTATCCTATGGGTTGTTATTTTGCACAGGAAACTTTGACACCTAACAACCATTACCATAATTATCACAACCAACATCAAAACAAAATCAATCCCTACCAAAAATGCCCGAACCACAAAACCAAGAACCACCACCGTCTACCACCCCCTTCCGCTTCAAATCCACCTCCACCTCCAAAACCAGAAACAAAGACAAAGCCACCCGCCACGCCACCCACCGCGCCCGTCGCCAAAACCGCACCCACTCCCGCACACGCACCCGCACCCGCTCCCCAACTCCCGTAATAACCCCCGGAAGACAAAGACAACTTACCCCCGAAACCGCCTTCCGCGAATCCCTCTTCGACGCGCTGGGCGACGACGAAGGCGCCACGTATTGGGAATCGGTCTACGGGCAACCGATCCACACGTATGCGATCCCATCCATCCCCAAGGGTCCGGCGGGGGAGTTGGAGCAGATGGATGAGGAGGAGTATGCGGCGTATGTACGGGGGCGGATGTGGGAGCGGACGCGCGAGGGGATGGTTTCCGAGAGGGAGAGGTTGCGTGCGGAGCGACAACAGGCTCAAGCTAGGGATCGGGATCGAGCTAGAGCTAGGGAAACAGAGAGGGATGCGTTCGATCGGGCCGTGGAGGAGAGTTTGCGGCGTGGGAGGGAGAGGAAGCGGTTGCGTGGGTGGAGGGTTGTTTGGGCGGAGTATCTCGAGTGTTGGGGGCGGTTGGATGGGTTGGTTGAGGGGCTGAGGCTTTCTGCCCATGGGGATGGAGATCAGGATGGGGAAAGGGCGAAGCACAGCTTTCGGAATATCATTTTCTGGCCGGTTGAGTCCGGGAAGCGGAGGGATGTGTCCAAGGGGAATGTGGAGGAGTTTATGCGGCGTTGTTGTCCGGATACTATTCCCACTGATACCACCACCCACAAATCGGGGCAGGCAGAGCTGCTGGCGTTGCTCAAGGCGGAGCGCATTCGTTGGCATCCTGATAAGATTCAGCAGCGGTACGGCGTGCTCGGCATTGAGGAGTCGGTGCTGCGCTCCGTGACTGAGGTGTTCCAGATTATCGACCAGATGTGGAATGACCTCAGGGCGAAGGAGCCATCCTGATTATCCTGGGGATGATGGTGCTGGTGGGCTCTGCCACATCAGAGGGCAGGCATGTGATGCATCTATGATTAACGGCGCATGATTTAAGCGATATGATACCCATGATAGACTTATGATAATGACCAATCACAAACACTACAATCAGTAACAACTGCCCAATCGAATCATATACGCATTCACAAATAACTAAACTACTTACTTATCCACGCCACCACTTCAGAACCTCGAGTAACGCTGCTTGGACCGATACGCAGTCCAGCCCACATAAGCCCCCACGACGGCAGCCAAGAACAAGACGACCTTGAACAAGAACCAGCCCCAGCTGCCCTTCTTCTTACTGCGCTTGACCTTAGCCGAGTCCTGTCCGCGGGCGCGCGGCAAGCCACCCTTGCCGCCGGCATTGCCACCCACGCTGTACAGATTCTGGGACTTGACGGAGATGATGTCGAAGTTGTCGCTCAGCTCACCGGTCTCGGCGGAGAAGCCGAGGTAAGCAACCGAGGGGATGGCGATGTTGTGGTCCTGGGCGTTGAGCTCGAAGCACTGGATCCAGGTGTCCTCCTTCTTGTACTGCAGCTCCAGCGTCAGGGACTTATCCTGGAAGTAGGTCAAGCGGGCCTTGGTGGGGATAGACGCGCCCCGGAGACCGCGAGCCTGACAGAAAAGCACAATATTAGCATGAATAGTCCTTGTAAACCCGAGACACAAATTCCAAGAAAGACGTACAGAGCACCCCGCCAACTCATTGGCGCGACCATCGTGCGCCTGGTCGTAGGAGGTCTGGCCATCGCCCATCATGGCCATGACGTACGGGAACGTAGTACCGGGGCGGTTGTTCTTGTAGGTGTCGAAGAAGATACCGAGGCCCTCGAAGTTATCCGTCGAGCCGAAGACGGGGCCCTGCGTCGCGCGCTGCTTGGTGAGCCACATGGCGAACCCATCACCATGCAGGTTGCCGGATCCGTGGATCTTGAATTCAAACTCAATCTGTCATTGCGAACGTCAACCCCGTCGTTCCCCTAGCTCATTGCAGCGATCACCAAAGAACTAACCTCCCAGTTCGTCGCGGTCAAAGGAACCCGCGAGAAGATCCAACCCTGCTGCGACGGTCGATCGGAGGTAAGACGAATATATCTGGAACGAGCGCAACAGGCGCGCCGGTCAGCTTGTCTTCGTTGCAAAACGAGCCGAGGGGTCTCTCATACTGGTCCGCGCGGATTATCGTGTCACCACCAAAATCGAACCAGCGGCTTTGGAAGTCGGAATCCAAGTATGGCTGTTTGTTATCACATCATCAACAAAAAAACGCTCTTCTTCGTTGTTGTTCGAATGGACAAAACCCACCGGTGCGAGACTATGAGTCCGAAGCTATATACCACCCCGCCGCAATCCCAGCTGTTAGTATATATCGTCCTTGATTCATGAGGTGATTGGATGGCTGGCTGGCCGGATGTACACACCGGAATGCTCTTGACATCTTCACCGTCGTAGGCGCTGGCCAAGGGGACAGAGGCCAGGCCGGCAAGGCATAGGAGAGACGAGAGCCGCGGGAGCAGCATGGTAGAAGATCAGGATCTCGATTGTATTCGCGGAGATGGGTCGGAATGAGTGAAGCTTCTTCCGTAAGGTCGGTAGAGGTAGGAGGTTGGAAGATAGGATCGGCGTTGAAATCGATAGCTTAGCTAGCTAGCTTTGTCACCAGGACATCAAAGGCTTTTCCCCCACACACACGTCAGATGGGAACAAGCTGGGCGATTGAGAAACTCAAATAAACAAAAGGCAAAAAAAACTACCACATACATACACACACACACTTCTCTCAATGACAAAAGCAATCAAAGAAAACCACCACAAAGTTGAGGTGGGGAAGAGAGTAGAAGGTAAAAGAACGAAACACCGGAGATGTGGAAGAGAGAGGAGGGGGGGAGAGAGAGAGAGAATGACAGGTGGTTGGTTGTGTGGTTGGATGAGGGAGGGATCTATAACTAAACACTGACTACTCTCCAAGTGTCCACATCGCCGGTACGGTTAAGGCCAAGACAGGCCAAGAAGGTCATCGGTCTGTGGCGCAGGCAGTCAAGACTAAGTAAGAGCTATCCCTCCCGCACCAGCCACACATCGCTCGCCCGCAAGATCTTGGTGCCGCGGAATCAATCAATCGTCACCGTCCGTCCCCCGACACGTTCGCTTCAATCTTTCATTAATTCAAGATAACCACGGCTTATCCCTTCCTCCACACCACACACCCCTAAAATCGTCAATCATGGCTCTCTTCGGCTCCGATAACTCCGCCGCCTCCTCCAGCCCCTCCACCAGCCAGGAGGTCAAGGACTCTCTCATCCGTCAAGTCCAGCAAGAGGCCGCTATGAGCAACGCCCGGAGCTTGATCGGCGTATGTTGCCCCCCAAAGCTTCCTTAAAAGTCATTGCGCGAGGGAAAGGAAAAACCAAAAACAAAAACTAACACCCCCATTAGAAAGTTAACGAGCACTGCTTCGAAGCCTGCGTGCCTACGCCGGGCTCCTCCCTCTCGACCAAGGAATCCACCTGCCTGTCGCAATGCATGGAGAAGTACATCGGCTTCTGGAACGCCACTAGCCGCGCCTACATCAGCCGCGTCTCCAAGGAGTCTAAGAAAGCCGGCGGCGCCGACTTGTCCGGCCTCTCGCTGTAATTCCTATCTACCTTACCCGCAGAGAAAATGAAGAAAAGTGAGAGAGGGATAGAGATTATTTTTTACAACACAAACAGAGGCGGAGGGAGAGTATATAATTGTACGCACAATTGAAAGAAGGGGGTTGTGTATGTTGTAGTGTTGAATGGAATACTCCGGAGATCGATCCCTGCGCCTCGCCCCGTCTCGCCTTCAGGGAAGTTTTGCAAGGAGCATTTGATTGTGGCGGGGGATCTTTGTTTTGTGGTTGTAGGATATATGGTATGCTCATTAGAGAGGGTTGGACCAGGTGGTGGGGCAGCTTCAAAAGAAAGAAATCGTCTCTTTAGTCTGTTCCAATATATAGATGTCTTTTTTCTGTTATGTCAACGACCAGCTCCCAGTCATGGTGTCTCCGTATCTCTCCAAGGCCGACTTTTATAACAATTAAAAGATCCCAGGTGTATGTACATTATACAATCGTCTCCACACGCGAAACGAAACAAAAATACCAAGAAAGCCCGTATAAATCCCGAGTATTTGCACAACATGAAGTAAACAGCACGACCTCAAATGAAGGTGGGGTCGAGAAAGAAAACATCCACCATATAACAGCAGACAGGCGCCCCCGCCAGATTCAACATCACCACCGCAACAAATAACTCCAACCATATCTCTTCGCGATAGCAGCCAGCAATGGAGAGAAAGGGGACTTTAGCTGGAGGACAGTGTCCACCAGATTCAAAAGACGTGCGAGAAAAGACCGGGTCGCAACATCAAGTCAAGAAGAGTGAACAGAGTATAAGGGATGGAACGAGGGAGGTGTTGCATCAAGCGCAATTCCCAATATAAGAAAACACAGCACTCATGTGAAATAGGATAAGACCATATTGTTATATGCTCTAAAGTCTGAAGAGCAGCAAAGGCTTGATTCGGCCAGCGATCATGGAAACAGACAAGCCGACGCAGAAAGAAACCATCAAGCAACAGTGTTATGGAAAAATCATCAAGATAAGGCTACTCTACGCAGCCTCAGGAGGAAATTCTGGGGGGGATTATACCCGCTCTTAGACACACCGGGAACCATCGATCGACTCGATCTCGCAAGAAAGGTTTCATGGAAAGACGGCTGATCATCTCATCATCTCATCATGACAACCACTAGAAGTCAGGGAACAGATGGCCGTGACTATCGCTGATATTAGCAAATCTACACCCAAGAGGCGCCAGGTGGGGAATACATACGGGTCTTCACCAGCCATGCCGTATTGTTCCGTCTCCTCCGGATACCGGTCGTACTGACTAGCGTCACCTTGTCCTCCCCGGATGGGCGGCACATAAGGAGCATCAATATCCTTGCGGGCCAGGCGGTCCCAGGTGACCTCCGCAAACCAGGGGTGGTTCTTCACATCCTCGGAGCCTCCATGAAGGTTACCCAGACGCTTGGTGAGATCCGCCGTGATGAGCTGCGAGAGCAGATCCACGGCATCTGGATGAAGGTATGGCGGGTACTTCACCCGACCTCGCAGGATGTTCTCGTAGATCTTCACGGGAGAGCCGCTGTCCCAGAAAGGAGTGAAGCCGCACAGCATCTCAAAGATCAGGATTCCCAATGACCACCTTCAGTCGAGTTAGCAATGCTGTAAGACCACTGGCCGATAGCTAGCTCCTTACCAATCAACGGATTTGTTGTAGCCCTTGGAGGACACCACCTCTGGAGCCAAGTAATCGGGGGTTCCACAGAGGGTCCATGTGATGTCAGGGACCTCCTTTGCGAATCCAAAATCAGTGATCTTCAAGTGTCCGTGTCGATCCAGAAGCAAGTTCTCGGGCTTGAGATCTCGGTAGATGATCTGCTGGGAGTGCAGGTATTCCAAGGCCAGAGTTACCTCTGCGGCATAGAATTTGGCAACGGGATTGGGGAATCGCTGGAAATTGTAAGCACGGCTTTAGTGGGTGAGACGGAAGATTAGGCGACCACCCACCTGGGACTTGCGCAGCAGACTGAACAGTTCACCACCTTCCACAAAGTCCATGACCATGTACAAGTTGCGCGCGTCTTGCCATGTGCCCCAGAGGGTGATTAGGAATGGATGCCGAACGCGGTTCAGCATTCGCCGCTCATCGTTAGTGTGCTCGATCTGCTTCATCTTGACCACCTGGGCCTTCTTCAGCACCTTGATCGCGTAGAAGCGGTGGTTGTGCTTGGACTGCACCAGGTGGACACGACCGAAACTGCCCGTGCCCAGCGTGCGCTGCAGAATGAAGTCATCTAGAGAGTACTTTCCCTTGGTGGTGCGAGCATCACTGCGACTAGCGGATTGTTGGGCCTGGGCCTGGCTGCCGGAGCCAGAGTGCGTGGAGCCTTGCTGAGAAGAGTGAATTATGTTCTGTATGCTAGCAGCATTGACATTGGACTGTGAAACACCGGAGGTGTGTTGGGAAGGCGACGGTTGCGACACGGCGGATTGCATGGAGACTGGTTGAGCCTCGTTGGATTGACCGGCTGTGGAAGTGCGATTGGGCTGGTTGGTGGCCAAATTTTGCGACTGCTGGGCGGGATCAGCAGTGGCAGCGGGATTGGCGGCAGGTTCAGGTTGCTGTTGCTGGTCTTGTTGCTGCTGATTGTCGTGATCTTGGTTGTGGTGATGATGAAGGTAGTGAAGAGGGTTATGATGGTGGTGGTGGTGGTTCTGGTTGTGGTTGTCTTCGGCAGCGTTTGGTGACGTCTGCGTCTGGGCCGAACCGGCTTCGAGCTCTTTGGAGAGGGTCTGCGAATCTTTAGTTCGCCGCTTCTTCAACAGACCTCCTAAACTAGGCATCGAGGATAAAAATCTGAAACAAGTTTGAGATACAAAACGAGCACACAGACCACACACGAAGGTCTATGTGAAACAATAAGAGGATGTGGACTGAATACGTTGAGGGGAAGGGAGGGAGGAGGGGGAGAAGAGGGGAAGAGAGAGAGGGAGGGGAATCGATTGTGTGTACGAGAGACTCAAGAGTAGTAGTAGTAGTAGTAGTTCAGCCCCTCTTTTTTTCCAGCAAAGTGAACTGCAGCACTGCTCGGGAGGGAAATGGCAATTGGAGGAAAGGAAAGGGAGGGGGGAAAAGCAACCACAGGTCAGACGGGGGACCAGAGTGCCAGATTGAGTGAACGGGCAACAAGCGGGCGAGTTTTTCTTCTCCTTCTTCTTCTTCTTCTTCTTCTTCTTCCTACTTCTTGTTCTTCCTGCTCTTTCTCTTTTTCCTATTCTTCCTCTCAGTCTTTCTCAGCTCAATTCTTTGGGACGGTTCGGGCGCGGATACAGCGGAGCCACCCAAGCAAGCACGCTCAACTCAACAGACGAGCGAGACGGCGGTCAACGGAAAGTCAATTGGAAGGAAATACGAAAAGCTGGTAGACTGGAAAGACGCCCAGGGATGCAAGAAAAGTTGAACGATCTTTCGACCTGTTTGCAGCTAGCTAGATAGGGTTTGGGGATTGAGGAAGAATTGTGTGAGAAGAAGAATGGGAGAAAGTAAAAGAGAGGAAAAGGAAAGAGGAGGGATTTCAAGGCAGTGGAAAAAGGAAGCCAAACAGCACACAGCACAACACAACACAAGCACAGCACACAGCAAGCAGTAAAAGAGGATGATTAAAAGAAGCGGGGTTGGATTTGCGTCAAGCTCAAAGACGGCTGGCTGGGATGGGCATAGTTAGCGTTTACTTAGTTTCTACCGACTACTTCCGTTACTCCAGTTAGATCAGGGATGATGCTAATAGTTGACCTACATTATACCAACTGGATAGGGTAGAGAACAGGAGACGGAGATGCATCAATGGACTAACTAACCGTCTAGTATTGTCCCTCATGAATACACAATACACATATGTAGTCTAAACTAACTGGAACCAGGACCGACCACCATCTAGACCAGACCAGATCAGATCAGCCCCATCATTCTTCTGGTTAATGTCTGATAACCTTCTTGTCTACTGTCCAGTACATGTAGTACTTGGACTATATCATCATGACCAGCATTTCCCTCCCTACCACCGAGGTAATAGCTAGTTCCCATCAAAGTACTCCGTACAGCACCAAGTAAGTTGCCACGAGCATCATGTCATCCATGTCATCCTTCATCTAACCATCCACTCATTCAACCATCAATCCAGCAATCAGTCTTCAATTCTCCGATACGATGAGGTCATCCACCCTCCGTTCTCAGGTCGGCTCTTCCGAGCCCGACCGCCGTTAGGGCCAAACGCCAATTCCTGACGTGATGGTCTTGCCTGCAGATGAAACCGGTCTTGCCCTCATGTTTCAAACTCTCTTCTTTTTTTTTTTCGAGGCAAACACAAGCCACGAGAGTATAAGTCATGCATGGGGGGACAGTGAGACTGTCCCGCTGCATTAAGCCGCTCAATAAATAATTTATTTTCCGGGGTCAAAAACGTGGCACTAATAAGTACAGTACTTCTGCTTGCTGCGTGGCCGAGAGCGCGAACGAGACAGAGTCAGTCAGACTCAATCGAACACCGGCGGTGACTTCATCATAGTAACTACGGAGTAGCTTGATGTGGATCGGGGGGTCGAAAGTGGAATCGCCCCGCTTTCGGGGGGTTTTTCGCTCTTTTACTTTTTGATGATTTTTTTACCCTTTTCTTTTCTCCTTTTTAAGGTTCGAGTTCAATGGTTGAATGAGGGAGTGAGTGAGTCTGCGCCTATCCGTTTGATGTTTCGGGTGAGCACTTCGAAATACACTCACTCCTCGGCTAGATAATGGACGCTTGCATCCATCCATCCACTTTAGCCATATGGCTTTTCCGTGTAAAGCAGACAATCTGGGTTACACTGACTCAAACCTTAATCAACGCTAAGTACTACGTTGATGCTTTATATGTATATATACTGTGCTGAATATGCCATCACAGCTGTTACGACTGAATTGGATCGCAAACCACCAGCCCCTGCAAAACAAGTAGATCAACGCCCGCTGCACCCCATCCTAAGATGCTGGATCATACTTAAGGCCACCCGCCCCGTGCAACAACAGTAATGCAATGGATAAAAAAGGAACAAAGCTGCCGGCCTAGATGCGATAATGCGCCATATTCTTCTTGATCTCATCCACAATTTCCACCGCTTCGAGGGCATTGCGCGCCTCGAAGTCATACCGTTTCTGCTCGTTGGCGTCATTGCCGCGCAGCACCACCACCCGGAAATTCTTAGGGTGTCGCCGACTCACTTTGCATCCGACCACATCGTTGAAGCTGATCGACCGTGTTTTCGTGTCGGACACCGTCTTGCCCGTGTCTGCTGGCATGATATGCATGTAGTCATTGTCGAACGTCAGAATGCGATGGTTCGACTGCGTGAACGACATGGACTGTTTGCGCCAAACGTAGTATCGGCGGTAATAGCCTCCCGTGAGGTCTTGCTTCTGCGTGAGAGGGTGAAGCATGCGCTGGCCGCTCTTCTTCCCCTTCTTGGCCGGAACGGTGTTGCTGTCAATGAGAAGGGGCGCGTTGGGCGAAGAGCTACCGGGGGAACCGGTCAATTGAGGCCCGAATCGGCGCCGCACGAGGTCTAGGTCGGTGAGGTTGCCCAAGGCTTCCACCGTTCGGTCTAGGGGAGCAATCGTGCTGGACCCCATCACCTTCAGCAGGTAATTGCCCTTATCCAGACCCCACCGCTTGCATACCGAGTCAAGGATCTCGGCGATGTAGCTGTCAGTAGAGGTATTGAGCGTCGTCACCTGCGTTGACGCCTCCACATTGGTATAACGAATCTTTAACGTCTTCGAGACCCCTAGGCGAGGAGTAGCATGTGACGTGGGCACGGCTGGTCGATCGGCGGGTGTCAACGTATTGTCGTTTAGGGCCGACGAGAAGGGCTGTCCGAGAATCGGGTTCGGCCGAGGCGCCTTGACCTGCGGCATAGGCTGGCTGGTCGGGGCAGGGGCACTCGCAGAAACGTCGGCAGCACTATCCTCCGACGACGGTGCCAGACTGAACATTGGGAAGAGACGCTCATTTTCTTCAAATTCGGCGCTGGATGCTTCCACAAGAGCAAATTCATCGTATTGCTTTCCTCGGGTCCGGCGGCCAGCTGCCCGGTTGTTGTTCGAGGTAAAATCCGCAATTGGCGACGTGCGGCTTAGTGCAGGAAAGTCGTACTCGACTTCGCCGTCCTCCACCATCCGTAGAGTCCACATGTTCACGGTAAGCTTATTTCGATCAATGGCCGGCTCGCGACCTTCTTCCGTATACCGCCAGAGGGCCAACCCAATCGCCTCGACGACGGTGACCGGGGCTGGCTGCTCCGCAAGCTTCGACTCGCGGGCGATTGGCAGGTCCAACGGCTCATCAGGATCAGTAGAGAAAGGCAAGTAGAGCTTGATATTGAGCGCATCAGTCAATCCCCTGCCCGAGAGTACTGCGAACTTCTCAACCGGGTTGGTAGGCGCTTGCTTGCGCGCATTGAGGGCCTTCGATAGCAGACTCACGGGTTGGACCGTGCTAATTGGACGGGGCGGCGGGAGGTCCTGCAGCTCCGGGGCTGGAGTCCGGGACTTGCGAGGAGATGCAGTTTGCGATCCGGCCCCATTCTGCAGCTTATGCATCAATGCTATGGGCGAGGACGAATCCAAACTACCAGTAATCCCGACATTTTCCAAAAGCGAGGTCGAGCCCGCAGTGGCGTCAAATTCCGACGAAAGGGCCGAGCCCACCGACTCTGCGCCGGAGTCCTCTGCTTGCTCGTCCAGCTCTTCAAGGTCTCTGTTTCCCGCCCCGTGCCTATACCTTCTGAGCTCAATTACCTGATCTTGACCGGAGAATTGAATCTGTCTCCTCTTGAAGAGCGACGAGCCAAGATCGTTGTCGGAAGAGAGATCACTGCTCGCCGTCGTAGTTGTATCGCGTCGCGGCCGCTCATTCACGCTGCTAACAGCAGTCCCCAGCGAGCCTGTGCGGTAATGAGTACCCATCGCCGGATGCGATGGCGAGGTGACCATGACCTGGGGCCCCTCCTGGCGATCTGTTGACCGTATTGGAGACGATCCAGCTCTTGTTCGAATGGGCAACTTAGGGAACTTGATCTGGTTGGCCCCACTACAGCAAGTCAGCAATTGAGCCTCTTCCTGTTCATCCCCGGGACATTATATCACCAACCTTGGCGCGCTATCCCCATCATCGTCGCTCTCGTCGCTCAAATCACTACTATCGTCTTCCTCAGGCTCTCGATGCTTCTGATGATCGTTTTGTTGACGATCCCTTCGATGCGCGCGTTTCCCCCTTAAATTCCGGCGTCCAATGATGTCCGTGTTGCCCTTGCCTGTTACCATGCCCCCTTCGTCGTCCTCGCCATCTTCTCCTGTTCCGAGTCTCGCAGACTCATTGGCGTCTCTTGCGATGCCGAGTTGATAATATTCTGAAGCGACTGCAGTGGTGAGCGGAATTGGAGGAGAGTATGTCCGCTTGATATGGGCAGCGGCGGTCTGAGTGTTGGGGTTGGCGGATGCCGACGACCAGCCCGCCGCACGGAAACCGGGAGTGTTAAGCACAGTATTGTTCACGTTAATGAGACGGTCACCAATACCATCCTTAATGGTGGAGAGGTAAGAAGTGCGCAGCTGCCATATCGTGAAACTAAGCCTTTATCAGTCCTGAGACGAACACGGAGTAACCACCATTGTAGATCAGGCGGTGCGGAGGTCGCAATCCTGTAACATACTCTTCATTGTGAAGGAGAGACATTTTTTCCAGAAGGACGCAGAGCGGAATATCGGTAGTATAGGAGTCCGAAGGGTGTGTCGCAGTCCAAAGTGAGCACCATCTATGTCGAACGACGCGAAATCGCTATCGGTTATCGAACGGACATGGTCCTCGACAGCTGTAACAAAGGGGAGTAGAGGGATGCGCCGGACTCGAGCAGCAACAGGTGGGACGAAAAGAGTGTGTTAATATCAGCCAGGACCAGCCTGGATAGCTGCACAATAGGTGGCAGGGAGAGATAGGAAGCAATCAAGCAGGTGAGACCGCAAGGTGGGTTGGGGAGGAAGCAATCAATCTCACCCGAGCGCAGTTACACGGGAGAGGGGGGGGAGATCCCGTGCAGTGGTCGGTCGGCTCTCTCTCCGCACTGCCGCCATTTCACACTAAAGAGGCTTAGCGTCGCGAGGGGAAACAGTCTCGCTTCAGAACTATAAAACAACATGCATAACTAACAGCTCATCTCATCTTAGTGATCGCTGTCACGAGCTACATCGAATGGATCTTAACCTGACTTAACAAAGGGCGATAAACACTGTAAGAATTCATTCACCATCCACGCTACTAATTATGAGAAGCAGTCCTGCAAGTCCTACCATACCCTGCCACATATCAACGGCTCGCTCACGGTATCATACATAGAAGGTTTCACTTCGTGTCAACATCAAGACTTCGCCTTAGGTTTCCGGCCTCGGGGCTTCTTCGGCTTCTCTTCGTCATCGACAGCTTCGTCGTCCGCTGTCTTCTTGGTCTTCTTTCCTTTGCTGGCGCCGCCCTTGGGGGCCGACTTCTTGGGCACTCGGACGTACTTGTCTTTCTTCAGATCAAGTTCCTCCGCCTCATCATCCTCCTTTGACTCTTCAACAACCTCCTCTTCATCCGATTCCTCCAAAGCGTCTTCAAGATCAGGTTTCTCCTTCGCCAGCTTCTTGGGAACCGACACACTGCTTGCCTTGATGAACGGAAGCGGGTGTGAGCGTTGGTTGTAAACTCGCGTGAATGAGGCCTTGGTCTGTGTTTCCAGCTTCACGTTGGACTCGTTCATCGGACCCAATCCCAACTCCACTAGAGCATCCCAGTCTTCCCTCGTAAGGAAGTAACTATCCATGAGATCAATGACGTCCTCAACAGCGTCTTTGCCGTCATCCATCAACGGACGGACCAGTCGATCCCACAGCAGGGGCATGTACTGTTGTCGGATCTCATCTCGGTCGCCTGACGCACGTAGACGCATATGACCCTGAATCTCCTTGACGTAACGCCACAGTTTCCCTGCAAATCTACGTTAGCAACGTGTCAAGCAGACGATCAAGAACCCAAATACCTTGCTTGCTGTTCTGGCCCAGCCAACCAGCAAATACAGGACGTTCCTTGAAGCCTCCATATACAAAGCTGGCGGGTCGGACAAAACTAAAGGCAGCATGGGTAGGCATTAAGCTCCACTGCTGCTGTGTCCCGTGAATCATGCGATCCACAAGATCACCGTCGCTGATACTAGAAGCTGCATTGTCAATCAGCTCGAGTTGCTTCAATTTTTGTTCTCGGCCTTTATACGATGTGGTCAATGTTGGAGTCGTCTTGAGATAATTCTCCTGGACCATCAGATAGCTAAATTCGTGATCGTTGAAGTAAAGTTCGATCTTGTCGTTGAGAGTACTTTTGGACGTGTGGGCGAACATTTGCGGGCCGAGGATCTTGCTAACGATATCCCAAGGCTTAAGAATGATGTGCTTTTCCCATGCTTTCGACATTTCCCGCCCTTTTTCATAATTCAAGTTCTGCTGGTCAAGTTTCACAGTGGAGAGCATATTGATAACTTGGCGAATATCGGAATGGGTCCCTTCAATGAGACCGTCCAGTACTTGGGGCGGTATCTTCAAGCCCTCGCGGAAGCAGATGGTCGAAAGGCGGGCTCTCATCTGGTCTGCAGTCGGACGACGGAATGGAAGGTCATAGACATTGCCCTCAAAGGGCTTCAGCTTCGGGATTTTCCATTCGTTAGAGATGAGAATGAGGGGGATATGAGTCTTCTTCGCGACAGCAACCAGTGCTCCGACACCACCTCTATCGCCGGCAGACATTCCATCAACTTCGTCCATGATAAGAACCAAATTCTTCTTGTCGCTGTTTACCTTTTGCCCCGCGCCTGCAAAGTATCCTTGTAAAGATGTTGTGTCTAACACACCGAGGAGGCCGTTCTCGACAAGCTTCTTACTTCTTGTATCACTCGCGTTCGTCTCAACAACATCGTAACCCTCCAGCTTCGCAACGAGATGAGCTGCAGTTGTCTTTCCAATTCCTGGGGGTCCGTGAATGATTGCAGCTCTGTAGAGACCGCTTCCGTCTTTACCAGGTCGCTTGAAGTTATATTTGGCGTTCTTGTGCCAGTCCCTTAGCCAGTTGTGAAGTCTCTCGACTGGGGCTTTGTTGCCACAAATCATATTGATCGAGGTTGGCGCGTATTTGGTCGTCCAGAGCTGATCGTCAACTTTGGGGCCTTGAGAGCTTTGGGGCGCTTGAGATCCCGAAGGCGTGGCTTTACTCGAGGCACGAGCGGTCATTTCCTTGCGCTTCTCTTCCTTGTCAATCTCGGCGGCCATCTCCTTCACTTTAGCTTCGTCCGCTTTTCTCTTCGCTTCGTATTTCTCTCCGGCCTTCCCGTCGCCTCCATTCGCTGGAAGTCGTCGAATAAGTTCAAATAATCCCTCTTCATTAATTGTCTTGATCTTGTGTTGTTGTATTGTCTGGAGTTTCTTGGGTCCAGCATCTGCTCCTAAAACGACATAATTCGTTTTCGAACTAGGTGCTGTCGTCACTTTTCCGCCGTACTTCTTGACCAGAGTTTGACCCTCCTCGCGACCCAAAGTGTCCAAAAGACCAGTGAAGACAAATGACAGTCCAGCGAGACAATTCTCCGCTCCGACTGGCATCTCGACACTTCCGCCCACGGGTGACCTTGAACGCTGTGCTTGTGCAGCGTAGTTGAACTTCTTCTTTTCTCCTGACTGTGGCGGAGGGGACGGAGGTCTGATGGTCGGAATGCTGTCAAAGATATCCTGTATTTCCTTACTCTCAGGTCGATCAGTCTTCGTAGGAGAGGCTCGTGGTTTCTTTGGGGCATGCGATGCCGCCTTCACTTTTGCCGCATCTTTCTTAGAACCGCTCCCGAACTCGAGATCGTCGTCTTTGTCCAAGGCTTCCGACTTGCGTTTCCGAGCCGTACGGGAGGTAGTTGCCTGCGCCGCGCGCGAGGAGCGCTTGGGCAAATCTTCCATTACCACATCGTCATCGTCATCGTCATCCGACACAGCAGCAGGTGCCTTTCTACCCCGTCCCCCTCTTTTTGCCGGGCTGGCAGGTTTCACGGCGAGTTCCTCGAAATCGTCATCGTTACCATCCTTCTCATCCTCCTCGACATAGTCGTCGTCGCCCTTGCCTGCCTTTTTGTATTCTGTCGCGAAAATGTCGTCGCCGCCCAGCTCCTCGTCGTCATCTGCAACAGTGATCGTCTTCCGGGTAGACGCGCGGGAAGCTCTCTTAGGAGTACTCTGAGTCTCTGCGCGTGTCTTGGGCTTCGGGGATTTATCCGCCGTCTCGGCTGGGACCGGCTGTGACGGTTTCGTTGTGGTCACATTGTTGCTCTTCGCGGGCCCTCCTCGCTTCTTGCTGGAAGCAAAGTAATCCGAAGTAGAGGTCGGTTCTCCTTGTGACGCTTCGGGTTTACTATTTCCAAGTGTCACTCAGCGAATGTGAAGGAAGGAGGCTAGGATCAACGTACGGCTTGCGTGTTGCTTTCGCCTTAGGGCTCGCAGCCTTTACCTCCGTAACCTCTTCATCATCACTGTCATCGACGACCTTTCTAGTACCTATGGGCTGGTCAATGAAAGATATGCGAGATGACACCATAGATCTTACGCTTCTTGCGAGTAGAAGGCTCCTTGTGGCGGATTGAAGTCAGTTTATGGTATCGGAGCGTGAGACGCGACAGGTCTAGGGATATGCGAGCTCGGCCGTCGACGTACCTCTTTCTTCGCAGCCGGCTTCGCGGGAGACGGGTTTGAGCCTTGGCTGGACTTCGCGCCAAAGAAGCTCCGGATATCAGCAGGCATGATGATGAATCAGTGCTGGAGCGTGCACAAAGTGTGAGGTAAGGCTCTCTGAGCAAGCTATAAAAAAATCCAGAGAGGGCCTACGGAGTATACTCCAGGCAACAAGGTCGAAATTGGAGGCCTTCACCAACTTATCGCCGCAAGCCAACTCCAGCAGACACGGACGCGCCCTGCCTGCAGCTATGCCGACGTGACTTAATTAGCTTACATAAGTCCGTGAGCGCGGGTGGCACGTGCACAGCACTTTCTACCCGTTTGGGCAATGGGGGATCGGGCCTGCAGATACGCCGATAACCTGAAAGTCTGCCCGGGAGTCATTCAAACATACGTCGGATTTCCAAGTGGTGAAAGGGGCCATTTGTTCGATAATTGACAATGGGTCCTCAGATCAAGATGTTCTCCGGGCCTCAAATGGCCCTTTTCCGGCCTTCCTGTGAGACCTCCGCGCTGCCTCCAGAGTTTTTTCTTCCTGTGGTCGTGAAACTCTCTTCCAGAATCCTCTGACGGAGGAAAACTGACACCGATGCCATACAACAGGCTTCTCAACACCTTGCACAGCGATCCCTCTCTCGCGATGCTTCTCGACGACCTCGCCCGCCCTCGATTGGCTTACTCCCAAGTACATGGAGACGTCGAAGTCCCCGAAGGGTCGCCCGCATGTCGCGACCGGTGGTTCTTCGCGCGGTACGACTGTCGTCTGGGGTGACTATGGCTTGCGGATGAAGGATCATGACCGTCGACTGCCCGCCGCTTCGCTCAAGATCGCCGAGGAAACCATCAAGAGACGTCTCAGGGGTATGAACTATTCGCTATACAAGCGCGTGAGCGCAAACATCGGTGTCTACACCAAGGGTAACGAGCAGCGTATGGGTAAGGGTAAGGGAAAGTTCGACTACTGGACGGCAAAGGTCGCCGTGAGCAGAATCGTCTTTGAGCTCAAGGGCGATCTGCACGAGAAGGTTGCCCGGGAAGCTTTCCGTTTGGCCGGCCACAAGCTGCCCGGTAGGTCCATGATCACATTGAGAAGAACCGTCAATCGATGGCTTAAAATACTGATACATCGATTACAAACAGGACTTTGGGAATTCGTGAAGAAGGGCGAGCCCCCAGTGGTCGGAATCACAAAACTCGGCAACGGCGTGACCCTGGAGAGCCTCAAACGTGCCCGCAGAAGCCCGGCCCTGGGTACTGAGAGCCTACCTAACCCGCCGAAATCAACCTCCTCCAGCCCATCCGCTTCTCAATAAATAAAGCAAACGCCTTTTCGATTTGGAAATTATGTTCATTACCCTAGTTCTGCTCCCTTATATCGTGGCACCCTAAGCCCCAACACCCGAGCCAGGCCCATATCCCTGTTCTCTCCTGATCTTCGCCGCCAGCGCGGCAGCCTCCTCTGGGGTCTCAGGCTTCGAATCTTGTTTGTACATTATCATCAGCCATCCATATTCTGCTTGTTGCGATTATTCGCAGGTGCCGATGTCTCTTTATTCATATGCGGAGTTCATATCAAATTGAAAGGAAATGGGAAACCCGGAAAAAGAGAGTTCAAACTGTACCTTTATCCACGACGCCCGAAAGTCCCGACGTAGCTTCCCCTTTCTCGAGCTGCCTCGCCAGCGGGGTATCTCGAAATTGCTCATTGTCTTTGACATCATCGTCTCCGAGAATCGGATTATATTCACTCCTCGTGTGCTCGCAGTGACCTACGATACAGAGCGTGAGCCACGGCTAGTAACCCTCTTGAATGAGCAGCAGAACATACCACCTAGTTGACCCGTCTGCTTCTTCGGGGTCTCTGTAAAATACCGAATCGACTCATACCTACAGCCCAGGTTAGCATGGCCATTGCTTTCCTCCAAAACCGCGAAACCTATAGCGCACGTACTGGGTATTTTCACCACCGGGCTCGATATCCATGAGGTTTGGGTTCGACATGATCTAGTGCTGATGATCAGATGAAGTAGGAATTGAGGTTATGGTCGTAAGATTGCTCCTTTGAGGCACTTATTGCAATTGTTGATTCTCGAAATGATAATCGAGAAACGGGTGGGAGGTGGGTGATATGTATACGAGCTATGACGTAGTCGAGTCGCAGACCCAGTTGACCAAGATCAGCAATGAATATGCCAATGCGGTACTACCGCTCCTTGAAGCCCCATCCATACCAGTCAGTCATCGATAATGCTGCAGATTACTCTCTAGTCAAGAGGTTGTTTGTATCAGGCTAGCGCCTTCACAGAAGCGTCATCTTGAGGCTACCCCTGTCGAACCGTCGCACTCGTGAAGCTTAACCTACGTTATGTCCTGCGCAGAACAAGTGGCAAAATAAGCCCCAGCTTGCAGTCTATTGAAGACAACTTTTTCTACTGTACTGCGAAACGCCTTAGCCGCAGGAAGTAATGGCCCGTTATTGTACAATTAATTCATTAATCATCCATTGTTTGTTATACTTTATCCCCCCTAAAACTCCATGCCCATGAGGTAACTACATATCATGTCAGCAATGACTTCGATGGTTTTCACTGCTATGGGGGTATACGAACCTTTCGTAAATACGCATAAACTTGGCAACGAATGCTTCGAGATGGAAGATCAATTTCTGCGGGGCGAAGTTAACGCTTGATCAGCCGCGGGATTATTCAAGGAAGTTGGGACTCACGCTGCCCTGTGTGATTCTGTGCTCATAGAATGCCGACCATTTAACGACATCGGGCTTGAGAGCATCGTCGACTTTCGCGATCAGCTGGAAGGTTAAGGTCTATGATGCCGTTAGCTAGGGCCTTTCGCAAGGGAGTAGTCGAGCCCGCTGAGAAATCCAACCTTGATGATGGTCGTAGCCGGTATACAATGCGTCAGCAGATCGTACAGACGCGCGCGGACTCGCAATAACTGAGCCGGCGATCGCTCTGCCAGGATCTCGTCTGCAGTTACGGCGATTAGAGCTTCCCAGTCCGGAGGTGGGATCGGCGTGTTGTCCGTGACTTTCTCACTACAGTTTCCCAGAACCGATGCTGTCAGCCTGAGGTACCGGAACCACAAAGGAAAATCATGGGAGGTGGGAAGGGGGGAAGCCCTTACTTCTGAGCGTAAATGGCCTCAAACATCAGCAGCGCGCGGCGCAGATTCCGCCCACTCTCCTTCGCGATCCTTTGGTTCAGCCCATCGGCCTCGGGCCACCCCTCCTTCTTACCCACCCATCTCAACGCCGAACAGATATCCTTCTCGCTGGGCGCCGCGACCCTGACCAGCAGGGTACGGGACCGAATGGGGGCGATGATGTTGGAGGTGCTGTTCGCGAGGAGGATCAGACGTAGGTTGGGGCTGTATTTCTCCATGGTGCGGCGGAGCGCGGCCTGCGCATCACGCGTCAGGTGATCGGCCTCGTTGATCACCACCACCTTGAAGCGCTGCTTCGCCGAGAGGTCGACCTGCTGCGTCTGCGCGATCTCCTTCAGCAGCTCCTGGACGACGACCCGGTCGTAGTTGCCCACATCGGACGGGGTGATCTCTAGGTGGTAGACCGAGGAGACAATGTTGAATTCCAGTTTGCGGTTGCTGGTCGTCTGGAAGACTCGGGCGTCGATCTTGATCTTCTCCACTCCGGGGCCGTACAGTTCTTTCAAGGTCGCGATTGTGCGTGTTTTCTTGCCTGCTCCTGACGGTCCGTAGATGAGTAGGTGTGGGAAGTCGCCGCTTTGTGCCTAAGCATTTCAGGTGGTCAGTATGCGAACGAGTCTCGTGGTGATGTTTGCGGGACTTCTCCAGTTTGCATGTACCAGGGACTTTAGTCGTGCAGACAGCTCTGGATGATATGACAGATTGTCTAGCGAGCGCGGCCGGTGTTTGTCCACTAGCAAGGCCATGTTGACTGATTCTTCTCAGGCTCCAGAAATATTTGTGAGGGTGTTGAGCTACTGTGTTGCCGCCATATAATCCCGCCTTGGAAGCTAATGGGTGGCCGACGCGTCGATTTGGGACCGTGACACGCGAGCTTAATTGATGCTCCGTGCACTACGCTGACTATGCGGTGTTCCTGACCAATAGGAGCAATGCCTGCGTCTTCCGCACTTGCCGGCCCTGCTGCCTCAGGCATTTAAGTTGCATTGTTCCCTTCAATCAAGGATTTGCATAAAATGAATCGGATTCTCTTGCATTACTGAATTAGTTCTAAGTTTGCAAATGGAAGTAAAAGGTGAGCGTGACAAGCAGAAGTACCAGCATTTATAATCCAAGTTGTTTGATAATACAAATATAAGGCTTCCACTCATATTTTACACGTACTGGTGAGTCTTTGTATATACATCTCTATAGTACAATAGTCCAATAGACGCCAGGAGCTATCCGCCATGATAAGTTCAAGAATATTTGCTAGGAAGGGAGATGAGTTCTTCGTAGGGATGAGTGAGTTGATCATCGACTGATCCTGTTATAACCCACTCAACTACAGGTAGCCAAAAAAAAGGGGGCTGTAGTGGTGACATGTTCGACACAAGCTACGTTTCGCGGGCATGGGCGTGGAAAGACTAGGCCCGTGTCAACATATTGGAATGGCCGAGGACATCAAGATGTCTTTAGGCCGATGGCAATGGTTTAAGGACCCCGTTATCATCGTATCGTGCCTCTGTTCGATATTAGCGATCTACACACACTGTCGCGATAGAGGTAAAGCTTACTGAAGAAAGTGTATGACAAAGTAATAGTGTCGATGCCTTTCATGGCCGGATCCGTGACGAAGTCAGGGTCGATGAAGAAGAAGACCGGCATATCGACCGACTCTCCTGCGTTCAGTTTCTGCTCGTCAAAGCAGAAGCATTGAATCTTGCTGAAATAAGGAGCGACCTGGCCAGGAGTCACACTGTACGTCGCAACACCAATGATGTCGGTTGGACCCTTGTTCGTAGCTGTGAAAAAGGCAAGCGCGGTTTCTCCCGGAAGCACCCGGACCTCACGCTGCTGCGGAGTGAACTTCCAGGGCAAGACATCCGACACCGATCCGTTGAAGGTAATTCTAAGGCGACGTGCGTCTGTCACGGGCTTAACGCGAGATGCGGTGTCATTGTCGCCGCCACGATGGGTGGTTGATGGTTGACCGTTCCAGCCAGTTTGCTGACAGATCTATATAGAAATCCGAATGCATTAATGAGATGTACGGACGAGGCATCTAATTGGAGAGATTAAACGAACCATTTTGTACAAAGGAACGGAGCCATAGGCAAGAGCAACGGTGCCGAGAATTATACTCAGCGTATAATACCTATTAAATCATAAGTAAGGGCGCCATATGAAGGGTTCCAAGCCCACATACAGAGTAGATGCATTGCGCTTTTGCGATTGAGGCGTATTGAAGGGAGCGTTAATATTCTGTCGTAAAGCTGAATTGCGTGAGAAGAACCGCCTTCCCGTGTCCATGCATCTCGGAGTAGTATGGGCAGAGAGACGAAGATTCAATCCCGGCGATGGGAGCCGGCCCCATGAGGATATCGAACGAGAGAACATAGTATTGAGTAGATGTGTTGCGGGGATAGACATGAACCTACCCAGCATCAACTCTAGACTCGACAGGGTGCTTGTCGCACGTGACTCATAAGTCTCAGATAAGGGTGGTCTGATCATGTGGTGATAATTATTCTGCCACCGCCATTTCTGAGCAGTTTCGCCATTTGGACTTACGAAGCTGTGCCCCTCTTAAATCCGCTTAATTCCGGTGAGGCGATTTCCCTCCGAGTTTTGCGAGCATTCTGCCGACTAAGGCGTAAGATAAGGCGGTCTACACGTAATGCTCATCTATAGCTTTTTTATCTGGAAACCTAAGTACTCCCCATTTTATCATCTTACCTGTGAAGGAATCTTCTAAAAACGAATCCGACATTGTGCTATTGTCTTAAGTCCTCGACATCTTGAGAAGCCATTCTATTAGTAAAATGGGCATGTCGATATCAGATTAAAGGGAAGCCCCGCGAACTGCACGTTGCCAAGTTTATACAAACTGCCTGAGTTCTGGCTTTCACCTTCAGCAGGCGCTTGTAATAATGATCCCAATAACCATAAGATCGCCATATCTCCGATCATGTGAGGGCGCTAGTTCTTTATGCCACAGGTCACCGTGCCTTGCCAAACCTCAGATGAGTCGTAGGCAGACTGTTGGCGCCCAACATTATTCCTATATATCCCTCACTTGCTTCTGGGCTTGATATAGGTATCATCATTGCGCCAGTTCTCGTTCCCAATGCTTGCCCTATGGCTGACTGACATAATCGAGTCTCTCGGTTTGACGATACGCGCCTGAACGCCAGAAGTTGCTCATGCGCGTTCACCTCAAAATACTTGCTGCTACCCTTCCAAAGACACCTCGGACCATCTCGGGACTCTCTTGTGTGCATGTCAGAAGAACAGCAGCACTGATAGCGAAGACGATGCGTTCCCGGTACAGATACTATCAGACAAATAGAAGCTGTCAGCAAGAGATCTAAGGATCCAGGGTAGCCCAGAATCGGGATGACGGATGGAACAACGGGGGTGGTGTAACCATCCTCGACCCAAACGGCCGAACGCTTTGACCAAATCGATTAAGCTTACCTTCTTATCATAGTACCTGGGCAGGACAGTTGCTGCGGCTCTGGGTGCTACAAAAAATGCGATTTCTTGCCGTCTCTGCGCACTCTCAATGAGTATACTCCACCCGCACATGAGACATCCCGCGCCAACGCAAAGGCCAGAATCCCACATCAAGGGTGTTATTGTGTCACGAGAAAATAACCTGGGGCCTAGCCTCGTTCTGGCGAGACACACTGAGTAATAGAAAATACTGACGAACGAGGCAAGAAACGCAGATGAGCGCAAGGCGGTAGACAGGGCGTGCTTGAGTGACGACATTGACTTCAGTTTCCACAGGCGCAGGAGAACCTGCAACGGAATGTAAGTTGCACAAGCAAGCTTGAACGTTCGAGTAAATCTAGATACTGCGTGTTTCTCACAGCTCGGACCACATCCCATGTGGACCATCTCACACGGTATAGGGACAGTCCTTGACGGGTCACCCCAGCCAAGGGGCCAACCGTAGTCTTTGCACATGGATTGAAGCAGAGGCGCCTGTCCAGTGTCTTTTCCATAAACTAGGACACCTCTCCTCGCACGACGAAGTGCATCGATCAATCTAGAGTCAACTTCTGCTACTTCTCCAATCCACTTTTCATAAGACCTTGGTAGTCTTTCCGGCATATAGAACCATGCCCACATGACAACCGCCGCACTGGCGGCGAAAACACCAGAATTGGCAAAATCGGGAGCTACATGCTCTAGCCAGGTCCAGCGGTTTCTTGCTTTCCGCCTCCGCTGCCATTGCAGCCACGCCATGCACACAATCGAGTCTGCCGCGCGTGTGAGGCTGAAGAGTGTAAGATCCAGGCTTCGGCCCACAAGCTGAGGGCTGACACTCGTCGATTCTCTGTTTGTTGGTGGTTCCATAGGGCTTTGCAGTGAGGTGCAACCCCCAGACTCCGGTTGGATACTTTGTAGTCTTATGGGCTTCTTATTCAGGAGTCGAAATGAACACCAAGCACATAAGAACGCCGACACGAAACGTACTACCCGCAAGAGCTGTGGGGCGTACACAGAATTGTAATTAAGCTTGAACTTGCGACATGCATGCTCAAGACAGTGCAAAAGCACTGAGGGAGCAAGAGTCGAACCTCCAATCAGGAGAGCACAAAATGTGGGAAAACTCTCGAGTCGTAACGCACTCGTCAACGCTTGGAGCAGCTGTTTGAATCACGATGAGCTATTGGTCTTCAGAGTGATACGACCGGAAATCACCAAGAGCTCAAATGGACAGCACACACCATTTGGTGTAACATCAACAACCCCACCCGAAGGAGAAAACAGGGGGAGCTTCTTACCTCTTTCAGCTTGTCTTCATTGCTGAGACGATTATCGCGGAGGTGCCGGAGACAGGATAGAACCTTTGGTGTGGTCGACGATAGGTATCCAAGAGCATAGGCCCGCAGTATCCTTTTACAGTTAACTTACTATGACAAAAGAGAAACCGAGTCCATTTCAATCAAATAGTACGTACAGTTTTAGGGTCTGAAATCTGCTGCGGTGGAGGTAGCGGATGGCACCCGGGTCCATGGTGTCCGAAGCTCACCGTTTATGACTCTTTCGCAGTAGACTTTTGACCAATACAGTCTATCGATTGTCGTCAGACAGAAGCTTCATTCCATTTGATCACCAGTGGCGGTCAAACAATTGACTTCTCGACGAACCTGTGAGGGGATGAGTCTGCCTCAAGATTGGACTGAGACATTACACAAAGTTGGGAATCTAAGGCATTGAGTGCTGGCACAAACGCTTTGATCTGCGGCGATAACCACAAAGCTCTGTGCTCCACAACAACCTTTCATAGGATTCCCCGCGGGATCCGTGCGACGTAGACAAAGGCCTCGGTTCTGGCAGACACGAGGAGAGGGTACTGCTAGGGCTGGGTCAGGGGTAATGATTACTCGGTAATCAACGACGATCCCCGTTGCTGCTTGGACCAAACTTGGGGCCTTTGCAGCATCACCCGTGGATCTATAAGAAGGATATCAGAGAAAAGCAATGATCGAGAATCTAGAAGCTCAGACTCAGATCTCTTGTCCCACGGCTAGATTGGTCGAATTGTGAGGTGAACACGTTTTGATTATTGAATGGGAGTCTGCAGCAATCAATTAATATTAATCAATATTCGAGTTAGAAGAGTTAGGAACAGTAGAAAGAGTAGACGACGGAATGGGAAATTGGGCCGAGACTAAGTATGTCGTACCGAAACATTACTGCGCTCTTGCCCAAATGCTCAGCCAGAGTGTGGTATTTGACGTATTACCGTTACGTCACGCGACCTCCGGTTGAGCGCGAGATTTTTTGCATGTGATCGACTCATAAAGACCGAACGGATTCCATGCTCTCTTTCTCTCTTTCTCTTACTCTAGTCGGAAGAGAGATCTCTCCACTATCGAAGCTATCTTATCCCCAAATTCCGCCCCCGTCTATCCTTCCTTTACTCTATCCAGCGAATCAATGTGGGAGATGTCCCACTTCGCAACCGAGTGCTTCCGCTTCACCACTGCTTTGCTCCATACATAACCCGCTGGTCATTCTGTCACCCGGACTAGCCCCGTATCAAAGTTGAGTAGCTGTCTGTTGACAGTGACTGTCCGCAACGCAACATTCAGCTCGTGTCTGTGAGCTTCTGGCTTGCGATTCCCGAGTATTCCCGGGCATCCTTCCCACCGCAATCTACACTGGTCAAGGCATGTTCGCGCTGCCTTCGGCGCTGCTCTCAACTGGAGTAGCAACCGCTGTGGAAGCTTGAATTGCGATTTCCAACCCTCGACCCTCTTTCACTCTACATCTCGCCGTCATGGATCTACGAAACCATGAGGCGCATAATGGCAATGACAGCCCACAGCCTGGCCCGTTTGGTTGTATGTTCAACAATCCTGATATTGTTACCGCGCTCGTGCTAATGATGTATGCGCCTACAGATTCCTTCCTTTCACCCATGGACACCCCATACGAACCTGCGCCTGCACGACCCCCCGGGCCCGCTCTTCTCGATGACAACGAGTCCACTATGCTAGACAATTTCTTCACCACGATGAATTCCAACCATTTCCCAAACGACTTTTGGATGGGAGGCCAGACAAATCGACTACTCGGAACTAGCGGGTTAGATTGGCCAGGCGAACTTCCCCCCACCTTCGAGGGCTCCACGACATCTCTTTCACAGCCGAACCTCCCCCATGGCAGTATGGACAAGTCTAGCATGGAGATGATGCCACAGAATATAAGTACAAGTTCGGATATCTTTGCGGCTGCCTCCATGCTCTATCATAACGGACTCAACACAGCCGACTTCAACTCGAGCTTCAACCACCACAATCTCTCCGCTCCAGACTTGGATTTCAACAATCCAAGAACGAATGGCCACAGCAAGGCTCAAGCGCATAGCAGTCATGGCCAGTCAAAGCAGCCGTCTCGTCCCCGCATGCCCGTGGGTTTCCACACCTCCGAAATGCTGTTCGATGTTCGTGAGCCGATCTCACCTGAACAACAAGTAACGGCCAAGGTACGACCCCTCCATTGGGGCTCAGATGTTGGCTTTATGGGGCAAGGTTATATGGCGCCACCTGATCAACCGAATGAAGAAGATCGAACCAAGGAGCTGCTCGGCCACCTGGTATGCCTTGAACCGCAAAGCAGTGCAACGAACACTCGTGCGCCTAGTCCAGTGAGGCTCTCTGGAGGCTACGACGCCCCGTGGGCGGACGCCGCTGCAGCTGGCCAACTAAGTAATCTACGACGAGGCTATCGAGATAATGTGGAAGATCTCGCACAGCCAAAGAAGAAACAAAGGACTTTGGTCAAAGAGGAAGATGACGAGACTTCGGACGATGATACTTCAAGGCAGAAAGCCAAGAAGTCGAAGTCCTCAACTCGCCGGCTGTCGCAGGACACTATTCAAAATCGAAGGCTTTCCTCAGGGCCAAAGCCTGCACGAGAGAACCTAACTGAAGAGCAGAAAAGAAGCAATCACATTCTCTCAGAGCAGAAGCGACGAAACCTCATTCGACAAGGGTTCGAAGACTTGTGCATGCTCGTTCCTGGACTCAAAGGGGGCGGATTCAGTAAAAGCGCGATGTTGACCCAGGCCGCCGATTGGTTAGAGGAGGTGCTCCAAGGGAATGATATCCTCAAAGCGCAGCTCGCAGAGATGAAGTCAATGAATGGCTTGGTAATGCCACGATGACACTCGCTTAAGTTATGTGATCACGATATATCCTTATTAATCTCCAGGATTTTGTTCAAAAGCATGGGTTCGTATTTCAACCTATTTGTACATTGGAGCACTTAAGCGGTCTTCCAGCCATCTTCCAGATGGAACTGCGGGCGTTCGTCTCTAACGGTCATGATTCAAAACATTTTTTTTTTGCTCTGGCGAGTCTCATCAAGGGAGGCTCGGCTTGCTCGTCTGTCGCATGTCGTGCACCATACCCATAATACCCCATCTGGCCTTTGCTTATCGCCACAATTATATACGATTATAGTCGATGCATGTATAACTATATAGCCAAAATCTCGAAAAACTTAACAACATTGATTGAAATGAACTAATGAATATCATATGCTACAGTGTCCAGAAATGCCTCAGTGAAGGAATGTTCAAGATAAAGAACTTCAGAACACATACTCTTCTTAGCCACGGTGCTATTTATGAAATACAACAGTAGGGCTAGTCTAGACTCGATTTAGGACACACTGGTTTGTCATTGGCTTATCGAAGAAATTCCTTCTACTGTAAGCTCTACAGATGCCAGCCAGCATAATCCGCATGCTAAGACTTTAAACAGGGTGGCTATTTACTAGTATATCATAACCGCGAAAATGTAGTCGAAAGTGAAGATATATAAGTTTTCGAAGATGGGGCCGTGCTCGAGATTTCAGCACAACGAATTCAATATCCATGGTATTTATACTGAATCTCGACCATACTTATTCGAGCAGTACTCATTGCGGAAGTGCACCGAAATTAGGGATGATGCCTTATACACTGTATGTAAATAGCGGGGTGCTCCGCAAAGCCAAATAGGCTTAGCCTCTTGAGTCGGTCATTGGCATGTCTGAGGGAGATCATCATGTGATCATGTATCCGTCCCCGTTTGTTGTTGATCTGGGTCCGGGCAACAGTCCGATAAAAGGAACCATCAAGCCAGCCCGGCCCAATGTAACAGCCATCAATTGCAACTACCGACCACCGTTCGGAGCTTGACACAATAACGAATCGAGGAGAGTAATCACGAGCATCAGCCGATATCATGCCTCCTCCGAAACGAAAGCGTGCAAGCCATGCGCCCGACCATGACAACAATGCACGCAACAAGCGATTCGCCTACCTCAAGCCTCAAGTCAGGCAGGTCTCCGAGAGGACGATCAAGAGCAAATGGTCGACACTCCCCGAACCCGTTCAGGACAAAGTTCGCGATATGTTCCGAGCCCTCGAGCGACCTGTCATCATGCGACAGCAGAATGAGAGCAAGCGCATCGAAGCGCAGGCAGCCGTGCAAGCCGTTGTAAAGAAGTACCGCCCCCCTGAACACATGCTATCGAACACGGGAAGGCGACTGACACATTATGTCCTCTTTTAGTCTGGCAAAACGACTGCCGCGGATGCCGTTCCCCCCCATTGCGAAAGACTCCGTCTTCGAGTATGAAGCAGCTCTCAAAGAACATGTAGGGCGAATCCACCAGATATCGGTCTATTCTAGAATTGGTCTGACATAAGTGTGTTTAGTGCTCATTAGAGGCTGCGTTAGCTACGACGAATGATAGTATCGATTTGTTGAAGATTGAGGTAGAGAAGGAGGAGGCGCTACTTGAGAAAGAGAGAAAACAACTCCAGGAAATGGAGAGGAACGCAAAGGGTGTTGAATCAGAAAGGAAGAGACAGATGAAGAATGTAAGGACACGGTTCACTGATAGCAAGTCCTCACCGCTGACATCTGACTTTCTACCAGGAGCACCCGGTGCTACGGCAGCTGAGCAACGTTCCTGAAGAGCATGATCAAACCAAGGGCGGGTTTACCATCGCAAATGAAAAAGAGACAAACGTTATGTTTGACGAGGTAAAGAGCCTACTTCGAATCGCACAATTCTCTTACTAACAGTTTACATCTAGCTTGAGGCCGATCCAGAGATTCTTGGTCTACTGAAACAGTTGAACGGCCATCTCAAGTCGATGCAGAATAACACGGCACCAGTGACTGGCTTGAGAGATGCAGTTGCAAGATCTCAAGCCGCGCTGAGCTTAACTTTTATGCCCGAAGACTGAAGCAGTTTTGAGAACCCAAGCTTAACTTCCCTACGTGCAGCTTATGCTGCTCATACCACGGCTGATCATCTGAAGACAGCACAGCGAAGACTGTAGCCCATTACGGACCAGGGGGCATCGGAACACCAAGGCAGTGATCAGGCGATCTGAAATCTAAGATGTGCCCCAACGGCACGATCAAAGGGCGTGTTTGCGTGGGCTGACGCAAGTAACCCGCATGCATGCCCTTCGTGCGAAAGCGCCGGCTGTCTAATTAGATGCTTCGCATATGCTTACATTCCACATTCATGCCAGACACAGATCATATCGAGTCTTCCATACCTGGGTCGGTGGAAATTACTCGAGTAACGCTTGATGGAGGTATGTGTTTTATAACTGGGGCGCAACAGAACAATGAGTCATGGAAGGCATTGCGGGCTTAACCTTGCCAAGTGCAATCGAAATCTTTGCTAGTTGAACTAATTGACATAGACCATACTATTTAAGGCATAATCCACGTGCTCTGGCTGTACTGTATATTACGATAAGCATGAATCATGCAATCTGTTGCAAGGATTCCACCCAGACGCGGTCTGAGCTTGACAGGGTTTTCTTGTTCGTATGAGGTATTTAAGTCCAGTTAGTAAATGTTAGATGCAGCAGTCTCGCTTCTGCGGTAGTTGAGGGATTAATCACTAGTTAGTGTGGCACATGGCTGTGGCTCCAGGGCCAAGTCTTTCCCGAGGCTGACAGATTAGCCGCCCGCCGCCTTTCTTCCCCCCAATGCGGAGGAGCCCGGGAATTCAAAGATCAAAGTCCCGCTCCAGCGGGGAACTTCGATGAGCCGATCGCAATCGCGCGCATCCTCGCAATCTCTAGTTACAGATCAACGCCGCAACAAAAGAAACCGAACTCCGTTTTCTGCCCACACGCGCCCGTGCTTCCGAACGCCTGCCACTTGCAACTTCCCCTAGCGCATCCCGAGCCAGTCCAAATAATTAAAGTCAGCATCGATCCGGATCTTACGCAACGGTTTTGCGCCCAGCGATCAATGACGGAGCAAAGCGCAGCGCAACCGGGTACAGGCCCTGAACACCAACCGAGCAACGGGACGGCCGACAAGTTGCGTTCTAGCATACCGGAGGGGGAACATACGCGGAACGATGCCAATGTGAAGGAGGAATCTCAGAGTACACAGGGCCCCAAATCTGAAATGGCTGCGGTGGGGGCTCACTCTAGCCCGAAGAAGCGCCGCAAGGTGAATCACGGTGAGTAGACAGCCTCCTCTGCCATGGGACTCTGGTAGGGTGACGGTGGGAATCTCTGGTTCATCTTGCCATTATCATATGATCGCGTCGCAAATCACTAATTCGAAATGACTGTTAGCATGCGTTTACTGTCGGCGATCGGTAAGCCACTCTCACATGCGGCAGTCATTCAACATCCCCAGATCTCAACTGGAGCGGCATCTCGTTCTTGCGAGCAGTTCTGTTGATGTTAAAGAAGAGGTTCACTTGCTAACAGGAGGACGCTCCACGTGGCACAGCATATGACTTGCGACTCGGTACGACCTTCTTGAACGTTGTTCCTTCCAACACCCTTGTGAAACCTCTTGCTTAGGGTGTTTCCCAAGATTTCGGCTTACTGACTTGAGCGATTGTAAAATATAGGAACGACCTTGTACACGATGTATAAAGCGGAATATCGGCCACTTGTGCCACGATGAACCTAGAGAGTCTTCCAAACGGTCCCGGAGCGAGAACGAACATTCGGCTGCGGACGACGAAGCTTCTTCAAACAACGAATATCCATGCATTCAGGGAATGCACAGAACGGTCGATGCCCAGGATGCTGCCGGTCAGCAAATCCTTCCCGATGGGACTATCGGCCTATCGGCCGCCTCCGTGCCTTCTGTGCAGCAGCCTGGGAATATGTCTTCTTCCGGTCAGACGCCTCGATCAAGCCGACTTGGGAAAATAGTACTGATGCATTTAAAACAGTGATGCCTTTCAATGAATGGATTGGCGGACAAAGTCAATTTCAAGACATGCACTCCTTCCATCCTTCGTACATGTTCAATGCGCCCGAGGTCACGAACGAGTACAATCTTCTTGGAGATTTTCTAAGTAACAGTCTTCTTGATGATGGATCTGTTTTCCAGAACGAGGATTTGCATGGAATCTATTCGGACCCGACGTTGATCAACTCAATGGCCACCTTAGGCGGATCGAATGCGTCTATGCTCCAGAATCAACCGCCACAGTCTCAGCAGAATCAGCCAGGTCAGCAAACCCAGGGCGAGCCTGTTCAGGGCCCTGCCCCTGCATTGGGCAACGACAAAGCAAGAGAAACCTATTATATGACTGCAGCAGATCCGTCTGGGTCGGATCCGCCAGAGGAGCGCATGAACAAACTCCTTAAAGCGAAATATGATGCAGGTCTTCTGAGGCCATTCAACTATGTCAAAGGTTATGCGAGACTGAATCAGTACATGGAAAGACACCTTCAGCAAGCGTCCCGGCAAAAAATCCTTCGACAACTGGACAAGTTCCGCCCTAAGTTTCGGGAGAGAATGCAAAGCTTGACTGATATCGAACTTATATTGGTGGAGATGTGGTTTGAACGAAGTCTGATGGAGTACGATCGCGTTTTCGCTAGTATGGCCATCCCTGCTTGCTGCTGGAGACGAACGGGAGAAATATTCCGTGGAAATAAGGAGATGGCAGAGCTGATCGGCGTTCCGATTGAGTCCTTGCGCGATGTGAGTGGTGCCCTTTTCTCTTGAAAAACTTCAATCCTGACATCATATAGGGCAAATTAGCTATCCATGAAATCGTCGTGGAAGACCAGCTTGTGAGCTACTGGGAAAAGTTCGGGGCGATTGCCTTTGATAGTACCCAGAAAGCAATGCTCACAAGCTGCACATTGAAGAATCCTAACTCTACGTCGCCTGGGGACGGTATTCCCTGCTGTTTCTCCTTCACTATCCGGAGAGATAACCACAATATGTGAGTATGCTACAGAAAGATGAAATCCTCAAGACTAATTGCTGTTGGTACAGACCATCCCTCATCATCGGAAACTTCTTACCTTCGCAAAGAAAAGGGAAATGAAGCCCACCTACTTTCTTTTTACTTGCCATTGCGTTCAATTGGGTATTGGGTACGGAGTCAGTCATTTCAACCTTGACATATTGCTTTTGGTACATAGATATCCATTTCTTTGTCATTTTGCTTCACAGGCGCGGTGCTATATCCCCTCCATTCTTATAGCTACCCAGTATGAGAAATGTACCATAATTTGGACTCGAAGTGTGGAATTCGTCATTTGTCCGTTAGAAGTCAGTGCCGTACAGATAAGGACTAGACCGGTCAGGTGGTTGTCCGCCAGATGGGCTATCTCAGTACCACTCTTTCCCAAGTAGCAAGTCACACACGATCTAAGAACAACCATCTCTTTCCGTGGTGCGGTGGGATGCCTTTTCAGTCCAATCATTCATCAGTACACCACTGTGATACGATTCCAGCTGCTATGATGGCAGGAGAGGTCATCCTATGTAAGCGAACAACCGCTCACCGAAGTACAGTATATACTCACCTACCCAAGCGTTCGCCGACGAGATCCAGAAACAAGTCCAAGCCAGCGACTGCGAAGGCCCCGGTCTTCACTTGGACGAAACGACGGGAACCAAGCTGGACCGCTACCTCAGCCAGCTGCCACTCCTCATCGGAACCTCCTCTTCCTCCATACGCCGGCGCTTTGATCATCTAGGCACGGAGCTGTGGAACATTTGCACGCAGCGTATGACAGGCCGCAGCGATCCAACATCACTTGTGCTCTTGTGCAAAGGTACGCGCAGGGTCAGTGCAGGAATCGGATGGTCGAGCTGAGATAATATAGTAAAAGCGCTAGCCTGGGCTATGCTTGACGTCGCCGTCCCAGATCGGAGCCTAGGTACAGTACTTCTCCGTTAGTTTACGGGCTTAGTCTACAAGCCTGCTTACCTTGCTTCAGGAAGTTTCGGAGTCCTAGATGCAGCTTTCAAGCTGGTCAAAGCTTGCACAGGTATTGCCCACAAAACCCATCAGTTGCGGATACTCTTTACTAATGCGAGCTCTAGAGAATGATTGTATCGCTATCAGCTTGAAGGTCATTGAGGCAGTAGCCATACGATTGGATGCGCTCGAACATTCCGAGGCAGATGTCGACAGAGCGAGGTTGCACCGGTGCAACGTGCAGTATTATATGCTTCGGGTCCACTTGGTATGTGCGTCAAGCCACGGAGCACGAAGGGTCAAGTACACTGCTAACGGGGTTCAGGCTTGGCTTCAGGGAAGACCAGACATTGCAGATCATCTATATCTGAGAGTCCCGGAGTCGAGCACCGGTAACCACTGTGTCTTGGATGTGTGTTTCAAAGTTGGGAGCTCAGCGCTTTCAGGCGGCCAGCATGGTATCGCAGCCAAGTGGTTGGAGAGAGGGTGGAAACAATGCAATTTGCTCATCCATGCAGACGGGGAATGTGATGTGGCTTTGAATGATAAAGAGCTTCTGGTTCTTCATGCTTTAGGTGGAGGAATTCTATGTGTTGGTCTGTTCAAGTGCTGATTTGGAATAGTGCGCGCGAATGTCCACCTTGATACGCATGATTCAAGGGCTACCCTTGCGAAGGGCGTCGAGCGCTTGACTGTTGTGAGTGACTTGACTTTCTGTAATGCTCCTATACTTACCATATGGTCAGCGGTACGGCCATCTGTTCTCAGTTCGTCTTCTCGAGCTTGAAGCACTCACACGAGCGGACGTGGATATGGAACTTTACTTTCAAGGCGAGATATGCAATATACAGGATTACAGAAACAGTCTGCCACTAATCCTTTGTTTAGCACTGCAATGTGTCTTTGATGTGATGGGAACATCAGAGAACGGTCTTGATATGTATGTGCTCTCCACTCAAGTCAGAAAGAGTCTCAATGACCTGCGACAGAATCCTTTACTACATCAGCAAGCTTCAGGACTTGTGAGTGGATACTCCAGCAATGCTGCCATGACATCTGACATGAAGCAGTCCAGAGATGCACTTTCAGGCACTGAAGCGGCTTCTGAGAGCGAAGATCGCCGATTCGAGTCCAGATTGCCAGGATCAGATACTTGAGCATGTCCTTGTCAGACTTGTCAGTGTCCTGACAGGTTCACATTTTCCTTCCCAAGCGAGCCTGCAGCATTTCAGAGAGCTTGCGGAGCATCTGAAGCATCACAAGCAAGCAGTCAGCGAAGATGCGCAACAGGGATGCCTGATGGTAATCTTCCAATTCTCAGGCAAGGAGCCATTAGCTGAAAAAGTCAAAGATGACATGGAGATACATAAACCGAGCCATATCCGACCAAGATGTACTATCCGCGCAACAATGGTGCCTTTTCATGCTCGAACAGCCTGTCATATCACTATCATCTAATAATAAGGCTAAGTTGTTCAGGTAAGAGTGTCCGAGAAATCAGCTTATCAAAACTAAGGATGCAACAGAAAACTTCTTCTTTGTGCTTCCGATGAACTGAGCATAGCCGCAGCGGATACTATTTTCAACCGACTGCCTGAAGAATGCAAAACTTGTCCGCCAACATTATATTTAATGTACAAGTTGGCTCTACGAGACAGTGTATCGACTTCTGGTAACCGTGCCTTGCATTTTCTCACTGGGATCCTGACAAGATGCAGGTTCTGTGTACCTTCAATCACTGTTCAAATCCACGAAGGAGTCAATATATATCATTGCCTGTATAGCGGAGGCATTTCGACATGGAAAGATAAACCATGCAAGGCAATGCATCCAGCAGATTCTGTTGAATGAGAAGGACAATCGCTTCAATAAGAAGCCTGGTCGATTGCTACAGTATGGCTCCTATCCCGATTCAGCTATCCCAACTGATGATTACCGTATGTCTATGATCCTTTACTTCGTCACGGAGCTCGATGTCTGCGATCACATGGATGAACAAATAGCTGATGCAATCATATCTGTCTTTGAACTAGGTATGTGATAGATCAAGATTGGACGCAATGATAGCTAACCCATATAGCACTAAAAATCAATCTCAACCAGATGCAAGCAGACACCTTGAGCATCAGCGAATTAAAATGGCTGGCAAAGAAGAGCTACAACACCGCGCTGAGGATGAGCGACTCGACACAAACGGAACGTGTTCTGAACCTCATCGAACTATCTATTAAGGTAGTAAGCTGCGCATCTTGACCCTGCTACGTATATCAGACCTAACAGGCCTAGTTCACAACTCTACATGGACAACAGACCCCTCTCAGCAACTTGAACAACCACTACCTTCTCTGCGAGTTTTTCAAAACAGCCAAGCACATCTCTATTGCACGCCAGACCTCAAACCCGACAGAGAAGGCCAGTCAACACCTTTACCCATCTCAATATCAAGCATCCAGAACCCTAACCAGCCCCCATGCATGCAGACAATCCACTACAGCGCAGCCCATGAATCCAGCTGCGCCTTCCAAGCCAACATTAACTATCTTCATCACCTCTCAAGCTCCAACCCAAGCCCAGCCCGCAACAACCCCTCTCCCACCCCCAACGCATGTCCAGAACCAAATCCAAATCCAACCGCCACCCCATCATCCACAAACTCAGCCAGCCAATCAACCTGGCTGACCAAATACCGCATCGTCCTCGCCCTCGACCTAGAAGCCTCCCTCCACCTCACGAATGACAACAACAGCGCGGGCAACGACAAATGGGCCCACATAACCCAGCTCATCGAACTCTCCTCCCCAATTCTCGACCACACCCTAATCTCAATCTACCTCGATACGCTCCTCCGCGCCGAATCACCCCTCACATACATCGTCCAAACGATCAGGGTACGTACCGGCCCTCAGCCCATTTCCAGAATACATCCCCCTTCCCTCGTCCCAATAGATCCAAACTGAATCCAATGAACCCAAAAGCACCTAATCCGGACAATCCACACCTCCCCATCCCCCTACCTAGACCACCCAACCCTCAACACCAACCTCCCCCGCTACCTGCGTGTGCTGTACCAGCTTTCCCTCGAGACCAAGGACCCTTCAACCGCAGAATCAGTGCTCGACCAGGTCGTGGTCCTCATCCGGGACTGGAAAACGAAATACCCAGCCGAGGAACTGCGGTGGATGGCGTCGGTGGCGTTCAACCGGGCGGTGGATTTCTACCTGGTGGCGGAGGAAGGGGCGTGTCGACGGTGGGCGGGGAAGGCGATTGCGGTGGCGGAACTGATGGCCGGGGAGGATGGCGGTGCGTTGGGGCGGTCTTTGCGGGGTCGATTTGGGAAGTTGAGTGTTGGGCTCGGGGAGGAGGGATGAATCGCCGCAGGGTCGGGGGGTGTGTTGTCACGGTGGATGGGTTCATGGCAGGAGCAATGGATCCAAAGTGGGTGCGTAAGGCTGGTCTACGGTTCAGTATGCTTGCGATGGGAGGAGATTATGGTATTGAGGACGGAGGAGGACGACACGATCATACGCTAAAGGCGTGAGCATGTTAACAGAATAAGATTTGTCATAGGCTCGGTCCGCTAGGGTATTATTTTGAGCTTAGCTAACAGAGCCAGGAAAGAGCAATAGTAAGTAAGGTTGATAGTGCCAGAGGGCAAGAACCGGGAATAGAAGAGAGATATGCTCTCGGTAGTTGCGAATAAGGAGCTGAGAACAATGATTGATCAAGCGAATGAGAAAGGCCATCCTTTGCGCGAAGAAGAGAAAGATATACCAAAGCATAGTATCGAATGTAATGGGAGTGCGACCCCATACGCGCCCCGCGGTGCATGATGGTATGAAACGAGAAATATATCTGCCGAAGGTAGAGGACCAGAGTCGCAACCAAGAAGCAAGCGCGATGGAAGACACTTGTGCCGCTCAGAGCTGAGATATATAAGTCAAGAACGTAATATGATGACTCCAGTATGCATAGGCCCTACTTGTGGGATAGTCTATAACAGTTTGAGGGAGAAAGAAAAGTAGGATATTAGAGGAAGATACGAGCTCCCCAACATGAAACAGGTATGAAAGCAATGGGCCTGCCATTGAACCCCCATCGCTCAATCATCGCCATTCAAGGCGAGGGAAGAAATCTCCGAGGGTGCGCATGAGTCTGTTCGTCGAATCTCTGGCATTGAAGGTAGGCGCTCGGGGTAATATGAGCCTTCGTGAAATTTGCCGATTCTCGAGATCTTTTCGTTTTCCTTACCGCTGCTGTCAGTCTCGTTCTCCAGAGTTCTGTTCCGCGATGACAAGACGCGCAGTGTAAGTTCAAGCTCTGTCTCTAGATCCTTTTGCGTATGTAAATGCTCGGCCGAGTTGATGAGCCTCTTGCGGTAAGCCTTCAATGTCCGACACACTTGTTCAGTAGACATGTCGAGAGCCCCGAGATCGCTTTTACCCATGCTTCTAGCACGAGTCCGGAAGTCCATGGATGAACGGCGAGATTCTTTGCGGCTGCTCACGGCTTTCTTAGCACAGGGGGGTTTTTGTTTGCATAAGGAAGGTGATGCATGAGTCCTTTCCCGATGAATGCTAGAAATAGGAGAACGGCGACTAGTTGTCGACGAAGGTGTTGTCGGGGAAGTACTCCCGGGTTTAGGAGAAGGTGAAAGAGATAGTTTGGCAAATTTACGTAGAAAGGTCGGAGAATGTCCACGCGCAGGCGTCGGAGTGACCGCGACATTTTCTTGTCGCTGAAACTCGGCAATGTCGTTCTTGGACAGCACTTTGCGTAAAGGCGGCCTGAGAGCTGCCGATGCTTTTAATGGGGCGTCATGCTCCTCCTTATTGCCGGTGTGCGTGGGATCCCGAGCTGGTTGAGCAAGCAGCGATAGGTCCCATAACATAACAAGACCATCAATTCCAGAACTGATAAGAAGACGCTCATTTCCATGGTGAGATGACTTTGAGTTCCTCGATAGCAGACAAACATCGCTAACTCCTTCAGTATGTCCGAACTCAGCGGCATGGAGAACGCCTCGTTCTAGGTCGTACACACGGATAGACTTGTCTGAACCCGACACTCCGACGAGCAGTTTTGGCGATTCATGCCCCAGGGCATCAGCAGATATAGCCAGTGAGTTCATGACGACTGTATCAGTTGAATCAGCATCGGTGGCTCGGAACGAATGAGTTTGTCGACCGGAGCTCAGGTCAATGCGTTGGATATAGCGATCCGTTGTAGAGACAACGAGAATGTTCTCGTTTTCTGGTAGTAGTGCCATAGATACTGGCGACGCCTTCAACGTTATCACCTTGGAGACCAGATACGCGAATGCGGACGCGCCGTGGACCCCACGTGTTACGCACTCTCTAATATGAATCGTGCGATCAGCGGAGCATGAGAGCAGCCGCTGTCCATCATTTATGAACATGATTTGACTGACAGCTCCAACGTGGTCGTCCATAGTCTGGACCAAGTCAAGACTCTCATTTGCCTTGAGAAACAGCTGTACCGTGCGATCGCGACTGGAACTGGCAATAAGGAGTCCTCGTGCTGAAAAGTGCACGGCGATATCGGTGATCTCCCCACTGTGAGCTCGGACTTCGTCGATACACTTCCAAGGATAATTCTGCCAGAGTCTAGCATTTATTAAGTCAGTGGGGTACTATCATATTCAAGCGGGGATTGTTAAATACCTCAAGACACCGAACCTGTCGCCAGACACGAAGTGATTCATATTTGGAGTTACCCGTAAGACCTTCAGCTCGTTGGAAATCTCGTCGTTGACTCCAGAAGGATGATCGAGGACGATCGAACGTGAACCCCGGCATTTGCCTCTGCCATCCCAAAACTTAACCATGCCGCTGCGTGACCAGGTATAAAACTCGGCTTCCAGATCATTGGCAGCTGTGAGCGGCCGGATACCAAGAACAGCATCCTTGTGTGCGAAAAGAGTATTTCCTGAAGCACCATCGTTGACATCAAAGTCATCACTCATTTCTTCAGTCGAGTAGATATTGATGCTGTTGCTAGAATCAACGGCGATCAGGTTGGAACCAAGGAACCCCATACATGTGACAGCAGGTCCCTTGGTGATTGGTTCCACCGAAGATCTACCTGAAAATGCAGGAGAAGATGGGACAGTTAGTGAACGCAGTTTGTCCAGAGTCATGGACTGAATACGTCCGCCACGACCACCAACCCAAAGACATGAGCTGTCCAGATCTACCGCAATCGAAGTAATGGCAAAGTCGAAATAATGAGCAACAGACACTTTCTGCGGTCCATCGTTGTGATCTAGGAAGCATAAGGCCCCCGTGTCTGTTCCTACTATTGACTCGCAGTCCGAAATGCCTGCGATACTGGTGAATGTGCTTTCCGCCAGCGAGCCCAGCAAACAGTTTCTTCCAGACAAAGCCCTGGGGTTATGACTAGATGGACTGGCACTTGGCTCAGCAGTCAGACGAGACTTCGGAGACCCTGGCCTCACGTCCGGAAGCCTCCAAACCTTCACATGCCGGAGCCCTACCCTGGATTAAGTCTCAGTATTGAATTTGACATGAGCATGGGCTGTGATACGACTTACGTGACTAAAGTTTGTCCAACCCATGTCATGTCACGAATGAAGGAAGTGCATTTGTTAGTGGAATGAAGCCTCGCCGATCCTGTCTTTGGGTTGACGGACCAAACAAACAGGAATCCGTCATTGACATCGCCAAGAGTCGCAAGATATTGCGAATCTGGGCTGAACGCCAGGGCACGCACTCCAAAAGTATGTTCAGTTAGAATTGAAAGCGGCACATCACAGGAAGCGCCCTTGGCAGTGGAGTAGAGGAGAACTCTCGGACCATAACCAGTCTAGCCATCATCAGCATAGAGGATCGTTGATACAATTTGAGACATAAACGCGTACCTCTCCTACTGCAAGCAACCCTCCGTTCGGACTGATCGCGACGCTGGTGACCGCTTTTACTCTTTCACGGGACGACCAGGCACGCGGACTATGACCGTCCGCCAACTCACTGCCAGGAGTCCCACTGTGAAGAGCGTTTTGAGCTGCAGACTTTGTGCCTAACGGAGTTTTCGCTCTATTGTCCGGAGTAGTGGGTGGGGTGGCATTATTGTAGAAAGATGTGACAGGATTGACACTGGTTGCGGAGGGTCGAGCCCTGTAAAAGCGCTGTTGGAGGGTCTTCTGTTCATCGAGTTCTGCTAGAACGACGGTCGAACCGGCGCAAATAGCGAAGGAGTTACTCCCCGCATGAATAGAGAAGCCTCGCGGTGAGCTGGTTGTGGTACCAATTACCGCCTGTAGAGTCAGGACTGCCTGTTGTAGTGATGTCTTGTGCATCGAAGACCGCGTGGAAGGTCTCAAGACTGGCGAGTTTGTGGGGGTGATGCGAAAGGACGACCCTGAGTTTGACTTGCTCTTGGCGTTCAAAGTATTGTATGCCATCATGATTCGATTTGATTTTGCGGGGATTATGGTGGAAAGCCCTGGAGATAACGAAAGATATATGGGTGCATTGATAATTTTAAACCAAACCTGTTCGAATGGTGTGTGCGCGCGTGTGTTTTTCTTCGAGGAGGACAAGTCGTACCATTCATAGCATTGCCGTACAGCTGGGGAAGGAGGAGCCGTGAATGAAGAATGCGGGGAGGATTAATTAGAGCTCCTTCCGTGTCGGTCACTGCGAAAAATAATGAATTTAGTCAAGGCGAATATATTCGGGGTCGATGAGGAAGCGTCGTTCTAAAATTAGGAGAAGCAAGTGGTCGGGTGCGCAAAGGCTGGAGAAGAGGGGAGCAAAAGGCGGCGGCGGAGGAGCTCGAAGGGAACGAAGGGGCGACAGGGAGAGCAAGTCACGATCTGAAACGGCCGATTAATGAGGGACTAGAAAGGAAGAAAGGTAGTAAGAAGTCAAGAGCAAGCGAAGAGATATTAAGTAAATGACTGAAGACGGTGAATGAACGAGAAATCACGATCTGAAGATCGGACAGGAAGAAGAATGTGAGGCAGGATAAACACTGTAGCTCTCGACTCCTTCCACGCCGGGCGGAGTGCCGAAAAGTGACGGACGAACCCTTGGGTTTTAGCGCGGGAAGCTAAAATGAGCGCCCGGCGATGGGCGATCACTCCGTTTGTCTGATCGTCCGGAACCTGCAGCAGTCAATGAGGAGATGAAGAGAGGATGAAGGGTAGAAGGCCTATTTCATTAGTGCCTTGCCGAGTGAGGTACATGTACTTCATACAGGATCTTGTCCCGTCGAATTCGACATCCGCGCAGTAGGTGAAAGGCAGACCATGTCTGAGCATGTCCATAGGGCAGGCAGCCAGTGGCCCCGGCCTGTGGGGGAGCACATCCACCCTTGGGAATGGCGCCCTTCTGACTTCAGCACTCATTTCATCCTTCCATTTGGAGCCGCGGGCTGTCAGCATTCGAAACACGGCAGGAGAAGGCTAAAAAAGGAAGAAACTTGACGCCATATCCTCTCCAAGCAGAGCCATGGTCTTGTTCTATAGGGTCATCAAATAGAGTTGAATGGCAGAATCATCCAGTGCCGGACTGCCAACAAAAAGCATTGCATGCTTCAGGAGAATATTGGGTAGCAGAAAGCCTATCCTGCTCTCCTCGAGATGACTTTCCTGCTTCAATGAGCGTATTGTACTGGCTCATATGCTCAGGCTAGGACACCGTTCCTGCAGGCTGCTAGGCGCGGTCTTTGTTGTCCTCAGGGCCACTGACAAGAGTATGAACTCCGCATAATCAAGGGGGCCTGCCTGCTGATTTGAGCACAGTATCTGATTCGTTATTTCCACTGGTGAATAAGTAATTATAAGTGTGCAGTAACCAAGTCTCAGGTCTTGTAGCAACGGAAATCTCGAGGATCTTCTTCGCTGTACCGCGTCTACCGACTCGAAACAGTGGTTTGAGATACTCCGTAGAAGACAATGGATGGTCAATGGTTGTATGCCCGCCAGTCACATGACCTGTGAGCGTAAATCGTTCTAGTCCCGTTTCTAGAAGTCTCCGGATTTTTATCAGGGCGATTCTTATCCTTCAAGCTGTGGTAAACTTTGCGCCTCCTCCAACCTTCACGAACCATCATCATGTGGCATTCAGGTGCTGTTTCCGTGCGGACTTCTTTGTCATCTATCCTGCGCGAAGCCTTTCACTCAGAGGTTGCACCCTCTACTCGTCGTCTTTCTGAACGTCGAAGTTTCTATCCGATAACGCCTCTTGCCTATCGCAAACCCGGCGCTCAACGAAATTTCAGCTCCACTCATCAAATCCAGATACACCAGTCTCGCGCCCTGCTATCCTCTGATCATACCCCTGAAAATGTACCAGATGCAACACAACCAATCCAGACGAAGTCACTGGCGAAGAACGACCGTGGCGAAAAGCCTACGGACAATGTCACACCCGACGGGAACACATCAGGATCCTTCCCCAGAAGGCAACGAGCCGCTCCCAAACGACGGATGGATAAAGGCGATTCTCGTCGAGGGAGCGCTAAGACTTCTCGCAGCAAGACCGATACACGCGGCGACGGACTAGAATCAAATCCTTCGGAAGAGAAGCCCAAGGCAACGAGAAAGACTTGGAGGGAATCCTTCAAAGATAAGGCCTCGCCAAAGAAGAAAGAGGACTGGCAAGTTCAGAAGGATGCTCTGAAAAACAAGTTTAAGGAAGGTTGGAATCCTCCGAAAAAGCTTTCTCCCGACGCGATGGAAGGTATTCGACACTTGCATCAGATGGCACCAGATCGATTCACCACGCCGGTTCTCGCTGAGCAGTTCAAAGTCTCACCAGAGGCCATTAGACGAATCTTGAAAAGCAAATGGCGGGCATCCGACAAAGAAATGGAGGATCGGCGCAAGAGATGGGAGAGACGACACGATCGCATTTGGGCTCACATGGCCGAGCTTGGCCTGCGTCCCAGTAAGAAGGAAACGCAGAAATATCAAGACTCGCATGTTCTGCTCTATGAGCGGGACGAAGACCTGGACGAGGGCGCCAAGATCGATCAAGACGACAAGGCATAGGCACTGATGCTGTGACTTGCATCGGCACTCTATAATAGCATTACATCATGTATAATATTGAGATGACACGGAGGCATTGCATGGTTGGCGTTACTTTATCTCCTATCTATAACATTTACAATTCAAGGACAATACCAATTCTTCCGGCGCAAACCTTACTGATGAGAGCTTTGAGCAAGCGATACCTGTATGGCCGTCATCCCCACAATCGCCGGAATAACGGGCGGTTCTAGAATACTGGTGTATTGTAGTATTTGGTCGCATATTGTGTACAACATGTTGGAAGTTGACGACTCGGTCAAGGTCTTGGCTCGTCATCCACTCACTGCTCCGCTGCCGCCGCTGCCAGGAACGTAGTTATGGTCCGGACCGACTCGCTGGGCTACACGCTTACCCGCTTCCTTTCTCCTCGTCCAGCTGCCTTTCAACCATTATGTCCCCGCTACTTGACGGTATGCCATAGCCGGCAAACATCAGATCATCTTTCATTGTACCATATTCTTCCTGGCGCGTGCTCCAGGATTTCCCCTCCTTTAGGTGGCGGCTGGTACCCACCAAACAACTACCCCGAGCTTCCTCCCTCCCTCTGGTCTTGCATGCGCGCGCCCACCCATTTCCGCATGGGAACCTCCCAACCGCCGCCATGCCATCAGACATCCAGGTCTTTGTGACGTGGAAAGACCAAACGATCTTTGCGGGAGAAGATGTGGAATGCACTATTACCTTCAAGAACGTTGCGGAGACGAACGTGGAACCTCATCATGGTGGTCCGACTTCACATCACAGACAAACCTCTCGAGCTACAAGCACCCACTCCGAGTCATTGTTTTCTCTGAAATCTCCTCATAAATTCTTCTTCGGCCCACACCGCCGCTCCGTCTCCACGATACCCAAGAAAAGCCCGTCGCACCGCCTGTCTTCCTCGGTGAGCTCGCCGTTGATCGGTTCGCACAGCTTCCCGCCTCCTTCAACTCCCCGCAATGGCTCGGTCGCTAGTGGCAAGCACAAACGATCGGTTTCTATACTTTCGATTGATAGTGAAGGGACTGGGGAGCCGACGCCCCGAACTTCGTCACAGTTCAACCGACCCCGACCAGTAAGGGGTCATGGGCGCGCGGCAAGTTTACAGGTCCTGCCAAGAAGATATGAAGCTTATGAGGACCAACACGCAAAAGGTATCTTTTGACATTGAGGCAGATGCCAGACGCATAGATCCGAATGCTAAGAGCGCTTTGTTGCAGGTGGACGCAGTCCTGCTCGCACATTCCCACTCCCCGAGTCTTCGATCCATTCATCCCCAGGAAACCCCAGGATTGACATCGACGGTCCGAATGACACCAGCCGTCGTGGCTCGAACATCTATAGTCCTAATCGTTCAAATGAGCCACCTCGTACTCATGCGCGTCGGCCCCCATTATCACCGATAGAATTCAAATTTCCGCCATCTCCGGCAGTTGACACAAATATCCATACAGGTGTTCCAAGTTTAACATCACCGATTGAAGAGAACCCCACAGAGTCCAGGCCTAATGGGAAGGACCTACCCACTTTAGTGGCACCAGGACATCTGCCGCAGCTCACCAAGATCATGTCAACGTCCAGCCTGGCTGGAAGTCACCGAAGCAGTGGAGATTTCAACTCGATCAGCGACAACTCCTCAGAAACTCTTCAATCTGAGTACACAAACTATTCCATGCCAGTGCCGCGTCCACCTCTTGTCCCCCGTCACTCACGACATGTGTCTAGCGTGGAGTCCCCGGGGCTCACACCGCATGGCCAGACACTGCTCATGGGCTATGCGCAGATCAGCGCATCCTTTACTGTGGATGGCTCATTGATTCAACAATCTTACTTTGAAGAAGTGAAGCGGAAAGGCGTCGTCGGGGGAGTGGGAGGCGGGGCCGGTTTGCCGAGTGGAAAGCCAGCGGCAAGTGAAGAGAGAGGTCGTAAAGGCGGCGGCTTCTGGGGCGCTTTCAAATGGAATACCATTGAGGAGTCTTTGAGTGGCCTTCTCTCAAATAATGAACTGGACGGTCTACGGGACATGCGAGGCGTCTCCTCCTCCCGATCGATACCCCTGCTGTCGACTACGCAGTCACTCCTCTTCGTGGACTTGCGATTGGCGCCTGGGGAGGAGCAGTCCTATTCGTTCTCCTTCACTCTTCCAAGTGGACTACCAGCCAGCCATAAGGGTAAAGCGATCAAGATTTCTTACAATCTGGTTATCGGCACGCAAAGGCCGAGTAGTCGTAATGAGCCTCAGCGGGTGAATCGCATCAGCATCCCCTTTCGTGTGTTTAGTGGGGTGAATGGTAAGTGCTTTGAGAATTTGGATAGACCAGGAAACAAATTGATTAATCTGTTGCAATAGGTCAAGGGGATATCATGGGCCATGATTTGATGAGCCCATATGTGCTGCTTCGAGACGAGGCCAGGGTGCAGAAAGTGGGAACAAGCCCGGCCCCGATAGCGAAATCCAAAAGTATTAGCGGGCCTACTTGGACGTCGGCTCCAGAGTTCTTGTCATACGTGGATGATATTCTTGAACAAGCTTCACGTAACAACTCGCTGCACCCACCCGAGGCTCCCTCGGAGAAACGAGCAAGCCACGATTCAACCCCCGGCCGACTATCCTGCAAGGATGCCATTGATCTGGCCATCCTTCGCAGCAATCAAACGCTGAACTCCTCCCGCAGCCCCAACCGGTTCGAGATCGCGCGGGATGGACGCCGAATTGCTGTTGTTGTGCTCAATCGGCCAGCTCACCGACTAGGCGAGACGATTATAGCTACCGTCAATTTCGCGGATGCTGCACTTCCTTGCTACGCTCTGCGAGCCTCTTTGGAGAGCTCCGAACGAGTTGCCCCGGCTTTAGCGATCCGATCAAATGCGAGCATCCGTCGTGCGACTCGCAAGGTTCATGGTTCCTACTTTGAAAACACGCTCTACGCGACCCGCGTGGTCTTCAGTCCAGCAATCCCCGTCTCTGCGACACCCACGATCCTGACCACTGGTGTTAACCATGAATGGGAACTGCGGTTTGAGTTTGTCACCAGCAATGCGCATGACGGGTCAGCTCCGTCGGGTGCGCGTTTGTTGGAGGTCGTGTCACAAGACGATCGCGGACGGATCATGTCTGCCTTGGAAAATCTGGGGTGCGAATCATTTGAGATCGCAATTCCGATTACGATTTATGGAGAGACAGTCCGGGAGCGACTACCAGAGGAAAATGAAGGATACGCTATCTAAGATAAGCTTCCAAAGAGGTGTATCCATCAAACTACAACTACAAGCAAGACATGACATGAGAAATTTCTTGAATGCATGACGTCGGACCGAGCGTGAGACACAGCCAGACCTTGGCTGCACTAGGCCGTAACGACCTAAACGACGTAATGGGTGAGAGTCGAGTAAGTAGTCTAGTCTAGTTTTCTAGCATGCCAACCCAGCCAAACCCAGCCAGCACTGCAGCAATAAAAGGGCGATTTCCTTGCGGCCCGACGGGGTCACTGGGGCAACGGACGGGGCGTGGACTACTTGGGACTCGCGACGCAGCATCCATGGTTCCGCTGGTGGGAAGCGTGGAGCAACTTGGATGTCGATACTAAGTAGTCTAGTTATAGTAGTAAGTATATTGTTGTATGTATAGTAGTCTAAAGTAGATGCGCTCCCCTGCAGCTAAGTTATATTAACTCGTGGTGGTTGTACCTCATCCGATCTGGTCGGGTCCGCATCGATCGCTGATCTTCCTCCTTCTCCTTCTTCCTTCTCTGCTTTTGTTACCTTTCCCCATTCCTTCTACCCCCATTCTTCACCCATTCGACACTAAACCCATTCACGCCTACAATCTCGCGCCCTACAGAACTACTGCGCTCGAGACCCCGGGATCCTTGACCTAGCCAGTAAGAGAGACACTTCCGATCCTCGTGCCCAGCTCAGATGGACTGACGGATGCTTGATGTCTGGCATCGGAATGTAGGCGCATTCTCCTCCCACCACGCAAGACGCAGGAACGATTCCAGGGAGTCCCAGGCCTCCGACAGGCAAACAGTCGCGTTTCTTATCTGGCCAGCGAGAGAACGCCCAATTCGAAGGCGATGGCATCCTTCATCACCACCATGTCTGTCCCCGTCCAGCCCAATTCCTCCTCTTCTTTCTCAGCTGCCCCGCCACCTCGGGCGTCTTTCCGGCGCCCTCTTCCACCCCTCCCTCTCTGCTCTTCTGTCAACTACAACACCGTTCACACCTCGCGCACTCCTCTCTCGGAGCCCCCCTCGTACCTGTCGCCGGCGGTGTTCGCGCTCAAAAATGATCCCTGTGGACTAACCCCTCCCAGCAACGCTCGCACTCGAGCTCCCTTCAAGCCGCGGTCGGCGGCCAAGGGCACCACCAGCTACCAACTCAGACAATTCGCGGAAGCGACGCTCGGCAGCGGCAGTTTGAGGAAGGCCGTGAAGTTGCCGGAGGGCGAAGACCTGAACGAATGGCTGGCCGTGAACGGTGGGTTTAGAAGATCAATGCCGCGATACCTAGGAGCCGTATGCTGATATACACACTATCTACGCTTTCCCGCAGTCGTCGACTTCTACAACCAGATTAATCTACTGTACGGCGCGATTACAGAGTTCTGCTCCCCTCAGTCATGTCCGGAAATGAAAGCGACCGATGAGTACGAGGTTCTTCCCGCCCCAGGCGCAATGTATGTTCCAGCTGACGCGGGGTTGATAACGCTAGGTTCGAGTACCTCTGGCAGGACTCGGAGAACTTCAAGCGCCCGACAAAGATGTCCGCGCCCGAGTACATTGAACATCTGATGAGCTGGGTACAAAGCAGCGTCGACAACGAACAGATCTTTCCAAGCAGGCTCGGTATGTGCTGATATCGCCCGGCTCTACATCGCTACGAGTCAGACAATCTAGAGCGGACGAAGCTAACAAGGGAATCGTTGCAGGTGTCCCGTTCCCCAGAGCGTTCCCCAGCCTGGTGCGACAGATTTACAAGCGCATGTATCGGGTGTACGCGCACATCTACTGCCACCACTACCCCGTGGTAGTGCATCTCGGCCTGGAACCCCATTTGAACACCAGCTTCAAGCATTACGTGTTGTTCATCGACGAGCATCGGTTGGCGAGTGGGAAGGATTTCTGGGGGCCTCTGGGCGATCTGGTGGACAGCATGTTGCGGAGTGACTGATTTGCGGTCGGAAGGAAGACGAGACAAGCACATGAGAGGGATGACGGAACTGGGCTGGGCGTTTGGGTGTTGAGGCATTCGTTAAAAAAAGGGGAACATTTAAAGAACTCGTAAAGGCCATCCGGCGTTTCTTTTCTTGATGAATGAAGTTATTAATTGTATGGTCTTGTATCCAAATCGAAGAGTACCTCTTTCTTTTGTTTGTTGCGACCACACCTCAGCTCCAGCTGCTTGTCCTCTCAAAGGAAAAGAAGAATAGCCGAAAACCCGGCGTGTGCGGGAACTCACGTGACCGCCCTAGCCGGCAGGAACTGAACCTGGCTCCGAACCTCGAGACGCCATCCCCAAGCACTCGATTGTCCATCGACGACGACCTTTCTCTCGCAGCCTCTCTCGCTCTCCACCCCGCTCTCCCCCCTTCTCCGCTACTCCCGTTGAGCATCATGTTCTCCGTCCGTCTCGCCCGCGTCGGCCTCCGTGCCTCCGCCCAGCAGTTCACCGTGCCTCGCACTGCCGCCCTCAACGGTCTGCGCACCTATGCCACCCCGGCCCAGGAGATCAAGCCCCCGGTTTCCCTCTTCGGCGTTGACGGCACCTATGCCACTGCTCTGGTATGCTAAGACACATGCACACAATTCTTTGGTCTGAAAGGGTTGGAATTGGGGGGACTGGGATCGGGACTGGGAATGGGTGGTATTTCAATCGTTCGTTGCTGGGGTGTTCTCTAATGGATCATTGAAATGGGAAGCGCGCGCCCTCAATTCGACAATCGAAGACAAGAAACCAATTTGGAGGAACTCAATCAATCGACAATCGACACACCTTAAGGAATGACGCAGCGCGGAGAGCTCAAGGGAAACAGAACGACCAGCAACGAACCTGAAACCCCCATCAACCATCCCAACCCTTACCCTTCCACTCAAACCAGACCTGATAGAAAGAACACGAGCTAACCAGACCTGCCAAAAAGTACACCGCCTCTGCCAAGTCCGCCGCTCTGGAGCAGACCTCCAAGGCCCTGGCCAACCTGGGCCAGACCCTCAAGGCCGACCGCAAGCTGACCGAGATCCTGAACGCCCCGACCCTGACCGTGGCCGACAAGCAGCAGATCATCGCGGAGCTGCAGAAGGTGGCCGGCGGCGCCGACAAGGCCGAGATCCTCAAGAACTTCTTGGCCACTCTGGCCGAGAACAACCGCCTGGGTCTGCTGGAGGGTGTCTGCGAGAAGTTCGCGACCCTCATGGGTGCTCACCGCGGTGAGATCGAGCTGAACATCACCAGCGCTCAGGTAAGCTCCTCCGTATCTCTCGGGTTACTTGAGCTCCGATATCAAAAAGCTATCGAATGGGAAATGCTGACGAAACTACTACGATAAACAGGAACTCGACACCAAGACCCTCAACCGTCTCGAGAAGGCCGTCTCCAAGTCCGAGTTCAGCCAGGGCAAGAAGCTCAAGGTTGTCTCCAAGGTACGTTCTCAGCCCGTCAAATCAAATAAACAAACCAATCAATCAAAAAAAAAGCAAGTCTAATACAAAGAAGGTCAACCCCGACCTCATCGGTGGCCTGGTTGTCGAAATCGGTGACCGCACCATCGACCTGAGCGTCTCCTCCAAGATCGCCAAGCTCAACAAGGCCCTCACCGACGCTTTGTAAATGGTTTTTACTTTTTACCTTCCCAAGAAAGAAAGAACATGATTTCTTATCGGGTGTTTAGTCGATAGAAAGTTATTATGAATGACTTTCCATCAGTATAAACATATCTTATATCCATCCCACCGCCCCCCCCCCCAAACCCCCTACTAACCTCCGGCACCTCTGTCTATCTACTCCGTCGCGAATGTATCCTATCTAAATCAACTATGCTACCGCTTCTTATATATATTCTTGAGTTCTAGAGGAGGTGGTGGGAAGCGTAAACGCCACGGGAGCTGTGTAGCGAGTGGTCTATCGGCGATAGTCTAGTTCCACATCTGGGACCCTGTAGTCTAGATAAGATGGTGTCGCATCTGCTTCGCTACGCCAATGGTCCAATACCATTCACATCCTGCGGAGAAAGTATGCGTGCTTCGGATCCATTCTCCCCTTCCAACTCACAATCGGTTAGCATGGCCTGGGAGGGCGAGGTCATGTTTTGGGAATCTACTGCATCATCATATCATGTAAAGGACAGAGCGTAAGATTCGAAAGGTAGGGACGGGGGGGGTATTCCGGGGTTCTCTTCGCATGATAGAGAGTTACTAGTATATGTATATCATATGCTATGATGAGGTGGTGGATGAGTGGGTGGGTGGTAGCTGTCGGATGTATATAAGTATCCGCAAAGTTTGAGAGTTCGGGTTGGAGCCGGAGAGGGGTGGTTCGGATTTGGGTGGTAAGTTCGTTCGGCTTTTTATATTTGTCGTGGAGCGGGGAAGTCTTTTCAGGCGCTGCAGGGGGATATGGCACAGTACCTTGCTAAGAAACATACGGCGCTGCTGCTGCTGCTGCTGCTGTATGACTGAGGGTGTCGCTAGGGTGGTAGTGTACCGTTTTGCGAAGGGGAATGGTAAAGTATACTATAACAATGCAGGGTAGGTGGGAGGATATCGCTAGAATTGATAGTGGGAACAATTCCTCGGAACATATATACTCATCTCAATTAATGCATTCGAATCACCACCGCTTAAATCAACATAGAAGAATCTAACATATCTCCGAATAACATATCAACATGCATCTGTTCTAACTTCTAACTAAATCGTGCAACGTCTGCATCACCTATCCTCCTCCCTGTATCATGCCACGCAAGAAATCAGTGTCCGTTAGGAGCCGGGTCGGCCTGCGTCTCGAGCTCATCCTCATACGCCCCGATCGAGGCCTGGCTACGCACGCGCTGCAGCTGGCTTTCCACGTACTTGTGGACATGCTCATCCTTGAGGTCCGTGTCGACTCTCCGATCGTCCTCATCCTCGTCGAGAGTCGTCTCCGGAGCTGGGGTCTCACGCCCAGAGAAAGTGGACTCGAAGTCACTGCGGTTGCCGATGGACCGGGTAGTGGAAGAGCGGCGCACGCTAGGACGACGGCTGCCCCTCGGACGGGAGAAGCGGGTGAAGACATCGTCGAAGTAGTGCGACGCTGCTGCATGGGGAGTGCGGGGAGTCTGGGGGAGACGGCAGTTGATACTAATACCAATGTTAGCCAGCAATGAAAGACTAAAAGCATGAATTGAGAAATACCCGGTATCGTGAATGATCTTGGCGATAAGTCCAGTCCATCCACACTGGTGCGACGCTCCGAGACCGCGGCCGGTGTCTCCGTCGAAGAATTCATGGAACCACATGTAATCCTTCCAGTGCTCGTCAAAGTCGAGGAGGTCGGATCCATTGTGGACCGCCCGGCGGCCTTCATCGTTCCGCGCGAAAAGATGTTGCAGCCGGTGCTGGATCTCCTCTGCAATGTGTCCGAGATGCATGTACTCGCCCGAGCCTGTTGGACACTCGATCTTGAAGGAATCGCCATAGAACATATAGAAGCGCAACAAAGACTCGACGAGCAGGAAGTTGACGCACAGCCAGACCGGCCCACGCCAATTGCTGTTACCGCCAAAGAGCCCACTGTCTGAGTCTCCTGGTACATAGCTGACTCGGAACGTCTGACCATTGACATCCATCGAGTAGGGGTGCTCTCCGTGATACTTGGACATCGACCGAATGCCGTGCTCCGACAAGAACTCGGTCTCGTCTAGCATCCGCTTGAGGATCTTCTCCAAACGGTCCTTGCTCACGAGTGCGAGGAGAAGTCGCTCGTCCTTACCACGGTGCTTCATGCTTGCAATGTTGCGTTCAGCCACGTCTTGACGGTTCTCAACGAACCATTCCAGGCGCTTCTTGAAGGACGGGAACTTGTTGATCAGCTCTGGCTCAAGCGTGAGCACAGCGTACAGGGGAATCAAGCCAACCAGAGACCGCACAGGAAGCTGCTGGGTCCAGGGGTCACCGTAGGAGATCGCGTCGTAATAGAAGCTATGAAATTTAAGCATTTGTTCGGGCGTGTGAATATGGCGCCACTTACCCATCTTCCTCATTCCAGAGGGACGATTCCTGACCTCCGGACCGGAAGGTCATGGCATCACTAATCAGAATGAAGTGCTCGAAAAATTTGGAAGCAACTGGCATCTTCATCAGCAAATGAACGTACTAGCATAGAATTGATTCCCTTACTGTCTTCGTAAATTCTTCGATGCTTTGCCAGCTCCAGAGCGATGTTCAACATGCACAAGCAGTAGAAGGCCATCCACCCTGTGCTATCAGCCTGCTCCAGCACGCCACCGGTGGGGAGAGGCTCAGAACGGTTGAAGAGCCCAATGTTGTCCAGTCCCAGAAAACCACCCTCAAAGACGTTCTTGCCATCGGAGTCCTTCCGGTTGACCCACCACGTGAAGTTGAGCAACAGCTTCTGGAACACACGTTCCAAGAAGTCAAGGTCTTGCCGTCCATACATCTTCCGTTCGATCTTAAAGACTCGGAAAGTAGCCCACGCATGGACAGGAGGGTTCACATCCCCAAAGTTCCACTCGTAGGCTGCAAGCTGGCCGTTGGGATGCATGTACCACTCGCGAGTGAGAAGATCGAGTTGCTTTTTCGCAAACTCCGGGTCAATCATGGCAAGCGGAATGCAGTGGAAGGCGGTATCCCAGGCAGCAAAGAAGGGGTATTCCCAGGAATCGGGCATCGAAAGGATATCTTCCATGTACAAGTGTTTCCACTGTTGATTCCGAATGTGCTGCCTACCCGGAGGAGGTGGAATCATGGCCGGGTCACCGTTCGACCATTGATCATGTACAAAATGGTAGAACTGCTTGTTCCACATCATTCCGGAGAATGCTTGTCTTTGAATGTTCCGCAGATCATCGCTCATGGGCAGGGGACTGATATGGTAGTAGAAGTCATCCGCTTCGTTTCTGCGCTGGTCGATCACATCATCCAGAACTTCCTCATCAACAAACGGTTCCAGGCGCCGAGAGAATCGGAAACGAACGACAACGCATTCGCCGGGAGGGACACCCTCGCCCTCGTCGAAGGCATACCAGGCGGCAAACTTGGTTCCCTTGTTTTCAGGGTTGACTGCACCCTTCTCCCCATTAACAATGAGACGGTGGAAGGCGTCCTTGACATAAGGCTGCTCATTCTTGGTCTTCCAGAGGAATTCATTGTTTGTTTCGTTCTCAGTGAACAGCAGTCGGGGAATCACATCCTCCTCGCCGGTCACAGATGGGGAAGGGGAGAACCGAACATAGCGCTCGCCAAGTTTGTGGTGCTTGGTTTTAGCAATCAAAGGATAAGCTCTCTCCACCGACGGCTTCTCCGTCTTCTCCTCATATCCCCATGCCCAAGTGTTGCGGAACCACACGTGCGGGATAATGTGCAAGTGCGCCGGTTCAGGTCCTCGGTTGTACGCGATGATCCGGAACAGGAGTTCTTCCTCGTCGTCGTCCTCTTTCGCAGTCTCAATGAAGATATCCCAGTAACGGTTGTCATCGAAGGCATCAGTATCAAGGATCTGGTACTCGCGATCCTCTTTCCCGCGCCGGGCGTTCTCCTCCACGAGCTCCTGATAAGGGAACTCCTTCTGGGGGTACTTGTAAAGGAACTTCATGTAAGAGTGCTACGTGCGCAGTCATATTAGCAACCACAGTCAGAACACGCTCAGGAGGACAGCCTTACTGTGGGAGTGTTGTCGAGGTGGAAATGAGCCTCCTTGACACTCTCTCCATGGTTTCCCTGAGGGTTCGACAATCCGAACAGGCGCTCTTTCAGAAACTCGCTATGATTTCAACAGTGAGCGGGGCTCGGTACAGTCACAGATGGCACACTACGTACTCTTTCCCGTTCCAGAACGCAAAAGCGATGTTTTGCAGGTTGTGGGTATCGGACACACCGGCGATACCATCCTCACCCCAGCGATAGGTCCTCGACCGCGCATGGTCGTGGGAAAAGTCTACAGGGTGCCAGACGGGTTAGTGGGTGTTCATACGGTTCACCAAGGGGAAGGGCACTTACAGCTCCATGCATCTCCATTGTCACTGGAAACGATTGAAAAGGTAGCGAGTCAGTCTGGTTCAGTTGAGACAATTTGGGGAATTGAAGGCAAGGGCCAACTTACGAGTAATCTTCGCGAACTGCGGGGCGGCACCGATAATGAGGTCATTGCGTCAGTTTCATGTGATTCTGCCAGCGTCGAGATCGAGAGCGCATACCAGTAGCCCATTGTCTCTCGGCCACGTAGGGACCCCAGCGTTTCCAGTAGCGAGTCCGCTCGCGATCCTCCTTGAGTCGTTGCTCCTCGCGGGATTCGTACGGATGCTTGTCGATGAGGACCATGGTGGCGCCAATTGAACGCCAACGGGTAGATAGATAAGACGATCTGATCTACTACGGGCGGGAATGAGAGTTACAGACCCGGAGAGGGAGGAAGGAAGAGGGAAAATAGAAAGAAAGAAAGGAAGGGAAAAAATCGGGGGTTGGGGGGGGGGGGGGAGGAGAAACAGGTGAGGGGAACAGGCGAAGACAATGACGGAGTCGGAGTTAGTTAGTGTAGACGAGGAAAGAAGAGAAGAGGGAGGAGAAGAAGAGGAGGGGAGGGGCAGACAGAGAGGACTAAAGAGCTGCTAAGGAAAGGGAAACAAGGAATCCTTCCACAGTCGGGGGAACTGCACTGGTCTTGATTGATACTAATGACTACTACCAACTAATCTAACAATCAATCATTCATCATTCATGCTGCACGACCACGCCGATTGCTGATAGCAGACCAGCTAAAGAAGAGGTCTGGACCCTCGCTCGGGCGCCTTTTTTTCTGGGGATTCGCCCGCCTTTCCAAGGTTGGGGGAGAAAAAAGAGCACTGACATCATTTGTGTTCGCCAATAATTCCACAGAAGAATCAGAATGGGAGAAGAAGCTGATGAAAAAAACTCAAAAACATAAAAAGTAAAAAAAAAAAGCTAACGGTCGTACAGTCAATACAGGGGGATTGACTCGGCATCGCTCCGGCCAGAGTCAGACGCCATTGGCATCATTTCTTATACGAGCTGGATTCACATCAACCCCCTCCAGGCTTCAAGTTCCCTCCGGACTCGCCTTTGCCGGTTAGCAGATTCAAAACAGCATCAGTGCTGAAGTGGAGGCGATTCTTCCTCCATATCTCAGATGCTGTATGATAGATCACCAAACCCCTCATTGCTGTGTTGGCTTAAATATTACCCCAACCGCCGAACAATTGGCTAGGTATTGTGAGGTGGCGATTTCAGGGTAGCCGACAAACGACCCAGACCAAGACCATAGAATTGGACCACCATTGATACCGTTCTTCGGATCAGTTCTCTTTAGGACAACCACGGGCCGTACGATTCTAGAGCTAGATGTGACGATCAAACGGACGCCGTTCGGAGCTGCTAACACGAGAGTAAACAATACATCGAGTACCTACCCAACGGACTGCAGAAGAAGACGACAGTCCTGTCAATGACAAGAAGTGTATTCCTCTCATCAATTCGCAAGCATGGCAGCATGGCGCTATGCATGTCTGAACAGGAACCTAGAAAAAGACCCGGGGATCCATGGGAAAGATCCTACCGTACTTATCTCAAGCGCTCCTGTCGCGCCGAAAGATAGATCGGCGCTGTCGGTCGGGACGGGCACGACAGTGGATCGACACTCGATCTCATCTTTCCCCCCAATTGATCCATTCACTGCTCATCCGATGCTCTGCGATGTCCTATAAAGCACACGCTGGAGATGTCTCATTCTCCTGTGCTCACATTCCCCAGAAAGGTCTGGATGTTGTGCAACCAGTTGGGCTAAAAATAGAGGGCGAATCCGGAAGCGCTACTGGGAAAACTGAAGGACTGTACCCTAAAACAAACACAAACAGGCACATTCACTGCTGTCCCCCTCCAGAAATCACTGCATCCTACACCTTTCGACCACTGTTCTCTTTTCTCCACAACACACTCATGAAAGAGCCTAAATATGAGAACCATGTCTTTGACTATTAAAGTATGACAAAAGCAAGATGTTACGCCACAGAGAGAATGATAAAGCGCCTATTTCGCTCACTATCCTCGGGGGATCGTGGCATGCACGCTCAGCTCGGCCATCGACGCTACCCCGCGCGAGAAAGACCAAAGCAACAAAAAAGCTGCACCGCCATCGGCTTGACCCCGTCATGCGAGAAAGTCTCGGTATAGAAACACGATGACCGGTGCAGAGAAACAGAAAAAGCAAAAGAAAAAACCGATTTCCCCCAAAGATGCTCGCCCAGTAAGGATATATAAAATATTGTAGCAGTGAAGTCAAACCCCATCAAATTCTCCTGTCCTTGAAACCATAACCCAAATTATATGCTAATGTGCCGATACGGGCTTCCCCGAACTGCAGTGCCGTCATGAACTACGGCCTTGGCTGCGCCGCAGCTGTTCATCGCCGCTGGTGTATTGTGCTGATTCCGTGGGCGAAGACGACGCTGATGTGTTCCCTGTTTGGCGGAGATAGCTGTTAGCGACGCGAGTTATTGGCGAATATACACAGAAGGGCTCAATTTACCGGAGCCTCCATAAAACCGACCATCTCGCTGCGCTGCAGGGTTCCGAGCTTCCATTATCACCGACTGTCGGGCTTTGAGGCGTTCTTCGGCTTCGCGGATCTTGGCTTGGAGTTGTTCGAGTTCGCGGGTCTGAATCATCATCTGAAGCTTCCTAGTGGCACCGGTCTGTTAGCCCATGTGTGCAGGTGGTCGCTGGCAAGAGAGCCCCAACAAGGAATAAACCCAAGATGGACGTTGGGTGACCGATTCAGTGGAACCTACTTTTGATCAATAGTCTGTGAAAGATGATTGACATCGGTGTCTAGCGAGAAAGCGCTATCCAGCGCAGTTGAAAAAGCCTGTGCCATGATCCTGCCATGTCTTGGTCAATACCGGTATCCTAAGACCCAGGGGCAGCAGCGCAAAGGAGTACGAACGACTGAGGGCGACCGCTGGGCTTCCATTCTTGTTCCGAGTCCGACGACATTTTGGGTGGTCTTGATCTGAGTGTTCGGTTGATCCGGTGGGTGTTGGGAAGAGCGAGATACGAGAGAATTGTGGCAACAGAGGCAGGGCGGGAAAAGTAAGGAAAAAGGAGTATGCGAAACGCAGCTATGAGGCTCGGAGGGGAGTTATTTGGGAGCGCGCGCGTCGAGAGCGGAACAGGGGGTGAAGTGGATATGATAGCACGGACGGGGTGGGCCTCGCGCCTTAAATTATGGGGGGGGGGGGGGGGAGAGGGAGAAGAAGCGGCGAAGAACAAAAGAATTTCTCCAACGGGAGAGAGCTATGGACACAACGAAGACCAACCAGCACCAGCAGCGAAAAAGGGTTGTCAGGAAGGTAAGACGGGATGTTCCCAGAGCAAGAGTCGGTCAGATTGCAGGCGCTTGTTGAAACTCTCGGCCAGGGAGGAGGAGGGAGGGGAACCGCCACTTTTGAGTTATTATCACGCAGTGAGTGCTCATAGTAAGTCTCCTCTACTTGATAGGGGCACCGCACGATCGGCGGGATGACGATGGCTGGCGCTGGGAGGGGGTGCAAGAGGCGATCTGATGCAAGACCCTCTGCGTGAGTGGATTTTTCATTAGTGCTCACCCGGATGGAAGTATCATTATTGGTGGTGGTGCATGCAAGAACCAGCCTGGGTGGACTGGATGTTCATCCAAGTCCATGGCGAGCGAGCAGAGGAGTCACTTTGAGGGTGGAAGTGCCTGTTTGAACCTGGATAAGTTTAGCATAGTCTGCACCGGTAGTTACGGAGGTGGGCAAATAGTCCTGGTCCTCTTGGCCACTAGTCATTCTTGACCATCTGGTTGGTGAGTATTATTGTTTTAGTTTCATTATCCACGATGGAGATGGAGTTTCCCCTGAGACTGAGGCCCGCTCTGTACCTTTCACGTGACCGTTTCCCCTCCCCCTAACTCCATTCCTGTACTGCCACTCACCCTTTAAGTTTAATGCCACCGCCACCGCGGCTCTGAGGGACAGACAACTATAATCAGCATACAAAACACTCCCTGACAGTGAGTGGTCAGTCAATTCGGAGCTGACTGCGCGTGTATGATGATCTTTCTGGACGTGACACCGTCCATAGGACGCCCGGCCGTAAAAATAACTTCTGACAGTGGCTGCTCCTTCAACCCCGCCAACCCCTTTACCTGTTTAAGGTGTCGTCTACCAGCCATGCTTGTACCACTCATCTGCAACGCGCAAGGAGAGGAGCTTTGGGCTGGCAGACTGTGGCTGCTTTAGACTAAGAGCCCCTATTTATCTGGATAGCGACACTATCAAGCGCTTCACGTTGATATAGGTGATGTGAAGTATACTCTTGTTGGGTCGTGATATCATGAGGTTCTGGAGAGCGATAACCCTGCACACCAACATTCACATAGCGACAGTAGGAAGGAGAGCAGAAACCAAAACATCTCCAGCTCGCTTCTTGTCTGAAGCACCTAGGGCTGGATATCTCTAGCTTAATTGGGAGACGGCTATACATGACTCCAAATTCAGTGCATTGAACCACCGGCTCGTGATAAAGCATGTCGAGTCGGGTACCCCGAGTTTTCCTGTCATCTACTTGAAAGGATCAGCTAGGAACAAATTGTCACGATGCGAGAGAACACAAGGCACACTGAGCTGCAACCTCCGTGTGGTCAATGCTGAAAACAGAATGCAATTCAATCCGACACAGTCGCGCTCTGAATTCCATATTAAGACCCGCTAAGGTAACATCGATATCGATTTCTTCCGGTGGGCATTCGATACGTATGTGCCCATCGAAGCCATTCTAAAGCTTAGAGAAGTAAGTTAAGATGTCTAAATGTAGTCATTCGCACGACAGTGCATTGCATTGTTCAGAGTCTCCCGGGCTGGACCGACGCTAACATCACCAGGCCGGCGCTAAGCCTAGGCCCAGGCACCGTGCACTGCTTTGTACTGTCGTTATTGGACTTGCCGACATTACAGCAGAGGTTCTATGATCACTTCTTTCTTTGTGTGAGAGCTGGTAAAGGGAAGTTAGAGTCTCCGCTACCATTGAAGATGTGATTGATTATGTCTGTGTTCTTCGAAGTGAACCTAGATGAGGTGTATCATGAGATGGCTTTGCGCCATAATACTTGCGAGGAATTACCGATATTTCATAGTTGAATGGACAAGGAGGTGTGTCAAGCGCTCCGTCACTGTCAGTTGTCCCATGGAAAAGAAAGTAGTCAACGAGTGTTACTGCGGCATATCGCATACTTGCATAGTGAAGTGACAGAGGGAAGGTTGCCCTGACAATGAAGAATCGATAAACACGGTTCGCTCCGAGTTGTCCCTCCCTGGAGTGCACGTGACTCTAGACTGTCTCCGGGTCGGTCGGTCGGTCGGCGGAAAGCAGAACGATTGAACAGGGAGGAGGATTGGATGCCGCAGTTAAAAAAGAAAGAGGGAAAAAAGTGATGCGACATCGAGCTCATTCATCCCATCCCATCCCATCCCATTCAGTTTCTATCTTATCCTATCCTATCCTACCCTATCCTACCTATCCATCCCCCTCCCCCCATCCTTTCCATCCCACCCATCCACCCCATCCACTCCATCCATCCACACATCCCATCCCCGTACCCTTTCATCCTTTGCTGTCATCCATCGTTGTCTCCAACTTTCTTTTTGGTTTCTCTTTGCCCCTAAGGTCTTCGATCTGCTCCTAATTTTCTGACGCTTCCCCACTCCATCTGGACACGGTCGCGTTTGTCCCGGCTCTGCTTTTCTGCCTAATTTTTCGACCCCCTTCCCTTGGGAGTTGCGCGAATGGTCTAAGGCGGCACCCCGAATTTCCGATTCCGCGCACGCGATCTTTCTAGCCTGGTTTATAAGGCATCAGTCCGTCTATCTGGGTTCGGTACCACCCACCACCGGAGTCTCTGGTGCAGGGCTGCAACGCGGTCGACACTAAACATTCGGAATAACTCGCCGGGCCAAGCGTCTTGCAACGACCCATTATCACCGTGGCCCCCATTCCCAAATCTTTCTCCCCCGGCGGCCGATCTGACGGGCAATGGGGGATGCCTCCTCTATCGGCTTACACCCCCTTTGAATCGCTCCTCTTCTTCCAGTCCCTCGCTGCTTTAGACGCCCGACCCGCGAGTTTCGTTTCCATTTCCGATGTACTCCGCAACAACCCGTTCGTTCGCCAGAATGCCGCCTTCGATGCCGGAAGACTCGCCCCAGAGGCGCTCGAGGAGCTGTATACGACGCTGATCCGCGATGGCGTCGACTCGGTCGGTGTCGTTGCGACCCATGAAACGAATGGTCACCATACTGAAAGTCCTACCAATCCGAAGAAGCGCAAGATCTTGAGTCCCCAACCAGATGGCTTGTCCGACAAGGGGTCAAGCCATACCAGCATGATGCCAGGCTTGGTATCGCATTTGTACGCCAGGTATAAGGAACTAGTGACGAGGGAGATCAGGACTGAGGAGAAGAGGTACACGGAGATTCGAAATGAGATTGAACAGTTGCAGAATGAGGAACACGAAGCACAGCCGGAGCCTGTTATGCGCCCACCGCAGCAGCCAGTTGCACCACCAAAACAAGAACCTGCGCCAGAACTGACTCTGGACGTGAAGGAAGATGGGCCGGTCCAACAACAATCTCCCATTGTACCAACCCAGGCTAAGGCGCCGCTGCCAGTCTTGGATAAGACACAGGGCCAGTTTGCACCCCAGATCAGAGACTCGCAACCAGATAAGCAACCACCAAAGCCCTCTCCTCCCCAGGCGCCTCCAGCACTTCCTGCGCAACCGACTGGACCACCACCGAAGGAACCGGCCAGAGCCATCCAGCCGCAACCCCCACAACTTCAACCACCGGTTTTCCAGCCTCAGACAATTCCACAGATGGCAACGGGCCGGCCACCGCAACCACAGACACCAAATGGAAAGCTTTTCCCGACGGCGCAAGCCATCACTGCGCCGCGGACCGTTCCTGCAAAAGCCGGAAGTCTCGGTGTATCATTTGCGTCGCCGCAAATACCACCCTCAAACACTACCGCGGCGAATCGCGGTGTTGGACAACCGTCTGCTCCTATGCCGCCCCAGACCGCACCCAACGCTATCTCTACTCCACAGCAACCCGCGTCGGCTGGCAGATCTGTTGGCAAAGCAGGCCCGCCAGCCACAGCGTCTACTCCAGTTCCACAACGTCTTCCCCCTCAGTCTAGTTTCCAGCAATGGTCTCTGCACCAACCTCCGACACCTCAACCTCCACCCTCACTCATCAAACCCAAGCCTGAGCCGTCGAATAACGCCCCTCTCGAGAGACCTGTTCCACCGTTTCAGCATCCTATACCAAGCGTGGAGAGCAAGTTGGCTCTACAGGGCCCGCCGTCAACACCCTTCCCCTCAACTCCTGGCCCAGCGCCTCTGGCAGCGACTGTCTCACCAGCTTTGGGTGCTCCTGGTCCTGGCTTCCAAACTCCAGTAGGAGTTGGGCGAGCTGCGTTGATTCCGGGCCCACCTGGCTCACGTCCTCTGCGGCCATCAATCGACACCAGTGGCTCACTTACGCCTTGGAAGAGGGCTCCACGCTTGAGTATACCTCAATCTCCGCGGTCACCAGATCGGCCACGGCCAGAAGAAATCAGTCCGATCAGCGAAAAGGCTCCATCCCTGCCTGGATCTCGGGAAGCGACTCCGGAAGAGCCCGAGCCACGTCGTCTGAAACGTCGAGCTGATCGCAAGGGTAATTCAACGAGTTCTGAACCAAGCCAACCAGCCGCCGATGCGGATGTCAAAACTGGGACGAAGAGAAAAGCGGACAAGTTGGCACCATCCACTGGAAAGGATCGAGACCGAAGCACGGCATCGTCAAGGAGTCGCGGACGATCCGTCCTGTCGCGCGATGACGAGTCAACCACAGAAGCGGGGACTCAATCCAAAGTCAAGCACGAGATGCCCAGTACTCCCGCCGGCGTTCCCGAGACCGCAGAGCCGGAACGTCCATCTATCAGTCGACCCGGCCGAGGACGGCCCAAACGCAAGCGGGCTCCCAGCGAAGAAGCCGAACCTACACCCGAAGTCAACCAGCTGAGCCGCCTTGACCCCAACCAATCAACCCCATATGTGTTGTGTGCGCGCAGTTTCCCACGAACCGGCGCTCCCATCATGAACGATGTCACCATGCACAAGCATGCCTCTATCTTTGCCAAGCCGTTGGCGGAACGTGATGCTCCTGGGTACCGAGACCTCATTTATCGACCACAGGATCTCAAGTCCATAAAGACATTGATGCACCAAGGTAGTAGGGCTGTTGCTGCGGCCACAGAAGCTGCTAGCACCCCTGCGGGCGATGGCGAGTCCCCGGCTCCTGGTACCGGCACACCCTCCAAGAATGCCGTCCTGATGCTCCAGAAGACAGAGGAAGTCATCCCGCCTAAAGGGATCGTCAATTCGGCGCAGCTCGAGAAGGAGCTGATCCGCATGTTTGCGAACGCAGTCATGTTCAACCCCGTCCCGCAGCGTGGGTTCGGGCCTGGCTTTCCCATGGTCAGCGACAGCGGCTCGCGGGCAAGCACGCAGGTGCCCGAGCTGGATGAGGGCGGCATTATCAAGGACACATTGGAGATGTTCGAGGATGTCGAGCAAGCCGTCACGCGATGGCGGGCAGCCGAGCGAACCGCCGACGAGCTGACCAGCAAGAGCATTCTGTCGCTCCGACGCGGCAGCGCAAGTGATCCCATGACGGACAGTGCAGACGAGGTCAAGGGGTCATGACTTTTGCTTGCGATAACGATTTCAAGAGAAACCTATGTAATAATAAACCAACGGAGAGATGTAGACTTTTCTTCTTCCAAGTGATATCATTGAGGCTTGTCTATTCTATAATCATAAGCTAGCTTTTTTGGTCGACCACCCCTATACCCATGTGGCACATATGCAGAGAAGGAAAATGAAAGAGAATCGAGTCATATACATCATGAAAACCCCAAAGTCACGGACGGTCCCGTGTGTCATTCGCGACTCAGCTCACGCCGACCCGGAGATCGCCTGGCTGGGCTTCGTCCTGCCCAAGCCCTCCTTGGCATAGAAATCCATCGGGTACACGCCATTGTTGGCCGTGTCCCAGCTCTCCCTAATCCCCAGCGCGATCAACGCCTCGTACGGCGTCAACAGCGGGCGCGGGAACGCATAACCCCAGTCAATACTCAGCCGAGGACAAGCGATCTGCACCCAGCACTCGACATCGGCCATCGCGCCCAGCTTACCGGGGAAGATCTCGCTCAACAGCAAATTCACAAACGGGATCCCCTTCTCCTTCAAATGGTTCTCGATCATCGCCATGGTATTAGGATTCCCCTGGCGACCCAGCGCGCCCAGAATAATGCCCCACTTCTTCGCAGAGCGGGCGGACTGAATCGCGTCGCGGCGGAGGGTGTGCATCTCGTCGTGCTCGTAGCTCTCGCGCGAGAGGACACGGGCGTAGGGGTCGTAGCGGTAGGCGGGGATAGCGGGGTTATGGATCATGGCGGACTCGAGGTGGAAGCGGCCGTCGCCGAGGTAGAGAAGGTAATCGATCTGGTCGGCGGCGAGAGTGGGGGAGGTGCAGCCGAGGATCTCGCCCTTGGAGAGCGGGGTGATCTGGGGGATCACGACCTTGAACCCGGCGCGCTCCAGCACGGGCTTCAGGCCGTGCAGCGTGGCGTTGAACTGGATGGTGCCGACGGTGGCGATGGTGCGGCCGGGCTGGAAGTTGCGCTCCAGCGTGGCCAGCAGGTGCGTCGTGTCGATGCTGATGTCCACGAAGATGTACAGCGTCTTGATCTGTGTCACGTCCACGGGGATCAGGCAGCTGTGCGCGTAGTGCACCAGCAGGTCGCATCCCAACGCCCGCGCCGTGTAGTCGTCGATGCAGCACGCCCCGTACGTCACGTCCCCCATGATCAGCGTCTCGATCCCCGCGCAGAACTGCGTCAGGATGTCTGAGATCGTCGTCGCGAAGATGAGGAGTCCCTCGGGAAATTGCAGCGCTACACGCTTTGCGCCGGAGGTGCGGATCCGGTGAATTGTCTTGGGAATTTCGAAGGAGTAGTTTTTCGGTAGCAGCCCAATTGCCGCTTGGATGTCGGGGTCTTCGAGGATCGAAGCGGGGACTTGGTTCAGTGTGCGCGGTGTGCGTCGTGGTGTCGCTGTATTGATGAATAGTGTTAGTGGTGGGGTCCTGGGGTTGAGGTGAGGTTCCAGGGGGTGTGGTTGCGTACCTTTCTGTATGCTCGTCGTCTCGACATCTTGGTGGTTTGATCCCTCCTTCTGTGCTTGGGCGTCGGCGGTGCGTCGGCCCACGAATCGCTTCTTGGGCTGTCGGAGCGGGTTACTTGACGGCGTCGCCGGTTGAGTCGTCGATGTGCCCTCCATGACGGCGCAATGGAATCGAGTCTGGTGGTTGCACAGTCGCCGAACAGTTGCACTGAATCTATCGAAGTGGGCTGAGGATAATTTAATTCTGACTAAGGAAAGTGGCGGTTCAAGGCTGGGTCAGGTGGGGTCACGGGCTCGGTCGTCGGCCTCTTCTCCGCATTTGGAGGATCATCACTACTGCCATCACCCCATCATCCCCTCATCCATCTTCGATCTCTCGAGATTCACCTGTCTCGGATCCTGCCCTGCTGAATGCATCCTGCACACCCTTTACCTGCTGACCCCCTATTCATTTCATCATGATGCCCTTCAAGCCCAGAATGCGCCTCTTCTCCGTCCTGCGCTCCGCTCCAGCTGCCCGCCGCTTTGCGACCGAGGCGCGGCTAACCTCGGACCATGTTCGTATCGTCGAGGTTGGCCCCCGCGACGGACTGCAGAACGAAAAGAAGGCCATCCCGCTGGAGACGAAGCTGCAACTCATCAGCAAGCTGGCCAAAACGGGCCTGACGACAATTGAGGCCGGGTCTTTTGTTCCCGCGAAATGGGTGCCTCAGGTACGGTGCTATCCTTGCTCCTTATACATAGTAAAGCAGCTTTTCAATTAAGAAGAGGGGGAGACTGCCTTTTGTGATGTCTCGAGGGAGGTTGATGGTATTGAAGGACCATGGTCTAATCTACCACCGGTGGAACGATAGATGGCAAGCACAGCCGAGATCTGCGAGCACCTGCTGCAATCGCCGCCGGAGGCGCAGAACGTGATCGCCTACAACTACCTGGTGCCGAACGTCCGGGGCCTGGAGAACCTCATCAAGGTACTAGACGCCACCGGCGTCCCCGCCGACACGCCCTTGAAATCCTCCACCACCACCGAGATTTCGCTGTTCGCGGCCGCGACCGAGGCCTTCTCGAAGGCGAACACAAACTGCACCATCGACGAGTCGCTGGAGCGCATCCGGCCGGTGGTTGCCCTGGCGAAGACGCGCAATATCCGGGTACGTGGGTATGTCTCCGTGGCGCTAGGATGTCCTTACGAGGGCCCCGAGGTGTCACCGGTCAAGGTGGCGGATATCACGCGCTCGCTGCTGGAGATGGGCGCCGATGAGGTCTCGGTCGCGGACACCACGGGCATGGGCACCGCACCCCGCACGATGGAGCTGCTGCAGGCGTTGCGGGCTGCTGGCATCGCTAATACGGATTTGGCGCTGCATTTTCATGATACCTATGGCCAGGCCCTGGTTAATACGATTGTGGGGCTGGAGCATGGGATCCGCGTCTTCGATAGTAGTGTCGGCGGGCTCGGGGGCTGTCCGTACTCCAAGGGCGCGACGGGGAATATCTCGACGGAGGATTTAGTCCACACAATCCATAGTCTAGGGATGAACACGGGGGTCAATCTGGAGGAGATGGCCAGGATTGGGGCGTGGATCAGTGGGGAGCTGGGGCGGTTCAATGAGAGTCGGGCTGGCAAAGCGATCCTGGCGAGGAGTGAGGAGGGTAAGTAGATGGCTGGGAGTAAGCTGGAGCAGATAGTGATTGCATTGGGAGTTAGCATGGCGACGAAGTAAGGAAGATATCGGCGCTTTCCAGATAGCGAGAACGCAGCTGGGAGTTTGTGTCATGGTAAAGAGAGCAGTCAGTACTTCCGAAGGCGGTACTGTACATACAATCATAAACAAATGAAACGTCCTTTTCTCATCGAGATATCGTACAAATCGATCCGATATACACACAGACTTACTATACACATGCCCCAACCACACCAGAGACTATAAAACACCCCTCCAGAATCAATGCCTACCCCTCGCGCAGACAAAGTATACCACTAACCCCTCTCCTTCCCCTCAAAGTCCCCAACCGAAAACCTCTACCCTCTAAAAATCCGTAACCCGACCCCCATAACTCCAATCCCCACCACTCCCCCACCGCAACGGCTCATTCTTGGGGCCCCCGATCTCGCCCGTCTTAGGATTCTTCTCGCCCTCGAACTCAGGCTTCAGCCCCGCCTTGATATCCGGGTGCAGTTCCTCGCCTTTACCTGTGGCCTTGATCTCCGCAGCACCCGAGTCGACCGGGGACTGGTTGACGCGCGGGGTGCTGAAGGCGCCGGTGGATTGGCGCTGTAGGGATTCGAAGATCTCTTGTTGTTCTTGTGGGAGGCGTGGTGGGGAGGGTCCGCGGGTGAAGGCGAAGGGGGGTTTATTGTCGTTGTTTTCTGGAGAAAGGGCTGGGGCGGTAGTTGTGAGCGTTCTTGGTTGTTGGATTGTTTTGGGGAGGATTATGGTAGAGGAGGAAGGGCGTTTGGTGAGGAGGCGGCGGGTTGTTTGGAGGAGGGTCATTTTCTTTGTTTGTTGGTTGTTGTTGTTGTGGTTTAATTCGGTTTGGTTGGTGGGGATGAGGATGATAGTGTGCTATCAGGTTATCAGGTTGGATTGACAGGAATGAATTTGGAATTGTGTTCCAACTGGGTTGTCTAGAGAAGAAGAGAAAGAAGAAGAGATGCGGAGTGGCGGAGGAGAAATTGAGGCACTCTACCGATAAGCCTGATTGTCCCGATAGCCGCGTCGGAGTCTCGGCATTTTGCTGTGGCGTCGGCCGATGATGGTTGGTCAAGAGTGCACTGTAGACCAACCTGCCTCGCTAGTGGTTGTGTAGCAGTATCTCATCCATTCGATACTTGTCGGTATACCTGGGAATAATGGTCGAGAATGATTTTTATGGCTCCAAACAAAGCATTTCGACAGCTGATAAGGAAGGCCATTAAAGTCACGTGGGGTACTAAGCCATGACCGGAAAGACAGCTTCACTTTGGTTCAACAAGGTTCCAATCCACTCTCTCGTTATCAATCATCCACGTCATGTCATGCCCATCGATTACATGCCCATTGCGACCAGAATAGCACTTTGCTCGTATTTTTTCTAATGGCACCAATTTCAGTGTGCTTTGCCTTCACAAGACCCTCCTTGTAGTTTCTCATCCCCCTTAGTCTCCCCTCTTCACCCTCCTTCCTTGGTTATGTCTTCGTCGTCCAGAGTAGACGAACCATCAATGTTGCCTCTTCCTGGAGCGCCATCTTCGTCATGGGCCCAGTTTCGTGGACGCCTCGCGGCTTTATTCCATGGGGCTGATCCGCGAGTATGCGTGGCTTTTTGGCTCTTTGGTAAGCCTCTATTCTGCCTATCCCTGGGGTTGTTGTTATAGCCAAGTCAGAGAAAGCAGTACTGATGGATGCTTGGGAGTCACCTGCGTGAATCGCGGCAGGCTTGATCAATAATGTCCTCTATGTTGTCATTCTGTCTGCGGCCCTGGATCTCGTCGGTCCTGACCTACCGAAAGGCGTCGTGCTGCTCGCAGATGTTATCCCCTCGTTCGGCACCAAGCTGGTGGCTCCATACTTCATCCAGGTGGTGCCGTATCCCGTCCGGGTCCTGATCTTCGTCACCTTCTCTACTACTGGAATGCTGCTCGTCGCGCTGAGTCCGGCCTATACTGACGGTGGGACGATCTCCACGAAGCTCGCAGGCATCATCCTGTCGAGTATGTCCAGTGGAGGAGGCGAGCTCTCCTTTCTTGCTCTCACCCACCACTACGGGCCGTTCAGCCTGGCTGCCTGGGGAAGTGGAACAGGGGCTGCAGGCTTGGTGGGCGCTGGCGCATACGCTCTGTTAACCACCTCCTTTGGCTTCAGCGTCAAAGCGACCCTGCTGGCATCCGCCTTCTTGCCAGCGGTCATGGTCATAAGCTTCTTCACCATTCTGCCCCAGTCGCCGGTTCGCTCGTTCTCCGCGGGGAGGGCAGGCCACCGTTCTCGCGAAGAAATGGATCGTTATGATGACAACGATGAAAGGGAACAGCTACTCGACTCGTCCAGCGATGTAAGTCAGGCCCAGAAAGCAACAGTTGCTAGTGATAGCGGTCTTGGCTGGCAGACCTTCAAGGCCAATCTACGCCGGTCTAAGGGGCTCTTCTTTCCATTGTGAGTGTACTCTGGGAACGTTGGGGTTGAAAGCAGAATCTGACGTTGATACAGTATGCTACCACTGCTGCTAGTCTACGTCGCCGAGTACACCATCAACCAGGGTATCGCCCCAACCTTACTTTTCCCCCTCAAGGACTCCCCCTTCGATCACTACCGCGCATTCTACCCAGCCTACAATGCGATCTACCAAGTTGGGGTCTTCATCTCCCGATCTTCTACCCCCTTCTTCCGCGTCCATGATCTGTACTTCCCGTCGTTGTTACAGTTTTTGAACTTGGTTATTCTGACGCTGCACTCGCTGTTCAACTTCATTCCCAGCGTGTGGTTGGTGTTCGGCATCGTGTTCTGGGAAGGTCTTCTTGGTGGAATCGTGTATGTCAGCACTTTTGCTGAGATCGCCGATCGGGTGCCGGTGGCGGAACGGGAGTTCTCGCTCGGCGCCACCACCGTGAGTGACTCCGGCGGCGTGTGCATTGCCGGATTCATCAGCATGGCGTTTGAGGTCTGGCTCTGTGATTGGCAAGTTGCGCGGGGACGGGACTACTGTCGCAGATTATAGAGATCTCTTCTGCATAGACCACATCTTTTATGAGAGCACAGAGTAATAATAATACCGACAACGGATTAATGACTGCATGCAACAATTGGGGGATGGAATGCGGCGCAGCTGATCTGGCGAGGGTCACGGGATCCGGGGGGAAGTCTTGACATGTGACCGAAGACAGTCTCACCGACTTCTCCTTCAGTCCGTCATTCATCCTCCTCTCCGCTTCATTCAGTCATTCAGTCAGTCAGTCAGTCAGTCATTCATTCATTCATTCATTCATTCATTCATTCATTCATTCATTCATTCATAAAACTTCCCCACCACTAGCACCACTTCTGCATCAAAATAAGCGCAGATCGATTCGCTCCGACCACAACCTCAAGCCGGCTTTTACCCCGGATGAATCAGCCCCACGTCACTAGGGTCCGCCAGCAGGCATGCCCTGGTGGGGATTTCACATGCTCGGCTGAGCTTCGTGGGCTTCTCCGTATCCATGGCTGACGGACGCTCCATATTGTGGCCACCATGGCGCATCAGGCAGATTGTTCTCCTTTCCTTGTTTGGTCTCTGTTTTCAGACATCTGTTCCCCTTTCGACCGACTCCTCTCCTCACCTTCCCATTCACGTCATTGTATGCTATGCCTTTGCTCAAATGTATTGCCCGCATGATTTGATTCTCAATACATGATCCTCTGGATGTCTCCCTAGACTTCTATATCTTTCTCTTAGACTTACGCTTGATTATAAAATATGATAGGTAAGCTACACAGTGGCATCCCGCACGATCACGATCTGTCGAACACTTCCTCACAAACGGCCCAGACCACCTTTTAGGAAGACCGTCCACCAAGTTTCGAAAGATACAGGTCCTAGCTGTGTTCGCATTCTGGTCGCTATATCTGACAAGGTACGAGGCCAGCGAAGTTATCCAGTCCTGCTGTTGCGCACGCTGACCGACGCAGGGGAAATAAGCATGGCCCGCCCGTGATTCGCAAACTCTCCTCCCGGCTCACGGAGAAGCTCAGCGCCTGGCAAACCACCGTGATCATCTTCCTTTGGCTGTATGTCAGCCGTAACTTCGCGAAGATCGTCGGCCTCGAATGTCCAGAGCCACTGGCAAATCTATACTCGCGCTCTTTCTTCCGAGCAACATGGATCGCCACCGCTTTGGATGCCGGGTTCTGGACCGCGATGAAAGTCAAGCCCAAGTGGCTGCGAGACATCGCATCGTTGGTCTTTACCGTGTACTATCTCATTGCTGCAGAGCGGGCCGATGAGAAAGTCCGTCGAGTCCGGGCCACACTGACGCTGGAGCACATGCGTGTCTCGTGGAATAAGGGGACTTCGCCGTATCTGTGGGCGCTGGCGAATTTGGCGCGTCCACGACTCACCAAGCATGCTCCCCGCGCGATCCGGATTCCTCGACCGTCGTCCTCGATATACGATCAGCCGACCAATGCATGGCTGTACTTTGATGGTCCATTAAGCGCACTCAGGGACCAAACATGCATTGTACTAGATATACCTGGCGGAGGGTTTGTTTCGATGAGCCCTCGCAACTCAGAGGATAGGCTGTTAAGTTGGGCTGCTAGAACGAAAGTCCCGATTTTGAGTCTGGACTACAAGAAGGCGCCGGAATTTCCTTATCCGTACGCTCTGAATGAATGTTACGACGTTTACCACACGCTCGTGTCCACACGTGGTCGCTGCATCGGACTCAATGGACAGACCCACCCTCGAATTGTCGTCACGGGTGACAGTGCTGGCGCGAATCTTGCCGTAGGCATGACGCTGATGGTTCTTCAGTCTGGCAGCGCGGATGCATCACACTGGCAGGGGCAGAACGTACTTCCTCGGCCGGACGGACTAGTCCTGGCTTATCCCGCATTGAACATGAAGATCGAAAGCTGGATGACAGAAGAGCAGATGGCGCTGATCCAGGAGAAAAGCACTCGCCGGACCAACCAGAACATCCTGCAGCGCAAGAACATGGACTATCAGCGCCTCACCCCTTTCACTTCTCCTGGCGCATCCTTTGCCGACCTCCAGCAAGACTCCTGCTCCGACCTCGACCTCGAAGTCAGCAACCTTCCTGAAAAAGCGACACGCAAACTCGCTCGACACAAATCAGCGCTCCAGGCCCAAGAGGCCGAGGCGGCCGCAGTCGCCGAGCATCAGCCCAAACAGATCCGTACGCGCCTGGCCGTCTCGTCGGTGATCTCGTACGTCCAAGACCGCGTCCTTACCCCGGAGATGATGCGCGCAATGATCATTCTGTATATCGGCCCGCACAACCGCCCCGACTTCAACACAGACTACCTCCTCTCCCCGACCCTCGCCCCCGAAGCCCTCCTGGCGCGCTTCCCCAAGACCTACATCATCACCGGCGAACGCGACCCTCTCGTCGACGACACGGTGATCTTCGCCGGCCGCCTCCGCCAGGCCAAACTGCGCCACTTCCAGGAGCGGCAGGACCTCGGCCTCGAGAAATCCCACCGCGCCTTCAATGACAAGGACCACGTTGAGGTATCATTGTTGCCGGGCGTCTCGCACGGCTTCATGCAGATGGCTGGCTTCTTCCCGGAGAGCTGGAAACACATCAGCCGCTGCGCCAGCTGGATCAGCGAGCTGTTCGAGCTGTCCGCCTCGAAGACATCCTCCTCAAGCATCCTGGTGCAATCCCTCCACGATCCGGACCAAATCGCCACCAAGAAGAAATCCCATCCTCCTCCGCTCCACAGCATCCACCACCTCCTCCACAATCATCGCACCCGCAACCGCAACCACAAACGCCGGCTGACAGGCGAGTCCTCGGCCGACGAAGACAAACCTCTAGAAATGAGCATCAGCAAACTCACCCCGCTGACCCCGTTGTGCAGCAGCAAATCCGTCGGACGCACCGCCCCAAACGGGGACCCAGATCCAGAAGCAAACGGCGCCACCCGCATCCGCAGCGTCTCGCGCGGCCGCTCCACCGCCCCCGGAACCAAAGTACAACACCGCGTCCCCGCCAAGCTGAGCCTCCCACCTGAGGACCCCGAAGAGGAGGAAGAGGGCTATGCGTCGGAAGACTACCAGAGCCCCGTGGCTATGATCGCGCTGCGCGAGCGTAACCGGAGCATGAATAGCTTGGCGAGCGAGGAGGATCTGCTGGATCGGCGGATGAGCGGGTTGGCCGGGGGGTTGATGGGGATTGGGGAAGGGGCGCGGACGCCTTGAGTTGGGGAATTTATGTGATTTAGTATTATAGATCGGATATATTACATCTTTCCTTATGTATTATGGGACTCTCGGTGTATACAAAGCATGTCATTTGTCATTGTGAACAAGCCATTTTATATCATGCGTAGACACTCATGCTAGATCAGGCGTATATTTCAATCTCTACACTATATGTACTGCTGTCTAGCTACATACATCCACATGTACACCGAACCGCTTCAAAGCCATCACCTACACCACCCTATCCTAACCGTTCACCTTATCCAGATACTACCATGGAACACCTAAGCAGTATACCCACCGCGCTGCTGCAAACTCCCGATACGCCCCAAGAGGAACTCCACCTGCCGATACGCGGCACCAGGCACATACTGCGGGATTTCTGCGACATCAATCCGCGGTTAGCAATCACACGTCCACAAACCCTACCCCTTCATCCCTAAATACAAAGAACACAGAGAAGGGGAGAAACATACCATGCCCGGCCAAAAACACCGACGAAAAAGTGAGCCCACGCTCGGTATACGCCGTGCCCAACAACCCCGCGCCCGCATCGAGGATAAACGGATCCGGCTCGGTACCCTCAGACAGCTCCTGCAGGCCGTAATGGTAAGGCACGAAGAGCGGGTGGGTGAGCGGGTCCCGGGTGAAACCCTGGGTGCCGTGCCAGGTCATATTCTGGATCGTGGCTAGGGTGCCGTTCAGGATCAGCAGGTAGTCGAGCCAGCCGTGGCCGATGAGCGTGTTGTTGGTGCGTTCGATCACGCCGGGGAGGACGGTCCAGGCGCTTGGCGGGGAGGTATCGCCGTTCAGGAAGATGGGGTTGTCGCTGCAGACGGAGTAGTCTGTTGGTGGGACGTGGAGAGCGCGCTGTACGTCGGTGCGGTTGAAGTAGTTGTTTGGGCCGGTGCCGAGGGATGGGAAGCCCATTAAGTCCCAGAGGTACGGGCAGAAGTCCGTTAGGTGGTAGTAATTGAAGCAGGGGTTGATGTTGTATGCGGCGCTGATGATCTCGTCCCAGATTTGGCAGTCTTCGGTTATTGGGGGTGCGGCGGGGAAGGGGTGGGCCGGTGGGTATTGGATCGCGGCGTCGAGGAAGGCGTTGAAGCCGCAGGTGTCGGCGCGGGTGTTGATGTAGCTGAGGAAGGTGCTGTTGAGCGCGAAGATGTTGGTGTAGTGGTTTAGGTGCCGGGCTGCGGGGGCTGATTGGGGGTTTAGTTAGTGTTGTGTTTGGGAGGGAGGAAGGGAAGGGTTACCGTAGATCATGACCGAGTCGTCGTTGATGGACGGGTCGTTGATTTGAACGCCCTTCACGTTGAAGTAGGTCTTGTCCTCTTCGTCGAGCATCGCCGACGCGATGTACGGGACGTACATCCCTGCGTAGCTCTCGCCCGTCAGGTAGACTTTGCGGCCGTGAAGGCTGAAGGTGTCGACGAAATGCTTGAACCAGCTCTTGAATTGCGCGGCCACGTCCTCTTCGTTGTTGACCGTCGACGGGCCGGGCGAGAAGCCCGCGCCCGCCGGCTGGTCGACGTACACCACGTTCGTGAGGTTGGTCCAGGAGTACGGGTTCGGGACAGGCTTGTAGGTGCCGGATTGCCACAGGAATGGGCCATTCTCTTGGAGGAGCCCGTCCAGGGAGCTGCAGCCCGGGCCACCGTTCAGCCAGATAAGGATCTAGCTCGTTAGTCTCGGGGTTGTGGTGGGGACAATACGGCTGATGCTAACCTCGTCACTGGCATTGGCATTCTGCGAGGGGAAGAACCAGAAGAAGAGGCTGCTATTGCCTGTAGGTGTGTTCGGTAAAAGACCAGCGTACGATTCTCCCACGTCGAAATCCACTTCCGGGATGCCGGTACCATTGACCAGAAACCCTGGCTATGTGAGCAAGACACTACTTCAGGAGCGAGGCTAAACCCACTTGCGGTCTTATTGGTCAAGTACGAATAATCGGTGACACTACTTCTGGGGACCGATGCAGCTCGAGGGGTCAATGCTTTACTCTGAGGTGCAACAACAGCGCGACGGTGAGGGCTTTGCAGGCTGGCGACAGAGCCCACCAGAAGCAATGACGCAATGGCTGTTGTCAAATGCATCGTGAGTTTGGCTATGGATTGACTGACTCTTCGAACCAGGCCTCAATCGCCGGCCAGGGTGCATGTCCAGCCTACTTATAGGTTTGCGTGGGGACAGAGGGGCACGCATCGCAAGCAACGTGATGGCCGTCGCCCCACGTCATGACCAGAGCATCTCCTTGCCGAGATAGGAGACCGACTGTGTGTTTGAGACAAGCTCATCTCCGCCGTGAGGGGAGAAGCGGTTATTACCGCCGGAAGCCCGGGGGCTATCCAGATTGTGGATCACATCCGATACGCACTGGTTGAATTAGTCTGTCGCTCTGCGGAGGCGGCAGCAAATCACAGCCTATACGTAGTTGGACCCGCGAGTGAAAGCAAGGCGATAGATAATAATCTGCAAGTCGATTGACGGCAATCAATGGTGGGTATCCGTTGAGCATTTCGGTTGGACAAGGGTTTCCCAATGAACGAAAGATCGGCGGGTGGGGAAGATTCTGCCATCTTGCACCTGATGAGGTGCTCATACAATCGAAATGACTACGCATGCATGCATCATATGTGCATCGGACCATTCGTGAGCAATCGCAACCCACCTCAATCCTGGTCGCCGCAAGGGCCACAGTGAGATTCGCACTGGACAGGCAATCCTTGCCGTTGCAACCGCTGCACGTACAGATCACGGCTTCAACTTACGGGGACAAGGTACCATGCGCTTTTGTGTTAATTATATCCGATGCGGTTCGGTTGCAATCTAGGCGCAGCAGATCCTGGTGGTTTCACGGAGGACTGGTTGAGTGTAACGTGCTTTTCATCTCGTAAGTGTAGTCAAAGACCAGCTAGCTAGGAATCACACTCAATCGAGGGGAACGTCCGAAATCATGGGAAAACGAAGTCAGGGGATCCTCAAGCATCAGTCTGGTACTCCTGGTAGGTATGCCACTTTTGACGGCCTTCACAATCCTTCAAATTTGCTCGAAAGTTGGTGATGAGAGGGTGGAGAAGTAAACTTTGCGATGTTAGTCACTGCAGCGCATATTTGGCGGCGCAGGCAAATATGGTCGTTGCAATTACCGGCAGCCTTTAATACTTACATCGGAAGCTGCCAGTGGGTATGATCGAAGACCTTGCCCTCTGAGCTTCTGGCTTCATGTGTACCTTGCTTCTGGGAGCTTCGAGGCAGGTATAATTCGGGGGGCATTACTATGTCAACTCTATGTTTTTTGGGCTCCTCATTCAAATTAGGCGGAATCAAACCTATAGGTCCTAATATTAGACGTGGTGGACATATATTTTGCAAGCTCGATGAGAAATGGTCTCTGTGCCCGTGAAAATCACGTTGGACGAAATATATCTTTCCTTACTCTTGCTTGCACGACCAACAGGCTTTGTTGACAGACGAAATGCCGTTAATCTCACTCGACAGAAGAGACGTCTTGCTTTAGTGTCGGGTTCTCGAATCACTGTACTATCTGCCTGCCAATGCTTGCCGGGATCCGAAGGTGCTGCTGATGAGTATGCCTGGAAAGTCGTCGATCGGCATATGCAGCGTTTGTTGATCGCGTACCCTATCATCTTCCAGAGAGACTACCACAGGGTTCCAGGGCCACGTTGTTCAACTGGGGCAATTGTTGGGCAGCTCCTGCTGTTTATCGCTGCGAGCCAGCCGCAAATTGCGCGCCTGGGCCAGGACGGCGGGCCGACCTTGGAATTTCGGGATTGCAGTGTTCTCCGGAGGCTTAACATGGCTGGGCCAGATGAGAAATGGATTGGATCGGATCATCACTAGTCTTGTCCTTTTAACCATGTTTCTGCCATGGTTGGCTCATTCGTTTAGAGTATGAACCGGACAGTAAGTTCCATCGGATTGCGCTGCTGTGTAGGATGCTAAGTTGGACAACAGAAAAGCCGATCTGTTGCTACAACGCATACCTTTTGGCAGTCAGCCGCAGGGACGCTATGCTGCTGTTTTCGACTCAGTCGGTACGGTCTTCCAGCTCTCGTAAAGACGTCTCTGAGACACGCGATCAGTATTGAGATGGCTGGACGGGTGACAGGCCTATTTCAATACTATTGTGAGGAGGGGGCGAACACGAACCTAGACTGCGCCAGAACCCTTTGGCCCTCGTACGGTCCCCGTCTCAAAGCCAAGAGAAGTATTGAGTGACAGGTCATAAAGAAGGCGTGTTGATCGATTGGTATGTTGTTGCAGCAAAGTATTGATACGAAGGGGCACGGGAGTGGCGGAGGATGGTGTCGACAGCTCACTGGATGGCATCAGCGCCATTTGACGGGACGATCGCTAGACTATCGATTGGGTGGGAATCAGTGGACGGGCGGCGTCCCTTTTTGATCGTTTGAGTTTGGTGGGGGATGAAGTCATGAGTAAGAGAATGTTAGTTAACTAATGGTGTGTGAAGAGTCAATTCCGATACTATACAGACGGCTAAGGATGGTCGAACCCAAAGCAGTCAAGGGCCTTTAGTCTTCCGCACCAATGAATATTCCTCCTTCTCCTCCTTCCACTCCTCATCCTCGTCGCGATGCATTAATAAGGACTGGCTGATACAGTATCCTCCGTGAGTGGCTTCGAGTGCCAAGCCTCTGGGCAATTGATTGCTTTGATGACCGACAAATGGATGCTGATCTCCTGAGGAAATGAATCATTACCACCGATAATTGCGTGCTCTCCCCATCTCCGCCTCAGTGCCTATCCTGTGCCTGTGTGCCTCTCCCCTCGGGTCTCCCTCTCCTCCTGTTTATTTGATCGGGACCTTTCCTATTTATTTATCCCCTTTGCATCAGCTACCCTCGTTCCTGCAGTTGGGTCGCACAGACTCATGGCCCTCTCTTTGTCCGGTGCTTCCATCGTGTCACCCATTGGCCCCTTCTGAAGAGCTGGATCGAATGGTTCGGTATCATCGTCAGTGCAACCCCGGACTACAAAATCCTTCCTACGGTCAAGCTTCGCTCAGTCAGACGGTCATTACGAGTAATCTCATAAAATGCGCAATTCTTGATTTGCGCACGCTTTCCCATTGATGGCTCCTGCGACACACGCCCGTGTCGCCGACGATGGCGCGCAGCAACTTTTAGAGCCACCGGATTACGATTCTTACTCCTGGGTGTTACTCGAAGACCATCCGCTTCGATATCATCCCACTGAATGCTGCCCAGGAGTCTGGTGGATGGTCCAGCAGTGCCACGCCACGTTCCGGAAGCAATGGAGCGATCGCATATTCTCGATCATCTGCCTTTTGTTGATGCTCGGGTATGTCAACACTTGATTGAAGCATATATTCAAATGATACTGACTGAATGATACCTAGAGTGGTTGTGCAATTCCTATCAGTACTGCCTGATGCATTCTCTTATCTCTTCTTCCATGAGCACTACACAGCTCAGGCGGGGTTTGTTCATTGGCCTGCAGAATTTGATGGTCAATCCGCTGCCTGCATTGCGTATAACCCACATTCGCACCCGGATGCCATTCACTATGCATTGCGGCTGGCTGCACGGGGATCAAGGCGGATATCTGGCTTCAGGGCGAGGGGTTCTTTGTCGGTAACCCCCACGCGAGTCTGCGACCACACCTCACCCTGCGCAATGTATACCTGGATCCTCTGCTGCAGCGCCTCGAGGATAAGCAGACTTCGGAAGGCTCATTGCTGCCTACCTCGACAACCCATCGCGGGACTGATGATGACGAGTCGTTTGTTCTATTCTTGGAGATTCGATCGCCGATCCGAGAGGGCTGGCCTCATCTTTTCACCGAGCTTCAGCGTTTGATTGCAGGAGGGTATGTTACTCACCGCAACGGTACCCGGATCGTCTCGAAGGCTGTCACCATTGCCATTGTAGGAACGGACAACGAACATGTCAGTCATATTTACGACGCATTTCCGAAAGACCCCATCCAGGATAGCATCTTTCTCGATGAACGATCAGCCATAGCAGGACCCAACGCAGCGACCACACCTTCGGAGGACAAGGTTCAACTTTTCAAAGGCAAGGATAGCCTGTCACGGCAGTCCTGGAAAGAGTGGAAAGGCCGAAATTCGACACCGAAAGAGGTACAGGCCGATGTACCATCGCCGCTCACCACGACTGTCGACTTTAGCCAGGCCATCGGATCCCCGCATCGAGGACGGCTTTCTCGAGCGCAGCTCGAGTTAGTCCGAGCTTATGTGGAAGCGGCCCATCACCTCGGACGCAGGGCGCGATTTGAGAATATCCCATGTTGCTCGAAGGAGATGCGGCTCGTTATTTGGCGGATCCTGGTCAATGAAGGCGCAGACTTTATCGATGTCGACTGGACAGGGTGTCCCCGCCGAGGATGGCGACAGTTCTTAGCGGTCGGTCGGGGTAGTTGATAGATCAGATGCCGTGTAGAAACCCTTTCAGCCTTGAATAGTCCTAATCAAGCTGCGCGTGCTGTACATAACAAGAAGAAAGACATCCCGTATTAAGACCTGATACATTGTCGAGGCTGGTTCTAACCTGAGCCGGCGGATTGAATACTGAAGATTATCTACGACCGGTGCACGGACCGTTAGGCATCGATTCTAACCAGTCCGTGACACTTGCGCGACAGAACGTCCAACCGCGGCGATCGAAGGAAGGGTAAGCAGGGTGACCTCGTCCTGCAATCGGACCGACGCAAGGGGAGAGAGAGCTCTCGCCTCTCTTCCCCTCTGCTGTGTAGCGATGATTGTGGCAAGCGGGCCAGCCTGCCCAGTGTCTAATGCGACACACTTCGCAGAACACACGGCTGCGGTCTGTCCAGCTGGAATGGTCGATCGTTTGGGGAAGAGCAGCAGCATGGTATGTGCTAGGTGTTCATTGAATATACCGTAAGGCACTGTACCCTGTCTGTATTTATTGTCGTATAGTATTGACTGGAAGAGAAGAGACGCAAAGCGACTGCTCAAGTAAGCCGAGCAAGATCCTACTCGGTGTAACCATCAAGAAAAAGATAGCATCATCATTCATGGTAACAGGCCGATCCCCCGGACTTTCCTTCCATGGAAAACGGCCCCAGGATCGGCAGATTGTCACGCACTGCAGGTGGAGACCAACAAAGTGTAGTTCAAGTACTCACTGTATGTACTGTACATACTTTGTGTGCCGGAGCAAGCTGCGGCCGGAGACAGACACTGTCTATAAGATTGAAACCCTGTCAAGAGTTGACCATGGATCTGCCCCATTCATAGTCAGTCATACATGAGGGGCTCTTGGTGTTCATCAGTTTGATGGCCTTCAATGTGTGATTGGGAGGGTGCATAACACGTCGCTGGCTGCAGGGTCGATTAAGACCTAAAAGATATTGGGCAGTGGAGTGGAGAGGGGAATGCAGAATCGAGGAGAAGAGAAGGACGAGAGGGGTAAAGCATACCTAAGAGGTACTGTATGTATCGTACAAACTTACCTATACTATAGTCTAAGGTAAGTGTACTGTGTACTCCGTGCTGTTACTACTGTATGTAAGTACTGTACATACTGATTGTAGTCCAGTTGGTGCCTTATTTCTTAACCTTTTTATTTTTCTTCTTCTTAATATTTTTCCTTATTCTGCATGGGTCCACCCCGTTTTTCCCCGCTGCCACGACGGCCCCATCCTGCTAGTTTCCCTCGCATTCCCTGGTCCGTCTCGTCTGCTGCTGCTCGTCTTCACTTTTTCCTTTTCTCCCCCTTCTCCTAGTCTGGTTTTGCATCCGGCTTGATTGGTACAGCCACAGATTGTAGTTTAGGAGAGAGAGGTAGTAATCTTCCTAGTCTTCTTACAGTTGGAGAGAGATCCATCCATCCATCCATTCATCCACTCATCCATCCATTACTCACCGTTTTTCTTCGTGTTCTCTTCTCTCTTTTCCTTTCATCTCTTGTCTTTTCCTCTCCAAACCTCCTCCTTCTCTCCCTCATCCCATCATTCCTACTCGCACTCCTCTCTCCTACTCAGCGGGATTGGCTCTCTTCCAGTTGAAATCCAGCTTCTCAGAACTAGGTGAACAGGATTTGTTGCTTCACTTTGCCAGATACACTCTGGGAGGGAAAATAAATTGATGCTGGTGCTGCTGGTGCTCGCCTGCTGAAACTCAGCTTCCACCGCCATTTCGACAAAACCCCCCTCCATCCGCGCCCGAACGCAACCCAACACACAATCTCTGTCATCGTCTTTCTTTCCGATCTCTGCTTCGCTCACTCACCATGATGATGGATTTCCAAAAACACCACCCGCAGCCACCGTATCACCCTCACCCATCGCTTCTTGGGCCGGCTGCTCACGATCCTCGAGCGGCGCCTCCAGCGCCGCCTGCAGCGCGCGCCTACGGACCTCCTCGACCACCCTCACCTCGCCCGTACTACGATATGCTTCAGCGACGAGAGTCCGAGATGCCTCGATCGGCCGCCACAACTCCGGGATACAATTACCCGACGCCCTCTTCCGCTCCGGCGCCCGTCCCCTCCGTCGCGTACGCCCATGAGCCCGCCTATGCGTCATTACGGACAGATACCACCGGGTATCACCTCGCACCAACGGGCCATGGTTCATCGAAGAAGCATAATCTTCCGACTGGGCAGCGAGACTCTGATAATCGGCATGATCCCCCTTACGATCATAATTATCTCAACCACCCGGATCGACGGATGATGTATCGTGAAGGTAGGCCAGATCTATTTATTTTGATCAGATATACTAGTTTACTGCGTGCTGCTCTGTGATTTTGCGTTGCCAAGTTGCCTGCGGGCTTTTCTCGTGTTGTGGCTGGGTGCCTGAGCCAGACTGGGCAGCATCTCGGGAGGCCAGATTATGGATGGTATGGAAACAGATGCCAACCAGACATGACCAATGGCAAGCATTTTAAATGCACGAGATGAAGTGACCAGGGTGGCTGCAGACAAGGGGGACGGAGGATGGAATGTGGGCGGTAGCTGGTGGCGGAGCAGACTCCTTTTCACATTTTGACACATTTCTCCCCTCACACGACCCAAGCTTTTTTGCTGCACTGTTTGGTTTGGTTTGTTTATCCAGACTACAAACGGGGGAGCCAGAGAGTGAGAGGGGGGGAACCCGAAGGAGCGACTGGGGCGACCGGGCCAATCAGCAGCGGATCATCAGCCGCGTCTGTGGCGCCTGATCGCCTTCCAGCCCAGGAAGCCTCGGGAGAGCTATCCCTCTTCAAGCTTAGCTCTGACTGCCAGGACATCCTTACCCGATCGGGTCTAGTGGTCCAGGCCCGCCCAGAGTCACGGGTTCTGCCCCGGCTGTGGAACTCGCTTTGCTTTCTTGTCCGTCGCGCGCCTTTCTCTCCCATTCCCGTTTATCTCATCATCATCATCATCAACATCAATCATCGTGGTCGTCGCCGTTGAGCGCCTCCTCCTCCCCTCCATCCTCTTCCTCTTTCGCCTCCCTATCCCATCTTCCCTCTACCTCCTCTCTATCGTTGCGCTTGGACTTTGACGTCTTCTCCCATCGATTCCTGGCCCCCTTGGTTTCATTCTCTCATCCCCTTTCGTGTTCCTTGCCAGCGCTCCTACAGCCCTCCCCTGTCTGTGCATGCGATATGAATCCGCCCCCGTCGCATGACCAGGGCCGTCGGAGGTCCTTGGGCGGCAGTGGCAGTCCCGGATATTCCGGTGAGTGCCAGGCCTTCTGGCTTGCACAGCATCTGTCGCAGTCTATTTCGGGCGTCCCGACCAATGTCCTTCGCTGACTGCTATCTGGCTTCTTGCGTTAACCTGCGTCGGGCCTTCTCGTGCTAACTCCGATGATTCTCTTCATGCAGGTCTTCAAGATCCTTCAACCGCACCGCCGATGGGTACCCGCCGCATGCCTCCCCCCTCACCATCGCAACACTATCCCGCGCGCGCTCCCCCCGGCCCCACGCACTCTTTGCCCACTCCTTTTCTGTCGCGTGAGCCTCCCAGCAATCCGGCGCATCATCGTCCAGGGAGCAGCATGTCGATATCGTCCATGCTAGGCGCGGACGCTGACCGACCCGGCCGAGATGTAGGCTCCTCCCTTTTTAGCCGTTTGCCCGTCACGTCCGCCTCGTTCGGCAACGCGCATCCGCCGTCAGCTCCCGGTGCCATGTCGCCGCCAACCGCGCCCACCCGCCCGTCGCCGCTCGAATATCCAGCCTTCCGACGGTCGCAAACGCCTGAAAAGTCCTTTGCAAAGACCCAACCACCGCGGCCCTACCGGTCAGGCTCAGGTGGTGTGCCTCAGGCGATTCCGGAACAGGCTAAGTTTGGTGGTCTGGCACGCGGTCATCCCGCCACACACTTTCCTGACAAACCTCACTCCACACACCCTTCTCCTCAGATCTCCTCAGCCGAGGCTCCCTATAACGAACCTCGCCGGACCAGCTTCAGTGGACCAGTACCTCGTCCCAGTAGTCAGCCGCAACACCTCGAACCGCCATCCCGAACGGCCGGCTACAGTCCCTTGGCTCGACCGATCGCAGTCCCCACAACCGCTGGGATGGGAGAAGGACCTTTTGTGCCGACACATCAAAGAGCATCGTCCTACATGGGCCACGAGCTACCGCACAGTCGTTATGGGGGACTCTACAACGATCGCCACGCGGAGGAACAAGCCATCCGGGAGCGGGAGCGGGAGCGGGCAGCGGCACACGAAGCAGAGAGCAAAGCTGCGGCTCACGCTGTTCCCCGCTTTGGGCCGCCATATGGAGACCGCGATGCAGCCATTTCTCGGGCCCAAGGGCCATCGGCATGGGAGCTTGCACGTTCGCAACCCGCTTCGCCCGAGATGAAACGCTTTCCCGCTCCGGAATCGGGCGCCGGTTTTGGCTTTGGCGCCATTCAAAGCTACACAAAGTCATTAGGATCCCAGTTGGGCGGGACGCGCGCCCCGTCGCTCCCCGTGCACCCGCAGCCAGGCCAGCCCACGCCCCCGTCGCACGAACAGACCCCGTATCTCAGCAAGCTACAAACCGACCCGCGCGCCTTCCCGGCCACGACCTCCGCCGCCGCATCTGCAGGGATGATCCTTTCGGCCGCCTCAGAGGACCAGCGCCGCAAAGGTAGCGATGAGCTGCTGACCCATCGGAATTTGCTCGGAGTTGGGCTGGACGCGAAACGGGGCGGGCGAGCCTCACCGTTGCCCCAAGCTGTTCAGGGGGCTCAGGCACAGATCTTGGGCCCCGCTGGGGAATCGGGAATTAAGAATGAGCTTGGCCGTGTATTCTCGGGCATCGGAAGTGGAGTGGGCGGCGTGACGGGGGCCACGGCCGGGAGTGGTCCCTCGACGCCCATGACCTCAGCCAGCCCGTTCAAACGGGACAGTGCCACCGCCCGCTCCACCAACAGTGAAACAACAACAGATGAAGCTAAGATTCCCCGTCCAACCTCCGCCAACGGAAAGCGACCTCGGAAATCGCGCGACGAAGAGGCTCGAGCCGAATCAGAGGCTGGTGCATTGGGAGCATCCTCCCGTGGCCGGCGGAATCGGCACGTCCATCACCATCACCATCAGTAAGCTTTCTCTGTGAACCTGGTTTGTCAAAAGAGTATGACATATGCTAATCCCCGCGCAGCCATCATCACCACCGGCACAAACCCGAGGAAGAAGCGGCCGCCCTTGGCCAGAATCGTCCGTTGTCGTCGATGAACTTCTTCCATCGCACTGCTACGCCCGCGGACGGGCCCGCCTCCGCTGCGGCGGCGACGCTCGCTCATCATCATCACCATCATCCCCACCACCATCACCATCACCATCACGCACCCCGATTATCCGGGTCCGCGGCTCCCACGTCCTCTGTCGCTCCGATCCGTGAACCTCGCACGGTGGTCACCATCGAACCGCTTCTGACCAGTGTCGCCCATCTTCCGCGTCACCACTTGGGCTCCACGTTATACGCGCCTCGGATAGGAGTGCCGACGGAAAAGGCTTCTCTCGAGAGTGCCAAGTTTGGGTACACTACTACGCCTGTTCCTCTACCTCGATTTGAAGGCAAAGAGAACTGCACATTTACTATTCGTGTCCCTCGCTTTCGCATCGACAACAGCCGTCGCGAGGAGATTTGCGCCCGCCGCGCGCTCTGGGGTACCGGTGTCTACACTGATGACTCTGATCCTGTTGCGGCAGCCATCCATTCGGGTTTCATTCGTGGCGCCTGGGGTGAGGATGTAGACGTGGACCTGCTTGACCTGGAGATCCGGGACACCTATCAACACGCGCCACAGACCGCGCAAGACATCGGCTTAGAAGAAGGCGAGCGACCGCGGGTGCCTCCCGTGCCGCCCGCCGACAAAGATCTCCACATCACTATCCTCATCCTTCCCCGCCTCGAACGGTACGACTCCAGCGTCTTGTTTGGCCTTCGCTCCCGTGCCTGGGAAGGCAACCACGATGGCATGAGCTACAAAATCCTCCGCACCGAATGGGTTGACGAGGGTGTGGGCCGCGGCGAAGAACGTAGCGGAGCCGCCCGACGCAAGCGACTGCGTACGTTGATGCAGACGGGTCGCATCTGCACGGGTCCCGGGGTGATCAAGCTGGACCAGTTGCGTAATGGAGTGCAGGTGCCGCGCCGCAAGAAGATCGAACCGAGTCGAGAACAGCCATCTCCGATGCAGACTGTTTCGTGAGGGGTTCTGGATTGAGCTTGTATTTGATTGAGTCTTGATGTTTCCGAGAGTTCTGGGATTGTTCGGGCCTTGCTTGTATCTGTCTGTGTAGGGAGTTGAGGATTTCTCTCTTTTTTTCTTTCGTTTTTCTTTTCCGTCGAGGTATTATTAGCGAGGCGTGGTGTACCCTGATGTGTTTCGATTCGCTTTTAGTTTGTTTTACTCTAATCAGAGATGACCTTCCAGCTGTTCCTCTGAGATGGCTTCCATGCAGGCTTTTGTTTTCTCTCAGGACTGGAAATGAGTTTTTGCATTGCTGTAGGAGGTAATACGTTTCGGCTCACTATTCAAGATGCACATACTAGGTATCTGATGCTGGCTTTCACAATGAAAGCAGGGGTTTGAATCCCACTCCCCAGTTTCTACGCGCACTGCGACTTTTGAATTCTGAATCAAATGGAGCACAATGCACATTACAAATCGAGTAACTCTAAATGCAACCAGTATATATCCTTCCTACTACCTCTATGCCTGCTTTCCCCAGCAGAAACACTATATCCACCCTAACCTTCCCCCGTTATCCTTAAGGATGCAGCGGCTGCCTTACCCTTCTCAAAGACCAAAAAAGATGTGACCCTCAGAACCATCGAAGCAATATCCCCTCCTTGCAACCCACAGATTACACCCAAACTCCCCCTTTCCAGAGGCCAAGGATAGATCAGTAAGAAAACACACCACGTCACCGCCTCCCCCCCCCTCCTCTGCCCCAATGAACCACACCTTTTCCCTGGCGAACTACCAGAGTATCTATCCAGTTGCGTTGGGCTGGGTTAGGTGAGGTTGGTAGTGTATTGAGCCAGCCTTTGAGCTTTCCTGTTTTGGGGGACCTTACTAGTATTGGAACTGGGTACGGTCAGTGGAGATGACGCTGTTTGTTCTCTGGGTGTTATAATGTGCTAGTTCCTGGGAGGTCTTGTTGCTGCGTAGCAGATTTCTGCGTTTAGCTGCGTAAGGTTGGGGTAATTGGATTGAGGAGTGTGAGGAGGGTTCTTGAATCTAGATAGGGGAATGTGAGGAACTAGGTAGGAGTAGGGGTCACGGGTTTGGTGGTTGTCGTTTTACTTGGGATGGGTTCGTTCAAGTTATATGCTGTGCGGTGCTGGGCTGGGGTTCCCGTAATGGGGTTTATGGGGTTTTAGTAGGAAGGGTAGGGAAAGGAATATGTCCGCGTAAGGCTTGTTTTGTTGGGAATATATGGGGATTTGGCGATTAGAGATTTGGGCGGTGATGGTGGGATATTTATATTTGTGTCGAGTTGTGGTGTTGGGTGGGTGGGCTCGGTTGCCAGTGTGGGTGTGGGGTGTATGTGTATGTAAGGGACTTAGGAGGCGAGGCGAGTAGATGGTCTGCGGGTTGAGTGTGGGCTTTCGGTAGTCGACTTTGTTGGGGTTGGTACTTGGAGTTTGATTCTGGCTGAGACGGATGGGAGTGGGCGGAACAAAAGCCGCGGGCTGAGATCAGTTTCGGAGGGTACAATATGAATCTACAAGAGAAGTTGAACCTTCACTCGCATCCGCACGATCTCCAGTGCAATCACATTTCAATTCATTAAGTGTACAAGAAGGAAAAAGGAATCCGCTAGCTATGTGTCTCTTGATATCCACTGCATAGACCAGAGAAAGAGAGATATGTGCCGAGCAACTGAACAACTGGCTGTGTCTACTGCGCGCACTTCTGTCTTGATGTGCCAGCGCACATACAAAGACTTTGCTGCCGTCAGATCATCCAGTAAAAGTTCAGAAAAGATGCCGGACACCGCCAATCTGGAGAATAATGGTTCTCAAACTTTATGCCAAGAGGATGTGTGTCCCCATGTGGCCCCAAACTCAGTCAGGTCTTGTCCGACAAGTCGCTTGCCGATCCCCGTCCCGCGGGCTCCTGGCCTCCGGCATTGTCGGTGCCGTGGCTGCTAGGAGTTGCGGAACTTTCACTCGGTTGGGCACCAAGTGTGAATTCACTGACTTGGCGTTCTGTGCGTCGTCAGTTAGACTTTCTCATGTCGCAAGAGAGCGATGTTCCCCAACTGGAGGATATACACCGGCGAGATAGTCCACTTACCCAACTCGCGAATGCGCTGCCGCAGCATCTGATTCTCCCGGGCCAGCATCGCTGCCTCGGCCTGATAGAGGGCGCCTTCATCTCTGCTTCCCCGCCGGGCAGGACTTTCGCCGATACCCCCCGTCCACTCCAGTCCCTCCGGGCCGCGTGACGAATCAGCCCGGGGTCGCAGGCTGGGTGACCCGGCTTGACTGGAGGGCCGGGAGGGCCGCCGACTTGACAAAGACGAAGCTAATTGGGTCGACGTCCGACTGCCGGGGGCGGGGTGTTGAGGAACCGGGGGGAAGGGGACCATGCGCTCCGACGGAGTGCTGGCATCGTCGACCACTGCCGTGCCGGATGAGGCGTGAGACTGTTGATGTTGCTGTTGGAGTTGGTGCAGTTGGCTCTGCTGGCTTCGGATCATATGCAGCAGTCGATTCTTGATCGCAAACACCCAGTCAGTTTACTTTCACATTGATGGTGGTGACACAGGGATAGAATCGCGATCATACCACTTGTGCTTCCTGCTCTTGCTCTAGTTCCTGATGGAGTTCCCCCAACGAGGGTGCCCGCTGGTGATGCGGGTCCCCCATGGCAATGATTGGACTGCCTCCCAGACTGGAGGAACTAGAGGTGCGCAATGCATTGGGGCTGAACGAAGAGCGGTAGTCGTGAGGGGCGAGCGGGGATTCACCAGACACCGACTCACTAGCGCTGCCATTGCTGTTGTTCAGGATTGAGTTGGACCCGGCGGCGGACCGGCGTCGTTCCGAACCTGGGATTCCCGAACGAGCAGTCGGCGCAGGCCGATGAGGCAGGTCGGTGGCAACGGCCGAATTGACCTCGCTGGAGTGGCTGTTATTGTTGTTCATGGTGGCCAGGCCTAGAGAGGCGAAATCCGACGGAGAATTTTGCGAATGCAAGGGGTGGTACACAGCCCGTTGGTGATGCGGGGAAGAGGAAGTAGACGGAGACAAAGGAAGGGAGTTGATATCAGGACACATCACCGTGTGGACCGGGGGTCATATGATGGGGAAGAAGTGGGAATCTTCTTGTTGTTCCAGGCAGTTGGAGAATCAGATCACAACCATCAACAACGAACCCCAAATCCGGGATGTGAGCAAGAGATGATGAGCGGACCCGAAACAAGCATTCAATTGTTTGTGTCGATTTGGTTGGGAGGGAAAGCCTGAGGCCGGGAGTGAGTGAGTGATAATGGCGGGGTGGACCGAAGACGGCAGGCGGTGACAGTAAACGGCGGGTTGAACTTGACGCGCCTCTGACGCTCCCGTCCGGTTCCCATCCGGCTGCTATCCGCAAACATCTTTGCCTGGAAACAGCTCACCCAGTACGGAGTACAGAAGAAGAAACTATGTGTCGGCCATCTTCCGGACTTCCGTGTCTTTGTCTATAGTTTGCGATAAGCCTTAATCATACCTCTCATCGAACATGACATTCATCCCTCGATTCGCCTCTTGAATGTCTAGACTCAGCTCCCTAAGAGCCATACATGCAAATTCTGCAGTCTGCATAGACTCATCGAGGGGCCAGCCTCTCCTGGACCCAAAAATCCACCAAGCCAGGGGATTGTCCGCCACATCGCCTTGGCAGGTTGAGCCTTAGCTTAACCCCCGAACAGTTGGCTGTCGGCACCGGCCGACTTTTTCGAGTGATTGGCGTCAGTGGTGCTTAAACTTTACTACCCTCTTCCTCTTTTCTATCCTTGGTTCCGAATGACCGTGCTACGACGTTGCTACCGTAGGCCGATAGATCGTTAATGTTGAGGCTTTGTCAAGCTCACTCTAAACTGTTACTCTGTTCAATCACCTCAAGAGTCAGACAAAGAGAGCTGTTGTACTGTACCAACGATCCGTCCATAAGCCTCTGGTGAACCGTGCCCGTAGACTGCAGAATTTTCGCACGACTAGCGCAATTGGACTGCTGAGAAGGATGAACCAAGTGGTCCTAGTGTACGTAGTATGCGCCAAGTTCATGTGCCGAAGGTCAATTCTCAGGTCAGAGGACCCGGTGGCTGAGATTCCCGGCCAAGCGTGCGATACAGTCTGGGGAAGATCGTGGGATGTTGATGAGCCGTTGACTTCCCATGTTGTGCAGCAGGGCTGTCCCCGGAGCCGGAGCCCTGACAGGCTTCGACATGGGTTTCTGGAATTCGATCAGGCTGAATGCCAGATCAATGTCATAATGTATGTAGACAAGCATGTCGACGAGGAGGGATTGTCATCTGTAATACATTGAGCGTCAGGAAGGTCGGGGAAACGATCGGCGTGGAACCGGACACGTTGACGTCACGTCCGGCTACCCCGAGCCAACAACCCCGTGGGAAACCGACCGAAGCCAGCAGCCAACCCGCACTAGTCAGGAGTCGATCTAGCAAAGAAATCAAGAATTGGAGAAATCATCCCACCACCACTACCGCCGCCTTCATCATCATCATCATCATCATCACACGGACACCATCCGTTGAATGATTCATCTAGCATTTTCTCCTTGTTCTTTGTTGGTTGGTTCCTTGGCTGTATCATTGCCGTAATACTAAGTATGATTGGGGGTTGAGCCTCTTTACTCAACCGATCGCTCGGGAAAGCGCATACCGTGCTGCTCATGGCCACTTGGTATCCCATAACCCTTGCGTCGTACACACCTGTGCCTAAACATTATTGACGGCCTCGACCGTGGCTCTCTGCACCATCCCGATCAGAAAGAACAGAGATTATTCAATTGTCGCCCTCGTTATCGGTGCCGTCCTCGCGCGATTCCCGTGCCGTGGTAGTCTTTCCCGAAGCGGGCATTCCTGATGTTGAGAATTCTTTTCCGGGCCAGAACGACTCCGGCGGCAGTCATGGTGTGAGTTAGTACTGCCTTAGTGGTATTGAAGCGTAGCAACGTCCCGACCCCGGAGTGGGGACGCTGTAATCTTCTCCCCGGCCACTCTTCTTGCAGGTTCCTTTTGCCATGGGAGGGCTGTCCGTTTGCCTCCCAGGTCAGTTGATGTTTTGGGTAATGATGTGAGGCACGGATCCATCCGACCCAGGTATCGATTAAACACGACTGGTTGCTGACTCGATCCGGGCGGCGTGGCAAGTGGAACTCTGCGTGTGGTCGGAATGAGGTAGGATAGCGTGCGTCCTGATCTGGCAACCCACTGCTGCATCCATCACCGTGCCCGGTCTCTTGCCCACGCGGGGTACTGCATCTCAAGCAAAGAAAGGGAGGCAATAATTGCAGATATGTGCAAAGGGCAGAAATCAAATAATCAGTTTGGATGTCTGAGAGAGGAATGCGACTGGAGTTCAAGCCACCGGGCCTATGGGGTATGGCGTAGAGGGGCGGAAGTGGTGAAGTTCAACTTGCATGGATCCATTTCCCACATCTTTCTCGCGGGCCTCAGTCGGAGATAACCTGGGCAGCCTGAACTCTAATCACAGGTATTATTTAGTTCCATTGGCAGTCAAGGCCCGGGGCATTATTAAAAGCAAGAGGATTCCCTCCTGGCTTTGCATGTTTTGTGTGATCTACCGGATCTGTTGTTGTGAATCCAGAGAGACAGCGAGACGGCGAGACTGAGTGACAATCATACTTGCCTCTTTGGGACTGTTTGCCGAAAGAAGTACTTCTATACGGCCACTGCACCTGGCGCTGCAATTCACTGCTCACTCCTTCCCTTTTTAGGCTTACTCTTCTTGCAGCTGTTTTTCTAACTGCTTGCCTTCTTTACCGTCTTCATCTCCTCTTTTCCTCTCCAACCTTTCCCGCCTCCTCCCATCTCTTGTCTCGCCTTTTAACTCTCACCTTCCCATTCATCGCCAGGGTAATCGGCTCTTACCCTTTCACCATAACTACTATCTGCCAACCCTTTCCTTCCTGAGTTGACTGCTCAATTGTGTGGATTATCTGCTATTCGACAAACCAGGTGGATTCCATCATTTTGTAAGTATCCCCGCCCATTGAACCCATATTCTTTACCACAGAGAACTAGCCCTTGCCCGGTCACATTCGATGAGACAAGCTATCAAAAACATTGTATCCCGCCTAGCTACCCTTGTCTTGATCTGCCCTTTAGCCCTTGCCATAGGATTTGTTGAATTCCTCCCTGAGATTCGTGCTTGCCTTGATTATTACCTTCCACGCCCCTGGCGTTTACTCTGGCTTCCGTTTCATTTGTGCCGGGCTGCCATTCGTTTCTCATTCCTCATTCTTAAAATTGTGTTCTACATACTAAGTGACACTATTTTCAGTCCGCAATGGCGTCCGGAGCTGCAAGACGCAGTCTAAGCGACAACGAAAAACCCCACGGTTCGGAGGCTTCCTCTTCTACCCACAACGATGTCGTCCTGGATCCAGCAACCGAAAAGGCGCTTGAACAGGAGAAGCCGGAGCTGGCTGGAAATCGTGAATCGGGTGCAACCCTACAACATCATGAGGAAGGACCGTACGACAAGATTGAGTTGACGGAAAACGACTGCTACGATGAATTGGGTTATTCATTTCCGTCATGGCGAAAGTGGATGATTATCACCGTCATCTTCCTTGTTCAGACTTCGATGAACTTCAACACCAGTCTGTACTCGAATGCTTTGGGCGGCATCTCAGAGGAGTTCGGCGTCAGCATGCAGGCCGCTCGCTGCGGTGCTATGATTTTCCTGGTTCTGTATGCGTTTGGCTGTGAGCTGTGGGCTCCATGGAGCGAGGAACTCGGCCGGAAACCGATTCTACAATTGAGTTTGTTCTTGGTCAACGTGTGGCAGCTGCCAGTGGCGCTCGCTCCCAATTTTGCGACGATTATGGTGGGACGTGCCCTGGGAGGTCTGAGTTCAGCTGGTGGCTCGGTCACATTGGGCATGATCGCTGATCTCTGGGAGGCTGATGACCAACAATATGCTGTCGCCTGCGTTGTGTTCTCATCAGTCGGTGGCTCTGTGATTGGTCCCGTCGTCGGTGGGTTCGTCGAGGCGTACTTGCCCTGGCGCTGGAACATCTGGATCCAGCTTATTTTTGGTGGATTCGTCCAGGTGGCACATCTCCTTCTCGTGCCCGAGACTCGCACGACGATCATGATGGACCGCATTGCCAAGAAGAGAAGAAAGAGCGGCGAAAACCCGAATATCTACGGGCCCAACGAACTCGTTCCATTCAAGGAGCGCTTCTCGATGCGCGAGGTTCTCGTCACCTGGGTTCGTCCTTTCAAGATGTTCCTGACTGAGCCGATTGTCCTCACCCTTTCTCTCCTGAGTGGCTTCAGTGACGCTTTGATCTTCATGTTCATTCAGTCGTTCAGTCTTGTGTACACGCAATGGGGTTTCAGCACTGTAGCCCTGGGCTTGTCCTTCCTTCCAATTCTTGTTGGATATTTTATTGCGTGGGCCTCGTTTGTGCCAGTCATCAGAAGAAACATCCAAGAGCGTCGAAACAAGCCTGACGATGAGCGTGCTCAGTACGAATCTCGACTTTGGTGGCTGCTATACACCGCTCCTTGCCTTCCAATTGGATTGATTGGCTTCGCATGGACCAGTCTTGGCCCCCCAGTGCACTGGATGGGAACCATGGTTTTCTCCGCTATCGTTGGTATCGCCAACTACAGTATCTATATGGCTACCATCGACTACATGATCTGCGCCTACGGACCTTACTCAGCTTCTGCCACCGGAGGTAACGGATGGGCGCGTGACTTCTTGGCTGGTGTTCTTACTATCCCCGCTACACCTTTCTTCCAGAGTAAGTTTCTCCGCCGGGTTCCTCGCAAATGATCTTTTCTAATTAGCTTTCCGCAGATATTGGTGGTAAATACCATCTTGAATACGCATCCACGATCTTGTTCTGCATCTCGTTCTTGCTTGTTATTGCAGTGTACGTCATTTACTGGTATGGACCTGCTCTGCGCAAGCGTTCTCCGTTCGCCCAGCAGCTGTCCGATGCACGAGTCGAGCTTCAAACCCATGGCCGGAGACTTTCTCGGATCCCGTCTGGGTCGCGTGCGAACTCTTTTGCTCGATCCCAACAGAACTTGCGCATTCGCCAGACTTTTGGCAGCCGTGCTGGTAGCTATGTGGCATCTCGACCGGCCTCTGGGGCCAATTCTCGAGTGCAGTCGCGCAAGAACAGCATCTCGCGATGAACAAAGCCGCGCGATCAGAAACCATCTTTCTCTCGTTTCTATGATTTTAGTTTGAAATGATTAACGAGCGTTGATACCCCCTTTGTTTGGCGAAGGGCTTCAGCCATCTTGTTCTCCGTCTCTTAAGAGATTGATTTAGCCTTGTTCTGCTTGTTCTGTTTATCCTTCCTGAATTTTGATTCACCGAGTTGGATTTTGTGTAATTCCAGGTAAACTAGGTAGCAATTCTCTTTTATTCTTATCCCTTTCCGCACTTGCTGAAGCTCAGACCGAGTCTCCAGGCAGCATCCAGTGGTTTCTTTTTCTTTCATTCCGTTCTGCCTCAGGGTGAGCACTTGCCAGTGATGAGCTGTTTTGAGATCTGCCGTCACCGCGCTTGCGGCGAGATACGCTTAGCTACGTGGTGATACATAGAGTTTCTTGAATCAAGGTTTGGATGTTATGCTTAAAAAGGAAGACTCAAGGAGAATGGATGATATCCGGAGCGTTGTTGGCCTTGCCCTGTCATGCTCTTCAGCGCGGCGGGAGATCGACCCGCCCGCCGCCCGCGGACAAGGGTCACGTGCCTTGAGAGGGTTGGCCGATGCTTCCAACTCACCTCCACCCGCGCAACGCAGCGGCGCGCATCCCGACCGCAATTCTGGTTGACACCCTCTTTCGCCCACCCAGCATGGACCACATCATTCGGGCAAGCCCGCGGCCTCGAACATTCATTTCTCGCCTTCAACAGTGCCACCTCGACCGCTCTTCTCGTCTCCGCTTTTCTTCTGCTCCTTTCCCCGTCCTCTCCTCCGCTCGTCCTCTCCGCACTACATCCCTTAGCCGGACGCCTACCGCCGCCGCCACCACTACCACCACCACCACCACCAACTTTTTCTACCACGCACGCAACGTCCTTTCTTCACACCCGATCAATTCAACAACGCGCCGCCTCGCTTCCAGCATGACCGACTCGGCCTCGACCACGGAGCCGCAGTTGGCCGAAGGCGTCGACGCGGAAGCGCTGCGGCCGCGCCTGGCCGCGCTGTTGCAGCCGGAGCAAGGGTGGACGCTGGATGCGGAGGCGCGGGGCCTGCAAAAGACATACTATTTCAAGACCTATTTCAAGGCGGTGGTAAGTTCTTTCCAACCGCCCCTTCTTTACTTCCTCAACCTGTGTTCTCTCGCCTGCCCCTCGGTCCGAAGAATTTCAGGGTCAGGGTGAGAGTTAGTTTCTGTTGATGTGCTGATTTCACGGGAACGAATATAGAGTTTCGTGAATGTAATCGCGTCGCAGAGCGCCGCGATGAAGCATCATCCTACTATGACTGTTGTAAGTTCTCCTTTCTCTTGCCTCTTGTATGGATCCTTTTGGTGGGCTGGAGAGAGAACAGCGCAACAAGAATAGGGGAGGAGGGGGTAAATTGTGAGGTTGTGAACGCATTAGAACTACTAGTTTTTGTTTTAACGGGAGGCTAATGGTGGGGATTTCTCTTTTTCTCTCTGAATCAATAGCGGATTGGATCGGTGGATATCCACTGGACGACGCACCAGCCGCGAGGTTTGACGGCCAAGGATGTGGATATGGCGCAGCATTGTGACGAGGCGGCGGATTTGATGGGTGCGGTGGAGGCCGGGCAGGGGAGGAAGTGTCATTGATCTTTTTGATCTTTGTCTAGGGGTTTGTGATTGTATGGTATTGGGGTATGAGATTATGGGATGTGTGGTTAGTTCAAATGGATCAATCTCGAGTCAGGAGGTGTAATCAATTGAAACTCGAGTCTGGACTTTGGAAAGGGGAATTCAAAAAAAAAAGGTTCATGAAGGAAGAAGGGAAGTCGAAGGGGGGGAGGCTGAGTCAGCGGGATATCGGGTGGTTGAAGATAAGATTGGCAGGAATGTGGATGGAAGTGGAGAGATTGATGCTCAGAGCATCTATTCATCCATCTGCAAAGTCCTCTCTTTCCTCTTCATTGTGAGTCCAGTTTTGAGATGGCAGCTGGGGAGAGAAAGTCCACCAACGAGCCTCTCGTCTCTCAACAGAGGCTGGGTGTAATAGCGCCCCAATCATCATCGCTTCTCCAAGCTCAACTTCTTACACGCGATGGGGTCAGAAGTGGAGCCCTGCAAGGCTGGTTCAATTCAGGGGCAGCAGCCATTGTTGTTGGATCCGATTCCAATTGAATCTCCCGTCTACTGTACTGTTTTGTCTCTGCTCGATCCTTCCCCGGCTTCTCCATCGGCCTGCATCTCCCACCAACCCCTCCTCCTCTTCCCCTGTCGCCTCTTTTTGGGTTGTTGATAGTCCAGAAATAAGAGCCAAACTCAAAACCTTGTCCATTCAGGGGGAAAGGAAGAAGAGCTTCCAAGTTCATCGGATGCCAAACCGTTTCGGATGGGTTGTTGCTTGCTTGTTAGTTCGACTTGCCTGCAGTCCGTTTCACGCGGCTTTGCGTCCATCGTTCGCCCGTCCCATCGTTTCTTCTTTAGTTTCATTTTTAGTTTCAATTCCTTTATTTTTAATTATTTCCTAGCTGCACTTTTTTCACCCCCCTCCCCTCTCCAGTCCTGCCTTTTTTGTCCCACTCCCCAATTCTCGAGTCATCGTCGTTTTCTTCCTCTTTCTCCCACCTCCATCCACCCATCCACCCATCGATTCTCACACTCTCTTGCCTCTTCTTCCCCTCTTTTCACCCTTTTACCGTTCATTCTCTTTTATCCTTACTGCTCGCGACAGTCCCTTTCGCTCACTGTCTTTCCATTGCGACTCTTTTATAGCTCACGAACGGCAATGGATCCCTCCTGATTTGATCTTTCACCTCCCGATGATCTGTTGACCCAGTTTCCCACTCCCGGCAATCACCCCCTGTTCGTCGTGCACTTTGGGGTTGTGCTGTATCCACAACCTGTTATCGCGATCTCTCTCATTCATCTGTATCGCTCCGAGCTCTGTCCTGGTGGGTGCGACATTGTGCCTCCACAATTCGGTCGGGAATGATCCACGTCTAGTGGTCCGATCGTCACTCGAATCCGCCAGTTGTCTCGCGTTGTCTGTCGATGAAGTCATTTAGCCATCTTCACCACCTTCTTTAAACTCCTTTCGTTTCAATCGATCATTACATCACCGCGGGACGAATGCTGGAACATACTACCTCGATCGCACCCCGACTACAATCACATCACCCGACTTGCCGCACAGCTGTTCTGCGCATTCGTGGGAAGTCTTGCAGAGAATGACGCTGGAAATCCATTCCCCGCAACAATCGGTCAACGAGCGCAGAGGCCAGCGACTGGCGCCGCTACAGACCAATTTCAGCCGTCCCACCGCGCGTCCGATCCAGGTGACAGCGGCCCGACCACAGCGACCCCGACCCTCCGACTACCAGACCGATGAGGGGAGCGGAGAGCGAGTCCCTTTACAATCCACTCCGGTGAAACGCCAGACATCCAAAACCAGTCTGCGCAACATTTTTGGACGCGACAAGTCGGCCCGTAAGTCGGCCGCGGATGTCAAGCTATCTGGTATTGACGAACAGAAATCCACCGGCGAACAACCGGCCCCCAACAACGCAGGGGCAGCGCCCTTATCACCCACCCTTGTCGCCACACCGAAAACGAATGCATCTGCTGCGACATTGCCCACATCCCCCACCACCGCTGCGTCTCAGCGCCCGAAGCTACCCACCAAATCGCGCGGAAAGTCCAGCGATGATCCAGCCTCCGCGGGAGACTTAGGCTGGAAGCCTCCGCCACTGTTTCAGGCATATCCGCAGTCGATCAAGCATGATTCGTTACCGGTCCCTTCTCTATCGGTGGACTCCATCCTGCGCATGCAGGCCACGGCAAAAGCCAAGGGGATTACTTCTTCGCGCGAAGATGAAAAGTCGTCGCAGAATGGAGACGCCGCCGAGGAAACAACGACCCGGAAGAAAAAAGAAGAGAAGGAGAGAAAAAGACATTTACGCACACTTTCCGAGACAGTCAGCAAGACGGAATGGTCTCAGAAGGTGTATGTGCTCGCTACCGCCGGATACATCCTACAATATGCGGGCTCGGGCAAGCACGACCGTCTGCCGGAGAAAATGCTCCAGCTGGGACCCAAGTCGGTGGCCTTCGCCAGCGATGCGATTCCAGGAAAGCATTACGTGCTCCAGGTGACACAAACCTCGGACGAGGAAGGCAGTGAAGGACCCAAGCACCATCGCTTTCGCTTTGGATTTCACCGTTCTCATACTCGTCGAATGGAACGAAGCTTCCTGCTTGTCTTCGACCATCCCGAGGACATGAATACGTGGCTGCTGGCTGTCCGAGCTCAGATCGAAGCGCGCGGTGGCAAGAAGTATATCTCCGAAAGAGCAGATGATGGCGAGCCGGGGCATCAGCTCAACTCCAAACCTAGCATCCGTCAAATGATAACGAAGGATACGAAGCGATACTCCACATTAATTCCACCCCAGCTGCCCGCATCTGGAGAGGAGAGAGATCCAAGCTTCAGTGATCAGTCTCGTCGGAACTCCTATGTCTCGGTCAATCGCCGTTCGATAGTTTTACCACCGGCATCTGAATCCCGTTCTGGATCTATCTCCACGACACATACAGAAGTGACATCGCCAGTCAGCAATTCGGGGCGCTTTTACTCAACCATGACAGCGTCAAGCGTGCCGAGTGTGCCATCGTCTGATAATGTACCTAAATCCTTCGATATGGGCAGTCCGACGGCTTCGGGCTCGACTAAAAGACGATCGTTGCATGCGTCGCCAACGCAAGCCATGCCCACAGCTGCTGAGATGGCGGCCGAGATCCCTCGGGCCCAGTCAACGCAGCCTGATTCAATCTATCGCAGCACCTCCCCACCAGCTCCTAATTTCAGCGTTCCCTCTTTTAGCAAACGGTATACAGCTCGGTTTGGGCCCTTGCAGGTCCCCCAGTTCTCGCAGGCTCCGCCTGCTCTCGACGTTATCAGCAACGACCCGCCCGCAGATACTCTATCCGCCTTCCCATCTCCACCGCATTCCCCCGGCAAGATACCGAACGGGTTTGGATTGGGCGTCATGAATGAGTCTCAACAGAACCAACCCGCCCAAACATTGGCCCCGCCTAAACCACTCCGGGTTTCTAGCTCGCAGGATTCCTTGGTGGATCCGGTCCAGAATGTCGATTCCAAGAGTCATCGTCTTTCTCGCTTGCCTCGGAATCCGTTGAAGTCTGCCGCCAATACGCTGCGTCCTACAACTGCCGTTGGAGGGAAGCCTCCTTCCGAGCTGCATCTTTTGGCGGAAGAGCAAACAAGTGGCCAAGACCAGCCACGAGTCCGGGGATCGGTAATGTACCAAACCGACCCTAATGCACGTTTGCCGCCGGCTGGTATGGGCCGACGCAAGAGTATGCCAGGACTTATCGGGCCACCTGCAGCACCACCGCCCAATTGTCCTCTCCCGAAGATTCCCTCCCCAATCGATCCCCAACCACAAGGCTGGAACGAGCCAATCATGGACCCAAGACAATGTATCTCGCCGCCCTTACAACCGATTCAAGAGCAGCGAAAAAATCTGGCCCCGGGTCAATTTGGAGCGAGTGGCCGTCGCAGCGCATCCCGACAGTCGAGAATAGCTCCGTGATCTTGTGCCTTACCTCCATCTGTTGTTCGATTATTTCCAGGATCAAGAGCTCTATCTGCGCCCATCTTGTTTATCCTTCTCATGCATTCCACGTCGCCACGGCACAATATTTTGCACATAAAGACTTTAACAGTCGATGAAGTTGATCTAGCATCATCACATAGCGATCAGCGGTTTTCTTCTTTTGCTTTCTGTTTTTTATTGATACCATTCTCTGAATCTGTGTTTGCACATGCTGGCTATCTCACCGGGCAGAGCCACTGTACTTATTTGTTTGGCATAACATATTGGGATTTTGGGTGCTCAATTATTTGATAGACTCGTTGTTTTGTGGAAGGTTCGTGTCTGTGACTATATTTAATTTAGTTATCTCATATTACATACTTGGGCAGAGGACTGTCCATCAACTCGGCTTTCTTTCCTTCTTGAATCGTACTCCAATCTCTGGTTATGGCTTGCTGGTAGAGTTGTCCCATTGGGGAGAGGGTACCTGGCTGTTTTGCTTCGCTGGTATCTGCTGTATTTTGCACAAATTTTTCCCATTCGGAGTCGTTCCTTGGATGACTTGATGTGTTGGCGTTTTGCAAGCAAAGCGGTACATCATCCACTTGAATGTATTTTCTTTGAACCGCGACATAAACAAATGCAAGCTATTCCGAGCAATACCTTCAAGTGTCCCGAAACTAGGTTCCTTTCTCGCGTCAGACGCAGGAGACGCAGCACAAACATCCTTATCATAGTTTTCGGATTCTGGAACGGCCCGAGCCACGGTGGTTCTGTTGATGCAGTTGCAGAGTGGAAGGAATGCTCTCTTCTCATATCGGTTCTTTGGCCTGCGGCAGCACGATGGTCTAGTTTGTCGCTCTTGTCATTCAAATGGATATCATTATCATCAGGGCGAGCATGGAAATGAGTATCATTCTCGAAATGGCTTTCGGGGTATTCAGCAGGCCTGGTCTCGAGTCAGCGACAGTGTATGATATCATAACTCTCAAGCGTGGTAGGATCTTGATATAGAGCGGTCAATCTCCTTACTAGCTACGTAGGTCTTCTAGATTCTGCTTGACTAAGTCCTAACTTCATAAGCACTATTCCTGCACATTCTATGGCATGATCTGCTGTAGGGGCCTATAGACTAGGACATTGATCCTGAGGATTATTTGGAAAAGGTGCAGGAAATTGCCATATTCACACAATGTCAAATCTCGAAGCCCTGATCGTTTGGAGACCACTTCACTGTGGCTATCTTCTTTCACTATCAGCTTTGGACTCCTGTGAATCAATGGCCATAGGTATTCTTGGGCCATATTATGATTGAATACAATCGCCGATGTTAATGGATTCCTCAATCGATCTGTGAATTACCTACATGCCTCGTCTTTCCTCAGCTCTCTCTCCTCCCATCTTTCTCTTCCTCTTCCTCTTCCTCTTCATCCATACTCATCTCCACGATTCCAAGGCTCTACTACTTTTTATTCTATTTAGTTCATCATACTACCTCTTTGTTTACCACTCTCTTGTTCCTCAATCATACCATCTCTTCCTTAATCCCCTTTGCATCCCGCGAACGTGATCCAAGAAACAAACCACCAACTTGACCCTAATCCCTTAAAGTCAAAGACAGGGTTTCAAGCCAGTCAGGGGGGCATAGGGCAACCACCTCACCTTTGATTCATGATCAAAGCATGTAGACCAAAGCCCATGACCCCGTCAACAAGCTTCTGAGCCATGAGAGGATAAGAGCCAGCGTCTGGCAATCAATCAATATCTGACCCAGAAAGTAAGTACGCTTCTTGATGTGCTGATCAACTCCCCGAAGAATCACTCCAAACACGAATCCGGGTTCTAACAGCTCAAACAGACCAGAAGCAGAAAGTTCATTTCGAAGGTCTCAACGAGGGTGGCTGAATGCGGCGATATATTAGCTGCTGGCCTTAACCCGAGAACTCGTTTGGCGAAATCAAGGCTGCTTTGGTACTTCTCTTACACATTCTTTTCTTCTTTCTCCGAAGTTCTCCAACACCCGTCGCCATAGACTGCTCAGGGACAAGAGCCTGTCTGCGCAGTCTCCGTCGGGACGTCGATGCCATACCCATACGACATACCCATGCGAAAATGCAGTCGAGGTGGGTTTCAAGGGAAGATAAGTGGTCTCCCTATTGAACCACACTCAGATCTCTCTACATGAGCCCTGGGTTGTACCAGAAGTGGAATATGTCTCCTTGCGATTCGGCCCCCGGCGCCACCACATTTGCTATGTGGCCGGAGTACTCCCCGTGCTCCCAGTTCGCTCCATCCGAAGCCACCATAACCGTAGGTGATATGTGGATGGGTTTTATCCAGCCTTCTTTGTAAGGCCATACACGGCCACCGCTGGCGAGGACTCATGGGATTTCGTTACAATCACACGATACTGAAGCAGGTGAGGTTGTCAGAGCCTACACCATGAATCCAGTTGAGCAATGGATTATGCAGTGGCGGACACTGTCAGCGCTACAAGAACATGGTCCCTGCAGCTCATCGAGACATTGTCTTGCCTGTGGCGGCAATCACTAGCCATACAACAATTGTTTCGCAGATATTCGGATTTCGTATACTGGCGCCCGCGCTCGCGCCCAGCGCGCTCTCCTGGTTTGCATTTCCTTGGGTCTAGTTCTCCGCAGAAGTGCCCTTCGAAATCTTGCTTTGGCTTTTTCATGTTTCTCTCCTCTGGGATCTCTGTGCGCATGTTTTTACGCGTATCCCAGGATTGGAACACTGGCCTTAGCCGGGTTATTTGGTCGACGCACCATGCAACTGCAAGTTCGGGGTACTTTGAGGGCTTCTTTCGTGTTTATCGGACCGGGTCAGCCCGCTTGGACGGACAGCTTTCATGGACTGGGCACTGAGAGTGTTCTCAGAACTATGCTCTCCTTTACAAATTGCCTCATCGCTTGGGTTCTCTCAATACCTCTGCCGAGACGGATTTCAAACAACGCGAGTCTGATCAGCATATCGAACTCATGCAATGGGCCCAGGGCTCAAAGAATATGGTCATTCGCATCGAGGGTAAGAAACTGAAGCTGATAGGTCATGGGTACTAGTCTCTAACGTCGAAAGCGGAATCACACCTTCTCGGACAACAAAGTGTTATTGCTCCCATCATAAACCGCCGAGGTGTCAAGCGACGAACCTGATCATACTTCTGGCCACCCACGCCTCTTCAATCGATAAAGACGGCAATGCTCAGCATGATGGGGACGATATGTGTCTGTCAGCGCGTACGAAGGCCCTTCTCATGCCTGCGAACGCAAAGGTGGAATCGGGGCTCGTGGGAGTGAGTATGTTTGAAGAACTCGTCAAAAAGCAAATGATTACGAACGTGCCCTCCTCGGCTGCTATATTGACCCAGCTCAGGGTCCAGCAGGAATTTCGAGTAATTTGTGTGTATCCAAGCGCAGAAGGATTCATCACAGCAGATATCTCGCAGTGGTTGTACCTACTTAAACAATTTGTGGATCTGTCTATCGCGATTCTGTCTGCAGACTACGATCTACTACTACTATCAAGACTTACCCGTCAAAGATCGGCAACGACTACCGAGACTAGTAAGAGGCTGTTCACCTTGGAGACCTGCTGCGGTTATGAGTACGACCTGGCGTGAAATCTATTCCTTCCCTCGGATTTTCAAGGGTCGTCGGGGGCCGCACCGGACGCCGCAAAAGTGCGGCGCTCTGCCGGCCATGGAACCCTAGCTCTGGACAAACCGATTTCAGGATGATAGGCCGTCAAGAAGAGAAGAGAACTCTTCCCAGGAACACCCGCCGACGTCTCCGCGTTCAATTACATTGCCGTGGAGAATCCACATCCAGGTGCCGGAATATTAACCGGCTCCCCTTTCGGCACACGGCCATCCGCAGAGGAACCACATTCCCCTTTGCCTGGAGCCACAAAATGGGCGGATCCGCAGTTCGCGCAGCCTCTTGCGCAGCTCGTGAGACTAGCTGTACGCCCAGCAGAGCTCAACAAAGCCCGTTTGTACCTGGAAGGGGGTGGTGGCGCGGCTAGCACGCAGTGCGGATCATAAACAACGGGGGAAAATATACAAGGAGGTGCTCGACAAGAGCGCTTGCGTGAACGCAGTCAACGGCTATCTCAACGGCGCAGTCTTTCACGTGCTCTCGAACTGCAAGGAGTTCATGATGGACAGGGACCTTTATGGTGATTACTGGAAGTGATTCCAACAACGGGCAGCCAGCTAGAATGTCGGCCAGAAACAAAGGGCTGGCTGGTAACTGGTACTGCGAATGTGTCGGACTCCATGGTCTAATTCCAGAAATATACCCGCCTTGTTTACTCTTACTTTCGGTCTGTCTGCTGAGCCCGGGCTGTCATTTCACGTCACACTAAAAACAGCTATGGTGGTACTTAGACCTGGAGAGCGGCCAGTGTTTGTCAGCTATGGAATCGGGTTCTGCTATCGGGCGTGCGTTACTGATGTCTAAGCAGTAGTCATGTTTCCCATGCCGGGCTTCGATTCGGTGCAGGCGCATCCGTCGCAAATACTTTCATTGATTCTTTCGTGCACGAGTCGGATATCAGAAATCAGATAGTCCGCCGCCGCCATTGATGCCCTGTCGCCTGTGGGTTCGCCCCTGAGCGAGCCTGACTCCCCCGCCGCCCCCACCCCCGCGATGCCTGCGGTATGGCTTTGAATGAATGCATATATATCAATGGCGAGACGGAGTACCGGCAACTACATCCGAGGATATGTTTACTCCAGAAGAGCGAACTGCAGAGCAACGCCGCGGTACAGATGAAGTGAAGCAAGCCGTACCTAAGCGCCGACGACG